ACAAACAAAGTTTCTAGCTTTACTTCCTTATGCGATTCCCAAGAAATTACGGTAATGTATTGCTCTGATATCCCTTCCAAACTATGTCTCAGCCAATTCTGCGAGTCTATCATTTCCTCACATACATAATTAAGTTCTCCCAAACAAACGCAGACAGGAACTTCAACTTTTCACATGCGCTTGCACTAGCCAAGTACATAAATAAGTTGCATTTTCTTAGGCCCTAAATAACTTTTCGCCTATACCAAATTGTTTGTTACAATAAATCATAGGACTCACAGTATACTTTTCTTAATTATTCAAAACAAGATTGCTCAAAAATCTCTGCGTCAGCCTACAAAATCATATTATGATCAATCGGGCGGCAGGTCACAGAACGAATATAAAAACGCCTCGGGCATGTTCTTTTTCCGGCCCCAAAGAACTCATAAAAACGCCGTGACAGTTGCTTTCCCCATCCATGTTTCACAATAAATGGCACGATTGTGTTGGATAATAAAATTGGAAATATTGCGTCCGCGGAGAGCGAAAGGACAGATTCGGTGCGGAGAGGAGGGGGTTCGCGTATGGTAATAAAATTTTGCAGTTCTTTGTACAATAACAAATAACATAGTTGTGGGAAAAAGTTTCTTTGCATAGGAGCTTCCGCTTCCGGAGTTCTCTTAGGTTCAGCAAGGGAAGAGTTCGAAGTGATCAGAGTTCCAGATTCTTTTCAGGCATCGCGATACTTGCGGGCAACCATTTTGCGGACACGAGATTTTCCTATTAGAATTACTGTTCTCCCCCATGAATTTATTCAATTCATCCACCACTTTCAAAGTTATGGGAGTTCGCTTTCAGCTTTCAAAAAGATGATAAAAATGCCTGGTTAACCTTGTGGTAACTATGGGAGCCACTTATACACCAGGGAACTTAATTCGCAACATCTAACGGTAAATTCTTCGTTTGAATTTGCTGTTGCAAGCAAATGCTGAGATCCGAAGATGCCCGCAGAATCTCCGTGTTTCTTCTAGCTGCCCGCAAAGAGATTGCCCGCAAGTGTAGGCCCTCCAAAAAATCTTAGCTCGCGCTTTGCAGAAGCTACACAAATCTCTCATGAGACTCATCGAAAGAGAACGTTTGCTTAAAGCTAAATCTTTGCCATATGACGGCTATATTTTACTACATTCTACTTGAAAAATAGTGTTAATCACTTAAAAAAAACAATAAGCCAAAAGTCAACTAACAACCTCTCTGAAATGTCAAGCGCTCCTCAAAAACACCTCTCAACTAGTGATGACTTCCTTTTCAAAGTCTGCGATCCCAAAAAAATCCGGCCCCGTTTCCCGATCAGCTCTCGGTTCGGATCAAGATGAATGTCCCAATCTTCGACTTTCCCAACACAAAACCATAAATTTTGAAGCAACTGTCGAGACAAACAGAAATTCACACCAATTAGCACGTGTGGGAGTTGTTCGACTACCCGTGAAGATTGATTGGAGATAAAACTTTAGACATTGTTTTGGTACCGTTTTTTCTGAGGGTGAGTGAAAAAATTGTTACAGTAAAGAGAGGTGTCTTGTGAGAAAGGTTGTCTGAACGAATTGTGTCGAAAAAATAAAGACCGATTTCTTGAAAAAGAACGAAGTACAGTGACGGACCAAGTGGCAAGAAATACATTTTTTTTGCATCCGGGAAGTATTAAAAATGTTGCAAAATACCTCCTTCTCCAAGCAAAAAAACTCCGATTTCGAAAACGCGTTCTTTTTGTGAAGGAACAAACAGAGTTTTAGCTCTGCATCGACACGTTCTAAACGTTTCTAAACTTATTACACAACTATATGTATACTTGCAGATGTTTCTCTAATAACCGCTAACTTAATTTCCCTCAACAACGTTCTCAAAAATTAAAGAACTTCAGCTGAGAATTCTCCCCAAAAATCCCCGTCCAAGTGCAACGCAAAAAACATCTGAAACCGTATTTCGATTGTTTGCACAACCTTTCCGGAACGCCTCCAGACATGTCTGGTTTATGAAAATTGCCGCACGTTCAGTTTCTTGCCTCTGTTTGACAACGGAAAGGACGAGGGTTATTATGCTGGAAATTAGATTTTGTTACCGCGAAATTAGGCCCAGAAAGAGACATTGCAGCTCCGGCGTCTGTGGAAAAACTTGCTTTTGTAGCTTATCGTTAGACGGTTGCTGAATGAGAAATGCGTACAATTACGTCGGGCATTCAGACATGGTTAATCAATTTTGCAGGACAAACGCAAAATGATAAGAGACGAGAATTATCAGTCTGTCGGGAAAATAATGAGCATTGTCGCATCGAAAATCGCATCGCCGCCGAGAAAATGAATTTTGTTGCAGCAAAGTCAAACTGCTCTTAACCCTTTCCGGACGAGTCGGCACGTACTGGTAAAAATGAAAGAGGGTACCCTACTGAGTAACGGCATAATAGTGGTTCAGCCCATCGAAGCGATATTTTGGACTTAGGACAAAAAATGTCCTAAAACATACCCCCATTTGACATATCACTTTTAAAATTTTTGTGACAAGCTGTAGGTCGGAAACTACCCCTAAATTAAAGTCGAGGAGTCCTAGTACTGTTACATCCAAGAACTGTCCGAATCTGACCACTATAGGATTTGTTATCGATTTTTGGAAATTGAAATTTTTATTTTGGTCAATTTTGGACCTAAAATCAAGTATATCTTCTGTCGACATCAACCACTTCGGTCCAAATGTGGTTTTTCCAAATCTATTTTGATGCTAGCTTCTTCCTAGAATGTTTCCAGAAAAAACCTGTGAGGCATATTTCGGTAAAACGCAAAAATGTTGAAAATGTAAAGGTTTCATCGTATAAAATGTCGCTGCAAGCCGAGAAGGGTCGGGCGCAGCTCGAATCGAGAAAATAATAATTTTTTCTTTGATGAATATTATTTTAATGTCAAAAAGATGATTCAACACGAAATACAGACAGGAATAGCACACAAACATTACCTAAATGTCATTTTTATAATTTTACTCTGTTTTCAGGCAATTTTCATGGATTTTAATTTGGTTTCACACTAAAACAATATTTATCAAAGAAAAAATTATTATTTTCTCGATTCGAGCTGCGCCCGACCCTTCTCGGCTTGCAGCGACATTTTATACGATGAAACCTTTACATTTTCAACATTTTTGCGTTTTTCCGAAATATGCCTCATAGGTTTTTTCTGGAAACATTCTAGGAAGAAGCTAGCATCAAAATAAATTTGGAAAAACCACATTTGGACCGAAATGGTTGATGTCGACAGAAGATATACTTGATTTTAGGTCCAAAATTGACCAAAATAAAAATTTCAATTTCCAAAAATCGATAACAAATCCTATAGTGGTCAGATTCGGACAGTTCTTGGATGTAACAGTACTAGGACTCCTAGACTTTAATTTAGGGGTAGTTTCCGACCTACAGCTTGTCACAAAAATTTTAAAAGTGATATGTCAAATGGGGGTATGTTTTAGGACATTTTTTGTCCTAAGTCCCAAATAACGCTTCGATGGGCTGAACCACTATTATGCCGTTACTCAGTCGGGTACCCTCTTTCATTTTTACCAGTACGTGCCGACTCGTCCGGAAAGGGTTAATTAACACCGATGCGATCGGGGCAGCGACCTTGTGCTCATTATTTTCCCGACAAAGTGAATAGAACAAGTTTACCTTACGCTTGAAATGTAAGCTCCTAAGTTTGAAACGTGCGAAATTCGAAGTTTGTGTGTCCGACAGACCATCGAAATTATCTCATTTTTTCGTTATACAGGGTAAGTTTTTTCAAGGCCCACACTTATGATATATATGGCATGAAAAGTGTCGGCCCTGAGGCATGAGGTTACCTAAAGCCGAGCCAAAACAGAAGTTTAACATTTTGGCTGCAACTGCAAAGATGCTAAAACAAGCAAGAATTGATTTGTCACCGAGTGTTTTCAGGAGGAAGTCAGAAGCTTCTGTCTGAAAGGCTTCCTCTCCAAGTCCTTTTTTTATAATATTTTTCAAAGATCCTTGGCATAACATAACATGCCAAGGTTCGGCGGAATAAATATTCCGAAGACAATGCCTTTTGCATGTATTTGCGTACATGCCGACGTCTAGACTCTGCATAGTATTATTATATTGAATCATAAAAAACGTTAGAAATTTTGAAGCCGAAAATGATGCGTTGCAAACATAATAAGGTTAAGTAACTATTGAAAAAGAAAAAAATCGTCACCTCAAAGGATAAGTAATTGTTTTGTCTACTTTGTTTTGGACCCCATACATCGCATAGGCACTGCAAAATGATTGCCAACCGATTCAAGGGAGATTTTTTAAAAAGATGTTCAGAAATCTGTTCCTTCTCTTCCTCTAATGGCTACGGCTACTCGGAACAAAGGGAAGTTGAGATGGACGTTATTCGATTAGGCCCCTTGTAACACGACGTATCCAAATACGGACCAATCGAATTACTCGCAACAATGAAATCAGAATTAGTCTTGGTCATTGAGTATTTTCCAGGGAATTCGGCTTTACTCGAAATCCACGCATTCCCGATGTCGTATTTCGGAAGTTCGGTAAAGTGCGATGCGATGAAAAGATATTTTTGGGTATAACTTCAAACAACGGCACCTTACAGAGGCAACTTAAACCTCTTTGTAGCAAAACAACATGTGACAAAATGTCCCTAGTAAAAGGGTTTCAATGTATCGAGGTTTCTTTAGGGCAAAAATTGACTATTGTGTTCTCTCCAATTTTTCGTAGTAGGCAGTTTTTGGTATACAAGATCTCTGCTGTAATTTTAAATTCAATATCTCTGCTATAATTTTAAATTCAATAAATTTCTGTTCTATTACGCAGCTTTGTTCCTTGACGGAAATCACAGAAATTCCATAAAATCAAGTAAAAGTCTGTATAAAATCAAACCTATTGACAGAAATAAAAGCTCAATAAATATGGCAAGAATCTCAATTCATTATCCATTTTTCAAACTCGTTCTTTCACCATGTTCATGACCACCTATCCCATGTGCCCTCCAGCCCTTTATGGGTATCCAACTTACCAAATGTACTGTGATGCCAATGTTTGGCCGGAATCCGCAGGCCAAGTTGTTCCTCGGCCAGTTTTTTATCAACCAGTGGTTCAATTTGTGGACACCCGGATTCCTACCGTTCAAGACGTTGTGGAGCAAGTCGATGCCAGAACGAATGCAGCAAAAGCTCCAGAAGTCGGTCCACAGGCATCATCATCTCTTCAAAGGATGCCTGCGAAGAAGATCCGGGATATGAGGAAACGACTTCCTGTGTTCGCGAGGATCCACATCAGAGGGATATTGGAAAAGAAGGCTCGGGAGCAAGAGCAGATGGAGATGCAACGTGTAAGTTTTATTTTTTGACGGACTGTTCTTCCGACATAGCTTTCAAAAGTAACATTGGTCTTCACATTTCAGGAAGCTGCTCAATCCATCGTCCACTGCCGCCAATTTTCCCGAAACGGCAAGTGCTCATTTGGTTCTGGCTGCTTTTTCTCCCATCAATTGCCAAATTAAAATGATACAGCTCAGGTATAATATAAATTTTGTAAATATCGTTTAACACATAAACTTTTTGTACTTTCTTTGTTGATCATGTATAATAAACTATATTGACATGATTTAGGAAACTTTTGTTTGGGAAAATAATACTTTCAACTTGATATTTGGTCAATATCAAGTTGTCAGCAAGGTTTGATCCGTAAAAATAGGAAAGTAATTAGGAACAATTAAACGTAAGTTTGTCGATATGGCAATCGCTGCTTCACATTGGAAAATCCATATTCATCCGGCTCAAGGAGCTCAATTTTGTCCCAGCTATCCACCAGTTTTACATCCGTCTCATAAGGAACATATTTCGCTGGCAAAGAGGTTACACTCATAGTTTCCTCGACTGGAGTAATGGGCCGTGAAAAATCAGTGGTCTTTACAGTGTCTACAGAGTTATTCCGTTGGCGCAGGACTGGCTTGTCCGATTTTTTGGTCAACTTTGTTTTTGTCGAATTCTTAGGTTTGAAAATATGGTCGTCGTTGAGATGTGACTTGTTGGCTGGAAATTGAAAACATTTACAATGGAAGAGGGGTCACAATTAAAATATGGGCTTTGTACCTGCCATTTTTTGCATAAAAAATTTAAAAAATTTTCCGATTTTTAGAGACAACCCTTTTCAAGACTTACCACTCCGATTTCCCTTGATATCCTCCATAACCTTGGCCTTTACAAACGGAGTTTCAGTCCATTCGTCCTCAACTCTGGTCAACAACGAAGGCAAATCTCGTTTGGTCGAGAAAATTCGCCCAGTCCCTTTAATTCGCATCTCCTCCGGCGGTTTCTGAGGCTGACCTTGAGGTTTGTCCGAAGTGAATTCCGGCTTGGCGGTTGAATCATTTCCGTACTTTTGGGCCCGCGTTGTGAGTAAAAACATGGCCAACGTTACGAATTGAGTCGGATCGCGGAGCAAGAAACGCATCAGATCGCACATGAAATGGGATGGAATGTGGCAGAAAAAATGGTCCTGAAATGAAAAATATTTGTTAAATTTGCGGAAATGAGAACATATCAAATGCCCAAAGCAAAATTTTTGAGCACTGTCGTATTGCGCTGTAAAAATATGAGAAGGCGTAAGGTTTCTTGAAGGTCAATTCAGCGTAGTTGAAGTTGCTTCCTGACCAAGATTTAATCGATGTGGCGCTTCGCCACTAATAGAAGTTTGGGCGAAATTTTTGGCTGTTTTTCCTTGGCTAGCTGGGACAAATCCTTGCTTTATGGTCACAAAATAACGTTCTAAATTTTTCTTCATTTTATACGACCGATTTTTTCCTCCAAAAAATCGTCCGAAAAGCCAAAATTCCCAAAACTTCGTATAAGATCACCTCAAAAATCGCCGATTTCCCCGCCACAGCTCGTCCAGTCATTTAATTTAGCCGCGTGCGCTTGAGCTTTGATAATTTTCCGTCCGACGTCTGATTCAGCGCTTGGATTTTCCTTTTCTCCTCGCTTCAATGAAGACTCGCGAGCTCCCTTTTGGTTTTTGTAAATTCCGGAATATTGACCTTCCGGATTATGAGTAGAAAAACAGGGTGATTTGAGAAGTTGCTTGTTCGCAAACAAGCGTAAGAATATTATATGAATGTGTCATGGATTGAGATTGAAAGTTTTGTTTTTTCATAAATGCGAAGCCAAGGAAAACATCCGTTATCAGCCATGAAACTTATATACTTCAAAAAAACTTTTAGTTTGGGAGGGAGGCATTTTGCCACATTTTTTGATACTTCCCGGATACAAAATGGTACGTTTTTTACCACTAGATCAGGTCCGTCACTCAATAAAGGCATACTTTTATCAATTTTTACTTATTCTCAACTATGGATTACAATAAAAACAACTAACAAAAGGCTTATTGATCCTTCTTCTCTTGCAGCCCAGAACATGACGGCTGATTTTCCAACGCAATTTCTTCGTTTTCATCGAAGAATCCTTCATCCTGAATCCTCAATTCCCTTTCCAGCTGCTCAATTCGCAGCCTCAACTTTGTTTCATTGCTGACATGCTGAGCGGTCAGTCTGGCCAGCCTGTTTTGCAAATCGTTCACATAACGTTGCAATTCCAGCGCTAGTTCTTCGGGATTTCGTTGCTGATTAGCTCGCGACTCATCAAGGAGGTTGTCCTTCATAAGGATTTCCTTTCCCTGAAAGAAGAGGAGTTGTAAATGCGGGTTATCATATTTTCATCAAAAATTTTTACTAGTACAGGGTGTTTCAAGAAATTCCCCGGAAAGCAATCGTCGATTTCTCGGCGCTCAGTCAAGATATCCAAAAAATTTCTTTGGCATAATAAAGAAGAATACGGGCGGTTTTTTGCCTATGAAAATCACTTCCTCCGCCAACGCGGAGAGCAGTGTATTCGGCGGAGACTTTTGGGCACTTTTGTGGTCATCACACCCATCTTAAACGCTTTTTCAAGGTTTCTGATGGTTGAAATTAGGATTTTTGCTAATTTTTGTGTTTACCAAGCGTTCAGCGAAGGTACGGCAGCTGCTCGCCGTATCTTAACTCAGCTATGGACAAGAAATGGCCCAACACAATTCTTATGATCTGGCAAGCATTCTCTGCAGGTGTCGTAAACCCTCAAAAATTTTGTCGCCAAGCCTTGTTAGACGTTTAGGCATCGAGAAACGACTTGGTTCACTGGGAAACAACAAAATATTTTTCGTTTAAATTTCTCTTTGCCATGCTGTTTCAAACATCCGCACGGTGCGCTCCGACTTTATCGACGTTACAGGGACTGCATTGCACCGTGCGGTCGCTAAATCGGATCGCTTAGCATTGTAGCCGGCCATCTGATCCATTGTGCAAAAAAATTGAAGACTTTCTGGATGCTTCAACGTCGCAATAAAGCATTAACAATTCGTGTGATAACCAAAAAAGCGCGCAAAAGTCTCCGCCGAATACACTGCTTTCCGCGTCGGCGGAGAAAATGATCTTCATAGGCAAAAAACCGCCCATATTCTTCTTTATAATGCAAGAAAAATTTTTTAGATATCTTGACTGAGCGCTAAGAAATCGACGATTACTTTCCGGGGAATTTCTTGAAACACCCTGTAGAATTCACACAGCACGCACACATGTCATTTTACCTTTTGTATCAAAATTTTCCGGGCATCCGGATACTCCTTCAACGCCTCCCACAGGTCGGTCTTTTTCAGCACGAATAAGTCCGTATAGCCGACGGAGCGGATGCTGGCGGATCTTCGATTCCCCTGCTTGCTCCCTAAATATTCTCGTTTTAAAATACGAACCAAAATCAACGTTGTCGATAGCAGAACTTACCGGCAATATTCAAGATACTAAGCTCTCCAAACACGGCGCCTTCTTGCAGCGTATGGAAGACTTGAGTTCCGTCGTCGTTGACGACCTGTAGCCGCCCTTTCTTCACAATGTACATTTCTCTTCCAATGTCTCCTTTGCGGCAGACAAAGTCGTTCGGACTGAACACCTGCAGCTCCAGTTTCAACACCAGCTCTGCGAGAAGGCCGGCTTCGCAATCCTAAAGTAGGAATCGTTATACAAAAAGATTTTTTGAGACGAACCTGGAAGATTCTGACCTTTCGCAAGGTCTCAAAATGCACATGCATTGCAATCTCGGCTTGTAGTTTCGTAGGCAAAACCTGGAGAACATGTTGATCGCTGACGGTTTGTTTGTTGCTCCACAGATAGTCAAACCATTTGATCACTCGGTCTTCCAGCTGAAACAGAGGCATGAGAGAGTGGATTTTTGACAAGACACTTGCGGGCAACCACTTTGCGGGCAGCTAGAAGAACCATGGAGATTCTGCGAGCACGTTTGGAAATCAGCCAGGTTTTGCTTACAATTGGAAGTTCAAACTATGGATCTGGCAGTTAGATGTTGCGAATGAAAATTTCAGGTGTATAAACGGCTTGAATAGTTACCATAGGGTTAACCAAGGTTCAAACAACCATTTTTTGAAAACAAACTCCTATAACTTTGAAAGCATTGGGGTTAATTCAAAAGATTCATGTACTTATCAATACCAGGGAGTTGTCAATGCAAAATTTCTGTCATGCTATATAGATTACGGGAGGAAAATTGAAATTCTAAAGGGAAAATGTCGGCTGCCCGCAAAGTGGTGGCCTGCAGGAGTCGCGACGCCGACAAAGTCCCCCTAAAAGTTTGTGTTGTACCTCAGGAGAGATGTTCCGCATTTCCATGTACTTCTTGATGCCGTCCACTCGGTTTTGGAAGTCCGACCGGGCCGCGCTCATATTCGAAATCATCCTAAACATTCAAACATGTACACACATGCACATATAAAAAATAACAGAACAAACTGCAGCCCAGTCACGACTTACGTTCCGACATTACCGACGATTGTGGCAAAAATGAGCACTCCGCACATCAAATCCACGATCACAATGACCAGCTCCACGCTTCGTACGGGCCATGGGACCTCACCCACCGTGGTCAACATTAAAGTCGACCAGTAAAAGCTGTAGATATAACGGCGTCCCAGGTTGTCTTCAACGCCTCTGGAAATTCATTTAATTAAATTTTTTTTGATTTTATTATACATGAAACTTACGGAGGAAGAGCCTGTGTGTTCGTCTCGCCGTAGACCCAAGAGTCGGAGCCGATTCCGAGCCAAAGTGAGACCAAAAAGTAAAAACATGCGTTCCAGTGGATCAGAACGAGGATGTACATGACCACACAGCTGATGCGGAAGACATTAGGGATGGAGATTCTGTAAAATACGATGATAAACTATTGTCATGACATGTTGAGTGGGTAGCGATAAAAATTGCTTGACTTGGGGACTTTAACTGATGTCTACTTTGGTCAAATAAAAGTATTACAAAAGGGCTGTCTCCTCCATTATATTTCAATCTTATATACCACAATATTGACAAGCTATAAAAGCCTATATGCCATAATATTGACAAGCTATGAAAGCCTATATGCCACAATATTGACAAGTCACAAAGGTCGTATTTTACCTCGTCTCTGTCGCATTGATGTAATCCTGAATTCGATCCAACTTCAGCAAGCGATTAAATCGCAAAAACGGATTCGGATTCCTCAACACAATTTCACACGCGTAATCAATTGGAATCGTTCCCAAAATGTCGACTACAAACAGCCAACTTCTCTTATACGCCTTCCAAGTCTTCATCTTGTCGCGGACCAAAAGCCCTTGCTCCAGATAGCCGGTCCGCGAGCGGAAAAACAAATCGACGGCGTAGATGAGGTCAGTAACAATGTCCAGGAAGATGAAGATGTAGAAGAGGAACTGAGGGACGTCCCCGACAAGGAATACGCAGCGGTAAGGGACGAACTGGAAGAATAATCGTCAAAAAGTCCTGATAATTTGTACGAAAAAAATTCGAGACCACAAAAGTATTATCAAAACTTTTGCCTCAAGTATTATGTACTAGAGCAAAACAAAAATCTTTAGCTTACAAACAAATTGTACAAGTACGCCGTGGCTACAATTCCATTCCAATAATAGGTGTAGTCATGTGTTGGGTCCACAATGAACTCCTCTCTAATGAACTTGAAGATGGAGCCTTCGAATCGCGGTCCTTGTTGCTGTTCCGCATCCTCCATGCGCATCCCGAACTTGTTGAGGAAGGCATGCTGCTCTCGGCTCATCCCGGTGCTGCCTTTCGGTGCGGCTGTGGACGGCTCGGCTTTTCCTCGGGCGAGACGCTGGAAAAATGGTCATAATAATAGAAAAGGTACAGATTTCAAAGGTAGAGACGAAAATTGTAGGCAAATTTTTGATAATAATTCGGAGGTGACTTTAGGTTAAGATTGGCAAAAGTTCCAGAAAGGAAAACAGACAGGGCAATGTCGGGCCGGGTTTTTTGCTCATGGGGGCCGAAACCCAGCCGGATAAAATGTAGACCAGGCCCGGCCCGGCCCAGTCTGAAGTCGCTGTCGAAAGGCTATATTTTTCAAACAAAACATTGTCATTATAAAGGAAAAGACATGCGCTCAACTTTAAAGGAAATACGACTGTTGTACTTTGTGCACTTGCGATTTAAAATTATATCCATAACGAGTTCCTTTCGCTGAGAAACTGATCTTCAAAGTAATTACAGAGATCTCTGATGCGATAGATTAACCCTCAAAATCACTGAAAAATTTTACCTACGCATCAAGAATTAAAAAAAAAGCCCTCGAAACAGATTACTTTTCTCAATCCGACGGGTAAAAAGGCCCTCGGATAGGTGTCCTCGTCCTTCATTAGCTCGAATTATATTGGGATTAGCGGGGAAATAGGTAAGGCTTCCTTCGTGGCCGACAAATTGCCTCGTTTATAACGGTGGATGTTCACATACAATGTCCACGTTATAAGGCTACAATTGCGACAATAACAAGGAAATTGTAGGCGTTACGACAAGTTGGAAAGCAACTTTTAGAGCGTTGTTGTGGCGAAAATTGTAGTTGTGTTTACTGTGTGAAAATTATAAAAATATGTAAAGGATATAGAATTATATACATCCTTTATATATGTCTGATTTCTTCTTACCTTAACCTTATCCAGAATTGATGGCACGTTAGCGCTTTCGCTAGGGAATTCGAGCGGTTCATGTTCGCGTTCCTCGACGTTCCCAAATTTCACCGACTTTTTCGGTGCAACCGGAACTTCTGAGTCCGCAGACGCTTCTTTAGAATCTTTGATCAGCGGAACGTCATCACTCTTTCTTTCTTCTTCCGTAGACGGCGACGGCAGTTGAGTTTGTTCGTATAAGTTAGATGGCCCTGGTTGCTCATCCGTTTCGTCAATCTGTAAGCGCGGCAATTGAAGAAAAACGTCCGAAACGTACTTTTTCAATATACTCCAAGGCTCGTTTCGCCGTCTCTTGCCAATTATTCGCCGATCCCAATCTTCTCGCCGTCCGCCCATTACTGGTAGATGGCCTTTTGGAAGTGGATGGGCGATCTGGCATCGAGCCGGGCAACTCAATCTCAGTTGACTCATATTCCGTCTTTGAGCGTTGGAGCTGTGTTCGCCGACGACGAAGCTCGTCAGAAGTGGTCGGCCGAGTGGTCAAGACCGTCTTGTTTGAGCTCATGTCATCGCTTGGGCTAAAAGAAAAATATTTTTAATGTAATAAAAGACAAAGTTAACGGACCACAAGCACACAGTAAAACCTATGTACAACGAACTTGGACAAAACGAAACCCGTGTATAACGGACGATTTCTGAAGGCCTAACAATACGAGTCATTTCTCGGCAAAAAAACTCCTTAAGACAGAACCTATCTACAACGAATTTTTTTTGGATCCGTACTTACGGCACCACAGATCAAAAAGGCCTTGAAAAGCAGCCTATAACAACTTCCCGCTAACAGACATACGTCTTTTGAGTGAATACATTACATTCAAGCTGAACAAAAGCCAGCAAACCCTTATTAAAATACATACCTGGCTTAGGTTTAGTTGTAAAAGGCTCAAGACAAAATATTCAAGCGAAGATAAATACAGGGTGGGCCACTCGAAACGGGTAAGTTTTTTCTTTGGATTTCTCCGCGGAGACTCCGCCGATTTTTCTAAAATTTAGATTTTTCTGGAGCTGAGACCCGCCATTTTTAACCGATTGAATTTCAAAAAAAACATATTTTGAATTGACCTTTCAATGCCTCCCCAAAGTTTCGAAGAATTATTTTGGGGCCGAAACCGCTAAAACTTTGAAAATTTTTGGAATGATTTCGAAAACTTGGTCATTTTTTCGGGTTTTTGGGTGAAATTTTCTTAGTTTTATCTCATATAACCATAAAATAATGTTGTAAAAACAATTTATTTTAACGACCTGATTATTAATATTTCTATCTGAGTTCGAAATGCCCACTTCCTCTCGCAGCACAAACTTGTAGGAGCTTTGAGAGTCTTGAGAGTCGTGAACAGCTCGAATTGCAGATCGTGAACATCGTCTATCTTCAATCGGGCTGGGCTCCAAGCCTCAACGACTTGGAGCTGGGGCTCGTAGCCAATTGTGTGGACTTTTGCAATCTCGTTGAAAAATTGGTTTTTTTTTGAAAGTTCGTACCCTAACAGTAACACAAACAACACTATTTTTGCTTTCAATTTTCCTTAAAAAAGTTTAGAGAGAGCATACGAAAATTTTTACTTCCCGATTTTACCAAAAAAAAGCCAAAAATTTTCCAAGTCCGAGAAAGTCAATTGAAAATCATTCCAAAAATTTTCAAAGTTTTAGCGGTTTCGGCCCCAAAATAATTCTTCGAAACTTTGGGAAGGCATATAAAGGTCAATTCAAAATATATTTTTTTTTCAAATTCAACCGGTTAAAAATGGCGGATCTCAGCTACAGAAAAATCTAAATTTCGGGAAAATCGGCGGAGTCTCCGCGGAGAAATCCAAAGAAAAAACTTACCCGTTTCGAGTGGCCCACCCTGTAGAAATATTTAGGTTAATCTACCGAACTTGAGGAAAATTTAACCGTTGAACCTCAAGAATTCTCTTTCCGACACCTACTTCATCTATCAGGAAATAAAAATGTGATGACAAAAAAAGACTTTATTCTTAGTTCCTCAATGCCCCAATTTCCACAGCTCGAAAAATTTATACGAAAACAAGATAAAAAATAATTAGCCTTATATTCAACATACCGAAGCAAAGGCTGGGCTTCAGAATCTTCGCCTTCCTTTCCGTGGGCCAGACTATCACTTAGCTCAGGTTTTCGGTTGCCACTAGAGACCGCATGCATCTCCTCTCGACGCTAATTACAGCCTTGGGGGGTATCAGTCGTTATAATGAGCTCCCATGGCCCGAGTAAACAAATTGACGGCGAACAAATTGCTCGGTATAACAGTTAGTGCTCAAAAGTACGAGGCAACCCAGATTTGAGCCGAATGTTGAATGAAAATAGATGGGGATGGGAGTATCGTAATGATATTGTAGGAAGGGTTTGGAGTAACACCCAATGTTTTGTAAGTTTTTGTAGCGAGAACGGGGCGATTCGTAGCTTTGAATTGTGTTTTATGTGCTTGAGGACTCTCTAATAGAGTGGTGGGCTTGAAATAGAAGGTTATAAAGGGGCAACACACTTGTACATACCTTGCTGGTTAAGGGCAAGTTATGATAGTCATGAGAGCTTGTACACTGTCCATTAGATTTGGTGATAGTTCAGGCCACAAAAAGGAAGTTTAATGCTTACCGTCAAGATTCCAAGCGGCAATAGATTGCGTAACAGCCATGACACTCAATTTTGAACAGCAGAATTTACGAATACTATTGCGCAACAATTAACAAATCAGCAGAAATCAACACAAATAACAGAAAATTCGGAAAATCAAGACCTTAGAAGGGTATAAAAGGCGCTATCAGTAAAAATTAGACCCAATCCGAGCGGATACTTCCTCATTCGACTGTTCCAAACTACCTGATCTCAACGAAAATGGCTTCCTCCCCCATCAAATCTCTTGTCAGCAAGCCTGTCGTTGATCCGTTGGCTTCGTTAAAGCCCTTATATCTCGATTCCGACTCCTCTTCGGCTTCTTCGTCCTCCTCAACAACCATCCCCGTTCAAGGATCGAGAAAAAGGTACCGCCGAAGCCCCGAAATGGCCCATGTGTACAGCTCGTTGGACCAAATGGAACGGGAACTGGAAATGATCAAAGTGAAGATGCTGACGTGCCGGAGTGCCCATCAAAAAGCGAATATCAATGGGCACGTGGAAAGGATCTTGGAGATGTGCAAAGAGGTCAAAGAAGAAGTTGCCAAGAAGAAAGTCAAGCTCGAGAAAAATTAGTCATCTTGGATACTCGTAATAATATATTTTCCGTTGTAAATATTGTCTTACTCGAAATAAAATTCGATGAAAAGTTAAAGATTGGAACAGAATAAAAACAACCGGTTTATTTCGCGGTATACATTCACTTAGTGTCGGATTCAGATGGAGGAGCTGTGCTGCCAGGGGTGTTGTTATTCGAGTCCTTGGGGGCCTTGCTTTCAACCTTGCTGTTCGAGTCCTTCGAATCCTTGCTGCTCTTCTTTGACTCGTCGCTTTTGTTAGCCTCGCCGTCCGCCTTCTTCGGCGAAGCTTTGGCTTTCTTTAATTTTTCGGACTCCTTCGACTTTTTGGCTGTTTTCTAAAATGAAACAACTCATAACTAGTTCCCAGAATCATCAAAAAATGCCCAAAATCATCAAAAATTCCCAAAGATTGCCCTATTGCGCCCCCAACCCATTTCAAACTGACCTTCTTCCTCCTGAAATAGAAAGCCCGAACGGGTCGAACTTCTTCGGACTCCACGTAGAACGGTCGGATAATCAGCACCGAAATGAGCCATAAACCTCCGAGGAACCAGAAGAACGAGCATAACGGCCCGAAATAGTCCTGTATTCCAAGTTTGAACTCTGGTGCAGTCATTTTCGGTCCAAGTTTCCGGATGACAAATCGACCGGTCGGATGACGTAAACTTTTCTGGAATGGGATTTTCGACCAAGTATGAAATGATATTCGTTCCCATGAAATTGATTTTCGGAATTTTACAATTTCATTGAACATTTTGAGTCTTTTTTTGAAAACTTCAAATTTTTGGGATTTTTTGAAAATTTTGCATTCGGAAATGAAAAAACAGAGGTCATTCGAAGCCACAGTCTCCGCCGGGAGCAGTGGTGCATGTGGAGACGTTTGCCAAGGCCAGATCGCCTCGCCCGCACCATGCATTCCTCGGTGAATCCGCGTCGCCGCGCCACTTCCGCTCCTCCGCCGTCCCGATTTGAGGCGACGCTGACACAAAATCCGACTGAATTGTCGGGTCGTGTGTCCAGAAGAGATCAGAACAGTGTGTCTCAGTCCAATTCGAGGAGCAGAAGTTCGCAAAGAAGTCCGCGGACTCCACCCGGAGCTGTTGTGGTAAGGATAATACATTTTTGTGGGGTTAGTAGTCCGGAAATGAACCTAGATATATGAAACAATATATTTCTTGACCCTACTAGTTTTTACGTAGTAAGTTGTTCCAGTTTACCCTAAAATCTCACCATTTTTCTAATTGCGTTGTCTTGGCAGCCTGCGCCCGATCTATTTCGTCAAGATCTTGATTTTTTTTGTAAAACCGGAGTCGCTGTATCATAACTAGTTAGAAAAAGTTGAGTTTACACCGTATCTTCCTTTTATCCCAACTATTTTTGCGTTTTATTTCACGTCAGACATGTTTCATCTTATACAACGGGCAAATTCTCGAATTTTTATTATTTTTTTATTTTTTTGGAATTTTTTTTGAAAATATGGAATTTCTTTCAATTTTTAGGTCCGTTTCCACTGATTTTTCGACTCGAATTTACTTTTTTCGACGATTTTATTATCCATGGTATTAAAATTCCAAATTATCAGAAAGAAAATTTTGTTTTCAGATCTACACGGATGGCTCATGTCACGGCAACTACGCGTCGGGAGTGGGCATCTATTTGGGTGAGAACCATCCCTTGAATTTGTCCCAGCCGCTTCACAGCAGCCTTCATTCCAGTGGATTGGCTGAGATCAAGGCCTGTCAGATCGCACTGGAACGGCTGAAAAATTGGCCTGGCTATCGGTAAGAGCTGGTTTTATATTTCTTTGTGTTGAATTTTAGGGAATTTTTCTTCGATTTTTGTGAGGGTTTTTGGTTTTTAGGCTTGAAAATAAAAAATTTTTGATTTTTGTTACCTAAAATCTTCGGAAAATTCATTTTTCGATATTCAGAAAGCAATCCAGGGTTGTTTCCACAATTTTTGTGTCACATATTGACGGTTTGTTGATTTTTTCACTATAAATTTTCAATTTCTGGATGTTTTGTTACCTAAAGTTACATAAATATTTGATTTTTGCAAATTTCTAGCAACGAACATGTTGTAATCCGAACTGACTACAAGCCGTTGATCGACATCCTGATCTCTCGCCGTCCCGCCACCTACAGCACGGAGATTGCGGAGGTGCGCCGTTTGGCCGAGTCCTTCCCGAATGGCGTCACTTTCCAGCACATTTACGGTCATAATGGGCATGCGGCGCAGGAGCGAGCGGACGAATTGGCTCGACTGGCGACTGTCGGACAGCGGAGAGCTCGGAGTGCGTCGCCGTTTGGCGCGCCGCAGGCTCAGAATCAGGATCGATCGAGGTGGGTCTAGTGCAATGTAATGGAGATTTTGAGGGGAACTGGGGTTGAATTGACGAGTAAATTTTGGTTGGGGTATTTTGAGCGATTATCTGAGTGCTAGGCCTTCCGGAAAGTCGCCGGATTGAAGTCGGCGACACGCACTGTGCAAAAACAAAAGTTTTCTTTGCACTGTGCAATTTCTTGAGTTTTTCACCGTGCAATAGGCTTTTTTGGGTTGTCGCTCGCACCCTGACTTTTTTCGCACATTGCAAACGCTAAAAATCGGCAAAATATACGAGACCGGATATTTCTTCAAACCAAAAATTCGTAATGTTAGGGCCAAAGTGACGGATCTGATCCAGTGGCAAAAAAGGTACCATTTTGCATCCGGGAAGTATCAAAAATATAGGAAAATACCTCCCTCTCCAAGTGAAAAAACTCTGATTTCAAAAACTCGCCAGCTCTTTTTGTGATAGAGAGGGCCCTTCAAAAAGGAGTTTTTGACTTGGAGAGGAAGGTATTTTAGTACATTTTTTTTACTTCCCGGATGCAAAATGGTACGTTTTTTGCCTATGGATCAGGTTCACTTTGGCCCTAACATCAAAAATTTTTGGTTTTAAGAAATATCCGGTCGTGTATTTTTTTGCTGATTTTTGCGTTTGCACTATGCGAAAAAAGTCTGGGTGCGGGCGACAGCTCAAAAAAGCTTATTGCACGGTGCAAAAAGCAAGAAATTGCACAGTGCAAAGAAAACTTTTGTTTTTGCACAGTGCGCGTCGCCGATTTCAGTCCGCCGACTTTTCGGAAGACCTACGGTGACGGATTGATCCAGTGGCAAAAAAACGTACCATTTTGCATTCGGGAAGTATAAAAAATGTGGCAAACTGCTTCCCTCTCCCAGTGAAAAAACTCCGGTTTAAAGGGCGCGCTTTTGAAATCGGGGTTTTTTTCACATGGAGAGGGAGGTGTTTTGCTACATTTTTTATACTTCCCGGATGCAAAATTATACGTTTTTTGCCACTAGATCAGGTTCCTCACTGTAGTAATATAAGTAATTCTAAAATCAGACTTATTTTCTATCGCTCGGTCTTTCAGATCCCGCTCCAGAGAGCGCAGTCGGTCCCGTTCGCGCCAACGTTCCCTGTCCCGACAGGGCCGCAAAGGCGCCGGCGTCGAGATTTACATTCCCCATCGCAGTCCGAACGAACCTCTGGATACGGCTCGTCCCACCACCAGCCTGGCAACCACCACTCCGAGCACGACCACCACCCGCCCCGCGGCTCCGATTAGCTCCGAATCGTCGGTAGAAATGCCGCAATGGCCGTTTCAGGCGGAGGAACGGCCAAGTCGAAGTCGAGAAGTGGTTCGGAGGAACCGACCAAGGTAAAATACGGTGTACCCACTGTCGGCAATTGTTTGGCGATCAAATTTTTCAGTTTGAGCTAAACTTTGAGAGATGAAGGTTTTCGTGGTGGGACCAAAACAGTAGAGATTTTTTTAAAAATTTTTGGGTAAAATACGGGCATCATTCTTATGCTGTTTATTTCTAAGTATTTTTCAATGCAAGTTTTTTTTGCTGTTTTCGTGGAAGGACCCAAAATCAAAAGAAAATTGAAAATTATGATTTTTTGATTTTTTTAAATTTTCTTTTCAGTAGTGCCAATTACCTGACTGGACTCCCGACCCCGGCCCATGCCCGAACCCGGACTACGGTAAATCCAAGGCGCGTCTCTACCGAATCAAATGCAACCAATCTGTCGGACCTGCAAACGATCCCAACAGGAAGCGAAATTCAAACTGGAAGTCAAGCCTCAACGGCTCGAGATGCCTCAGTGTGAGTTTTTAGAGGCATTGAAGTGTTTTAGGTGAGGTGACATTGTATACGATGAAAAGTGTCGTTTTTTATGGAAGTAGTTGTGAGCATGTTTCATCGTATAAAATGTCACCACTTTGTTTTATATGTCATTTAGTATTAATGTATTCGTATTTTACATTGAATTTGGTAAAATACGACGGGTCATTCTGACGCTTTTATGTTGTAGATGTGCCATCGTATAAAATGTCGCCTTCCCCTTAATTCATGCTAATTTCAAAATTTTAGCTCGTCCAATCCTTCCACATATAACAACGTACATAGAATTAATGTTATGGACCACGGCTTCGTTTCGGACACCGGCTCTTTTAACCAAAATCGAAGCCGCTCCCGCTCCGCCAACTCGCGGAATGTGCCTAGCCCGCCAAGTCCTCATGGCCGCCCCCAAAGAAGCATCTCGGGAGATGCGACCAACTCGAATACAGCCGCCCGAAGACGTTGGCGTCGCAGAAGGGACCGGGATTCGGCGAGAAGAAGAAGAATGAACCGAGCCTCGGACTCGAGTGGAAGAAGAAGTCAGAGCCGAAGCCAGAGCCGTTCCAGAGCAGCTGCAGCCCCTCTGAATGTCCGTGCAAGCAGAGCTGCAATGAATCCACGTTCGTCGGCAAGTACAAGGTCGGCTGTTCAATTGCCTCCGCAAACCCGGCCCACAGCCCTTCGAATGCAGCCCGTGAGACTGTTCGGGCCCGGCCATGGAAACCCTAGTTTGATTGGACCCCAACAAAAAGTAAACCCATCCTCTGGCCGAGCTCAACCCCCTCGGCAAGGCCAAAATCAAACATCGAACAGAAATTCAACCTCCGGAAAGAGTTCCGCATCGTCGAAAGGGTTCTTCTTCAAGAAATAAGAGGAGAATAAATTTGATTTTGTGATTGCTTTCGGGTTTTTTATAGTCTGGCACTATTTTATATTTATCGGAATTTACCCACGCTCCAAAAGATGTTTTCAGAAAGTGTCAATAGACAGTTTGCAAAGCTTTCTTGGACAGCAAATTTGTCATAATTCCGTCATCGTGACACGTTTGGAAAAAATATTACGAGGGTGATGAAAGGAAGTCTCAACCGCCCAGAAATGTCACTGTGTGAAGTTTTAGAGGCATTGGAGGTGTTTCAGATGCGGCGACATTTTATACGATGGAAGTTCGCGGTTTTTATGCAAGTGATTTTAAGCATGTTTCATCGTATAAAATGTCAGCACCTTATTCTTTATGTTATTTTTGGCATTGTTGCGACGTGATTCTTTGTATATTTACATTTTCTTTGGTAACATACCACCGATTACAGCGCCATTTTTACGCTGTAGACATTTCATCGTATAAAATTTCACTTCGTCTTAATCCTTGCCAAGATTCTGCTACAAATTTTCTGCTTATATTACGCAATATTTTCGGCGTAAAATTTTTTCTGGCGATTTTGTCAGCATCATTTGCACTTGAATAGAAATTTGCCGGGGTTGGCGCCTCTACCAAAATTACGAAGAATTTCTTACGCGATAAAATCTTATAAAAACCCCTCGAATGGCCCTTTTTCGCTTTTTTTGATCCGAGGGGAAATTCGCCCCTTTTTGTCACTGATTTTTTGGCGGCCAAAGGAGCGTCTGCGTTTCGGAGTTTTGTCCAATGAGGTTATTGGTGTTTTTTGTTTAAAAATATATTGTGAATTAATTTTCAGAGCTCTTCTTTCTATGTACGTATATATTAATATTTCTGAATATATATTTTTGCGTGAAAAGGCGATTATACTACATATATAATAATGTAAATATTTCAAAATGTTATATATATTTTTGTTATTTTTTATGTTCCTACGCCCCACGGGAAAATTAAACATTGATAAAAAAATAGCAGTGGTCGACTGAAAACAATTTTAAAGGGAAAAAATATGGCAAATTCGTATTTTAAGATGCAGAAAGCATTTGTTTGTTCGCGAAATAAAATTTTATTGATGGTGATACATCAGACTGAAATTCATTGAAAATTTTGAAATATCTCTTGGTCTTTTACAAATGTGGCCAAATCAAAAAATTTTGGACAAGTTGAAAAAAATAAGGCCAATCAGGAAAATGTGGCTTAATAATGCAAAAATTCCAAAATCTTGGAAAATCTGGCCAAATCGGAAAAATTTGGCCAAACCATCAAGGCCACATTTTTTTGATTAGGCCAAGTTTTTGCTCATTTCAATGAACTTTCGTCAAATTATACCCATTGCACGTCAATCCAAAATAGAAGAAAAAACTTCCCGCCCCTTTTTGGTGATTCGTTCAAAACGAAATGCCACTATCCGATAAAAAGATTTTTCTTATCCTTCTTCTTGCTTTTCGAGAAAAATCAATTCTTTTGGGCGAAAAAAGTGCCGATATTTTCGCGACATTTCGTCTCTATTTTAAATTAATGAAAACGATACGGAGTTTCGAAACGGTTCAGGAAATGCGCTGGATTGACGTGCATTGGCATTGACATCTCTAAAATTCTAAAAATTCGGTAAACGAAGCAAAATAACCTTAAAAATACGAAGTATCACGTTATTTTAAGAAGTTATTGTGTATCAATAAACTCGTAATTATATTAGCTCGAGTTATGTCTTACAGGACAAGCATTTATCCAACTATAGGATGGCTCGCGGATACGGAATTGCGACTAGTAGAAAGGGACGTAAAATCAGTAAGTGTTTGGAGACGATTCGAGATCTGGATGCGACTGTCGGCACTTTGCGGGCCAACGTTGAAGACCTGAAAGAACGACTTCAGGCTTTGGTAAACGCACCGATGGTAGTGGTACGCAGCGGCAGTGGAAGCCGATCGCGAGTTGCTGAAATTGGTCAGAAGTGTTGCATACGTCTACCAGGTCCTCCTCCGTGATGCAGCTAAATCCGCACAAGCAATGGAGGTACAAGTGAAGCCATGGGCTCCCTCCCCCTTGGATTTACTCTGGAAGAGGCGAGTAGTTTAGGGACTCACGGATCTATTCGACATATACCTACCGATTCCAACCATTGCTGGCAAGGCTCATCAGCAGCGCGGTGTATGACGGCCACCTAGAGTTTGCTGGAAACGTCAACCACACCCGGAATTAGTCAACTTTTTCCAGTCGCCCAACCCATTCATCCTCATTGATTGCCAACAGGAATCTGTGAAGTCGGGTGTCTCGCAGGACAAACCCGCTCAAAGAGAGCTAGCCCTATACGTAGTCCAGAAACTCCTGCGCAAGGTTACTGCTGTGAAGAATGGAGAATTGACTGTGGCCCTCATCTCGGCCGATGCAGCAGCACGACCAGAGCTCCATGAACCGGTCGCCCGGCTGCAGCGAGAATACCCCGAGGCCAATCTCTCGCTGAATACGGTCGATTCGGCCCAAGGCCGCGAGTTTGACATCTCCATCGTCCTCCTAATTCGATGGCCAAAGCGGGGGCGCCGATAAGTCGCGGTGTCTTGTGGCCAGATCGGAGAGGCCGATAAACGATGGGAATCGGTCTCTTTGGAATGTACAGTAGCGTTTGTTTTTCGTCTCCGCAAGAGAACATAACAAATTTCGTAAGAAAACTGAACTAAAACTGCGCCTCGCGCACTACAAACGAAAGGCGAGGTGTAATAGGATTCCTGGACGTGTTGAACGAAGCCCTCAGTGACGCGATCTCTGCAACCAACGCTGAGGCAACAACTGGTGTAGAATTCACTTCTCGCACTTAAAATTATGCTCACTACGTGCTCAATGGTCGTCAAGGTAAGTCAACTCCAAGGAAAAGAAAGAGGGCAAAGGAGTAGGATTCGTGGACAACGAATCTTTCTAACCGGATAAATATGCGATAATTTTCAGCGATTGAACCAAATGGGTTCGTAAAATCAAGAGTGTTATGGAGTCCCCAAGATGGGCTGAACGAAGCCGACTAAACTGAAGTTGCTGAAGCCAATGCGGATAATGCGCCCGAGGGCGTGGTGAGCGAAAGTGGCCAAGATGGAGCTCCGGTGACTATGTAGCTCCCGACGATGGTCTACACTATGGAGAGTGGTGTCGGAGGAAATACTCTCACTTAAAACATCTTCAAGAGAAAGGTTGGCCGGTCGGACGGCGCTTTCGGACCCGCGCAGCCCGGGAGGCAGCGGTCTCCCAGTTGCGCGGCCTGGCTCCGCCAGTCTTGCGGGCCGCTCGCGGACACCGGCGGTCCAGGCGGCCGGCTTGTTGTTTTTGTTGTTGGTGTTGTTTTTGTTGTCGTAGTTGTTTGTTTGTCTTCTTCTTTGATGATGAAATTTCTTTTCCATTGATAAATTCTTGTTGAAAAGTCAGATTGTGGTTCTTGAGGGTGGGAAGAGGGAGGTGCCGCACATCAGCTACCAAATTTTTTTTTAAATTGAAAAGTTTTGTTTGGAGGTTCTATTAGCATTGGCCCATATAGGGAGTATCCTCTTAGTTTTCTATTTTTCGTTACTGTTTTCTTTGCGCTTCAACGCACTGTTGCGCTTTTGCAGGTAAAATCGGACACTCCTCAGTTTTTCTGCCAAAGAATGTGGCGTTATTCATTTTATTTTGCATGGGATAGACTCTACACACGATTTTAGGTTTTTGAATATAATCTATATTTCCAATAAAAATGTAATAATAACAATCTTTATATTGCTTTATACTCATGTCTTATATAAATGTATATATATATATTGTATATAATACTTCATATAATATTTTCCATGTTCTGGTTGAGCCAGGTGTTTATTTACATATAATACCATATACATTACTTTACTTTATACAGTAATAAGGCGCGCAGGAGTCGGATCAGAATATGGGCCAAGGCATTCCTACGGTACCTTCCAGATCATAAGAGGCCACAGCGCTTGGCCAAAATTAGAAGAGAAAGGCAAAGGAATGTGGCCTGATCGAAGGCACCGCCTTATCGCCGGGACAGCCCGATCAAGTGTCCGAAACTCAAAGTGCCTGTATAAAAGATCGGGGCAACGAAGACGCAAGTGTCCAAACCAGGCAGTTGAGGCATATTTGCCTTGGGTGCCACAAGAGAAGAGTAGTACGGAAACACGCCAGAGTTCATCCAATTTGGGACTAAGGAGTCTAATAGCCACATCACAATGCCGGTGGGGACAACTGTTGAAGTTTTGGAGTATGCAATGTCATCAATTCGGAAACGAACGTAAGCATTTTGCGTGGGATGGCAGGATCCAGGGTACAAGGTATGGCTGGCCTTCCTCATCCAAACGGAATTGCGTGGACGGAGGATCACCGCGCAGTTGTTTCAAGAGTGGTGTACACACGTAAGCTCGCCGCTTCAGCCGCTGCCTCAGCAGTCCGTACAATTCCGCGTCTTCGCGTCCCTCAGTTCGGAGGGCCTTGAGTTTTCGGTTTTGGCCGAAAGACAGCATGAGATAGTCACTTTCCGGAAGCTGATTCGCCAAGCCGCTGATCTAGATGATTCACAGAAGGCAGCCGGCCGACATCTGGAGAACCCAAATTCCGTAACCATCGTTGCAGCACCTGCTGGCACCGGAAACACGAGAGCGCTGTCTATCTACGTCAAACTTCCTTTATTATTTTGGCCGCGATCGGTCGTGTCTTCTTTATCTTGGATTTTTAAACATGTCTGAGCTATGTTTAAAAATCAGCTCCCTCGGGGACTGGCAATTCGCCTCCTACTAAAAAAGCAACCGCTAGTCTAATTGCTACTGCGATGAGTACTCTTGATTGTAAGTTTACAGCTGAAGAGAGTTTAATCGAAGACCGCAGCGACTATCGGTCAGCAATCAATGGCCAAGGGGCGCCACTCAGTCAGTCTTTGGGGAAGCAACTGGCCGGACGGCCGATGTTGGCGGCTGTCGGGGGACCAGGAGATACGGTACGGTCTACGGACCAGCCGTAGCAGCTGGGGCCGGCAAAACACGAGCATTATCAATATACGTAAAGCTTTTGTTGCAAGCTAGGTTGGCCAAAACATCCTCATTACGGCTGAGACCGTCCAGTCCATGATCAAAGCATTGAAGGCGCAAGACCTCGATGAAGATTCAATTATACATGGATGACATTAAGCTCGTAATCTACTCTCTTTGAAAATGAGCTTGGCGCGACAATGGGAGTCAAGACCTTCCGATAAACTGCGTCATAAATAAGAATTAAGGTGACTCAATCTTCCATCCATATACGAAATATCATTGGTACTATCAAACGTAAGTATTTTTCAAAGGAAGTGTCCCAAGTCACTTCTAATTCGCAATGTCACCATACCTTCTTACGTGTTTTTTACGGTAAGAGTTTTAACTTCCTACAATGTTAATGCTATGCCGTAAGACTAAAAAACCCCGTTTTACATAGTCTACATAAAAGCTAGATTTAAATAAAAGCCGGGTTGGCGCATATGGATTTGGTCGAGGAACAACGAATTCGACTTGCAGACAAGGAATTAAGACTGGAAGAGAGGGATAGCGAGATCGCTGAATACGTAATGGTCAAGCTGAAATCTTCAAACAACTGCCGTTGATGGATTACGCAACTTATGGATGAGATCTCACCAGCCGTATACACCACGCATGGAAAATTTGTCACAAACTTACTGAAGAAGAGCAGAAAGCCGTGAATGGGCTGAAGAAATATTGAAAATAGCCGAACACTATTTCTAAAACAAAAGTACAGGGTGTACCAAAAAAATGAAAACTTGTTTTTATAGCTATATTTTTTCGGAGAATCAAAATTCAGCAAAAGTAACGGTCATGATTGGTAACATAGAGCATTGTTTATAACATATTCAATCTGTTTCACAGTGGCTGCCTTTGCTGGCGATAGAGAGCTCCAAACGTGACGTAAAATTTTGGGGTCCGGGCCGCAGCTTTTTAAGGGGGAAATTGGTCCCGTTCTTGGCGCATCATTTACTTTGCGACTCCAAACTTTTGTGGAGCATAGTACAGGTGCTGGCCTTCTATTTAGAAAAATATATAGTCCATTGGATTCAGATCTGGCGAGCAGGTGGTCATTTCGCAGGCGGGATAAAATCGGGAAAATCGGTCCCATTTCGGGTCCTGAGTCGATTTTGCCTTGTGAGCCGGCGCTGAGTCCTGTTGAAACGCCAAGTTTGCATTGCCAAGGTTCTGCTGAGCTCACGGAAGCACGACAAAATAGAAATTAACGCGGCGCTAGTACTTTGTCCCATTTATTCACGAAAAACATGGAATTCTTGCCGCTGGCACAAATTCCGCCTTAAGCAATGACGACCCGGATTTTGGTGGTATTTGACGATGGCCAACAGGCTAGGAGCCTCATTGGAGCAGATTCTATCATTCCGGTGGTTGTGTATCCGCTAAATATTGAACCGCGAACTGAATGCGCTCACGTCTCGGAGCTGCGGCCCACCCCTTTCACTTTCCGACATTTTTGCGCTGTACGCACTTTCTCTCGACTTTAAAGATCTGAATTTTTTAGAGCTTGTATGACATGAGGTTGAGCTCGCCTTTGACTATTCGGCCGAGCGATCGGTCGCTGATGTCAGTCTCAAGGGCAAGTTTTTCTTGAAAATCGCGGATTTTGCTGTGGGGGATCTTTCGGTTGAAAGCAGCGCTGGCGGTGCGTTTTCTTTCACTTCCTGGGCGCTTACTATCCGTATCAAGCTCCTTGGGCCTCGTGATTACTTTCGACACAACGTTCTTTCTATACCGAGCAAATTAACTGTTCGAACAGCTCCAAAAACAAGTCCAAAATCGAGGTCCCTTTGTTTGAAGTTCAAAAAAGACAGGTGGATTAATCGATATGGGAGTAAAAATCAAAACATTAGGACAGAAAAACACAGAGAATTTTGTAGTAATAAACTTTTTTGGCTACACCGAACCATGTTCGCGTCAGGACAAATGAAAAAAAGTTTCCATTTTTTTGGTACACCCTGTATATATGGGAGGTGCTTTATAAATTTCAGCGCGCTAGTCCGTCCGAACCCTGCGGATTTAGTCCAAAGTTAAAAGTTGCGCAATCTTACATAACGTTGCGCAATTTCTCTCTTTGTAAAAATTTCTGCCTTTCTCTGTCGGCTCCTCCTGCCCTCCCCCTTTTTCGTGAACTTTTAACTTTGGACTAACTCCGCGGGGTTGAGATGGACTAGCGCGCTGAAATTTATAAAGCACCTCCCATATATGGAACGTGAACACCGAAATTGGCTAGAAAATTCTCTGGTGATGTATCCCGTAGGCTATTATCAAAGCCTCAACAATCTTCTTTCTAAGGCTGGTAGTCTGAGAAAATTATGGTAATTGCCAGTAGACAGCTGCTCCTTAATTTTCCAGAGCGATGTGATCGTAAGTTTTTTTTGGGTAATCTCTATCTCCATTGGTGCACGCTCAAAGCCTGCAACTCGTCTTCAGAGCGTTCTTCTTCTTCTGCAAACTGATTTGATCAACTGCAGCCCGTTGGTTTGCGCGCGAATGCGAAATTTCGAACCATCGTGTTCACTCCAATGTCTAACTACGTAATTAAAAATGTATTTTCAGATGAGGAACATCAAAAATAGATGTTGTTTCATTCAGTGTATCGCGCGGTTTAAAGTGGGGCCCCTCGCCATCGGAGACGAAGTTGCTGCGACCACTCTGTGGGGTAGAGAGCAGAGTCGCGGTGTTCCCCCGGAGGGGTCGATCCACATCTAAAGGGTTACATATTACCTACCTTGCTCCATCGTACATCGATGTGAGGCTGAAGGGGCACGTTGTCGTCGTAACAGTGGGGAACGCTCAAATCCACCTCGACACTTAAGACTTAATGGAAGATGTCAAATCTCATCGTTTTTTGTAGATATTTCAATCATTTTTAGATGACTAGGTTAGACATAAAAGGTCACTTTTCTGTCGTAATTCTCAAGTTTCAGGCAAACTCTTACAGTCGACTGTAGGATAGGCAATACTGTGTCTTATTACTACTATTTTTCAGAGGAGGCATATGTTCTTCCGTCGAGATTCTGAATGCGATATGTAAAGGTATTTTATCATTGATTGATTCAAATTCACTACGCTTGTAATCCAATACTTTCAGAGTTCCCATCACCTTACCCAAGTCCATTCTTGGCGCAACATTCCAACCAAGAATGCCAGTTTCTCAATATGTCGATAGTTCCTGTCTCTCAAGACAATTTTCAAAAATCTCTGATCATGCCTGTGGATAACAAATTTGATCCCAATCGGCCCTCTTCAGGGCCACAAAAAGCTTTCATTTTTTTATTTTTCATGTAAATAAATATTTTTTTGTCTGTGAAAAATAAAGAAATGTTGTGATCGAAGACAGTAAAAGAAGTTTTGATTTTTCACGAAATGTATTCACAGTTTTCAGCATTCAACATCCCATCTGTGGCTTCAAGATCGTGTGGTATTGAGTGTTAAAGGCGTGTAAACGTTTTGTATATAAAAATCAGTCACACGTTACATTACCAATTTTTCCAGATATTTTTCGCCAATATCTCCGTAATTTGGAGCAAAACCTGATTTTTTTGTGGAAACATTGGTATTTTCAACCATAAAGGAGGGCGTTGTCCCGGCTAGCCAAGAAAAACACATCCAAAGATTCTCCCCAAAAATTTTCTATTTTTGACGAACATTGATCACATCCTGGCCAGGAAATGGCTTCAGCTACGTTGCACATCATTCTGAACTTTTTTGAGCAAAATCCGATGTCAAAAAAGCAATTTTTTTGTAATGATTTTTTTCACAGCTAGAAGCGCCTCAGACAAAGTCGTAATAAAGTACGGAAAAATATCAAAGCAATAAAAGACATGTCGCTCTCTGAAACTATGCAAATTTTAAGGATTCTCAAAGTCTTCAATTTGTCTCCAGAGACGTGTACGGGGCTAGACAAATACGTTGAATTATTCGTAAGTGAAACTGAACGCAAGCTGTTTTGTACATTTTTTACGTTGAAGGGAGTTACGTCAGTAAAAAGTGGTGTACAATATTTTCCAATAAATTTCGTAATTAGTCATGTCAGGTATAGTGAGATATAATTTTTAGTAATCTTGATTCCCATCATTACACATTTATATCCGGTCTGTTCACTTTTTAAAAGCCTATCACCTATGCAAGAAGCGGAGAAAGTTGTTCAAACTTTAATGAATGCAGTACCTGTGGAAAGGCCGTGATAAACAGGTTCATATTTGTTAAATTACCCGTAAGCAACTGCAGTCTCATGGTTTGCGCGTACATGGATGCTCGAATGCGGAGCCCCAACATATATTAAATATCTAATTCATAGTGAAATTACGTTTGTTCGTTCTCGTTTACCGCGAGTTCCAAGCGAGTTTGGACCACTGGCCGTAAATTGAAAATCGAAGAGCAACAGGCTAACGTTCACCGCAATTATTATTCTAGTTACGACCATTGGTCGCATGAAAAACTAAAGTCCATGGAGAATAACGTCTTCGTGGAAAAATGCTGACTTGCAAAGCGGTTTCCATCAGTTAATAAGTTTGCACATATACAACTCATGCAACTGACGCTGTTATGTTTGTATGCAATGAACAGTATTGTGAAAATGGAAAATTTCTCAATGTCCTGCTGAGCACATTCTCTGCTTAAAAATCTGTTTTTCTATTCACGAAGCGAAAACATTTCAAATTTTGTTCAATTTTCACAAAAAATCTTCTTTTTTCTACGCCCGAAGCGAAAACATTTCAAAAAAAAATTTTCATCTTTTCATAAAGGGTAATCTATCCTCCGGGTGGTGTATTTTTTGGGGTAACCTATTCTCGGGGTAACCTATACTGCGCTCCACAAATCCTTTCCTTTAGACTGTCCCTTATATCAATCTATTAGGTTGATGCATAATTATCCGGCGTTTTTATTGGCGCGTTTTTCGTTAGTTAAAATTCGCGTTTTGTAAACTTTTTTTCATAAAAATAATCTTCTCTGTTTAGTTAACAAAACGACTGTCGAAAACCATACTCATATTCGCCATATTATGCCCTACCACTTCGAGAAAAGTTGGGAGTCAGCACGGTCATTTCGCGATCTCAACGAACTTTTCATAATTATGCATCAACCTAATATTTCCAGCGCAAGAAATTTAAAAAACGATTTATTTCAGCGAAAACCCCAAAAAATTACTGGAAGGCCAAGGCAAAAAATGCTATGGCCACAACAATGGAAGTGGAATATCCAGCTGCTGACTTTTTCTCACCTTCTCCTCCGTGGGTCTTTCCATCTTCGTTCGGTTGCTTGTCGGGGGTCTTTCCATCTTCGTTTGGTTTCTTGTCGGGGGTCTTTCCATCGTCTTCTGGTTTCTTGTCGGGGGTCTTTCCATCGTCTTCTGGTTTCTTGTCGGGGGTCTTTCCATCGTCGTCTGGTTTCTTGTCGGGGGTCTTTCCATCGTCGTCTGGTTTCTTGTCGGGGGTCTTTCCATCGTCGTCTGGTTTCTTGTCCTCCGCAGGTCTACCATGATTTACAGCAAGTCCAATTTCTAGCTTCTTAAACTCTTTGTCAGCCCTGAACGCCACACAATAATTCTGAAGGAATTCGCTGCCAAGTGCAAAGTCAATGTTCGAATACGAAGGCGCGTTCTTTATCTCGGCGGCGTGTTTTCCGTACTGAAACGACAATGGTTTCCGCAAAACCCAACTTACCCCGGGGCTGTAGGACACATAGTCTTTTGGGTTCATCTCGAAAGTTTTACCGCCAAATTCAAAGCTGATTTTTGGGAAGTCGGATTCATTATCAAGATATTTGGCAAAGTGGAAGGCATGAATCGTGTATCTACTAGCAAAAGTATTTTGACCGATAGCAAAGCCGACCACTTTACCTTCATATTGTTTCTCGCCAATGGTGATTCTGAAAAAAAGCCGCTGAAATTGAATGCCGAGTTACGTTGTCTTAAACGTCCAAGAGCCTCGATCGGAACAGTCAACCCAGGTGAAGTCACCGCAACTTGTTGCATTGTACTTTCCAAATGTAATGGAGCCACGGCTTTCTTTATCTTCGTCTGTTGAATCCTTCTAAAACGCCATGTTTTAGCAACATCAATTCACTCCGCAATTGCTCAGCGTACATCAGAAAGCATGGTTTACCTTGATCTTGTGTGTTTTTCCTTCTTGAACCGTAATCAGCGGAGTTGTCAGCGTGGCCATCAATCTCTCTGCTATTTTAGCGTCTTCCCTTCCCGATCCAATTCCAAGGCCAATAACTCCGGCCTGTTGCCAGCCCGTTGTCTCCGTGGCCTCCATCGCCGCTCCAATATGAATGGGGAATTTTTTCGAGTTCAACTTGAGGGTTTCCGAGAACCATCTTCCTTTCAATTTTTTATCGTCATATGTTGAAATGTCCTCAAAATCAAGCTTGGTATCAATTCCTCCGGTAGCGCTAAAAATCAATTCACGACTGATCATGCAACAATAAAATACCTTGGATCGTATGTGTCCGCCTTATCCCAATATAACGAGCATTTAGTTGTTTTGCAGTCGTTGTGCATAAAAATCGAGTACGGTCGGTTCGAGTCGACTTGCACTTTGTAAGGTTTCGAGTTCTTCCTAAGTTTGACTTCGAAATACAAGGATCCTCCAACTAAAAAAATGAATTGCATTAAGTTAAGGTCCGTTGTGAATCTACACAGACCCTGAAACTTACCCGTAGTAGAATTGAACTCGAAATCTCCGGCGACAACGGTCGCAAGGCTCAGTAGAGCCAACGACTTGATGATGCCCATATCTAATGTGCTGTACCATGTCTACAACTGGGTTTTTATAGGCTACCAAAGATTTAAACAAGGTGTGTACCGTAATCCTGAGCGGTGCTCAAAATAAGCCGATTCTTTTGTTTCCCCTTGCGATTTAAAACAAAACAAAGCAAAAAAGGCGTAAAGAACAAAGAGTTGTTATCGGCATGGGGATTTGTCTTTCACACAGGATGTTTCAAGAAAGGTTGAGGAAAGCCAGCGCTTAGATCTCAGCACAACAAGAATGTTTGACGCCGACTTTGGAATCTACAATCCGCTTTAATTTTGCCTTTGGTATCAGAAAGCCAAAGATAAAGATAAAAAATTTTTGTTGGCAGTGATCTTATATAGGGCTCGGGGTCTTTACTTTTCATCGGCTCTGCGAATTTGTTTTGCAAAAAGGCGTTCAGCACGCCCTGCTGAACGCTTTTTCGCAAAATCGGTTCAGCAGTTTCTTCTGTCGAAATTTTGTGAACGGGAAATGGTAAAAGCCGTTCATTTTGTGAATTTTCGTCCTGTTTTTTCTTTTTTTTGGTAGATTTTGAAACCGTCTGAATTAGTTCAGAGTCGGCTGAACTAGTGCAAAAAACCGAGGTCTTTGAACACGTTAACCTGTTAATTTTCCTTTCAAAATTTTATAACCGGTGAATTGGTTCAATGTTTTGTGAACCAATTCAAACATTGAACCCCTTTTCCAATCGGCTCTGAACGGGTTGGACACCAGTTCAAACCGTGAACGGTTTATTGCAAAAACCGTTCACGATTTGAACTGATTTTACAAAAAGGCGTTCAGCGGAAATTCTGAACGCCTTTTTGCAAAACAAATTCGCAGAGCCGATGAAAAGTAAAGACCCCGAGCCCTATATATATTTTTTTGTATTTTCTCTTGCACCTTGATTAGCTCTTCTTTCAGATATGACGTCATTTTGAGACCCGGAAGAGAACTTGTGATAATCAGACTTAATCGCAAGGAACACTCCTTTCTTTGTTTTCGTTTTCATGTAATTAAAAAAACCTTCGATTAAATAAATTTTATTTTGCAAGGCAGCAAAGACAAAGGAACGCGTCAAAATTGATAAAAGAAATTATGATCGGGCCAAAAAGTCGTGACATATCTGCACAGATATGTCACGATGAAATGTGTCGCGCGGCGACAAGAAAAACTTATGGTGCAATGCGGCCCCGCACAGTGAAAAAAAATTGTTTTGAAAAGGGCAATCGAAAGCACGGTGCACGGCAACCCGAAATAGAAGAAAAATGTTTCCCGCCCACTTTTGAGTTTCGTCCAAACGAAGTGTCAAAATTGACGGAAGAAATAAAATAATTCCGAGAAAAATATTTTTCGGTCGGAAAATCCCACGAAAAATTCTTTTGTGACATTTTGTTTGATTTCAACCGATACAAAATAGGCGAAGTGTCGAAAGGAGCCAGGAAACACTTCGGGTTGCCGTGCGGTGCACTCTGCTTTCGCACCCCGCCAAATTTTTATCGCACCTCGTCGCATCGCTGAATTCATGCGCCCGCACGGCGCGAAAACATGTCAAGACTTTTTGGCCCGCCTGGTACTAGTCGCGACATAAAGTCCTGACACATTTGCACAGTGCATTTCGTTTTTCTTTCGGACCCGTCGCGGCAATTCCCCGTTTTTGCACTAGCGACATGCACCTTTGCGCGAACTTGCCACTTTTCTCGCGCGACACCCGCGACAAAATGTGTCAGGACTTTATGTCGCGACTAGTAAACCGTGGCCACGGAAAATTCACGTTTGACATTTTGTTTGATTTCAATCGATGCAAAGTGGACGAAAAGTCGAAAGGAGCGTTATATTTTATTTGCCAATATCATCGGTATTTCTTCTGCTCTTCAATGGGCGCTCCAAAATGGGCGGGGTTTGACAGAAATTATTCTGCTAGCAAATTACCCGCCGTTATTTTCCCGACAGACTGATACGACCAATCACAGCCCTTGTTTATGCTGTAGACGTTTTATAAAAAAATGTCGCTTTCCCCTTGATTGTTGAATTTTTTGCAACAAATTTTTCGCTTCCGTCTCCCGGGCCATCGCCGGCTTTTGACCTAATAACTTTCCCGCTTGCTGGGAAGAAGCGTATGGCGTAAGATTCAGCTGTTATCTTGATCATTTCATTCTGTGGGACTTCCGCATTTTTAGGAATTTAACAAAGGTGTTTTGCCACAAAATTCCCGATAAATTTTTAAAACTTGCGGTGGAATTTTCCCGACTTCTACTCTATCTGTCATTTGCGCAGACTGTGTAATAATCGAAAAGGATTGCGAAAGGATTGCGAAAGGAATGCGAGAAGAAGGAGACATGACGAATCCAATATTCTGCAAAGTCCTGCAAAACCTAAGACCCAAAATGGAACCAAGGGATTCATCAATCAAAAAAGGAATCCCGGCATCTTGGACAAGTAGACAGCGACCGATGCGTTAAGTATATAAAAACTGAAGGTTTCGCAATCACGAAACCCTATATAAACCCCGTCCTCGACCCAGTCGAGGAAGCTTCCATTGTACATATTATTTTAGTATTTTATTCTGTTTTCTCTTAATAAAACTTCTCTCCTCTCAATTGGCCATTAACTACTACTACCAACGTCGACTATAACAAGTGGAGTAACAAATTCTCGCCTGGCTTTTACATAAAATTCCATGAACAGTGTGCCTGTTGTTGGGGAGTACTCCGCATTAAACTCCTTGATCCCGAAAGATACCATATTATCGTCCAGGATTCCTTGTAGAGTCATTCCATGATACAGGATTGGCCTCCTCTTTGGCTTCTTTAGAAGTAAGCTTCTGTATAGTTCTTTGTCTCGACGGTGCATCGCCATTGTAATAAGGTGTAGTTCGGTAGAGGAGCTGATCCCAAAGTATGGGATGGCCAGGTTGGAGACGACGTCTGGGCGATATTCGTTTGTGATATTGATTAATATCACGTCGGTTACGGGATTGGGGTTTGGCTGGCGAGGCGGGTGGATCAGAAATTATCTATCTAATCGAACAGATAGATCTGTTGGCTTTGAAAATTTATGTCCAATACGTTCGTGGGAGCCACAAATGTATGTGGCAAAGCCAGTTTTTCCGCATGCTCCGAAAGGAACAGTCCGGTGTCATTATCATCAAAAAGATGAATATGGACCCGTGGGTCGCATGGGCGATTTTGTTGAGTTCTTTGATGACGTCCATCTGAAATTGTAGATTTAAAATTCTACCTATAATTTCGCGCTCGGACCCGCCCTTTAAAAATTGGAAAATTTGGACAAGGAAAAGAAGTGTATGGCGCCTGCAACTGTGCTGCTGCTTGGAATGGCTGGACTTGGAATCCTGGACGATAATATGGTATCTTTCGGGATCAAGGAGTTTAATGCGGATACTCCCCAACAACAGGCACACTGTTCATGGAATTTTATGTAAAAACCTGGCGAGAATTTTTTAGTGTTACAACGACTATCCAGAACATCGATAACCTGCGACCCATGATGGTACGGGGGGTTCTACTCAAAATAATGGAACTTGGTTTGGCAGACCAAGACGATGGATTAAGAGCCGTCTTAAAGGACCTCACCAACTACATTTGAATCGCATTTTTACGGCTTGGAGGTGCGCTTCGCCAAAAGTTGCGAAGATCCCGCGAAAAAAACAAATACAAAAAATAATCGAGAATTTTTCTCGAAAATACAAAATTGAAGAAAGTTTGAGCTAGTTCATGTTCCAAAGTTGCTGAAAATGCTTCTTGTTCACGTGGATCCTGCCGACACGAATTCGGATGCTCTTGGGGAAGGCTGATGTAAGTTTTCTTTGGTTTTTGCTTGGTTTTTTCGCGTTTAGGTAGGAGTGAAGTATCTTGCACAATATTTCGGCGATTCCTTTGAAAAAAAGCCCGAACGAAGTGTTGAGGAGCAAGTTTTGGACTCAAGGCTTGTGTGGATTCCATTTTCTTGCCTTTTTAGGACTGTGTTTGCCCATTTAGAGATATTTTATATTATTTTAGTCAAGTGCTTCAATTTCAGAGTTGTGCAATCGCCTGGAACGACCCATGAAGATGAAGAAACCGGCGTGTCCACACGGACCTGTCGTTTACATAAAGCATCCTGGTCAAAATAAAAGAATGTAACTTATATACCTTTTATTATCTAATACATCAATAAAAACATAATAATCATGCAGTTTTTGTTCAATTTGCTGGTCTACGAACCGCTTTCGTTTCCATAGTTGATCCATTGATTCACGAAGACAAGTGCCCATCTAAAAATAAATGCATAGAGGCCGAGAAATTTCGTAACGAAATTTTAAGCAAAAAAGTAAATAATAGATTACCTCACATGAATATCCCATAGACAACGTCCCTGTCTCGAATCGTGATGCAAAGGAATTTGTATGAAGAGAATTCTTCTTCATGCATCGCGTTCTCGGCGATTGAACAACTCTGAAATTGAAAGACTTGACTAAAATAATATAAAACATCTCTAAATGGGCAAATACAGCCCTAACAAGGCAAGAAAATGGAATACACACAAGCCTTGAGTCCAAAACTTGCTCCTCAACACTTCGGTCGGGTTTTTTTTCAAAGGAATCGCCGAAATATTGTGCAAGATACTTCACTCATACCTAAACGCGAAAAAACCAAGCAAAAACCAAAGAAAACTTACATCAGCCTTCCCCAAGAGCATCCGAATGAGTATCGGCAGGATCCACGTGAACAAGAAGCGTTTTCAGCAACTTTGGAACATGAACTAGCTCAAACTTTCTTCAATTTTGTATTTTCGAGAAAAATTCTCGATTATTTTTTGTATTTGTTTTTTTCGCGGGATTTTCGCAACTTTTGGCGAGGCGCACCTCCAAGCCGTAAAAACTCGATTCAAATGTAGTTGGTGAGGTCCTTTAAACAAGTTTCAAAAAATGGACGAAGAAGTAAAGAGGATCCACTTCATACCGATAACAAGTCACATTTTACGATCCGTCTACAATTACCCGGTACAGCCGTCTTTGTGGAAGTACCAGGCATCGCCGACTTCGTCTTCGGAACAAGAACAACTATAATTAGTGGACGAAGCGTAGAGTAAGGTAACATCTTATATTATTGCTTACGCTTATCAAAATTTATTTTGGAAAATTAGATGTTTTATATTTTCGTCCAACATTATTGTTACTCGCCAAATCCTATAGCTTTGTTTTCAAAAAATATATGCTTTAGTCAGAAAGTTAAATAGTAAATTTTGTTAATTGTATGTCTTACACCGTGCTGAAAGAAAAAAATACTTATAAAAATTGTGTCTTTTCATCTATTTTACGTATTACACATACTGGTAACCGTGCTGTATTCAAAAAAAAAATCGCTTGTAAAGTTTTTAATAAATTTTTTGCTACAAAAGAGAGAGAGAGAAGAATGAATTAGAAAAAAAAAAGAAAATTTAAGAAAAAAGAGAAAAATATAAAAAATTGTTACTTAAAACAATGAGAAAATTATAAAAAACCCATATTTAATTAAAATTTGAAAAAAACCCCTTACAAAAATTGTTGATTTCTTAAAATCTTGTTAAAAAGTATATCTTATAATCTCCAAAGTCATTCAAATTGTTTTACATAATACCAACAAATTATCCACTGTATTGTAACCAAAAATTTATTTATCGCTCATCCAACTGTCTAAAAACCAAGAAAATATTCCTTCAAAAATTATATTATATTTCGGTCTTATGTGGCCAACCCGGCCCAAACGCCGCGGACACGCAGATATATTACGAACACAAAAAGATCCAAAACAAAAACATTGGCCACCACACAACGGAAACATCGCAAACAACAGCCGTTGGCGATGGAGTGTACGGCGGCTTCGGGAGGAGCAAATCTCCCGGGAGTTTCCAGCTTGGATGGACACACATTCTTGGATTTAAATATCTAAGCACACTACACAACTATAGCAATACACCTACTTGGCTGGCCTAAAGCACAAAGTGTTCGTCGGACACCTGGGCAGCCCACCACAACTGCCTTCCTGATCTTCAGCAGGCACCATCAGATTTTCTACATCTCCCCCAACATACAACAATGGCCACATCAACAAGGAACACCACACTTGCATCATCATCACCGGACAAGATCAAATTTTAAGATGGAATGAACGCAGGGACGCGTTCAATCGTGGCCCCGGATATTGTAATAATCAAAAAGGATTGCGAAAGAATTGCGAAAGGAATTCGAGAAGAAGGAGACATGACGAATCCAATATTCTGCAAAGTCCTGCAAAACCTAAGACCCAAAATGGAACCAAGGGATTCATCAATCAAAAAAGGAATCCCGGCATCTTGGACAAGTAGACAGCGACCGATGAGTTAAGTATATAAAAACTGAAGGTTTCGCAATCACGAAACCCTATATAAACCCCGTCCTCGACCCAGTCGAGGAAGCTTCCATTGTACATATTATTTTAGTATTTTATTCTGTTTTCTCTTAATAAAACTTCTCTCCTCTCAATTGGCCATTAACTACTACTACCAACGTCGACTATAACAACTGCGCCCGAGGTGGGGGTGAATAGTTTGTCTTATTACTATTATATAATAATACTGTTTGCAGAGTCCGCATCTGTTCTTCCGTTGAGATTCTGAATGTGATATGTAAAGGTATTTTATCATTGATTGATTCAAATTCACTACGCTTGTAATCCAATACTTTCAGAGTTACCATCACCTTACCCATATCCATTCTTGGCGCAACGTTCCAATAAAGAATGCCAGCTTCTCAATATATCGATAATTACTCTGTTTCAAGGCAACCTTATAAAATCCTTAGGCATGCCCGTGGACAACAAATTTGATCCCAATCGGCCCTCTTCAGGGCCACAAAAAGCTTTCATTTTATCGTTTTTATGTAATAAATATTTTTTTGTCTGTGAAAAATAAAGAAATGTTGTGATCGAAGACAGTAAGAGTAGTTTGATTTGTTTTTCTTCACAGTTTCAAACACTCATGAAAATCCGATGTCAAAAAAGCAATTTTTTTGTAATGATTTTTTTCACAGCTAGAAGCGCCTCAGACATGGCGAATAAAGTACGGAACAATATTAAAGCGATAAAGACATATCGCACGTTAAAAAAAGTACAAAAACAAGGAATCTCGGAACATTGATTTTTGACGAAATGTCGCTGAATTATCGAGTCACAAAAGAAAACTTTCCCAGAGAAAAAGTTTTTTTTTCGAGAAAAACATTTTTTCGAATAGGAAAATAATTTTTCGAACTCGATAATTCTGTGACACTTCACAAAAATCAATGATCTGAGATTTCTTGTTTTTCAATTTTCTCGAAGAATTTTTTGACGTGTGTCGCTCTCTGAGTCTATGCAAATTTTAGAGGTTTTAGCGGCTTACAAAGGCCGGGAAAATCTTACTTTTGATGCCTCAGAACTGCATTTTTACCGTACACTTTTGAAAAAAACGAAGGTTCCTATTTTGTAGGAAATTTAATGCTGTATAATTTTTCGTTCGATTGATCCGTATAGGCCCTTTAACCCCTGCAATTTACCCACAAAAACAAGCGCATTTTTATCAAAGCTGAGATTACAACGCGGTTTAGAAAACCAGCTTGCGATATTTACGTAATGATCTGCCGCGAAAACTCCGGCATTTTACGCAAAAGCGGCGGAAAATACGAACTGGGTCGGCCACGAACAGCCGTCATTTATTTACGATGAGTTTACGGGAAGATCGGAGGGCAAAACTGCGGGCCACAAGACACTTGGTGGAGATTTTCTGCGAGCTTAATGCTGAATATTATATAAATATAATATAAATGAATATAAAAATTTACCACTTTATCAGTGGTAAATTTTTTGTGCATTTTCTGTAAAAAAAGCTGTTGATTTTGCTTGTTGTGGGGTTTTTTGATTAATAAATATTTATATGTAATGCATGTTTGATTAATAATTATAATTCCTGTAATATATAAATATAATGAAAAATATATAAACATATATTAATATAAATATAATAAAGCTACGTGATAATATTGTAAGCAAATTATACTGGAATTACACACATATGTATATATATATTACTGATTTTTTGAATATACTTATTGTTTTTCCAATTTATGTGGATTCTATAGCTTCGATCTTTGTTTATTTTGCAATTTTTCGATATGAAAATATGAAATTTTAGTCGAAGATAGCAATCCGGTCGGACCGAATAGGTCAGGCCGGCCCAAGGCTTTTTCAAAATTTATTTTAGACATACTACCGAAATATTCCCAAAGCCGAGTATTTATGGGAATATATACTTCTGCATTAAAAAAATGTACAAAATGCAATTTGGTCATAAAAATCAATGAATATTGGCATTTTGTCACAATTTGTTTTTTCGTTCAAAACGCGGTTTTGAAGTCGAAACAATTAGTTAGCCGATTGTCGGAATCGGAAGAGGATAGGGAGAAAAATTACAAATCTGACTGCGAAAAATTGGATTTACATATTGGTGCTATATTGGGCTACCTTCGGCCAATATTATAAATACCCTATTAGTAGTATAGAAGGTCCTCCTTACTCCTTTTTGATTGATAAAAGCCCACGGTGTGGCGGTGATTTTGATTGTGAGGGTGAAACTAGAGGGTGTACTAATTTTGTAGCCCGATTTTTATTGACTATGATTTCATTAGGGCCAATTTTTTAGGGCCAAATTTTAGAATTCTTTTTTCCCTGAACCCTCAGAAGTCCCCATTTTGCTTTTTGTTAAAAGACGATTTTTGGCTCGCTGCGTCAGCCACTACGAGGGTTCGGGCATTCAAAAAAAAATTTTTGAGTTTTTTGGTGTAAAATGTCGGTATAGGTCATTAAAACACGTTCCCAAAATTTTTTTGCCCAGTAATGCACGGGAGGTGGAAATTTGCAAACGGTTTTTTACAATATTTGTGTTCAGTGGGGATCGAACCAGGGTCGTCAGATTACTAGTTTTCGTCAAAACGAAGCTAATAACCGTATGCAAATTTCCACCTTCCGGGCACTAGCAGGCAAAAAAATTTGGGAAAGTGTTTTAATGACCTATACCAACATTTGAAGCCAAAAAACTCACGATCAGGAAATTTTTTTTGGATGTCCCAGGCTGACGCAGCGAGCCAAATATCGTCTTTTAATTAATACAAAATATGATACACAAAGGTAAGTCCGCGGTCTTTTCGGTCTGTCCAGAAATGGAGTGCCGCGTTAAAGAAAAAGCTTGGTCTGTCGTTTGGTATGGTAAATGTGGTTCTCCAACTGTTGTTCAAGGGGAGTATCGGAAAAAAATAAGTGTGAAAAAGAAACAGAAAAGTCGGAAAAATGGTTACGAACGGATCTGAAAGTTAAAGAAGTTTTGTCAAAATTTTTCCCGATTTTTCTGTTTCTTGTTCATAGTTACAGTTTCCAGGAAAACTTCTTCCGCCAATGTGAGATTGTTCGGTCGGAAGATGGGCGTTTCGTCCGTACCTATTCCGGTCGGTTAATCAATGTCTTTAGCCTGGTTTTCTACAACCTTGCAACTCAGATGCCTGAAATTTTTAGGGTTGTGTGTCACTTCTTCGAATTTTAGGCCTTCCCTCATCGATTTATCTCCAACTTCCTGGCGAACATTTTGGAAAAAATTGCCACAAATTTGTAGAAAATGCGTTGAGGAAAAGCCTCGATGCTTTTTGCTTTTTCTTTGCTTCGTGGATAATTTAATTGTCAGCCAAGAAATTGAATGCCCCCTTGAAAAAAAAATGTTCGCCAGGAAGTTGGAGATAAATCGATGTCAGAAGGTCTAAAATTCGAAGAAATGACACACCCACCCTAAAAATTTTTAAGTATCTAGGTTGCAAGGTTGTAGAAAACCAGGCTAAAGGCCTTGATTAACTGCCACCCACGTAGTTGAGGACCTTGAAGATCAAAAGCTCCACAACAATTTCAATTGAAAAAATGTCCCACCTGCCCCGAAAAAATGTCGATTAACAGACACCCACGTGGGAAAGGTTGTGAAGATCAACAAGAAAATAGCACAAACAAGCCGAAAATCACACCCCTTCAAATGATTGTATAAAAAAGAGGACATCAAAAAGATAGGCCCAAAGTTGTGCAAAATGGCGAAGTCTTCACTACGTGAATACCTGGATTTTTTAATTAAGGATCTATGTATCCTACTTCTTGAACAACCGCACTTTGATCTGCTCAATGTGCGCATTATGAATAGAGGGAAAAGGTGGCTCAAAGGCCATTTAAAACAATTGGAAGGCCCCCTGTGTTTCACAGCATGGGAGATCCAGCAATTGAATAGGCGTCTACCAATAGACGTGTTAAACCGAGTCCTCTCGGCTCGGTTTCTGGTACCAACCAAGGCTTGTTTGGAGGCTGGAGTAAAGCCATCAGTGTTTTTTTTTTCTTTAAAGCCATCAACATGTTTTTTTCTCTAAAGTTGCATTTTCTTTATAGAGCAAGTACAGGAAGAGAACGAGCGAGTCAACACGCTGATTGATGTTGACGTCCACGATGGAAACAGATTAATAATCAACTTCTTCGTGTCAAACTCCAGCAGTGAGCTGGAAAATATTGAACTGACCCAGTACAAAAGGAAGAAGAAAAGAGTTTTGAAAAAATTTAAGAAAAGATAGGGCACAGGCCGGATAGAATATTTGGTCAAATGGGCCAACTACGACGAGCGTGGTTGGCAGTACATTCGGTATGGCGAGGCCAGGGAGGCCATACGGCAATTTTATGAGACCAAATTTATGTCCGTAAGATAGGTATGGAGTTTTGAATTTTCGTACAATCTTGGAGTGAAATTCTATGAGTCCGGTTCCATGAAGGGCGGATAGAATACATATTTGGTCAAATGGGCCAACTACGATGAGCGTGGTTGGCAGTACATTCGGTATGGCGAGGTCAGGGAGGCCATACGGCAATTTTATGAGACCAAATTTATGTCGGAAGAATAGGTATGTACGTAGTTTCGAAATTTCGTATAACCTTGGTAGAGAAATTGTATTGTATGTTTTCAGCAAGGCTCGTCCACCTCACCTCTTTTTTTTGATATTGAAAATGACGTATTAAGAATAAAGTTCAAATTTTAATTTAAACGTAGTATTTATTCATTCATCAAAAAAATTGATTAGAAAATAGTGAGGACATATATATCATACTATAAAAATTCGTTGAAGACACTGAGAGTGCGATAATTTTTTCTTTTTTTTAAATAATTGATCATAACTTCTTTGTTGCAAACTCCATATCTTGTATAACAACATGATTCGGCAACCGTGCAGTTAGGATTCAAAGATATTTAAAACGTACAACGTAATTCCTTCTTGATTGCTTGTTGTATTCGTGCAGAGCAATTGAACCCTTGGACGAATTGCAAAAGTCCTCAAGTAGCTAAAATCTCTGGGAGAAGCCATTTGCTATAAATAATGCCCAACCCGAAGAGGCAGGGTCGCGTTAATTTTCCTTAATTTTATTTTAAATTATAGAATGGCCAAATATGCAGTGGAAAGAATTCTTGGAGTCCGGTTCCATGAAGGCCGGATAGGATATATATTTGGTCAAATGGGCCAACTACGATGAGCGTGGTTGGCAGTACATTCGGTATGGGGAGGTCAGTGAGGCCATACGCCAATTTTACAAGACCAAATTTATGTCCGTAAGATAGTTATGAAGTTTTCGTATAATCTTGATAGAGCCATTATACATATTGTATGTTTTCAGCAAGGCTTGACGTCCGTCCACTCACCTTTTTTGATATTGAAATTGCACCGACCTTATCGCTATCTTATCATGTCGTATACAGGTCGTATACGACTTGAATCACTCTCCGCCCATCCCCTCAGTAATAGGATAGAATATGAGTGTAAATAAACAGATTGTTCAGTGATAAAGACCATCATTTCGACCTTGTCTAGTATTGAGTTTTTTCAGAAATGATAATAGTCAACTTCAAATTTTAATTTTAAAAGTAGTATTTATTGATTCATCAAAAAAACCGATTAGAAAATAGTGAGGACATACTATAAAATTCGTTGAAAGAAAGACACTGTGATAAAAATAACATGAAAATAATTCCAAAAATCGATATCGCATGCAAATTTTTTATTTTTTTCACGTTTCAAAAAATATTTTTTTTTCTAAAATTCCTTTTTGGTATATAAAAATGAAGAAAGCCTTAAATGGACGCTGTATGCAAATTTTCGCAAAAAATTAAATTTTAGTTTTTTACTAAATTTCGAACAAAATTTAAAAAAAAATTTTTAAGACAAATTAGAGTGCTGATGACTCCGATGTCCAAGTACTAAACAGTCCCTCACCACCTGTTCTCACCTCTCGCGCAACGCGATTCGACCCTCCACGGCCTGCGACCAAAGGAAAAAAGCGTTATGCGTAATTAACCAAAATTATTCAAAATTTTTGTATATTTTAAAACATTTTGCGTACTATTGTATACATTTTCGCATGGTTTACTTTATATGGCGAAGGTCTTTTTCTTCAGTTACCAAGAAAGGATATTGCAGCGGATATCTTCTCCGTCAACACCAGAGGAGGGGGCAAAAAGGGCGCATTGGTGAGATTACGCCAAATTTTTATTTCAAAAAACGGCGTTGCATATTGCTGCAGCGCCAAACCGCTACGTATTCAATTTCAGAGCTACACACCGAGAACTGGTGTGGATGCTTTATAAACAACCCCAGTTTGGGGAATTGATGCGGTTTTTCATGTGGGAAACGTACCAGTAGAATACCGAACTCTCCATCGAAGTCTACAACATGGCCGTACAAGCCCGATATTTTATAAATGGGCATAGATATTCGTCAGGAGAGGGAATACGAATAAGTAAGTCGACTTATGAAAGATTTTATATTTTTTCAGGAGGAGACAGAGAAATTGAGGTCTGCGAAATAGATTATGATGATCAAGTCATCATAAATATCCAGGCTCCAATAGCACCTCCAACGGATAGCGGCGCCGAAATTGTCTCTGTGACAATTTCTAAGGATCAGGAATCAGACTGCCAAATAGACTATGGCGACCAAGTCATCACAAATATACAAGCCCCAATAACACCACTAGCGGATATTACACAGCTCATTCCGTAAGTAAAATTTCTAAAACCTCTGTACAACGAACCCTTGTGTAGGATGAAGAATGCCTGTGCTAATTTCCTCTCTGTTTTCCATACATTCATCTTAATCAAAGCCAATATTTTACATAATTGACTTTAGCCTCTACAGAAATGCAGGCCTTCCCTTGTTAGCTGATTTTTTTGCGTGAAAAATGATTGACCAGAAGATGGACGTACTAATTGTAAGTTTAAAGACGAAACCGGTTGGCAAGGTCAAACCATTTCTGTTGTATTGACAAATTGCGGAAAGTTGCAAGAAGTTACAAACCGGAGAATTTTGATTCTTTGAATCCTTTCGAAGTTGAAAAGTAAAACAAACGCTCTCTCTGTATGCAAACAATCAAAGTTTATGAAGACCAAGTTTAAAGGGATAACAGTTAATTTTAAGGCAAAATAAAGCCCCGTAGAACGAAGCTTTCCGATTAGTCCGTTAGCAAAGTCGCTGGAGTGATTTTGGCAACATGCACCGTGAGAAAACAAAAGTTTCCTTTGCATTGTACAATAGGCTTGTTAGCGCCTTCACTTGCGCCGTGACGTTTTCTACACAGCGCAAACGCCAAAAATCAGTCCGGCCACATTCCAGAAGGACTATTATAAGCAAGATTTTTAGGTCGCGATCTCAAGCAAAAATCGAGAATTTTGTGGCCGGAATTGGCGAAAAACTCAAAATGATTTTGCGAATTTTGTATTTCTTTCGCATTTTTACTTCTAGTGTCCTATAAAAATTTTTCTGCACAACGCAAACGCCTGAAGTCGCATTTGCGACATTGCAAACCGACTTGTATTACGAACAATATTTTTGCTCGCTTTGTTGGCCATTCTGGTCAATAAAGGGTAAATTTTAGAGCTTGGCTAATACGAATCTGTCATACCGTATGCAAACAAAAATATCGCAACAAATACTTACAGAGGAAGTACTCCAAGTACGACGCTCAGATTTTGATGAAAGTTGACACAAATTTAGAATAATTTTTTCTAAGATATATGCGAGAATCCAAGCTCGCGCTTTACAGAATCAATCGAGATTCTTACATCGAAAGTCGGCGAAAATTTAGGACTTTTTGCCGAATTTCGGTTTCATGCCTATTTCTACCGTAAAGGATAATGTTTCTACAAAAAAACAAAGCTTTCCGCACGAAACTGCCAAAGTTAGGGCCAAAAAGCGTTTTTCTCTCTGACCGCTCTCCACGTTTAGCGTGCTCTCTCGGCGGCAAAAATCGTTCGATATCTCGGCGGCGCCCGCAAAGCGCGAAACTTTCATCAATTAATATCTAGTCCATACCCGAGTTGTGTGCAAAATTTAAAGAAAATCTGAGCGTCGCACTTGGAGTACTTCCCCTGTTAGGTTTCACTGCATCATTATAACACCTAGAAGTTTCATTATGCCTCAAGGGCTTTCTGAGGCTTCTGAAGAAATTTTGGGGCACTTTTCATATCCACGTTGGCCACAGAAGGTCTTCCTTATTATCAGTCTCTCGGAAAAATAATGATCGAGTCGCTGAAAACAAGAGCAATTTGATTTTGCCGCGACAAAATTCATTTCCTCGGCGGTGCGATTTTCGCTGCGACAGAGTGCTCACTATTTTCCCGACAGACTGATATTGGCATCTTAATTGATATGCATCTCAATTCCACGAGACTCTTGCACGGAATACCTGTGTTCTTAATCATCCGATCTTCTCATCTCGCTCGACTTTTCACGTCCCCCAAGTGTTTATTAGCCATCCATCTTATCGAGATGAAGCCCTTTCTCGTTACTTTTTGGGAATAGGCGTGGTTCGTTCTTGGCTTACGAGACCGTTTTTGTAAATAAAAACAAAGGTCGGGACTTGATGTATTAGGTTCCGTAACCGGTTTCGCAGGTAGATCGTTACCGATTCAACAAACGCTCTGGAAATAACAAAGAATTTTGTGAAGGGGCTGATCAAATATCTTGATCGGTAAAATACGGAATTTGCAAAGTGCAGAATTACTCGTAAAAGTGAGATTGGATGACAAAAATATATAGTATCAGTCTGTCGGGAAAATAATGAGAACTGTGTCGCAGCGAAAGTCGCATCGCCGTTTTTTTTGGTTGCACTGTTTGAAAAAGTTATGTGTACTGTCCAGCCAAGTGCACTGTTCGCCAAATGTACTGTCGGGAGCCAACCTAGGCCGCAATCCGGGCCGGCTTGGCCCAGACTGACCCGAAAGCCTGGATTTCCAAAATTTCCAGTTCCTGCTCGTGTAAAAGTTCCTGTGTAATTTATTGGCTTTGGGAAAAAAAATTTGAAATTTCTCTCGGAAAATCCGCATTTTCGTTACATAAAACGGAATCAAGGCCCGGGCCGCACGTCAAGGAGAAAGTGAAAAAATAAGGAATCTCGGATCATTGATTTTTGACGAAATGTCGTTGAATTATCGAGTCACAAAAGAAAACTTTCCCAGCGAAAAAGTTTTTTTTCGAGAAAAATGTTTTTTCGAAAAGAAAAATAATTTTTCTACTCGATAATTCTGTGGCACTTCGCACAAAACCAATGATCCGAGATTCCTTGTTTTTTTCAATTTTCTGAAAGAATTTTTTTTGACGTGGGCGCGAAATTTTGGAAATCCAGGCCCGCAGCGATGCCTAATCCAAAAGAATTTCCCCTCCGTATTTTGGCCAAGATCAACCTCTACATTGGAGGACCTGATCCAGTGGCAAAAAACGTACCATTTTGCATCCGGGGAGTATCAAAAATGTAGCAAAATACCTCCCTCTCCTGAAAAAATTCCGATTTCAAAAGCGCGCCCGCTCTTTTTGTGAGGGAAAGGCCCTTCAAAACAAAGTTTCTTAGTTGTAGAGGGAGGCATTTTGCCACATTTTTGATACTTCCTGGATACAAAATGTACGTTTTTTGCCACTGAATTTTTTGTCACTGGATCAGGTCCGTCACTGTAGGTCTTCCGGAAAGTCGCCGGACTAAAAAAATGTGGCAAAATGCTTCCCTCTCCAAGTGAAAAAACTTTGTTTTGAGAGGCGCACCCTTTCCCTCACAAAAAGAGCGGGCACACTTTTGAAATCTGAGTTTTTTCGAGAGGGAGGTATTTTGCCACATTTTTTGATGCTTCCTGGATGCAAAATGGTACGTTTTTTTTGCCACTGGATCCACTGTAACTTCCACATTATGCCGTTCATTAATTCAACATCAAGCGCCTCTCCGTCTCTCTCCCTCTCTTTATCCAGAAAGCAACGTTACTTCCTGACGCATTCCGCGTGATCCGAAGATGAATTACACCATGTTTTTACTCAAACGGATGAACATAAAAGGAGCGCTCGTTGTTCGCCGTGTGATGGGCGCAATTCATTTCTTTCGGTGACACATTCTGGAACATGTTCTTCCACGAATTGTAATCGTATTGAGTAACGGAAATTCAAGTTAAAGAAATAGTGAAAGAAGTGGTTTTCGGAGATTGTAAAAACATACAAGTAGTGGTTGTAAAGTAATAGTTTGAACTAATACGAACGGAAATTTTACGAAACGGACGAAATTTTGGGTAAAATACGCATTGCCCTAAATTTAACAAATATTAGGGTGTACCGTTTATAAAGTCGCTGGAGTAATTTTGAGCGCGCAAACGACAGCCCAAAATGCCTATGTGGCGATAAATATGCGAGATCTTGAGCTCATGCTTTGTAGAAAGCGAGGACATTTCTTAATCAAAAATTAATGAAAATTTTAGGCATTTTTGAGCTTTTTACGAACATAAATTTTATTGTAGGCGATTATATTCTAACTTGGAGGACAATAGGCGTTCAAAACAAAAAAATCCACTTTTCTACGTTAAATTTGTAAAAAAAACAGCTAGAAACGTTTCTTTTTCTGTCTCCGTCTCTCCTTATTTTTCATAGTCTCTCCTGCAAAATAAATGTCACAATTTGCCTCCTCAAACACTGAGTGCTTTTCAGATGAAGCCGAGATACACAACAATCGGTCCGAGAGCGTGAAAATGAAGATAGACAATTAGAGAGTCAAATTAGATTATAAAATTTGGATGTACACATCTTAACATAAAACTATCTGCTGTTTTGCAAAGCGCGGGCTCAGAATCTATTGTAAAATTGTAAATTACATTGCAAAAAAATCGCTCATCTAATCAGCATATCGGGAAAATAATGAACGCAATGTCGCTGCGCCGATCCCATCGCTGAAGTTAAAAGCCATTTGATTTTGCCGCGACACAATTCATTTTCTCGGTGGCGACTTTGATGCGACAGAGTGCTCATTATTTTCCCGACACAGTGATATTTTTTGATTTTTTTGTGGTCCCCTCTTTCCAGAGCCTTTATTTTTTCTCTAGCGGACCCTATCTTTCCCGTAGTCCTCTCATGACCTAAACAGGGCTCCCTCACTCACTACTTTCCCGACAGACTAATACTAGTCCTTCCGGAAAAGTCGCCGGACTGGTTTTTGGCGTTTGCACGGTGCGAAAAAATTCAGGGTGCGAGCGACATCCCAAAAAAGCCTATTGCGCGGTGCAAAAGGCATGAAATTGCACAGGGCAAAGTGAACTTTCGTTTTCGCAATCGGCATGTCGCCGATTTCCGTCCGGCGACTTTCCGGACGGACTAGCATTTACCTTATTTTAATATTAACTTTATTGCCATAGTCATCCACATCGTATTTTGCCCAACTTTTCACCGGAAATCCTCCAATTCTCTTTTAAATTTCCTCACTTACAAATTTCCAGTAATTTGTATTTCACATTCCCCACTAATTTCTCCATCCAGCTTCCCTTTTCCGGCTTCTCCGAAACCTGAATGGGGAATTATTACACAATTCGTCGACCGAACCCCAAAAATTAGTTTTCATTGTCCCAAACTCCAAAAAATTCATGGAAAAAGTGTCGATGATTAGTGTCAAACGTTTCAGACAATGCGCGGATTTTGCTCGTTAATTATTTTTTCAAACCTTTTTTCACACTGCTACCTCTCCGAATCCACTTTTTTCACAGCGAAAATTTTCGCAGCGAAAAAAAGTTTTGCGAAAAAACAAAAAAAAATGGGGGCGGAGTCGGCGAAAGATCGCGAAAAAAACGCTTCGATTCGCCTGCGGGCTGAACAGGTTAAGCCGAGGTGCGTGTGAGTCGGCTTCTTCACGTTCGCGGAGCCGAAAACCCGGGCGCTCTCCGCGCAACGCCCACTATTTTCGTTGCGTCCGTCGATGGGCTGGGCGTTTCCCGTCGGGAAACCCGTCGACCCCCGTTCCCCCCGCTTCCCCCCATCACGCTCCCCACACAACACCTTGCATATATAAGCGCCGCCGCAAACGAGGAACAGTCGTCGCATTCATCAGTTTCCTGCTTTCGACTCAAAATCGGAAGAGGAGTGAGGACTGCGCCTTCAACAACACACACAATGGATTACGAGAACCGCATCAAAGCTTACCGGTTCGTCGCCTACTCGACGGTGGCCTTTTCGGTCATCTCCGTCGTGACGGTCTGCTTCACGCTGCCCATGTTGCACAACTACGTGCAGCGCGTCTCCGACGCCATGGACAGAGAGCTTGCCATGTGCAAGGTAAGCCCAGTTCTTGGCTTTTTTCGAAATTTTCTGGCTCCGAATTTTCGTAGCTACCTTCGTTTAGAAGCTGGCTACATTTTGGATTTAATTTTTGGCCCAAAATTTAACTTAATTTTGCAAAAAAAATCGTTTCATGGTTTAATACCTCCGTTTCCAGGGCTCCGCCAGTGACATCTGGTCCGAAGTCAACCATCTGAAGCAGATCCCATTCGCCGGCAACCGTACCGCTCGTCAGGCCGGCTATGGCGACGCCGCTGTTGGAGGTGGGGCCGCTGCCGCTGGCTCTTGCGAGGCCTGCTGCTCCGGTGGCGAGGCCGGCCCACCAGGTCCACCCGGAAACCCCGGACGCCCCGGTAACCCCGGAGCGCCAGGAACCCCCGGACAACCTGGCCGTCCATCCACTCAACCATGCGAACCCGTCACCCCACCCCCATGCAAGCCCTGCCCAGGAGGACCACCCGGCCCACCCGGACCACCAGGAGCTCCAGGAGACAAGGGACCCGACGGACAGCCCGGCCAGAGCGGAGGAAACCCCATTCCCGGCCCACCCGGACCAAAGGGACCCCCAGGCCCACCAGGACCCCCAGGAAACCCAGGACAGCCCGGTCAAGCCGGACAGCCCGCCCAATCCCAGGACGCCGGACCAGGTGCCCCAGGACCCGCCGGAGACGCCGGACCACCAGGACCACCCGGCCCACCAGGACAGCCCGGTCAACCAGGAGGCCCAGGACAACCCGGACCCAAGGGACCACCCGGCCAGCCCGGAGCTCCCGGAAACGACGGACAGCCCGGCCAGCCCGGTCAGCCCGGTCCCCCAGGAGGCCCCGGAGAGAAGGGTATCTGCCCCAAATACTGCGCCATCGACGGTGGAGTCTTCTTCGAGGACGGAACCCGACGCCGTTAAGCAGCGCAGGTCCAGCCCTTGGGCTGAGCTTCGGCTCCATCCAGCTTCTGGTTGGCATGGCGCTTGGCTCGGCCCTTGCGCTCGACTCTTCTTGGTGCTCCTCTACAGCTCCGATCTCCACGCCCCTTTCCCGTAAATTGTTGTCCCCCCTCGCCTCGTCCCACGTCATCGATTTTATGTGCAACCTGCCCTTTACGAGTCTGTCCCCCGACTGGCCGCACCCGTCCCCCCAGAAACCCACCGCGGCCAGTGCCCGTCTTGGGGACGACACAACCCCCAATTCTCAACTATCACTGCCAAAGCGTAAAGCGGCGTTTCACATCAATAAATTCGATTGCATTCAAATTCCATCGGCTTGAATTTGCATATTATGCTTTAAAAAAGGGCGAAAAATAGTCAAACAGGATGTTAAGGGCTAATAGAACGTATGGCTAGCTAGCTTGGCAATCTAGAGGTTAATAAGTTTTGTAATAGGATCAAAAGTTTTCGGAACTTTCAAAACTTGATGTCTTGAATCGACCAGAAACAAAGTCAAAAGTTTTCCAAGGGCCTTGAAGTTTGGGACCAAGACTGCCCATTGGCCACAGTTTTATCACCAAAAGACATGACCTTAACTTTTTCAACGGCAATGGAGATATTTATTATACAACTGTTGGACTATGGAGAAGCAGGGTGGCTAATGAAAACCCGTTTTTGGCCATAACTCGGCAAATTTCTTGAGGAGGGACAGGTCTTTTGTGTTGACATTGCACTACACAGTCTCAACAGACTCTAATTTTTTCTGGTTAGGATCTTCAAAAAAATGGTTGATTTTTCGACCGACTTTGAATTGACTTTAAAAATTTGATGATTTCTGTATAACGCAAGCTAAAAATTTAGAAAATTAAAAATTCATATTATGCCAGATGGCTTAAAATTAGGTTTCTTTTGATCTTCCCAAAAAAATTCAAAAATAGACATGGTTTTTATTGGTCTCCGACACTTCCTCGATCAGTTTTTCATTTTTTTGGATCCCCACTGATCCCTCTGCTCTCCAAAAAACTTCCTCAATCCTCCCTCGTGATCCCTTAGACTACATTTATTTTTACTTTCCCTTTCCAGGTAATCGAATCCTGCAACTTTTTCCAGTAATTTCTCCCCAAAGGAACTCGCATTTTTCGTTTTTTTCGGGTCAAAAACGGACTCGTTTCCCTTTACGACAAAAAATCGGTCCATAATGAGTAAAACCGACTTAATGCACTCTTGAAGACGAGGAACGGGTTTTCGTTTTCTTCCGTAAAAAAATTTGACATAACTTTGCGAAATTTGTCGGATTAGTGGTAAAACAGTGAGTTATGGGATCTGGAGAGTGGTGGGAAAAGGGTGTAAAATTTGAAGGCGAGTTTCTCAATGAGTGAGAAATAGATTTTGATGAAATTTGGGGGAAATTAAGAGTAAGATTAGCAAAAGCATATGCGAGATTTTCAGCTAGCGCATTGAAGAAAAAATCTAGATTTTTGGGGCCGGAATTGGCAAAAAAATTGTACCGAAATGCCCTATAAAGAACGATTTCAAACGTCTGAAGTCTCAATTTTAGGCCAGGCTGAACCTCCGTACAATGACGCCCTTATACGAGTCCGTTCTTAAAGCTGCTGTAGTAATTTCGGCGACATGCACTGCGCGGAAAAAGGTCGCCTTGCACTGTGCAATTTCTTGCTTTTTGCACTGTGCAATAGGCTTCTTTGGGCTATCGCTCGCAGCCTGATTTTATTCCAGCGAATTTACACAAGGACTAGTATAATAAACAATCTTTATTTTTCGTTTTACAGAGGTTATTTCAAAAAAAAATGTCTTTTCCCGTCTCTTTTTGCAATCAAAATTTTATTTTTTTCGTAAATCGTCTCCAAAGTTTTTTTTGAAACAATGGGTAAAAAGGAAAATTGCGAAATGAAAAAATAAGCGCGCGAGCTGAAAAAGCGGTTAGACGACCTCATCCATGGTCTCAGTGTGAATGAAAAGATGAGTTAAACAGGTATTAGTGGAATCGTCATTAGGTTTCACCTTGGGAATTTAATTTGAGAGCTTTGAATCAGATTTTGGAGGGAAAATTCATCAATTGAGACAAGATAGCATAGAAAAATGTGCTCAAGAAAATGAAAAATCATTAGCTTTTCGTTTCAGCTCAATTTTTTTGTAGAAAAATGGCCGATTTCAGGAGGGAAACTCACAAGGGAAGTAACCCCAGTGCGACGCTCCAATTTTTTTGAAATTTTTCGCACACGTCGGGCATGGACTATATATCAATTCTTGAAAGTTTTGGCTTGCGCTTTGCAGGCGCAGCCTAGATATTCAACGATCTTTTGCGGCTGAGCGAGCGCACAAACGCTGAGAGCGGTCAGAGAGAAGAACACTTTTGCCTATAACGTTGTCAATTTTGGACAAAAAATTTTTTATTTTTTCTCGAGACATTGCTCTCATTTTCCCTGTTAGTATCTTCCACATCTCTTCCCATAGTAGTCATAACTTTACTTTTTTTCGCTCCAGTCGCTCAAGTGTTTTTCCTGGCGTTCAATTACCTTTGACACATCCCGAAACGATTATTTTTACGTTTTTCTCCCGTTTAACAGCGGAACCGTTTTGTAACGAAGCCAAACCGGCTAGAAATTAATTGTAATCATTTTTTCCAACGGTTTTTCGCTCCAATGATCAGTTATATTAAACTTGAGCACTGGAGAAAGCAGGGTGAAAATTAATAAAAGTTAATATACACTCGCTTACATTTATATTGGAATATCTGCAGATAAAACTCCTGTACACGAAACCTCTCTATAACCAACAATTTTAGCGGTCTCAAAAGTCAATTTCAGATCAAAATGGACCTCATCATAACGGGCAATTTCTACAAAAAAATGCTTGGCCTGCGCTTCGTTATGCAGAGTCTTGACGATACTTGGATGTAGTTACGAACAACAATTTTAGTAGATGGATTCCCATCGCAATATGCAAGTTTTTAATGGCGCTAATAGCCGTAATGGCTAAACTAATACAAGCCTAATTGCAAGGGAAAGTCGGCGTTGCATCTAATTCAAAGAATAAAAAGGGGAGAAGGAGAGATCAATGACTACAATTCATACTGTTCAAGGCTGTTTCCGGCGCAAAAAAAATGTCAAAAGGACAGTTCGAAGTTAGCCTTGCAGGTGAAAAAAGAATTAAATCCAAAAAGATAGAGTCTAACAAAGTTGCATAAAAAATTCTAGACTCTGTACAACGAATTAAAAAAGACAAAAAAGTTTGCTTTGCGCTGTGAAATTTCTTGAAAGAGATCTTCTTTTGCTGTCGCTCGCATCCTCACTTTTCCTGTACAGTGCAAACGCCAAGAATTACTTCAGAGACTAGAAAAAGACTAGTGATTTTTAGAGAGGACAATTTTTTTGCTTGGAAGTCCGGTTTCGAAATCTGAAATTTCCATTTGGACTGATATTTATACTAGTCCCAAGGGCCTTCGGAAAGGTCTTGCTTAGATTTTTACATTAGAAATATCAGTCTGTCGGGAAAATATTTGTCGTAGCGCCTTGCAATCGGCCATCATGCTTTGCGACGGCGGCCGCAGCTGGAGATTTGATGCGCGATAGCGGCGAGGGGGGACATTTTGTTGCGATGTCTTTTTTCCCGACAGACCGATAGAGTTGCAGCTTTTCATGCCAAAATTTAGCCTCTCATCTCCGTTAGAAAAAAATGGAAAAATTTTTGTTCTGATCCGTGCGTTCTGACTTTCGTACTAGTCCGTTCGCAAAGTCGCTGGAGTGTTTTTTGACGTTTGCACTGTGCAGAAAAAATCAGCCCAAAAAAGCCAATTGCATGGTGCAAAAAGCAAAAAATAGCACATTGCAAGATGAACTTTTATTTTCCACATTGGATGTCGCAAAAATCATACCAGCGACTTTACCGGCCGGACTAGTACTTAGTCATCATCTGCAATTTAATCCCATCCTGTTTTTGTTTGTTTTCCTGTTTTCTCTCCAGTTTCTGACCTATTGCCTTCTAAAGATTCGAGTTACACAACAACCCTTTTACAGTCAACGAAAACTGTTACGAAAACCAGCTTGGAATAACCTGAAAGAAAAAGGAAGCCAATTAGATCCCGAAAGCGAAAGAGTGAATGGGAAATGAGAGAGAGCCAGAGAAAAGGGCAAAAATGAAAGAGAAACCGAAAGGAAAATTCAAATTAGCCAATTTGGAATGGAATTTGTTGGAATGTCGTAACAGACTTGAACAGACAGCTGGATTTGTTGTCAAGAAACAGGGGAGTATTGCGAAAACGTTACGCAAATTTGGAATACAGTAGAAATTTTGTACAACAGGCTCCCATCAGAGCAAATCCTGCGCATCAGCCTGTTGGGAAAATAATGGGCGCAACGTCGCATCAAAAATCGCATCGTTGAAGTGAAAAGCAATTTGATTTTGTCGCAAGAGAAAAATCTACTGAACGTTGTGCGAAAAAAGGTTTAAAATCTCACTATGCGAGGGGACCAATGTCCATGCACTCCATGGAAATACTAATACATCAATAAAATGTAAAACAAACAGGTTTGGGTATTTATTTTTTTTAAAGGATATACCTAAATGGCATCAAAATCCAGTTGTCCCTAAGTGAACTCTTTGAAGTGCAACTGCCGTTGTTACTATTAGATCAATTCAAAATTGGCAGATTTATGGCCAAAAATGTTTCTCTGTGTCTCCGCTTTCTGCGTTTTCCGAACTCTAACGTCGGCATGGATCGTTGAACACCTTAATAGCATCAAAAAAGCACCAGTAAAAATTTTCAAGAAATATATGTTGTATCTTCACTTGTAGCGATGAAGATACGTAGTCAGCCAAATATAGAAGATATAATAATTAGAGATTTATTATCAGAGAGAAAATATAATACGTAATAAAAATGTAACATTCACTGCATAAAAATACACCTATCGACAACGGGAAAACAGAGTGCCAAAGGTTCTTCATCGTTCTCGTCTCGGGACTCAACAATATATATTGTGTGTATTTCAACATGCGCCGGAATTTGTCAACTTGTATGTATCTGCAGGAGTGAAAGCCTCACTGATACTAGGCCATTCGCAGAGTCGCTGAAGTGATTTTTGCGATCCGTACGAGAAAATTCAAGGTATGAGCGACAGCCCAAAAAATTCTATTTCACGGTGCAAAAAGCAACAAATTGCATAGTGCAAGGTTGAACTTTCGTCTCCTCACATTGCATGCCACCAAAATCACTCCAGCTTCCTTACAGACGGCCTAGTACAAGATCAGTTTAAATTTCCAGAATTTCAAAGTCTTATCGGACCTTTGGAGCTTGTTATCTCTCACACAACTAAATGTCATTGGATCCTCATTGTTCTTCGACAAAAAGGTTCATCTCCAATGTCATCACTTTTCTCGTTTTCTTTTTTCTCCCGCGAACTGATAAGGAGCGAGAGAAACAAAGCAAAATTTTTCGCGAAAAAATCGGCGAAAGTTTTTGCGCGCGAAGAAAAAATGTGCGTCCCGCTTATACGAATACTTTTTACGAAAAGTTACAGCGCTGACTTTCGAGATTTTTCTCTTTTTCCTTTCTCTCCCCATCCCTCAGGGCTTTGCGTATGGTGCAACGCTATTTTCCGACCGCGGCTAATGAGATTCTTCGTTTTTGCGGCCTACGAAAACGCAGTGATATTTCCGTTTACGACCGACTACTTTTTACAGCGTTCGCTGAGTGTGTCTTCCGAGCAAGGTCGCGCGCCGAGCCCACCTCAAGTCCGCCCCCACAGCGCCGGCGGGTATAAAAGCGCGCGCGCTTCCTCAAACAAATCGCAGTCGCCGACTCCTCTTCTCTCAGCGGAGTTTTCAACGACACAATGCATGAAGCAAAAGTTGTAGTGGGCATCGCGAGCGTCTGCTCCGCGTTCGCCATCCTCGCCGTCCTCGTGGTGGTGCCCAACCTGTACAGCACCATCAACGCCGTCAACGACCGCGTCCAGATGGGCGTGCAGAAGTTCCGCGACGACACCGACGGTGCCTGGACCCAGCTCATGGAGGTTCAACTCTCCGTGACCCCGCCCAGCAAGCCACGTGAGAACCCCTTCAACTCCATATTCCGCCAGAAACGTCAGGCCTACGGAGGACTCCCAGCCTGGTGCCAGTGCGAGCCAGCCAAGCCCAACTGCCCACCTGGCCCACCCGGCCCACCAGGACCCCCCGGAACGCCCGGACAACCCGGTAACCCCGGCCCACCCGGAAACGACGGTGCTCCCGGAGAAGCTGCTGCCCCTTGCCCCGCCCACGACACCAGCTGCATCAAGTGCCCAGCTGGCCCACCCGGCCCCGCCGGACCCGACGGACCACCCGGACCACCAGGACCCGACGGACAGCCCGGTCAGCCCGGAACCGGCGGCGGCCAAGGACCACCCGGACCCCCAGGACCAGCCGGAGACGCCGGACCAGCCGGTCAGCCCGGAGCCCCAGGACAGCCCGGTCAGCCCGGACAGGACGGAACCCGCTCCACCTCGCAGCCCGGACCCAAGGGACCACCCGGCCCAGCTGGACCAGCCGGCCAACCCGGACCCAACGGAAACCCCGGACAACCCGGAGGCCAAGGACCACCAGGACCCCCAGGACCCAACGGACAGCCCGGACAGCCCGGTCAAGACGGACAGCCCGGACAACCCGGAGGCCCAGGACTCCCCGGCTCCGACGCCGCCTACTGTCCCTGCCCACCACGTACCTCGGTCTTCGTGCACCGCTCTTAATCCCCTTCATCCTTGCGATGAACGGTGCGATTTCGAGGGCGCAGAAGGTCTTGGCACGTTGAGTTTCATTTACATATTGTTTTACATGTTGAATTGGTTTCATAACTTGAAGGATTGAGTTGAAGGCTTGTCTTCAAAGGCAAAAGATTGAATAAATGAAATTGCCGTTTCAATTGTTGGACATTTGATTTTTTAGTTGGAAATGGAAAGAGTGGTCTGTTAACAGGACAGAAATCTTAATAATTCGGTAAATACAATAGCTAAGGAGGCCAGACAGCAACAAAATTTACTATAAAAGACTTCATATATAAGCTTGATATTACAATTGTCACATAGAGTAAGGAGTTTGTGCTACGATTAAACTTCTCTGTTCAAGAGCCACAAAGTTTAGGCAAAATTCAACGTTTCTCCGGCCGCTCTCCAAACCTGGCGCACACTCGGGCGAAGAACGCTGAATATAACAACTGAAGCAGCAAAATGTGAGCTCAAAAATTCAGGAATTGAACAGCAGCGCATATGGCCCCTATAACCAAAATTTGAAATAATTTTGCTCTGTGCAAAAAAAGCTTTTGTTCTTGCACACTGCTTGTCGCGAAAATCACTCCAGCGACCATGAACTAGTATTGAATAGACATGGCCTTGGGATCGGGCCCCCAATCGGCCCCCAATGATTGAAATTCCGAGTTTCAAAGCGAAAATTGGTGGTGCCAATGAAAATAAAACGTAGAGCCAAGAACCGACAGGATTTTTTGATGTATACGTTAGGGAATGGTTGTTAATTTTTTTGTCGGGCCGGGCCGAGCGAACTTCGGCAGCGATTTTTGGCTCGGCCCGTCCCCAGAGCCAGGCCTAGTATTGAAAAGAGAACAGATGCTTCATTGAGTTATTCGCCAAACCTGTAAATTCGTTCGAAAACAATCTTGACTCATAACTTAATTTACTCCAATTTACCCAACCCGCTGCGTAACTCATGACCTTCTTTGAGCGCGTTCCATTGTCGTAAAAAAACTCGCTCTTCCATAACAACCTTTTCCCAGGAATTATCTTGATGACTTTCTCTCGACTCTTCTCTTGTTCTCCTTGTTGCACCTGAGGAACAAAAACAACTCCTCCGCGTTTGGCTCGTCTTCCCTAGTCGTAAATATTTTGGTTATCCAACCGTTTAGCCCGCCGAGGAATCCAATAAACTGGAGCCGTAATTGCGCTCGCAGTAATTGGAGGGAATCTTGAACGCTTGCGGAGAACGTAACGGATGGAAGAGGAGAGGGTCCATGACTCATGGAATGTGCGGAAATGAATAATAATTATTCGGCTGGAGGGGATCCTACTGAACCCGGTAAAAGGAATACGGAAAACTGTTGAAAATCAGACGAATGCAGAGGAAGACGTGCAAAAAATTAGGTTTAATTGCAGTGTCATCTTTAGACGGTTTTCAAGTACTTCTTGCATCATCTTCTGTGTTGCAATTGTTCATAAAAAAAATGCTTATGTGGAGGCGTCTGCTTTTAGACCGGATCTACAGTATCTCAAAAAATACGTTAAATCATGTCGATGGAGTATGTAAAAATCAGCTGCCCAATCTCTGGTTTTAGGGATGGAAAATCAATCGCAAGTTGACTTAAACCTCTACACACTGTAAAATCAGGGCGCTAGAGACAGCCGATAATACCAGAAGGGCCAAAATTTGCCCCAAAAAACAAAGACCAGTAAGTTTGTCTGGATATTATTGCAGTAATACATGTAAAATATTACTTTAAAATATAGATCTTAAACTCAGATCTGATCAAACTTAATATTTGGTATGTTAGCTGAGCCTTATACCCTATGCTTGTACATGCATCGGGCATTTTGCTTGTTGGCCAAGTCTGTGTTACAAAACCTAAAATTTTGACGAAATGAATTCGCATGTCCCGGCATGATATTATAAAAATGATGTCGCAGTATGAGAGCCGTGTTTCAATTGAAAAATCTTACTGTACAAAATGCAAATCTAGAGCAAAGACTGAAAGCTGCTAGCATATTGATTGTCATGCTAATCAAGCGGCTTCCGCAAAATCATTCACCATTCTTTGAACACTTCATTCCGATTTTTCTAGCCATTATCATCCATCTACAGTCCATGCTGAAATACGCCATTATTCTATCGTTTTTTGCCCTCCAATCCTTCTCTCAGCACGTCACAGATGCCAACAACACATGCGGCTTCAAAAAGCTGGCTCCATGGCTGTTCGAGCGCCGACTGAAGCCGGTAAATATTACTTGTTTTGTCCGGCAATCAGCCAACTGTGTGTTACAATCGAAGGTCGAATGTAATCACGGGTATTTGCCCGAGGGCTCGGTGAAAACCTCAGCGATCAGGTGCGACAAAGACAACGGATTTTCGCTGCAATCGGACTTGAAATGTGTGGCAGGCTGCGCAATGTTCGACTTGAGTGACAAGAATCAGCTGGGAAATGCGACAATTGTAAATGGGGTCAAAGGAAGCGACGGATTTTACTCGAAAGGCACTGTTGTGGAGACGAAATGCAAAGACGGTGAGAATTTGATTCGTCTTGGCGAATTTCGGCGTCAAAAATTTTTTTACCTGTTTCTACCGTAAAGTGTAATGTTGTCACAAAAAATCATTTTTTTCCGTACGAAACTGGCAAAGTTATGGCCAAAAAGTGTTTTTCCCTCTGACAGGTAAAGAAAGTTCAATATCTCGGTGGCGCTTGAAAAGCGCGAGCTAAAACTTTCCGGAATTAATATTCAGTCTATGCCAAACGTGTGTGCATAATTTAAAGAAAATCTGTGCGTCGCACTTGGAGAGAGAACTAAACGAAAACATATATTATACTTGCAGGTCACCTCTTTGACACCCCCGAAAAACGCAACGCCGGCACCGACAAGCATCGTTGCGTTGGCGGTCGAGAAGGATGGGTTAACCTTCTCAACGCATCTGATGTGAACTCCCGGCCCGGATTATGCAAGCCCGTCTGCGAGATAACTCCGTAAGAGCTGAATATTTGGACTACTAATAAAATCTGTTTAGTAAACTGACGGAGAAACTGAAGCCAGTGATTGCATACGACCACTGCGATGTTATGGATCACAAAATGAAGAAATTTTTGGTGATGGGAAACCCATTCTTGTACGAGTTGGAAAATGGTAGGTCGGAGAGTTGACCAAGGCTTATATAGAGCTCTATATAAGCCATGGTGGCTCTATAGAGGCTGTCAACGCGGTTGTTTTTGAAATGGCGCAGCAGTTTTCCTGCAATCCAAGGCACAACTTTGTACTATCCGAAAGAGTTCAGGACCTGTATCAATCCAATCCGTCGGGAAAATAATAAGAACAATGATTGCCATTCTGGGATTGGATGCTTCGAAGTTCCGCGTTTCTATATCTTTGACTTATTTCAAATTTCAGGCACCCAAACCAATATGTTGACATGTCCCGTACCGAGCGGGGTAGGTGTTATGCAATACATCAGCCTGTCGGGAAAGTAACGAGATGTGTCGCTTCACCGATCGCGTCGCTGAAGTAAAAAGCTATCTGATTTGCCGCAACACAATTCACTTTCTCTGCCGTGATGACATTTCCGATACGACATTGTGCTCACTATTTTCCCGACAGGCTGATATTTCTTTTTCAAAAAAGAATGTATTTATAAAATTTAGCCTAAACCGAGCCCGCTACCTCCAAAGACTCCCCCGTTCCCGCATAAGGGTCCAAATGCTACACCCTCGCCAGTCGCATCGTCTTATCCCGTAATCAATGTAACCCTCGCACCGCCAAACCCGCTGATCGTCAACGTTAACATTCAACCGATCATCGTGAACCCAGTGGTGTTCCCAATCACAATCAATGTCAATTATTATCAGCCTACAATCCCGGGGATATATTTGAACATCACTCCGACCGGCGTTGTGATCCCATTCACAATTGTCGATACCTACAAATTGCCGGGGATTTATATTCCAATTGTTGGAAACAACATCATCAATATCCAAATTCCCATCCGATATTACATCGGAATTTCGTATATTGTGCTGCCATTAGCGAGTACTGTAGTTTTTGAAGAGTTGACGCCAGAGACTTGGATTCAATTCGTCTTGGATTATCGTGAGTTTTTATATGATAGTTGGGGCAAACAGTGGTAAAACATTATTGATCCCCAAGTGAAAAGGCAGAAAAGTGAAGACGAAATTTTACGTGAAAATGCACCGGGTAATACTCAAATTTTCTTTGAGTTTTGTTTTCATATAGTGCATACACAACTCGTATCAATCCCTCAAAGTTATAGCTCGTGATTTTCCATGGCTCCAATGCTTTAAACAGTTTTTGAAAAGATACAGTGGCGGACCTGATACAGTGGCAAAAAAGTACCATTTTGCATCCGGGAAGTATCAAAAAATGTGGCAAAATACCTCCCTTTTCAAGTGAAAAGACTTTTATTACAAAAGCCAATCTTTTTTTGTGAGGGAAAGCTCTTCAATTGGAGTTTTTTCGCTTGGAGAGGGAAGCATTTTGCCACATTTTTTGATACTTCCCGGATGCAAAATAGTAGTTTTTTTCCGCTGGATCAGGCCCGCCACTGCACATGCATAAATAAATGACAAGTTCTGTCAAAATCTGAGCGTTTCCCTTGCATTAGTTCATTAATCAAGCATATTTTTCAGCCAACTTCAACATGACAACAACGTCAACCCGTCCGTCGAATATTCAATATCTTTTTATCCCCTTACTTCCGCCAAATCTTGGCTTCCCGAACACAATCTTTATTCCACTAAATCTGACGTTATCCATTCCAATGATCACAATTCCCTTCCTCAACATTCCCCACCAACCCAACGTAAAACTGCCTACACTTACTGTGCCAGTAGTAACACAAAGCCCATCTTACATCGTAATCAATTACAATATTGGTCAAATCCCGTTCTACGTCCCGGATATCTCGAATCTTCCATCGGTGATCCCCGTTTTTGGACGTCAAGGATGCAAGAAGTTTGTGGACAGCGAACACAAAGTGATGATGACGCAGAATTGCGAAGGCCATGATATGTATAACGCTGGATGCAAAATAACAATCAAGTGTGAATCGAGTAAGCTTTATACATTTTTTGAGGGGGTCATTTTGCTAATTTTTTTATTTTCTAAAAGTATTGCGCTACTAAAATGAGGTTTTATTCAAAAACTGGCCTGTTTCATGGACTTTGTTGTTTCACAAACGGCACTAGTCCGTTCGCAAAGTCGCTGGAGTGATTCTTGGCATTTGTAAAGTGCAGGAAAATCAGGGTGCGTGCGACAGCCCAAAAAATCATACTGCACGGTGCAAAAAGCAACAAATTGCACAGTGCAAAATAAACTTTTGTTTTCGCACGGTGCACATTGCCAAAAGCATTCCAGTGAGCCAAGGAACTAGTATGTAGGTCATGCATACAAAATTTGGAGAAAAGTTAGTAACTTCTGTGACTATGTTAACGTTCGGTCAATTTTTACAAGGTGTCAAGAATGGAAATTTATAAAATAAAAGGAGAGGCGGCAAACTCGGCCGTAGCTTCGATTGCTTTATTTCAATAGCTTTATACCTAATACAGTTGTGAACAGTGGCAAAAATATACCATGTTGCATCCAGGAAGTATCAAAAAATGTGGCAAAATACCTCCCTCTTCAAGTAAAAAAACCCCGGTTTCAAAATCGCGCCCGATCTTTTTGTGTGGCAAAGGGCGCGCTCTTCAAAACGGAGTTTTTTTAGTTGCAGAGGGCGGCATTTTGCTACATTTTTTGATGCTTCCCGGATGCAAAATGGAACATTTTTTGCCACTGGATCAGGTCCGTCACTGAAGTTTAAGTCAGCAGTTTAGAAGTTAAGATTTTTTCAGCAATCCGCAGGCATCTCCAATGCTCCTCCGTTAATGGAATCGCCGGCTACACCGATGAATCCGGCTTTCCAATTCTTGACTTCAAATGCCCAAGCCAGACCAAAGAGAAAACGTCGGTGGTCTATGTTACACAAGAGGCCAAAGTGGTCTACGTTCCACAGAAGGCGGAAGAAAGTTGCGTAATGCTCCCGAAAAGGGCTGGATGGAAGATTTTGTTGGTTAATGAAAGCTCGGGCGGCAAATGCAAAAATGGAGAGATTCTGCAACCGAAAGGATGTGAAGTCAGAGTCAAGTGTAGAAAAGGTAATACTACTAATATTATTTGCTTTTATCGACTTTTTGGGAGTACCCCAAGAGTCGGGCCCTTTCAGCGTCTCTCCGACGTAAAGCCACAAACGATACTCAATTTTTTCGCCCTAGAAATTGCAAACAAATCGAATCTTTGGCTTGTTTTGCTTGAGAGATTGCACCAACCATAAAAAAGATGACTTGTTCGTCTTTTTCATCCCATTTTTTAGGCTACACTCCCGCCAATTCTGACTCGCCATACCCGGTTTCTTGCGTTTGTAATGGCCAGAGATTTGTCGATGGATTTGGGGAAATTCCTCGTCTGGAATGCCGGAAAGACGACTCTTCAAGAACTGTTATTATTGAGTCAGAGAGCGAAAAAAGAAGTTGCGAACCAATAACGACAGAAGAGTCATCAACGTACAAGTTCAGTAATGCTTCACACACAACTACGTACAGCTATGGGCAGAGTGTTCAGATGGTTTGTAAGGAAGGTAATTGAAATTATGACAACCGCGGAAAAGATTCAAGATACAGTGCGCAAAAGCAAAAAAATGTCCATACGCTTTGTGAAAATACAGGGTGTACCAATTTTTTTTGTTCTTTCTATACCGAGCAGCTTTCTTTGATTGCGAAATTGAAATTGCGACTTTTGAAGTCGCCGGCCGCCCTCCAAACCTACAATCAATCGGTTTTGTGAAGTTTTCTTTATTGCAATGGCAGCAGCAGAGCTCTGAAGGAAAGTAACGACCATAATAATATCAGTTCCACCTTCCTGGCATTTAACCTGGCAAAAAAACTGGAAACATTTTAGGTGACCCAAAAAAATCCTATGTCCGACCCTTAGCAGAAACTGACGCAACGAGCTGTTTCCGTTCATAATGTCGCTTTATTAGTTTTGGCACTGTGCACAAAAAGTCAGGGTGCGCGCGACAGCCCAAAAAAAGCCTATTGCAAGCAGCCACAAGGTGCACAGTGTAAAGAGACCTTTTTTTCGCACAGTACATGTCGCCAAAATCGTTTCCTTTGCTAAAGGACTTGTACAGGTCACAGACCTGATCCAGTGGCAGAAAACGTGCCATTTTGCATCCGGGAAGCATCAAAAAATGTGGCAAAATGCATCCTCCTCTAACTAGAAATCTCCGTGAAGGGCCTTTGCTCCACAAAAATAGCGGGCGCGCTTCTGAAATCGGAGTTTTTTCACTTGGAGAGGGAGGTATTTTGCTGCATTTTTTGATACTTCCCGTATGCAAAACGTTTTTTGCCACGGGATCAGGTCCGCCACTGTAAAATAATTGCTCATTTGCCAACTCAAAAACAACCAAATAAAAAAACGCTCCTCGCTCTGAAATGTGTTGATTTATTTGTAGGCTACTACCCGTCCAACGAGGAGTACCAGAAGTCCGGCTTTCAACTGTTGACTTGCGGTTCTAACGGCCATTGGGAAAGCGGCTCCAAGTCATCGGCGAAATGGGAGTTCCACTGCACCAAAGGCTGTATAAATCGACCGCACGAGCCGTTGCGGGAGAGTGAGGTCGCGTATAAAGTGCGGACCTTCAAGTCGAAAAAGAGCGGTAAAACTGTCTCCTGTCGGAAAGGTAGGCTATGAGTATGATTATAACATTTACATATATAAATGTAAATTTTACGAATTGCTCAGAAATTGCCCGAGAATTCGCTCAGATCAAGTACACCGTGCCCGAAATGCCCTTCCACTGTAAGCCGGGAGAGTCGCAAGACAAAGCGTATAGCATGCAAAAGCAGGAGAATATCCCCTGCACCAATGCGTGCCTGGATATATTGGACGACACGGACACAAGATCGATAAACGTGAAGAGCAAGAAGAGTAAAATCAGCTGGGAAGGGGACAGCTATGTGATGGATGGGCATGTGTTTACATACACTTGCAAAAATCCGGGTAAGAGTGGGAGCGTTGCGGCAGAACTCTCCCCCTTTTCTGAACTCTCCCCAAATCTGAACTTTCCCCCTTTTTGAACACTCCCCCTTGAAGGAACCCTCCCCCTTTTTGAACACTCCCCCTCATTTTGAAAATTGAAAAAATGAGGTGTGAGATGTTATACGATGGAGATTTTTATGAAATTGAAAAAACAAGGCGTGACATCTTATACGATGAAAGTTTTTTTTTCGAATTGGGGAAAATAAGCAATGACATGTTATACGATGAAATTTTTTTTCGAATTGGGAAAAATAAGGTATGACATGTTATACGATGAATTTTTTTTTCAAATTGAAAAGAATAAGGTGTGACATGTCATACGATGAAAGTTTTTTTTCGAATTGGGAAAAATAAGATATGACATGTTATACGATAAAAGTTTTTTTCGAATTGGGAAAAATAAGCTATGACATGTTATGAAATTTTTTTTCCAAATTGAAAAATATAAGGCGTGACATGTCATACGCTGGAAATTTTTTTCAAATTGAAAAAATGAGGGGTGACATCTTATACGATGAAAGTTTTTTTTCGAATTGGGAAAAATAAGGTATGACATGTTATACGATGAAATTTTTTTTTCAAATTGAAAAGAATAAGGTGTGACATGTCATACGATGGAAATTTTTTCTTTTCAAATTGAAAAAATGAAGTGTGATTTTTTTTCAATTTGAAAACAATTTTCATTGTATAACATGTCACACCTCGTTTTTTCAATTTCCAAAATGGGGGAGTGTTTAAAAAAGGGGAGAGTGCTGATTTTTTGGTAAAAATAAAAAAGCGGGAGAATTCAGCCTTTTTTGGGGTTGAGTTGAAAAAAGGGGTGAGTTCAGACTGGGGGAGGGTTCAGAAAAGGGGGAGAGTTCAGGCTGAACTGAGTGGGAGGTATTCAAACATGGCAGGGCTGAATGCTGGTTTCGGAAGCTTCAAAAAAGGCCGGGCCCAGCTCTTCTGGGGCTTTGTTAAATTGACTACAAGAAGCGCATGTGCTACTGATCAATTTACGGACCACTGGGCCAAGTAGCACAAAAAATTTTATATTTTCGACCGAATTCGGCCGGTCCACTTGACTCACCAGCAGAAATAAAGCTGTCACCTTTTATACATCAACTAATATTCAAATCTTGACCAATTTTCGGCCTGAAAATCTTGGTTTTTCCTGCAAAATGCGAGCTAAAAATCTCGCAAATATGTGGAAAAAAATTCGTTTTAATTTCAAGCCAAATTTCATTAAAATTTAAGACTCATGCTTCGAGAACTTCGTTGACAGTAAAATCTCCATTCATTTTTCAGGAGAAACCATTGCTCCGGAGCACACGACCTCCAAAATGACGCTTAAATGCGACGGCAAATCGAGGCACTACATCAACCCGGACGAGCCGGACAAGCCCGTTTTCAAAGGCCCAAGAAGATGTTCTCCTTGACACGACTGCCTCAGGAAAAGCTTGAAAACTTCATTCGTAATAAATCGTAAAAAACAAAGAGTAGTAGAAAAGTTGAAAAGTTTGTGGTTTGGCCAAAGAGAGTTCCCAGAGTTGTACAGAAATTGATTAATTCCCCAAAAAATATTGTTCATTATAGCCGCGTGACCAAGGTGTTCACAAAGCCTTCGTTGTCGACGCCGAGCTCGGGTGGGACCGCGATCAAGGGCTCGGTTTCCTCCTCAATCCCCGTATAGTTGGCATAGGGGTAGGAGAGGGACATGAAAGTCATCAACAGGATGATTAGGAAGATGGCCAAGGCGAATGCGAAGAATTCATAGGCCTGAAAGGTTGATTTGAGTTTTTAAAGGGAGAAGAAGTAAAATATGGCCATCTTGCTCGACCAGAGGCCAATGCGCTAACTTAAACTTGGCTTAAGGTTGGCTTAAAGGTTAGCTGAAAATGGTAGGGCGCAGCTCGGAAAACTTGCACTGGCGCAGCTCGCGTCTTGAGCGCAGCTCAAAAACAAGCTGAAACTTAGCTCCGGAGAGCTGCGAAAGCTTGTTTCCCGAACTGCGCCCTACCATTTTCAGCCGACTTTTAGCCAGATTTTCAGTTAGCGCAGTGGCCCCAAGTTGAGGTCCATAGTAATATTATCAGCATGTCGGAAAAATAGTGGCTGGTCACCAAAGAAAACTTACCATATTCACAAAGGGGTTGTGCATTTGAATAAACATGCCGATGAAATCGCCCAGTCCAATGTTGGCCATCCAGAAAGCCATCGAGAAGGCTTTTAGTGGAGGTGCTGACTTAAAAATCTCAGTGATTAGTCTACCGCTACCGTATAAATAGCTCCCATATTAAATAGCAAGTCCTCACCTGTGTATAAACAAATTCCAGGCCGGTAATCGCAAACATGATTTCCGCCACAGCCATCAACACATACTGTGGGATTTGCCACACAATACTCATGTAATTTGGAGGGGATAGAGTGTGAAATGCTTGGACATTACTCTAAAATAACACACTTTAATACACTCGCTCACAACCTCTTGCTTACCACAGCCTCATCAACAAGCACACTGTCCGCCAGTCCAATTGTCAGCATGTAGACGCCGCCCATGCCGTTGATCAGGAAGTCCGAGTTCTCCACGGCCGTATATTGCGCCGGATCCGTGGGTTTTGCGCCCGGCTTCACATAGTAGACGGAGAACGGCCCAGGGCCGATGGTTCCGCCAGAGTAGTGGGAAAGAGTCGCCTTGCCCTGAGGCTTATCACCCACCGGTGGGAATGCCTTTAACGGGACTTGAGAGGAGGGCGCGTTCCATTGGAAGAAACCGCTGAAAATTTGAGGAAATGAAGTCAATTTGTAAGCGTAGTAATATCTGCAGTTCTATCGGCCTGTCGGGAAAGTAATATGGATTTGTCATGGCTTGGAGTGGTAGAAAAGTATGGTGTTTCACCGCGTTGCCACGGCTAGCCGCGGCTGGAGATTCGACTGCGGCGAGGCAAAGCAAATTCCTTCGACAAATCCACATTATTTTCCCGACAGGTGATAGGTGGTTATTTGTATATCCGCAGCACTTATAGAGTAAAAATTTTCCAACATTTTTATACGGCATAAGAAATGTGGGCAAAATTTTTACAACCGCACTTCGTACACTTTCCTTGTAAAATACGACACTTTTCTATAGAAATTTGTTTAGTGTTTTTCGGTATATTCCATGACGGACCTGATCCAGTGGCAAAAACGTACCGTTTTGCATCAGGGAGGTATCAAAAAATGTAGCAAAATACCTCCTTTTCCAAGTGAAAAACTCCGTTTTGGAGGGCGCCATCTTTCCTTCACAAAAATAGCTGGCGCGCTTTTGAAATCGGAGTTTTTTCAATTTGGGAGGGAGGTATTTTGCCACCTTTTTTATGCTTCCCGAATGCAAAATGATACCTTTTTGCCACTGGGTCAGGTCCGCCACTGAAGACGTTTTGCTAACCTCAATAAATTCTTGCTAAAATTCGGAAGACCACGTAGCTGATAATTGAAAAAAACGTCGACGAAAGCTTACGTCGGATCTGCAGGATTGCACGGCGCCGAAGCGTTGGGATTTGTCCGACACACCGCCAAGGGGCCGGTGTACGGAGTCAACGTGTTCAGGCCGGTAGCCAGCTTCGTACAAACTTCGCTGTTCTTGAATTCCGTCGGCAAAAACTTGCATGGAATGAGGAAATTTATACTGAAATGAGATGGCCATAAAATTTGCCTTTAAAAAAAATTTAAATTCTCTTATAAACCCGTATGTTACAAACCTTATTCCACTCGAAATCAGGCCTTCCGTTGGTTTCGCCGTCGAGACGGACTGCGAGAAGATTCCCTGAGGCAAAACGACGATGACTCGATTCTCGCCGGACGCTAAATCCATTGGATAACGGACGAACCCGCGCCCCGAACACGAGCCATTCATTTGAATGCCTGGATTCACCCGACTCGAAGCCTCAACCGAGACTTGGTAAGTCTCTTGGCGAGCCGCTAGAGGATTGTCGGTGAGGCCCTGGAAGTTAGTGTTGTTAAAGGTGGCTGATCAAGCAGTGATTATGTATTACAACCACAGGGAGGGAGGGGAGGCTTTTTGGGCAACGCGTAGACCAACACGGGCCATGGGTCGGCCTCAAAATTTCGCCGTGAACTTTAAAAAATGAGACATTGATCAGGCCAAGGGATTTGTCAAGCAATCCCGAGACCCACATACAACAATACATTGATCTGTCTGGAAAAATGGCGGATTGTCGCGCCTTGAAATCGCACACCGCTCTGCGACGACTGAAACTTTGGTGAACGCCTCCACCCTTTTTTTCGGCGAGGAGACACGCTTTGCTCCGTCGACCCGCCATTATTTTCCCGACAGACTGACAACGGGGAGACACACCGCAAGTTCGAATCCGCAAGTTCGAATGCCTAAAGTTCGAATGACTAAAGTTCGAACGACCTCCAGTTCGAACTACCTAATGTTCGAATGACCGTAACTTTGAATAACCTAAAGTTCGAATGACTAAAGTTCGAAAATAAAAAAAAAGTTAATTACTATTTAAATTATAATTTGCATTTTGCAAAATACACTTCCTCTTCAATCATTCATTCATCCTCTACGATGGAGGTTGGTTGTCCTAACACTTTGACCGACAACGAACGCGCTGTTCTTCATGTCGACCTGATCAAGATTCGTCATGGCGCCAATCCAACTGTGTCTTTCTCGGGATTCGTGGCTTTGTGTGGTGGATTTTGCTTTCTTCATAACAACTGGAGGTCGTTCGAACTTTAGTCATTCGAACTTTAGGCATTCGAACTTGCGGATTCGAACTTGCGGTGGGTCTCCTTTGTCGGGAACGCCTACCGCAAGTTCGAAAAACCCCAAGTTCGAAAACCAAAAGTTCGAATGCCGCAAGTTCGAATGCATTTTTTATATTTTCATATTTCGAACTTCCGGTTTTCGATCTTTTAGTTTTTCTAATTTGAGGTTTTTCGAACTTCCAGTATTCGAACTTGCGGCATTCGAACTTGCGGCATTCGAACTTTTGGTTGTCGAACTTGGGGTTTTTCGAACTTCCGGTAGGCGTTCTGATAACGGACAGGCTTGCCTGATCGGAAATGTGCGCAAAGTAGGACACCCGGATTTTTGTTAAACCTTGCACACATGTCAGAGATAACCGACATATTAATACCTGAAAGTCTTGGCTCGCGGTTTTCAGAGACAGCCGAGATATTCAAGGATGAGCGTAGAGCGACCGAAGAGAAAACACTTTTTCAATATCTTTTCCAGTTTTGCGCAGAAAAAAGCAGTTTTTTTTGTGGAGACATTACGCTATGCAGTAGAAACCAGTACAAAATTTCCATGCCAAAATTTGCAAAAAAATCTCACATGGTATTTTCCCGCGTTCGTTCTAAAAGTCCCAGTCGTTTCTGCGGAGCGCTGGCTAGGAGACTTGCGTTTATTATTTTAGAAAAAATTGTTCTAAACTTGTGCCAATTTTTGATAAAATCTGAGCGTAAAATTTGGAGTGCTCCCTTCGTCAATGCACTCACCAGTCCGCCGGGAATAACAGCCGGTGTAACATAGCCGGGAACGTCAGCCACCACAAGCCTGCAACCCTTCGGAAAGGCGTTTACGACGGATAAGGACGCTTGTCCCGCTGATGGTATTGTTGGCATGGTTTGCTGAAATCAAAAGTTTAAATATTTCACAAACATTTTTAACATCGTATTTTAAAAACTTTCCTATCCCAAAAAATTGTTAACCCTTTCCGGACGAGTCGGCACCTCCATGCAGAAATGAAAGAGGGTACCCTACTGAGTAACGGCATAATAGTGGTTCAGCCCATCGAAGCGTTATTTGGGACTTATGACAAAAAATGTCCTAAAAAGTACCCCCAGTTGACATAACCCTTATAAAATTTTGCTAACGACCTGTAAATTAGAAACTACCCCTAAGTTAAAGTCTAAGACCCCTACTACTGTTACATCCAAGAACTGTCCAAATCGGACCATTACAGGATTAGTTATCGACTTTTGGAAATTGAATTTTAAATTTCGACCAATTTTTGGCCCAAAATTGAGTATATCTTCCGCCGGAATCAACCATTTCAGTCTAAATGTGGTTTTTCTGAATCTAGAGTGACGCTAGCTTCTTCCCAGAATGTTTCCAGAAAAAACCTATAGGGCACGTTTCTGTAAAAAGCGAAAAGGTTGAAAGCGTAAAGGTTTCACCGTATAAAATGTCGCCGCAAGCCGAGAAGGGTCGGGCGCAGCTCGAAAGGCGAAAATAATATATATTTTTTTGAGAAATACTATTTTAGTGCGAAACTAAAGCAAAATCCAATGAAATTGCCTGAAAACGCATTAAAAATATTAAAATGACATTGAGTTAATGTTTGCGTGCTCTGTCTGTCTGTATTTCATCTGAATTCAGCTTGTCGACACTAAAATAATATTTTTCCAAGAAAAAATATTATTTTAGCCTTTCGAGCTGCGCCCGACCCTTCGCGGCTTGCGGCGACATTTTATACGGTGAAACCTTTACGTTTTCAACTTTTTCGCTTTTTACAGAAAAGTGCTCTATAGGTTTTTTCTGGAAACATTCTAGGAAGAAGCTAGCGTCAATGTAGATTCAGAAAAACCACATTTGGACCGAAATGGTTGATTCCGGCGGAAGATATACTCAATTTTGGGCCAAAAATTGGTCGAAATTTAAAATTCAATTTCCAAAAGTCGATAACTAATCCTGTAGTGGTCCGATTTGGACAGTTCTTGGATGTAACAGTAGTAGGAGTCTTAGACTTTAACTTAGGGGTAGTTTCTAATTTACAGGTCGTTAGCAAAATTTTATAAGGGTTATGTCAACTGGGGGTACTTTTTAGGACATTTTTTGTCATAAGTCCCAAATAACGCTTCGATGGGCTGAACCACTATTATGCCGTTACTCAGTAGGGTACCCTCTTTCATTTCTGCATGGAGGTGCCGACTCGTCCGGAAAGGGTTAAACTTCTTACATTCAGGCCCATTTGGATGATTCCAGCCAGGACAAATGCCATCACCGCGAAGAGCCCTCCAATTATCATCCTTTTGAGGTACCTAAATGCCGAGCATTAGTCATAAATCAAGGCCAATGTCCAAGAATCCCTGCAGGTTAGAACAAAAACTCGGAAAATCTTCTTATCCGAAAAAAGACAACATTTATTCTTCGGAATTTTCTCGACGCGTAAATCCCTGATTTTTAATTTTTTTTAGCCGATGAAATTTCGGTTCAAAAAAATACCTTTTGTGGTCCTTTAAAGATCAAAACTCACGTTAATCTGATCCCACAGGTAGTGAGAAAAGGATAGATGAGAAATTGAAACAGTGGAATGAACACAATGAGGAGTAGGCCAAAGAAAATCGGCATATGTTGAGGTAGTAGGAAGAAGGTGGGGGAAAGTTGAGCATCCATTTGACGGGCTTGAACTAGCCATCGAGCCGACTGAAAATTACAGTCAGCGATGTTATATGAACTTTAATTTTTTTTGCAAAGTAAAAAAATACAGTAAAACCTTTATAATATCAGTCTGTCGGGAAAATAATGAGCACTCTGTCGCATCGAAAATCGCATAAAAAATAAATTGCACCGAGGCAAAATTAAATTGCTTTTCACTTCAGCGACGCTATTGGCGCAGCGAAATTGGGCTCATTATTTTCCCGACAGATTAATAATTAAAAAAGTCGCAAACACCCGAATTCTTTTATTATCATTACCTGCTGTTCATAAAAAGCCCAGAACAAGACGGTTGGGCCCAAAATACCCTGCAGCCCGAAGAAATTGCGCACATCGTCGATGAACTTGGCCTGCGGGCAGTTCGGCGGTGATCCAGGCGCCCGATTCTTCGCCGCTTGAATACATTCCAGATGCTTGGAGCAGTCGTGGATGTTGAGGTAGTAGTCAAGCCAATGCTCTCGAGTCGTTCCGATCCCTTTGAACTTGACGTAGAGGGCAATCTGAAAAAGAATTTATGTTGTAGTTCGTGTTGAAAGTTTGAGAATTCGATTTACAAGGGGAAGTAAAAAAACTTGGAGAATTCAATTCACAAGGGAAGTGATCTAAGTGCGACGCTTAGATTTGAATGAAACTTGGGCAGATTCGGATCGTTGGGGACCTGAACCAGTGGCAAAAAACGTACCATTTTGCATCCTGGAAGTATCAAAAATGTGGCAGAATGCCTCCCTCTCCAAGTGAAAAAACTTCGGGCGCGCCCCTGTTTCCTCTCAAAAAGAGCGCGCGCGTTTTTGAAATCTGAGTTTTTTCACTTGGAGAGGGAGGTATTTTGCCACATTTTTGATACTTCCTGGATGCAAATTGGTACGTTTTTTGCCACTGGATCTGGTCCCCCACTGTATAAATATAAGCGAGACTCGAGGCTTGCAGTAACAACCGAGATTTTTTTTGAAAATTAATGTCATAAAAAATTCTAGCTTTCTGCCATACAAAAGCTCATCCGATGGGAAAAACGTACTATACATTTTGGATCCGGAAAGTATGGAAAATGCAGCAAAATATCTCCCTATCCAAGTGAAAAACCCCAAAAGCGCCCTCGTTCTTTTTGTGAGGGCGCGCCATTCAAAACGAGTTTTTTTTTTAGGCAAAGAAGGAGGTATTTCGCAACATTTTTTTGGTACTTCCTGGATGCAAATTGGTACGTTTTGATTTTTTTGTTTTGAAAATTAACTTTCCGCCACTGCAGATGGCAATGTTTTTACGAAAAAATCAGTTTTTTCAGAATTGGCAGTAATCTTCCCAAATCGCATTTTTTGCGTTTTCTTTCGTTCAATAACTTAGCTGCCGTTGCAAAACACAAGCCAAAATTATAGATTTTTTCAGGGGCTGACAAGTGGCCTATACAGCCTAGGAGACAAATAATAAAAATTGCTAAAAACTTAAAGCAAACCTAAGCGTCGCACTTCAAAGATTTTTCTTGTACATAAATGTATGAAAAAGCTTTTTTTCATCACCTTACTGTCAAAAAATCAAAAAAATCATCAAATCCATTACCTTTATCGTATTGACGATCTTGCCAAACACCCCCGGAACCGGCGGATTGGGCTTGTACAGGCAGGCTCCCACCGAGAACGCGATCACTGTGCCCAGCATCACCACAAACGAGACGCCAAATCCAACCGGAAAACAGCTTCCCTGCCCCATGCAAGGCATTTGAGTCAAAGTGGGCACAAAAATTGTCCCCAAAATCCCACCGATTTGAATGCAGAGATAGTAGAGCGCGAAATAAATGGAAATCATCGACAAGTGATGGGGTTTCAGCTGATCCGCCCCGATCACCGGCAATGCGGGCTTGGTGACGCCAACTCCAAATACGACGACCACAATGCCGAAGAGGTCTAGCCAGCTGGAAATGCGAGCTTTGGTGAGAAAAATTAGAAGTTGTAGGAGTGGCGGAGACCGAAAAAAGTTGTTGGAGGTACCTACGAGGCCTGGCAAAGCCGTAATATGCACATGGAAGGTTTGGCGAAGGCTTGGCGGAGACCTGGCAAAGGCGGGCGCACACTTGCGGGCAACCACTTTGCGGGCAACCAGTTTGCGGGCAAACTTTTTGCGGGCAGCCACTTTGCGGGCAGCCGACATTTGCGGCCAGCACCGGCATTTGCGGGCAGCCTGGGACATTTGCGGGCAGGGTCGACAGTTGCGGGCAGCCTGGAAGATTTGCGGGCAGCCGACATTTGCGGGCAACCGACACCTGATTGTGAGGGTAACAGGGTGGCGTGAAAAATGACTATGATATTTTGGAAATTTGCCGACATTTGCGGGCAGCCGACATTTGCGGGCAACCGGCATTTGAGGATAACAAGGTGGAGGTGGAAAAATTACTTCGATATTTTGGAAGTTTTCCGACATTTGCGGGCAGGCAATACTTGCGGGAAACCGACATTTGCGGGCAACAGTTCCAAAAGTTGCTATACAGTCTGTGTGATTGTTTTTTCCTGTTGCCCGCAAATGTCGGCTGCCCGCAAATGTCGGCAAATTTCCAAAATATCGCTGTAATATTTCCACCTCTACCCTGTAACCCTCAGGTGCCGGTTGCCCGCAAATGTCGGCTGCCCGCAAGTGTCGGTTGCCCGCAAATGTCGGCTGCCCGCAAGTGTCGGTTGCCCGCAAATGTCGGCTGCCCGCAAGTGTCGGTTGCCCGCAAATGTCGGCTGCCCGCAAGTGTCGGTTGCCCGCAAGTGTCCCAGGCTGCCCGCAAGTGTCTCAGCTGCCCGCAAATGTGACCCCCCAAATTTTGCCCGCAAAGTGGTTGCCCGCAAAAAATTTGCCCGCAAACTGGTTGCCCGCAAAGTGGTTGCCCGCAAGTGTCGCGACGTCCTGGCAAAGACTTACAACACTGCCACTTTTTCTAATTTTAGCTATTGCTAAGCTTTTTTTTCTTGACCCTGAGCTATAGTAACATAGAAAATACCAAAATTTCCGGCAAAAAACATAGATCCTTAACTTTTATCTAGACATTATTGATGTGAGCACATGTTAAATACCTCAAAAAAAGTGGTAAATTAGCCTATGAAATGATCAATCTTGACATTTGTACAGTGGCGTACCGGATCCAGCGGAAAAGAACGTAGCATTTTGCATCCAGGAAGCATCAAAAACGCAGCAAAATACCTCCATCTCCAAGTGAAAAAAAACTCCCATTTCAAAAACGCGCTTGCTCTTTTTGTGACGGAAAGCGCGCGCTCTTCAAAACGGACTTTTTTCCACTTGGGGAGGGAGGCATTTTGCTGCATTTTTTATACTTCCCGGATACAAAATGGTATGTTTTTTGCCACTGGATCAGGCCTATCACTGTACAAGTCTTTTAGTAAAATCGCTGGAGACATTTTGGCAAAATAATTTGCTGCCTTTTGCACCGTGTTATAGGTGGTATATTGGTCATTGAAAGATGTTTCCAAATTTTTTTGCCAAGATATGCCAGGAAGGTGGAAATCTACATATGGCCATTACCTTCCTTCAGAGCTCGGTTGCCGCCATTGCAATAAAGAAAACTTCACAAAACCGACTATTTGTAAGTTTGGAGGGCGGCGACTTCAAAAGTCGAAATTTCAACTTCGCAATCGCAAAAAATATATATAATATTTTCACCTCCTGTATTAACTAACAATAAGCCTTCTCCTAGCCTTCGCCATGCATTCAACGACGAATTGAGGCGACCTAAAGTATCATAGACCCAAAAAAAGTTGTAGCGCCAAACTAACTTTTGGGAGCTTCGAATTATTCACTATATACGGGTTTCATAGTACAGAGGCTTCATTATTTTTTGAGTTTCCTTTCGCCCTACTGTCCTTGAAATTTTTTAAAAAAAAATCAAATCCCCCCACTTACGGATGCAGCGGATGTCCGAGCGGGAAAATCGATGAAACCGTTAGGAACAAGAGCCCGCTGAGGTATACAATTGAGAACCAGAACAACGAAAAGAAGCGGCCAAACACGCCGTCCGCCAGAAACCCTCCCAGAAACGGGAGAATGTAACTGAACGCCATGAATACCGTAAAAATTAGGCCCGAAGTCGACGGGTCAAACCCAATATTCTTCATGAGGTAGATGAGCAGAGTTGCTGGAATTTTCGGACGTACATTTACATTCAAATATTACGTTTTTACCGACCTTTTAGCCCATAGAAAACAAATCGCTCGCCGATTTCGTACACATACGTCAACAACGTCGATTTTGGCCAAGTAAAAAGGATCCCGCAGCATGTCTGAAGGGGTGTAAAGATCAAGTTTTATGGGACCTACCGTCGGCTCGGCTTCGATCTCTTGCGCCGGCTCCGGCGTTGGGTAGAGAGCTGAAAATATGGGTGTATTGTGTGTTGAGGGCTGTGTATTTTGTTCCGTATATTGCAGGATATGCTAAGCTATCTTACCCGCCTCTCCCAGAACATTGACCATGCTAATGAAGGCACGGAGATCGTATTCTGCTGACTTGGCAAAGCTCCCTGAAAATCCTAAATTCGAGATGATCTTTTTTCATGTCTGATTGGAAATATCGACCAAGAAAGGTTAAAAATGTATGTGTTCAGTACGTCCTCTGTGGAGGAACAACTCAACGATTAACAGGTTACAAAAGCCGTGTCAGTTTCTCACTACAAAATTTTTTCTGATATTGGAAATTTTGGGTTTAGTAATTTCTCTTCGGCTCACTTTTCGATGGTCGTATTATTGAAATGGAAAGCTACTATTACTGTCTCTTTACATGTGTGATAGTACTGGTCCTAAAGAATTGGAGGACTTTTATTTGAAGTTTTTGTTACGCCTCAAAAAATATTTATGCCTAACTTTCCAAAGGCCACACTTTTGTGAATTGCGATTGCAACACGGCCAACTTGAAACTTTCAGAAAAAAAGTTGCAGAAAAGATGTACCCCTATTCTCATCGTGAGCATGTTGTCTGAACGTCGCTATTTATTGGGCCAAAACGTTTCCGCAAATGTTTTACTCTAGAGCCTGATAATGTCAAAAAGTTTTTGCGACTCAAAATAGGGCAAAGCGACCCTGTGGTGAAATTTTTTTGAATTTTTTCGGGAAAAACTTGGTCTACGGGTTTCCGGGGATAAATCGAAAAATTGTATTTAAAAATCGGAGCATTTTGTTTTGGAAACATTTGATTTAATTTTTTTCAAAAAAAATTGCTCAAAAAACGAAAGAATTGACCCAGAGTAATGCCCTACCCCCAAAAAATTTTAAAAAAACTACACTTGATTTCCATGAGAAAATGGTCCAAAAATCAAATATCAGTCTGTCGGGAAAATAATGAGCGCTCTGTCGCAGCCAAAATCGCATCGAAAATGAGTGATATCGCGGCAAAATCAAATTTCTTTTCACTTCGGCGACGCGACTGGCGCAGCGACATTGCGCTCACTATTTTCCCGACAGCCTAATACTAAACTCTAATCTTCTGGGAAATCCGTTAATTACGTCCAGATTGCCCGAGACCCCCGAATCACCCGCAAAAAAGGCTGTTTCAAAACCGCGACCCCAAAAAACGAAACGCCCGTAAAAACTCGGGTGGAAATGCGCAAGTTTCAAAGCCCCGTCTGTAAAACCGCACCGGGATTTGTCATGCCTCATATTCTGTTTTGTTTTTGATTCGGATTAATCTCCATACCTCCTCGTTTATCCGTTATAGCCGCCCATACCCATTTCTCGCGTTTTTCGCAGCTCTTTTTGCGGGATTAATGGACTCGGATGTAAAAACAAGTGATCGGGAAAGAGGGCATCCCAAAATTTCGAAAAAAATTTGACAAAAAAGGGTTGCCGTCCACATTTGGGATAGTAAATTATTGGAAAATTTCCAATAATTTTGTGGACGAAATGTCAAAAAATTCAAATTTTACACTCAAAAAGCCAAAATTCACAAAAAAAACCCAATTTCTTCTCGGAAAAAAACGTGTTTATTAAAAAAAAACTGAATAAACAATAGGCATTAGGTGTAAGTTATAAGCAACAATAAGAAAACAGCGATATTAGTATCAACCAAAAAATACTCTACTTAACAACAACAAATGGGTGGTAAATTCTACAAAATTCGAGGTGATAATAAACCTTTGCGCTATGAAATTTGAATTTATCTATTGGGACGGTCAAAAAACAAACAAGTTCTGGTGAAAATGGAGATCTAAAATTACCTTGTACATGATGAAAATTTGAGAAATTTGGCTAATTGCAGTGAAATACAGGGTGATTGAGGTCAAATCGGGGGGTGTGTGAGGTTGGGAAAAGACATTTTGAGGTAGTACTGGGTACCAATGAGATCAAATTATCTTATACTAGAGACCAATAGAAGGTGAAATCTGAAAAATTTGGGGACAAATCCGAGTGAAATAAAGCTAAATCAGATGAGAGAGATATAAGAGTTGATATGGTGTGAGGGTTTAAAGATTAAAGTATTCTGGCTCAGCTACCGGGACGTCCAAATCGAAGAGTCCCATTTCCAAATTCTCGCCATTCTCGAAGCAATTCAGGTATTCCTCGACTTCATTCAGCTCCTGTCTGCTCATTGGTGGGACGAAAAACTCGCCCAGTCCATCCCAGTCCTCATCGTTCAGCTTTAAAAGCGGTGCGCCAAAGTCATCGACCAAATTTTGATCTTCCACTTCAGCACCTGGGACCTCTTGAATGTTCTCGTCAAATGGGCGGAACAAGTCGCGATTATCAAATCCAGCTGGCTCATTCTCAACGATCAAAGGTTGTGGGTGCTGTTGAACCTCCTGAACTCTGACTTCATGGGCAAATTGCGGGGTTTGCGGGACTTGTTCATATTGCACTTGAGAGGTGTGTTCCCAATAAAATTGATGATGGAAGGTGTTCTGGATTGGTGGTTGGAACGGCTGGATCTGAGCGAATGGTTGTCTGAGAGGCTGAGCGGGAAATTTCGGGAAGAAATATTGCAATCCAGCCTTGCAGAAGTCCATATCACGAAGCCGAACCCCACCCAGAGGCTTTTGCGGGGGTTTAATGGGGTTAACAGGGGCCGGGACGTTCAAAACCGGCTGCAGCGGCACGCTCAATGGCCGGCTCGCCTCCTCGCCGCCCAATGAGATTTCGCGTGGATCCAGGGGGGCGCTGCGCGATCTTTTGGCGGCGGAGGCGGCGGCTTCGCCGCTGGCTCTTCTCTTCTTGGCCTTGCTGGCCAAGGCGGTTCTCATCGTCGCCTCCACATACTCATCCATGGCCTGCAACATCTCGGGAGGGTAGTCGAGAGCGGGGACGTCATTCTCGGCATCCTCGATGATTGGCGCGTTCTTGTCGCGGTTCGCTCCCTTGAATCGTTGGATCGAGTTCGTGGCGACGTAGGTGAAATCGCCGGGGATATAATGGGTCGCAAGCTCGTTCACTGAAATATATTTTGGTAAACGGAGGAAAAAATGGATTTTAAAATTAAATTTAACTATTTTTTCAGGACTTTTAACTATTTTTTCAGGAAAAAGTACTTCTATCGGGTATGGAGTTACAAGTCGAAACATATATATAAAAAATCGCAAATTTTTTTCTGATTCAGAATCTGTAAAAATTAGCTGCCTAATTTTGGTTTATAACGGCGAAAAAACCCTCTAAACTTTTCTCGCAACACCATGCAAATGCCTTTTTAACCAATTCTAAAGTAGACCCTGGCATCTTGACACGCCTCAAAATATCAAATTTCATTAATACAGGGCATTTGCGTGGTGTTGCGAGAAAAGTTCCGAGGATTTTTCGGCCCTTACAAACCAAAATTGGGCAGCTAATTTTTACATATTCTGAATCAGAAAAGTTTTGCAATTTTTTTGATGTTAGACCTGTAACTCCATACCCCATATAAGTGGTTTCCTTGTAAGATAACTTTCAACTTATTTTAGACCTAAAATTCAACTCAAAAATCCGAAAAAACAGAAACTTACAAATCGCCACCTTCTTCTTGCTCTGCGGATCTCTGGGATTGAATTCGGCCGCGGACTCGGCACTTGGAACACATCCATCGGTATGGTAGAAGCATCCGGACATCATTTGCAGGCGGTTGATGGCGCGGATGTAGAGCACGGTGAAGGTGAAGACGCATCCCTTGCCCTGCCTCTTCGAGGTCACCAACTCGCCCTTCACGTAACGATCCGAGGAGTCATGGTTGTGACAAGCGAATACCATCCGGTCGAAGATGAACCGCCTCTTCACCTCTTCGGGGAGCGAGCCGTCCAGCAGGTTCGAGCTCATCTTCACCAAGCGGACGTTGGCGTTGAACTCGTAGTGAATCATCCATTTTAGTAATTCAGAATAACTGCAAATTGATGAGGTTAGACTTGAAATGACTGGAATAGAATCTACCTCCTCTGGACAAACAATTCGCACAAAAATTATCAATATTACCTAAAACCCAAAAATCGGATTTTCTTTTCGAAAAATCCTTCAAAACTAATCAAAAATAAACCTACGAAGTGAACGAGACCTTCTCCGTAAGGCCAATCAGATGGTTGTCCGCGCAGATCACACCCTCCTTGTCCTGGGTCTGACCTCGGATGTTGTACTTGGCCGGCTTCTGATGAACTCGAGGAATCATTTCCACCAGGATTTAAATAATCAAATAGTAGGATAGATTTGAAATCTGCAAATCGGAGGTAAAATACGACGCAATAAGCGCAAAAATCCCCGAAAAGTTGGCGCGCAAAAGTTAGGAGAAAAAGGAAAAATAGACGAAATGTCAAAAAAATTGACATTACGTTCGCATAGTATTGATTAATTATCGATTTCCGATATTTTTTGTTGGAATCGCTCGGAAAGGAGAGAAGAAGTCTTTAGATGTTTATATAAGACTTCTACAATACTAAAATGCGACTGATTTCTATTTTTTTCAAAATTTACTACTAAGAATATCTAAACTAATATAAAAATCCCCTCTATTTTAGTTTTTCTCCATAAACCGTTACAAAAAAATAGTCCTAGGCCCTTTACTATCTTCTAGAATTATTGGAGAGCTATGCACGGCGTCCTCTTGCGCGGAGAAAATGAATGGCTATGCTCAGCTTTGCACCTCCAACACAGCGATGGAAAAAGTGAAGCCCTTGCGTAATAACTGCAGAAATTTTGGCAGGACATTTGCCTCGTCGTACCATGGGGTACTGTAGATCTACATATACATACAGAGTGTTCTATGTTCCATGGAAAACCTGGGAAACATCAATTTGAATATTTTTGGATACCTAATTTTTTTTAAGTCAGCTAACCCAAAAATATGATTGAATTAGCTAATCTATACTTTGTTTGACCAAAACTGATAGCTAAAGCTACCATAACTGCCTTTCAAAGCTACCAGAAACTCTTTTTTTCCCAGCTAATTCCCGAAAAATCCTAAAAAATCAACGATTTTTACAATAATCCTACACTAATAACCAAAAAATTTAATCCATCCTACCAACAAACATCTAAATGTCCATAAGACTCCTATAAGTCCTTATAAAACCTCCTATCATCTATAAAAAGCAGAGAAAACATATACCAAATAAATCCGAAGGAACCGATCCACTTCCTCCGACCGCTGCCTTCTGATGGACTGAGGATACTGCCAAGAATTGGCTCAGCTAAATACCACGCCATAACGCAATCAAATCAACGGTTTTTGCGCCAAAAATCGCCAAAAACACCGCGCTTGCGCAAGGACAGAAAAAAAGTTCAAGCACATTTCCTGTGGGCCTCTGCGGGATTGCTGATATCAGGCTCTTGATTAAAAGATATTCCCAATCACAGAAAATCGAATATTCTCACGGTAAAAGGCGATTTTCCCACGCAAATATCGGCATGACCCGATGAAAGTCGTAAATTTCATAACTAGCCATGAAGAAGTGTAGTGGAACCGCCTCTATGCTACGATACAAGGCTTTGGGGACCGTAACAAACAGTGTCAGAGGTCCATGCACTCTTCAGCAGCAGCCAAGATAACTGACGAATTTTGCAGACAGCAGAGCATTAAAAATAAAGATGACACTATAAGACCTTCCCCAATCACTGAAGCAATACATTTTTTTAGTTTTTATCGAGTTGATATCAACGGATAATGGTTGCTTTTAGAAAATATTAGGTTGGCAACTAAGTTATTGAAATTTTTGACTGCTTTTATTTTTGCCATAACCTTTAAAGGCTTGACAGTCAACAACTATAATACCCACTATTAGTAACAACAATACAAACCTTATCATCTAATGTGCAGTGGCACCACCAACAGAGAAACCAGGGAGATTAGGCTTTGAAGATTTATGTAGTCGGTTTTTAGATGTTCTTTTATACTGAAGTTTTTATAACTTAGATCGTGCACAGCCAAATGGGTGTGATATACGCCACAGAGAGTAACATTAGTACTTCACAACACTTAGGAAAGCAAAGTCTATTTGGACTGTTTGACAATTTTCTACGATCATTATTTCTATCGGGCCAAACAGGCATTCCGACGTAAGTGGTTATTCTAGATTTCATTTTGCTCACAGCCCGAATCTTTTCTATCTCCCATGTAAACATATTCGGAGGAGTGATACTCTGTGTTGGTAATTTTCCCGAGACCATAGCGCATAAAAAAATTGCTAAAATCTTTAAAAATATTTTCATCGGGTATAAAGGGTCTGTTCGGTCTTAACTTCAGAATACCGCGCCTAGGGCCGCTGGCTCCTGTATGGTTTTTTAACAAAGAGAATAGACGTCCCTTTTCAGGGCACTAGATTTATCAGCGGCTCAATGATCTTGGAAAAAAGTAGCAACTACTCGGTTAACTTTTTGGGAGCCGCTAGGCAGGTCATGAAGATAAATTCGGTCGCGACTTTATGTCATGCTCCAAGAAGAAAGACGTTTTATGCTACTATTTGGTTCGTAGTGAATAGCTCTGTCACTACCCGAAGAGTTAACCGCGCTGCCTTCTTTAGCGTCTCGTGCAACACCTTGAAAGACAGCCTACCGCCTAATTTTAAGCGAAGTCGTAATAATTTCTATTGATCCTTTTGGGACAAAATGTTATCACAAGACTGTTGAAGGTGTCCTGACGTTGTAAACGTTGTACATTAGCATTATGTCATTCGAGTTCTAAACGCATTGCATGGCACTGCAAAATGACCACTCAAAATTGCTCTTGTTCAAATTCAAGGTATTACACCAACACGCGAGCTGCGAGTTCGATGCCTCTGGGTTTGATAGTACTCTAACCCTGCTACAGGTGGGATAGTGTGATACTAGCCATACTGACTTAAGAAGGTCTGTGGAATAATGCAAAAAAAATTTCAATAACTTAATTGCCAACCTATATAGGCCTTCTAATACTTTTTGAGACCAGATTCATCTGGATACAATCGACAAAATAGATATTTCCGATCAGTTTTTTCCCAATTAAGGCAACCACTTTGCGAGCAGCCGACATTTACCAATTATAATCACGATTCGGGGCCACGAGCTGGCTCCGGAGCCGTGGCAATCTCTGTTGACAACTCCCTGTTACTTACACAAGTATAAGTGTGTAAGCATATCAAATTAAGCTTCTAATAGGTACAGTAACCTCTTCGGATTGATGGTGAGTAACAGTAGTGATATTATTACAATACCAATAGTTCACTATCTGTTACTACAGCGGGAAAAAAATCGGTGGCCCAATAATTTTGAGGCGTGGAGCGACAAGAAAGAAGAGCTCGAATTTGTGAATTTTTTAGCTTCAGCGTCAGGCTAGTCACAGTTATGGTGGCTATACTATGGATTTATCATGCTGTTGCAGATGCGGCCTTCCGGAAAGTCGCCGGAGTGTGATTTTTCAGACGTGCGCAATGAAAAAACAAATCTCACCATGCATAGTAAAATTGGCTTTTTTTGTTTGTCGTTCATACTCTCAGTTTTCTCGCACAGTGCAAAGGTCAACAACCAGTCCGGCAACTTTCCCGAAGGCATAGTATTTATCAAGCCGGCTTGGTCGGTCTACTCATAAAATAATAAATTCAAAAAAACATTGAGTGGCATTATCATTTCGGCGCGCTGTTATTCCGAGTCTCAAAGCGAAAATTTTGCTTGCCAATAAAAATAAAATGCAATACCATAAAGATTGATGTTTGTGAAAGACTGTGGCCACGACGCCACGGTCTTTATGATGGTTGGTAAATCTCATTTTATATGCCCTCTCTAAGAAAAAAGCTGTTGCATAACTTGACTACCGCTGGAAAGCGCAAGCTAAAACTTTCAAGAATTGACGCGTGGCTAGTGGAGAACCGGCATGCAAAATTTGAAGGACTTCAAAATTCTTGAAGTATTGACCTTTTCAGAAGACCTTGATAAAAATCCGTGGTAGCTTCACTCGCTTACAATTAGTGCTTAGTTGTTTTATCTATCAGTCTGTCGGGAAAAATAATGTAGTTTTACTTATCAGCCTGTCGGGAAAATAATGGCGGGTCGTCGCAGCAAACCTCCAGCTGCCGTCAAGCGATGATCATCGCGACGACCCGCCGTTATTTTCCCAACAGACAGACAGTTTCCTTCGCCAAGTCGCTGGAGTGATTTTGGCGACATGCACGGTGAGAAAGTGAAAAGTCCACTTGGCACCGGAGATTGCCACGGCCAAAATTTCGGCTCCGGCTTCAGCTCTTAGCTCTCAGAGCCGGAGCCGAGGCCAAATTTGCAGCTCTCCCGGGCGAAATTTAAAAGGGTCTCCGGCTCAAAACCCTGGCTACCATGCAAAAATTTTTCAAAAAATATTTTTCCAAAAATAAAAGTTATTATTGCCAGAACGTTTTTGCAGCCAAGTCGTACGCAACACATCTTCCCCAGTATTTTTCAAGCAATTTGGTTTAACAAGATTACGAAATTTTTACTTTTCTGAACGCTGAGAAGTCTGGCTCCGACTTTGGGTACGGGAGCCGGAGCTGCACCCAAAATTTCCGGCTCCGGCTCCCTGCTCAGAGCCGGAGCCAAGAGCCGGCTCCGGAGCCGTGGCAATCTCTGCTGGGCACTGTGCAATTTCTATATGTGTATGCATTTATTTTATTGACGCCAAAGATGACACATTGTCAATTTAAAACGACAATTAAACTTCAATTTTCGCTCTTTTGAATTTCAATAACCCCATTGAGCACAAGTCGTACGGCTCGATTCGGAAGAGTAGACGTGAAGGGCTTTGGAGTGGTAGATTCGGTGGTTGGTGGAGTAGTGAATGGTGTGCCGGTGGTCTCTGAAAAAATCAATTATGCAGTGGGGCATGTGATTTGGCAAATTTGGTCCATTTCAAGGACTATATAGTGCCAAGTGCTATAAATGTGTTTTTGGGTTGTTCTAAGCATCAAACCAACACCATTACCGCCTTATGCCAAAATTTTCACCTCGTACTAAATAGTACCAATTGGTACTATATAGTACCAAGTGGTAAAAACGTGTTTTTGGCTGTACTAAGCACCAAACCAACACCATTACCGGCCAAATTTTCACCTTGTACTAAATAGTACCAGGTAGTACTACTTTGCACCAAGTGTTAAAAATGTTTTTTACGTAACATTTTGCATCTAGGAATTATCAAAAAAATGTGGCAAAATCTCTCCGATTTCAAAAGCGCGCAAGTTCTTTCTGTGAAGAAAAAGGGCGCGCCCTTTAAAACAAAGTTGAGGCATTTTGCCACATTTTTCATACTTCCCGGATGCAAAATGGTACGTTTTTTGCCAGTTCATCACTGTATGTTATTGCTGATTTGTCAACGCCAAAATATTCAACCACAAAAATCTTGAAGCAATTTCCGATTGCCCAGTAAATTTAAATCCAATTTTATTGCAACACATGCGGGAAGGAGGTAGGCATATACTTTTTCATATTTTTTACCTTGAGTAGCCGCCAGAGGAATTGTTGATATTGGAGTAGAACTTGCAACGTCTCCGTTAACAAGTGGCTCAACAAGCAGGAAGGCCAAAACCAGTAAGTAACGACCGCAGGAGCTCATTTTATCCTGAAAATACTGTTTTACAGCAACACTGTATGTATTTACAAAAAAATATAGTATAAGGTGAAAGGGCGCTACGACTTTTGGGGTCAGCAACAGTTCGGGTTGACGATACTATGGATCTTCGTCGTTGTATGCATTGGAAAGGCTGGGAGAAGGCTTAGTTAGTAGAAGCAATACAGCGGGCGACCTGATCCAGTTGCAAAAAAAGTATCATTTTGCATCCGGGAAGTATCAAAAATGTGGCAAAATGCTTCCCTCTCCAAGTGACTCCGATTTCAAAAGCGCGTCCGCTCTTTTTGTGAGGGAGCCCTTCAAAACAAAGTTCTTTCACTTTGGAGGGGGAAGCATTTTGCCACATTTTTGATGCTTCTCGGATGCAAAATGGTACGTTTTTTGCCACTGGATCAGGTCCTTCACTGTAAGATTGATCGGGTTCTAGGATAGCTTATCTTCTTTTTGAGGTATTTTACATGTACTCACATCAATGATGTCTAGGTAAAAGTTAGGGATCTTCGTTTTTTGCCATAAATTTTTGTGTTTTTGATATGTTACAATAACTCAGAGTAAAGAAAATTAACGTCAGTAATACCTAAAATTAGAAAGAGTGGACATATCGAAAGCCTTTGCAGAGTCTCCGCCGAGCCTTCGCCGAGCCTTCGCCGAGCGTCCGCCGACCATCCAACGGCCTTGCCATGCCTTGCAGGCACTTCCTACATTATATTTTTTTGGTGTATTCATTCACCTGCCCTACGCCCCGTATCGATCGATTTTGTGATGACCCGAAAAGTCAGGACGCGAAAAAGAAACAAAGAGAGCAGCACCATGGATGTTACACAAGTTATAGAAAAATTTGGACCACCCATTAACTACGGTAACTCACCAAGGCTATATAACGTCTACTGGACAACAAATAGTGATCCAGTGAGGCGACCATGCTTTTTATATCAGAAATTAATTAAAAATCTCACAAATTATGATTTTTTTCAAATTTTGATTTCGAATTTTGAATTGTCCAGAAAACCCTGAATAGAATTTGATATGTCAAATTGAAAATTCATCTTTCAATTCAAAGAATCAAATGGCATTTATTAGAAGTCAAATGGTATTTTTGGTAATTTTTTTAATTAGAATTTTTGCAGATGAAATGGACGCCATTTTAGTCCAATTTCGGACAATTATCTTACAAAAGTTTTCAAGTTTACAAATGAAGTACAGGGTCTTACGAGAATTTCGGACTTTTTCGGTTGAAAATCACCAGGAAACGTCGGATTGCATAATTTGCAAGTGTTGGCACTTTCCTCATATTTTTCAACACCCCCCCCCCCCCCCAAAAAAAATCCGACATTTCCTGGTGATTTTCAACCGAAAAAGACCGAAATTTCTCTATCATTTTAAAAATACATATTTCAAATACGAAGTCTCTGCGCCGCCTCCGCCGGAAGTTATAGCCTTCCACTTTCCTTCACGTTTTTTGTAAGACCCTGTACTTCAAGTGCGACGCTCAGATTTTCTTTAAATTTTGCACACACTTCGGGCATGGACTAATTATCAATTCCTGAAAGTTTTAGCTCTCGCTTTGCAAGCGCCACCGAGATATTGAACCATCTTTGCCGTCGAGAGAGTACGCTAAATGCGGAGAGCGGTCAGAGAAAGGACAATTTTTGGCTATATCTTTGCTGGTTTTGCGCAGAAAAAATTGATTTTTTGTGGAAACATCACACTCTATGGTAGAAATAAGCATGAAACTTTTCGTGCCGAAATTCGGCAAAAAATTCTCAAATTTTCGCCGACTTTCGATCGAAAAATCTCGGTTGTTTCTGCAAAGCGCGAGCTAGAATTCTCGCATATATCTTAGAAAAAATAATTCTAAATTTGGGCCAAGTTTCATTAAATTCGGAGCGTTGCACTTGGGGCACTTCCCTTACAATTAGAACGATTTTTCGTATTTTACCTTTATTTTTTAGGTGAGATGGAGAAAAAGAATTTCAGTGAAGCCTAAGATTTGATGATTTTGTATGAGAAGCGTTGGGGACTACCGTATGGAATTTTAAGCTCATGGAATTTGATGGTGACAAGTTATACGATGAAATGTGAAAGACAGTTTTTTGAACTTGTTTTAATTTTTTTGGATAAGAATTTTAATTTTATTTTACTTCTTATCTGTTGTATTTTGTAAGTTTTGAGGCATTACTCAATAGGACCTTCAACTTTCGATAAATTGTTCACTTTTCTATTGGCCGTATAACCTCCCCTCGCAGTGTGCAACCGTCAAAATCCGCGAGCTGCGCCCTCTCCCAAAAAGCATTTTTTTATTTTTTTTGCCAAGAATTTGATCGAACCATTTCTTTCGTTTTCGACTTTGTTGATTGATTTGTGTAAATGTCCTGATAAAATTCTCTTTATCATATTGCTTTGGTCATCAACTGTCTTTAGATGTGTTGTTCTTGGGATGTTTATGCACTTTCTCTTTTCTATTTCAAGTCTTTCGCGTCATCTGGCTGAGTCAATCAGTTTGGAATGTTGTTTGTCGTCAAAATGATGTGGAATGAGCTGTTTACTGGATTCGTTTTTTGTTTCGAATAAAATGAAATAGTCATGAATGGAATACTTTCGATATTTTTGATCTCCTTGCTGTTGTTTGGCGAATGTTTAGACTAAATTTGATATTATTGGGAAGTTCAGGCTGCAAGGTCTCTATAAAGTCATATTTTCGTTGCCGCAAATGAACAGAACTTTCAGCGGAGGCTTTTTTTATTCATGTACAATATAAATTTTTAGTCTTTCATTTTACAAATGGAAATGGCAAGAACAGGTAATTTTTTTGATATTATTTTATTTGTCTGTCTTTAGGCTTTCTATTGATACCATAAACGACCCCTTTTGGTCGAGGATTTTTGAGTAACGACCAAAATTCTTAGAGCGACCGTCTAATGGTCTACTACAACTTTTTAAAGCTGCGTTTCTCACTCAGCATGAAGCCAAAAGCTCGGAACCTTTTTATCATCACATTGAGGATCCCACACACTTGCCGATCCTCGAATTCGCATTTATCCGCCGCCATCCGGCTTCAATTCCTCGAGCGCGGAAGGCGAAGCCGCCGAAATCAAGCGGTCGGCGGCGCAAAAAACGGTTTCTCTGTGTGTAATTTCCATGTAAAATGCTCATTTTTCGGTCCCTGCAGCCTCCCCCTCCCGCTGTTTCGTCTTCAGTTTTGCGCCCGGCCCCGCGGCCGCTCGCCCCTCTTTTCTCGGCTTCCATTTTGCGTCCTCCGCTCTTTTTCGCGTTCGGACGAACTTCAGCGAAAAAAGCGGGCCTTCGCTTGGGACCCGAGATTTGCGGTGATTCGGTTGGTTTGCGGTGTGTAGTGTGGTGCGGGACAACCCGGTCCAGCCTGCTCGGACTTTCGTTGGGCCCCCTTCGGACCTTACTTTAGGCGACTCGACGAAAAAATTTGATATTTCTTCGGGAAAACCTGATAAGCCCTTCCCGAAATCCCGTGTATAAAGCCGAGAATCGCCGTATTCAAATCAACGAAAACGATTTTTTCGGGAAATTCTAGGAGATTAGTTGTGGTCTCCGCGATATTATTGGAAGGCTGGATTTGCAGATTTCGAGTCCGAATTCTCTCTGTTTACTTTGAAAAATGTGTTGAACATTGTTTGCTGGTGTTTGCTTGCTAAGTTTATGTTAATCCGAGCAATAAATTGGAAAAAATTTTTTTGGAGACCAAATTTTTCATGGATAATGTCGAATTTCCGTTTATTTTGGTCGAAATACTGATAAAAATTGCTTTCAAAATATCGATGGATGGATTTCACACTCTATTCTTTGTTTTTTCTTGTTTTTTTTTTGTTATTTTACATCAGGTTTTTCAAAAATTTCACAATTTTTTTTATCAAATCCGCAATTTATTACTATTACAACAACTTGCGTGCTGAACGCGCTTTGTATAGGTCAACGAAACCTTTTACCACCCCCGATTTGCAGGTTATTCAATTGGGTTTTGTCGGCGGTCCGTTTGGCACACAGAACGGGGCACGGAACGACGGCCGGAACAACGACGCGCCCCCAATGACCGAATACAAATTGGTCGTGGTGGGCGACGGTGGCGTGGGCAAGTCCGCTCTCACGATACAGCTGATACAGAATCAGTTCGTCGTCGAATACGATCCAACAGTAAGTCTTTCCCCATTTTTTTGTTGATTTTTAGGTAGAACAAGGAGAATGCGGAGGAAAATTGGGAGTAAAGAGAAGGTTGAAACATGTAGCAGATTTTGAATGAAGTTTAGGGATCATTTTCGACAAAAAATGCAGAATTTTTGCCAAAATCTTTCATACATGGTGTCATGAATAAAGTCAATTTTATTTTGAATACAAGCTGTAACTGGAGCAATTTACAGTTACCAAAATTTCTCTATAGGTGTAAGATTGTTTGTATTGAAGCCGTTGAAAACACATCGTCCTTTTTCTATAGTTTTATCTGCAAGACCAAAAGTTGATATCTAAAATAAGGTCAAAAATTTGCGGAAAAGGTTAGAACACCCTGAAATGGCTTTTAGGATGAACTAATAAGAAATTAATGAATCAAATTGACGTATTTTACCCTTTTTAAGATTGAAGACAGCTACCGAAAGCAAGTTTTAATTGATGGAGAGACCTGCCTTCTGGATATCCTCGACACCGCCGGCCAGGAAGAGTACTCAGCCATGAGGGATCAGTACATGCGGACGGGAGAAGGGTTCCTCCTCGTTTTTGCCCTCAATGAACTCAAGTCATTCGAAAATATCATCCACTACAGGGAACAGATCAGACGTGTCAAGGACTCGGAAGAAGTAGGTGTTTTCTCTTTGTTGTTCTGGTTTTAGGTAGCTTGAAAGCTGAATTACGATATGACAGGCCTTGTGAAGGCGATTTGGGGTCGACACTTTGGATTGATGTTGAATTTGACGACCTTATTTTAGGTGCCAATGGTCCTAGTCGGCAACAAGTGCGACCTGCCTCAGCGCGCCATGGACCAACGACAAATCGATGAGCTGGCGCGCACCTTCGGCGTACCCTACGAGCAGACGTCGGCCAAAACGCGAGTGGGCGTGGACGACGCCTTCCACGCCCTGGTGCGCGAGATCCGCAAGCACAAGGAAAAACAACGGGAAAAGCCGAAAAAGAAGAGAAAATGTACCATATTATGAAGCGCCGCGCTAGCCAACCAGACGAATTTTGTTTTTTTTTGGACCTGCCCGACTTGACTCTAGTCTGAACCGACTGGAAATCTCCACGCTGAAGCTATAATTTATGTATTGTAAGAGCAGCTAGTCCGGCGGTTAGAGTAGCCTAGTTCAGAGGCTGGGTTGGTCCGGAAATTCGACTGAACTGGTCTAGAACATACAGATTTTACAGTGACGGACCTAATCCAGTCGCAGAAAACGTACCATTTTGCTCCGGGAAACATCAGTGGCAAAATGCCTCCCTCTCCAAGTGAAAAAACTCCGATTTCAAAAGTGCGTCCGCTCTTTTTGTGAGGGGCCCTTCAAAACGAGGTTTTTTCACTTGGAAAGGGAGGCATTTTGCCACATTTTTGATCCTTCCCGGATGCAAAATGGTACGTTTTTTGTCACTGGATGAGGTCACTGTAAACTGGACTAGGCTAGACGCCGCACGTCAAACTGAGGAGTCCGGTGAGCGGAATAGACTCTTCGCTATCGGTTTTTTACACTTCGTCTTGATTTCACAGAGAAAGAGAGAAAAAAGACACGCAAAAACGTACTCTCTCGCCCCAAAAATTCCCCATTTCTTCTCCGACAAAAACGTTTTTTCGCGTCTTTTTTAATTTTTTGGCGAATTGCCGATTCATTCACCGGACGGATATTAGGTTGTTCAGAAAGTTCCGTCGTTTCTTTATTCTTTTGTTTTACAAGAATTTGTTTATCATTTGGCAAAGTGAATATATTCGTTTGATACAGCTTTTTCTCCTCTCTCCTCTACAAAACTGTGTTTTTGGTTTATTCACTTTGCCAAACGATAAACAAACTCTTGTAAAACAAAAGAATAAGGAACGACGGAACTTTCTGAACAACCAAATAGCTCATCTCAGTTTGACGTGCGCCGGACTGCTCGAATTTCGAATCGAAATTTTTATTTTTAACCAGGATTTTGTCTCTGTTTTTGAAATTTTTCAACCTTTTGTTTATACGAAAAAAATTCTCCTCTGGACTGGCTAGCGGCCGGGCTAGCTGTTTTGTAGATAGTTTAGTGATTACCTAGTCCAGACACGGCCTGGACTAGCCTCCCCCATTTGTATCTTTCGTTATTATTTCGGCTTATTTTGTCTATCTTTCCCCCCTCCCTCCCCCAATTCAACGCTAGTCTTGTATTTTGTCTAACTTACGGCTTGTTGTGCCCGCCTAAGGGACACACCGCTTACTAACCCCCAAAACCCATTTGGACTCGCCATCCAGACCTTCTCTTATCGATGATCGTCTATTTATTACTGTTCCCTAATCGCATTAATTATTTTGCTAACTAGATGAAACAAAGCCCAATAAATATTTCACACACTCAAGGAGCATCTTGGAATTGGATTTTTTGAAGACGTATGTGACGAGAATATCGAATATGACCGCTTATTTTTTATGATTTTGGAATATTACACCGTTTTGGACCAGGTTTCGGAAAATCCCCCATATTTTTGAAAAGTGATTTTTCAGTGGAATTTTTATAACTTCAGCAGTGAGCCTAGAGTCTCAGCTGTCTATAAATAAAATTTTGTTGGCTAGTTTCTCCGCAAAATTGAGTTACAGCCCATTTTCGACACCTGGGATAAGATTTTTCTCCCATGGAGAAGGTCGGATTGAACCTTCGATTTTACATCGAACCCGTTCATAATTTCGTACCGATTAATGAGCTTAGATAGGGTAAGGAGTAAGCTGCGAACATGCCGGATTAGGGGTTCAACTGACAAGTTTCGGATTAGAAAATGGCTTATCTTCTCCGAACGGGAGATGACGCGGAAAAGTTGGATTTTACCCGAATTTTAATGTAATTTTTGTAGATCTTTGAAGCAAAATGACACGAAAGCGAAGAATCCCAGAAAATCATGAAGATTCCCATCAAAAACAACCGCGGTATCAAGAGAATCGAGAGGAAAAACATGATGAACAAGGTGAAGGTGGAGAACATGCTGGAAAAGGAGAATTCCCCGTCACTCTGGTCCGATATCTCGAGCAAATGGCCAAGGAGAAACCTACAGGAGAAATGTGTAAGTTTCTTGGAGAAAAAATACTTTTTTGATGGGAAACCGACATTTTATACGATGAAAAGTGTTTTGGATTTTTAGCGTTTTTGAAAATGATTTTTTTAGTGGAGATTTTCGCTGAGAAGTGTCTTGAAGAAGTTGAGGGTCAAGAGGAACATCTCCTTCATTTCGTCGATGGATGTTTGGCAGTAGAAGCCGTGTTTACCAAGTCAGCGGAAGCGGCTTTTGAATACCTGAAAAGGCTTCAGCGCTACAAAAAGAACCAACGAATCCAACTGATGTACACTCGAAGTGCCGAAAGAGTCATTGAGAGGCTGATTTTGACCATGGTTCCATTCCAGGACGAACATGAAGAGGTTAGTTGGTCAACTGAACATTCATCATGGATAATATAATATTTTTGAGATTTTTTAAAGTTTTTGGTCAAATTATAGTAATAGATGAAACGAAGGCTTATTTATTTTGAGTTTTATTCTAGACTTGACCATTATCTGAACATTTTTTCAGATAATTTCTGCTTGGATCGACTTGCTCATCGAAAATTGGAATGACGTCATTTCCGATCAGGCTTGCTCGTTCCTAATAAGAGCTATTGCCAAGGCTCTGTGTGGGATCAATCCGCAGCTCGCGGCGAACAAGTCGATACAAGACGCGTTGAAAAGTTTGGACAAAAAGAAATTACCCAAGGGGTGGATAAGACAAGAGCTGGAAAAACTGTACCTACGCGCATTCGATTACAATTCTATGCAAGGTAGAGTGGTCTATAAAAAATTCAGAGTGTTTAGAAAGAGGGTTTAGCAAATTTTGCTGATTTTTGGGTACTGGTGACATGTTATACGACGAAGTATTTTTGGAGAGAATTCGTCGTATAACATGTCGCCAGAGTAAGATAAAATGGACATAGTAATTTCAACTGGTTTTTGATGGTGGGTTTTTTCAGAAACGGTAATTTTTTGGTTTTAGTATGCAGAATGAACATGTTATACGATGAAATATGTTTGGGCATAGATCGTCGTATAACTGATACGCAGAGAAGATTTTTACGAAAGCTTTTGGTTATGCAAGTGAGAAATGACTTGTAGTTTTACGACATTTTTATTTGATAAATTTTCAAAAAAAATATGTTTTTTCGTATAAATTGTCCAAAAAATCCCAGTAATCATCCGTTTTCAGCCATGCTGGTGATCCAACCCGTCTCTCTGATCCTTCAAGACTTTGCCGCCCTCGAGCGAAGAGCCCAAACAGGTCATGTTCAGACTTTTGTCGCGAAATTCATCGAAGACGACAAGAACTTGCTGGATTCCTTCTCAAATCGCGCTTCCTCGCGCCTCTGGGAACAGTTGATCGCCAATGTAGACGAGCAAATACACGAATCGCTCTTTGTTGGCTTCATTTCGGACCACTTCAAGGTGTTGGCCACACATCCGACAGCGAATTATCCGCTGAAAACGTTCCTTTCGTCGACGAAATCGGAGGAAATTGTGAGTTAATGGGCAAGTTTGAGCCGGTAAACTAAAAATTTGATTAGGTAAAATACGGGAATTAGTGTTGGTGTTTTTGCGCTCAATTTTAAGCTTTATGGACATTTTATACGATGAAACGTGTTTGGGCAGATTTCATCGTATAAAATGGTATGAAGTAGAAGAGGACTCTAAAGCTTTTATGTTAGTCATTGTGTAGTAAAATACAATTAATTTAGGGCGGAAATAGACATTTTATATGATGAAATGTGTCCAGGCAGATTTCATCGTATAAAATGGTCTAAAGTAGAAGGGGACTCTGAAAATTTTTATACTAACCATTGTATAGTAAAATTCGATGGATTTACTCTTCGTATTTTATTATCAAAAGACATTTTATACGATGAAATGTGTCCAGGCGGAATTCATCGTATAAAATGTCGCCTTTGTTAAATACACTCAATAAAACTTCCGAATGTTCCCTTGGGGTCCGCTGCTGTCATAGTTTACTCTTATTTTTTTAGGCCAGTGAGGTTTCAACATTGTTTTTGGAGATCCTGCCCGACTTGATCGACCAAAACAAGCTTTGGATCGTCTCACCAGCCCTGAAATTGATAGCAAATTTTGCCGAACTCCAAGAAGACGTCGTGAAGAACCTGAGGAAGTTGTTCAAGTCCTCCAAGAAGGAGAACCGAACCCATTTTTTACCAAATGTCGTTTGTTTGAATGACTCGGAAATCGAAGAAGCGGATGGAAAAATTGAATTTAATGTGGAAAAGGCAAAAGTTAATGGGTAAGATTTGATGCAGATTTGTAAGAGATGGGTTGAGGATTATTTTACAGAATTTTGAAGTCATAGAATTAGATGGGTGACAAGTTATACGACGAAATGTGCAAGACAGTTTTTTCGAAAATTTCTCGACTTTTTTGATAAGAAAGTGGTTTGTTTTATAGAGAATTTGTGGTTAGGGATTATAAGAGTAATTTTGTGGTAAAATTCGCGGTGCTTTTTCTTTTTCGAAGTGAAGAAATGGCAAAAATTTTGAGAAAATTTTGGAAATATTTGATCGTATAACATGTCACTGTATAAATTTTGTGGGCCTTTGTGATATTTCATACATATGGCATGTTTTTATTTTGATTTTTAATACCTCAAATTAGAGTAAATTTAAAATTCTTTATTTTTCGTATAAAATGTCACCTCTCCGAAAATTGCTGATTTTTTTTGAATTATCAGATTTTTTCAGCTCCCTGATTCTAACTCAGCTCTTCCACTTCAAGAAGAATCAAACCCTGTTGGCCAGCCTCAATTCCCTAAAGGAGTCGACGCTGAATTCGCTGACCGAAAGCGCGGTTGGATCACATGTTTTTGATGGATTTTTCGCCTCAAAAAATATTGATGTGTCAGTGAAAATCGAACTGTTTGAGAAACTGAATGTAAGTTTTGGTAAAATACGGCGTATTCAATATTGAAGTATTTTTACTCCGAATCGACATGATTATAACTTTCCATCCCATTAGAAGCAATTTTCTCAATTTTCAGCCCGGAAAATTGATCAAAGACAAGTATGGAAGCCGAATTTTTGAGCATTTTTGGTTTGAAACAGAATTATCCCCAGAGTATCGTGAAAATTTGATCAAAAATTTGTTCACACCACTTCTGACATCCACGGTAAGTCGCCATTTTTGATATGGGGTGGATTTTTTGAAAATTCGGCGAGGGTGACATTTTATACGACAAAACATGTTTGATCGTATAAGATGTCTCCAGTAGAAAAAATAGTGTTTTGGCTTGAACTAGCGTATGGAAGTAAATTAGAGTTTGAGCTTTGGTGATGACAAATTTGGGGACATTTTATACGACAAAACATGTTTGATCGTATAAGATGTCTCCAGTAGAAAAAATAGTGTTTTGGCTTGAACTAGCGTATGGAAGTAAATTAGAGTTTGAGCTTTGGTGATGACAAATTTGGGGACATTTTATACGACTAAACATGTTTGATCGTATAAAATGTCGCTGCTACCGTAACAATACCGGTGTACTGTGGAAATGAATGAAATATTGGCTGTTTAAAAAATTGCGAAGTTTTTGTAGAATTTCTAAAATGAGGGGACATTTTATACGACGAAACATGTTTGATCGTATAAAATGTCTTCACGACTAAAATCATTCAAAAGTTATAATTCCAGGATAAAAACCGATTTGTCTACATCCTCATCAACAAGGTTGGGATCAGAGAGTACCGAGAAAATCCAAAAAGATGGCGCCAATCTCTGGATCAAAAGATTGCCGAAGGCAGACAAGGCTTACAGCTTGATTTTAGCAACAAAGGCGATGATAAAACTGGAAATTCCGGCGGTCCGGCAACCTCGATCGCGTCGAAGAAGCGAAAAAAGAAGAATTTCAAAAGATTTGAAAACAAAAATGAATAATTTTGGCTGTGTTGTTTTTGTTGATTACTGTAATTTCATGTTGCAGTGAAAAAATTGTTGTTGGATTTTTTTCTGTTGAATTCTGATTGTTGTCTGTTTTGTTGAATAAAAAATTTGATTTTTTTTTAGTATTTTTGAGATTTTTTGGTCAAGTAAAATCGGCTGAAGTATACAATTTTTTTCTGGAAAAAAGTGAAGACTAACGTCTCAGATTACGGTAATTAAGGCACCCCAAGTTTTGGTCAACCATTCATTTTCACGGGTCCTCTCAAGTTAGTTGGCCGGACCATGTGAAAATCCTGATGCATTGGGGCCAACTTGCGTGATCTGTCCAATTTGACTGCCTTTCTTCAAATTTAACCTCTCGAAGAATGTTAGTTATTTAGGTAATTGCGTCGGGGATTGAAACTTCCTTGGGGTTGGGCGATTCTCGCGAGAATGTTTGTTACGTCTCGCTTCAATTCATTCATAGCCCGGTAGCGGGCGGTGTAGAGCCGTTGGTTTTGGTAGCGCATCTGAATTATCTCAGCAATATGCCAATATTCCATTTAATGTTTATTGAGGAGACTCCAAGGACACGCGTCCCCCCTTAAAGTCTCCTCAGAGATGGTTGATATCTGCCCGTTACATCCTCCCGGCCAAAAAGACACGAAGGCCTTGTCGTCTTACCCGGCGGACCACTAAAATCCACTAGATACGTCGTGGATATGTGCATGTTTTGAGGGGAAAAGTTATGATTCTTAGTTCCCTATATAAAAGCGTCGCCAAGCCCTATTCGTCTGCCTTAAGATAGTACAATCGTGGGGATAGACATGGTGGTATTGACGGACAATTTGAGTTTAGTTAAAGTTTTACGGTATCTTAATATTCCGACGGAGCAGATGAATTTGAATAATCATCGAAGTCGATCTTAAATGAAGCCAATAAATAAGCCAGCAATGCGGCAACAGAAGGTGAAAATTGAATCACTTACCAGGTGTCCCATTAACCTCATAAGAGTCAATTCATCTTCGGATAACTCGCTGGGGTCCCACATAGGTAACTCACAAGGGAATGGTCCCAACGATCCGTGGGATCCACAAATGAAACCTAGATATTCTGAAAGAGCAGGTAAAATTTAGTAGGAATCCGTTTTTTCTACTTGCCGAATAAGTCTGTGCGACGAGAAATATCGTCGAAAAGATCCGACCAAAAAATCGAAAGAGAGAAAAGACGAACCGAAAGGCCTTGGAAGGCGTCACCAAATAGTCTAGTGGAAAAAGTTCCACGCAAAAATCTTTTGGGGGAGGGAGGCCTTGGAGGTTCGAGTCCACCCGGAGCCGGACATCTCCGGATTTGAACCTACGTGTTCATTACTGTATTCAAGTTATACGAAAAAAAATTTTTTTTGTTTAACCTGTTTTACAAGGTTTCTTGCATCCGAAGGCGTGGCAATCACTGGTCATTACCTCTTTTTATGATGCCGCCAGGTCCGAAGTTCCAAAGAAGAGAATTTATGCAAATTTATACCTTCCGGGCAGAATTTGACAAAAATAATTTGGGCATTTGTTAAACACATGTCCACGGCCATTTTAAACCAAAAAACTCAAAATAGATTTTTTCGTAAATATTCACGGGGTCTACTACACGCTGATGCAAGGACCCAAAAATTCTCTTTTCAACTTTTCTTGCAAAATTTTATGAAAAGGTGAGATTTTGGCAACATCCTTTTTGGGAAACCGAAAAAGATCTGCAAGATCCTGTACAACCTTCCAGAATCGAGTAGAAGTGTCTTGAAAATACCACTATGTCGACATCGGGCTTATCAAAAATATTGCCGAAGTGTCAACTTTTCTTAAAATTTTGCAACAAACCTTGCAAAACAGGTCAATAAACAAAAAAAATTTTTTATGTAACTGTAGAATACAGTAATGAACACGTAGGTTCAAGCCGGAGATATCCGCTCCGGGTGGACTCGAACCTTCAAAGCCTCCCTCCCCCAAAAGATTTGTGCGTGGAACTTTTTCCACTAGACTATTTGGTGACGCCTTCCAAGGCCTTTCGGTTCGTCTTTTCTCTCTTTCGATTTTTTGGTCGGATCTTTTCGACGATATTTCTCGTCGCACAGACTTATTCGGCAAGTAGAAAAAACGGATTCCTACTAAATTTTACCTGCTCTTTCAGAATATCTACGTTTCATTTGTGGATCCCACGGATCGTTGGGACCATTCCCTTGTCAGACAAAAGCCGCTCTTGGGAGCTCCTATAAGAGCCGTCGAACAATATATATGTACAATCGAGTATAGTCATTCAACCGTTCGAGAAATTCGGACGTTTGGCGGGCCGATAAGGTTGAGGCGATGACCGGAATCATTCCGGCTCGGCTCAACTCTTGTACATCCGCCAACTCCGACGGGCCCACGAAAAATAGTCGGGCCCGTCGGAGCAATATTCTGTCCGACTGGACTGCGGCCGCTAAGCACCTTGCGTCCAGGCCCAACGTAGTACAGAACCCTTGCATCACCAAGGTCATGGGGCCGGGAACTAAAATCACTAAGGCGGGTGCTCGCGCCAAGTCCAACGGATTTTGGCGGTAATGATATAGTATAATGCTGGTTGTTTGGCCTCTCAGGACAATCTCTGATTGAGAGACGGTCGACATTTCGAGGGGAGTTATGGGACGATACCTACAAGTACGGTAGAAGGTGGGGCCGAAAATCAAAAAAGCGCCGCGAGCATGACGTAACCCGGAAGCGGAACAAAGAAAATCGCATGCCCGCCCCTGACGGAAAACTAAAACCTTTCCGGACGAATCATTCATTCTTCCGTCGTCAGCAGACGCTCAGTTTGTTGTTCAGCCGTCGAAGGTACAGTCTCCGAGCCAACTATCCCCTAAGGTGACAAGATTCGAAGTGAAACGAAGTTCCCGAAGATCTAGCGCGCGGTTCTCTTTCTCTCTCTCGACGGAGGAAGAGATGATTGATATCTGCCCGCAACACATGCTTAGCAAATCTACCAAAGTTTTGTTTCGACGTTCGGCTGCACCATTTGCCTCCATTGATTGGATCTTTGAACTAGAAAAAGTACAATGTTGTCTGTTTTGTTGAACAAAACTTGATTTCTTTATTCACTATTTTTGAGATTTTGTTGGCCAAATAAAATCAATTAAATTACAGCATTTAAAAAAAAGAAGTTTTGACAAACGACTCAGATTACGTTTGAACATGTCGGCACCATTGATGACCAGGTCCGTCCCTCCGTCAGAAGGTCTGTTCTTCTTCCAGATTCTCCGAATTTATAATCGTATCTGTTGTGGGCAGGTACTGACCCTAGACCCCGGTTCTCAGTCGCTTTCAAACCTTCTACAAAGGCGTTTGCAGTTGTCTGCGATGATAATTAATCAAGCTGCCGGGTGGTGTGGACCCGTTGGTTCTAGTAGCGCATATTAATTAGCTCAAAATATGCCGATATTATATTTCATTTTAATTTTATTGAGGAGGGTGCGCGTCCGCTCCCAAGGCCTACAACAAACCCCGACTGAAGATCGAGGGCGCAATTCTCTTTCTCTCCCGACTGCGGAAGAGATGATTGATATCTGCCCGCAACATCCTCCCAACCAAAAAGACACGACGCTCTCGTCGTCTTACTTAACATTTTTCACCTCTCTTTAAAAGTTGTAAAGCTAAATAAAATATAAATACAATGGGCGAAATTTGGCTGGATTTATTCCAAATTAAACTGGAAATTCCCCCGTGGAAAAATATGTAAATATAAGTTAGTACAAATATCTTTCGGTTGTGGCCGTCATCTGGATTACAAATTCCTTTGATTGATTGCACGAAAGTGGGTCACTTAGCCTAAAGACATGCAATCTGAGGGGCATAATTTTGCATCTCGGCTTTTCAAGACAATCTCAGCATTACCTAGAGAAACATGTTGATATGGTTCCTTAACGGAGTGTAATAATCGACCAATGGAAGCCGTGCGGAAAGCACGTGGACACCACCGCTACACTACGAAAGGAGCGGTCAAAGGAGAGCACATCAAAGGAGATCAAGATTAATGACCACGCGCGTTGTGTGCGTTAAACACAGAGGAACTAATAATCGATAACTTCCGAATTACGATACCAAATGAGGCGCGCAATTTCAAAATTCGGAATCATCGAACTCTTATATTCGGATAATGGCAGACAGTTCACCGACCGGTCTCCGCGGTCGCGACCAACTTTTCGCGCAGCTAGGAAAACACTACGGATTTAAACATCAATATTCCCCGGTAAATACCCCGCATCTGAATGGTCAAGTGGAAAGAGTGAATAGAACATTCGCCGTCATGCTCAAAACCGCAGCCGAGGACTACAGTACCCATTGGGACCTACATTTGTCAAAAATGGTCTTTGTATATAACACATCTCCGCATGCTACCACCAAGGAGACCCAGTTCTTCCAAATGCACGGATTTGACCCATTACTCCCAAGCGACTTTCTTCGCACCTTTTCGCGACGCCGCACAACTTATGGTGAAACAGACGTGGCCATGCAACATATTATGACCATGAACAACGCCTATGAGCAAGCCGCGCTACAAACCCACCGAACCGACGATCCGAATGACGCCTCCGCCCCGATACCATCAGCCCCTTCCTCGCAGAAAAAACAATCACAAAAAATGATCTAATTTTGATCATCGACCCCGCCAAAAAATCGAAGTTCCAACCTACATGGATCGGACCCTTCCGCGTTCTGGAAAGTGGCCGATCAATCATAAAAGCGCGACTTAGAATAAGTGGGACGAATCCCAAACGCCATTTATCCAAATTTGTAGATTAAAAAACCTCAGAACCCGGATATGGTGCCTTAAACCCCATTATTCAGCATCTTGCTTCCATGTTCATTTCAGTTATATTCGTATTTTCTACTGTATTATATTATATGTTTGTCAATGTCATTCTCACGTGAATAAAAGCGAGAGTCTTCGAAAGTTCTCGCGCAAATAATCAAAATGAAACGACCCGTGGGTCGGGTAATCAATCAACGCCCGACGAGTCTATAGGAAGGAGCACGCATTCGGATCGTTGCGCAACCGATCCAGCATCGTGATAGCTCCCGGTGTAAAGTAGGCCCAACACAATGGAGGGGAACGAGTCCCTCCGACAAAGAGTGAGACCAGATTCCTAACAACCCGTTGGCCCCTTTTTGCAGCGACGTAACCGTCGTAGAAATATCGACAAAATCAGCCACAAAACACAAGGAAATAACCAAAAAAGGATGTAAGACCCACCCATTTTCCGAGACGGCTGGGACAAGGATTCTGAAGCCAGTCATTTACGATCATTCCCTAACCGATAGGTAGTGTCAAGCTTTTTTTCTGCGTCCAAACCACGATTACTGTATTGGCAATACTCATGCGCTGGCACTAGAATGAGGAGAGCCTGGGCTTTCGCCAGGCCGAGCGGCCGCAGTCGGTAGTTGTAGAGGATGGTCGTGGCCTTTCCCCGTAGGCACATCTGCTGTGGGCAGGTACTGACCCTAGTTCTCAGTCGTTTTAAAACCTTGTACATTCCGAAGGCGTTTGTATCCAATACTTTATTGTGGAGACCTACCACACACGCGTCCGTGTGTGGAGCCTACAATACAAGCCAACTGATGGAAATCGGGGTGCGCATCTCTCTTTATCGTAAAAAAGATTTATGTTATTTTTGAACTAACCTATTTTCCAATTGAATAAATCTTTAGAGGACGAGTAAATTCTAAAAAAATCACAAATAAAATTGGTAAAAACACAGAAAAAACTGTAGGATGACCATTAATTATGGTAGGAGTAACTATGTCTACTGTAAGAAAACGCAAAAAAAGTTAAAATATACATTGTAAACGATAAAAGAAACAGTAAATAAACTAAAGGCAGCGACATCTTTTATCCTGACAAAGATAAAAGATGTCGCTGTAGTCTAAAACGCGAATGTAGCGGGTAACAAACCTTTAAAACAAGAAGTCCCCCAAGTGCGACCCTCAGTTTTTGATGAAACTTGGCACATATTAAGAACAATTTTTTCAAAATATGCATATCCGAGAATCCTACCTTGCTCTTTGCAGAAACAACAGAGGTTTTTAGATCGAAAGTTGGCAAAAATTTGACACTAACAGGGGAAGTACTCCAAGCGCGACGCTCAGATTTTCTTTAAATTTTGCACACACGTCGGGAATAGACTAATATCAATTCCTGAAAGTTTTAGCTCGCGCTTTGCGGGCGCCGCCGAGATATGGAACGATTTTTGCCGCCGAGAGAGCACGCTAACCGTGGAGAGCGGTCAGAGAGAAAACATCTTTTTGGCCATAACTTTGGCAGTTTCGTGCGGAAAATTTTGATTTTTTGTAGAAACATTATCCTTTACGGTTGAAATACGCATGAAACTTTTCGTGCCGAAATTCGGCAAAGTCTTAAATTTTGGCCGACTTTCGATCTAAAAATCTCGGTTGTTTCTGCAAAGCGCGAGCTAGGATTCTCGCATTTTGTGCCAAGTTTCATCAAAATCTGAGCGTCGCACTTGGAGTACTTCCCCTGTAAGTTTCTTTGCTATTTTTACCTTCGAGAGTGTATCCTGGGATATTCACCACAAGTATAATTATAAATTATATATACAAATACATGTTACAGATAGATTATTATATTGTATTATTTATTATTATATATTGTAGTATATAAACATATCACAACTAGGATATTTATGTTATGTATTATATATTAATATATGTCAAAAATTTAAAAAAAAACATATATGCCAATATATATACGAAAAGTACAGTATTTGCAACTTATATCATTGGAATATTATAATGGTAATTATAGTAACGACAGTTAAATTCTATCTCTATATCAATTTCTATATAAAGCAACCTTTATGTTCAAGAAAATCTGATAATTTCCTACTATGGCATTGATATCTGAAATCTCTTTTGTTGCCACAAAAATCACTCGCGCGACTTATCGACACGATCTTTATTGTTGGGCGTTCTGATCCAGCTTTTTTACCGCGAGATTTACAAACAGATAAAAGCTCGCAATGCCAATAAAGCCATAGCTTCTGAGGAGGCTCACGATCAAATAAAATGAGTTACGAAACAAACGCCGTAATCCTTTACATGAATGACGAGCAGTCGTGAAAGCGTATGATCTTGATTTTAAATGGCCTTGACTCGCTGAGAGCCCATTTTGCGATAGTAAACACGCGGCATTTCTGTGATATACAGGGCATAAGAATCCGCAGTCTTTATTATACCGCGATGTTGCTATTAATTAGGTTATATGTGTGACATCTCCAATGTTTCGCTTACAAGGGAAGCGCCGCAAGTGCGACGCTCATATTTCCTCTAAAATTTGCACACCGCCGGGCATCAACTATTGAAAGTCTTAACTCGCGCTTTGCTGGCGCAGCCGGGATTAGACATGGCTAGTGGGCCGGGCCCGGCCCGGCCCGGGATATTCAACGATCGTTGCTGGCGCAAGAGTAGAAAAAAGAATTATGTCCAGAATGTAAAAAAATGAAAAAACGCACAAAGTTCCACATAAAAGCAACAAAATAGTCTTGAACATTATCAAGAAAAAATTTCAGGCGATAAAAAATAAAATTTTCCCCTGAAACGGAAGGCCAAGATCAGAGGAGTCAGGGGAAATTCGCCGGCATTTGAAGGGTTTTTTTTTGATATTCCGGCCCTTCTTTCTCGGCGGTTTCTGCAAAGCGCGAACTAGAAGCTCGCATTCGAATAAATAATTTTTCAAAACCTTTTCTTGGAAACACTCGCATCTGCATTCAATGCAACCTTCAGCGCATTGCGCAAACATCGTGCAGTCGGATAAGTATACACAAAGCTTTTCAGTCATCATGGCCATGGCGAAAAGTAGGGGCATATCAAGAGTCCAATGAAATTCATTTTCTACAGTTGAGATACTAACAGTGATGGAGGCTTTCAATATAAATATTGAACTTGTTTTGTCAATAAATCGTAGTGTCTGTAGTTTTATTATTTCGACATTTCTAATATGAATGTTAATAATCCAGAAAACATGAATTCTTCATCTCAAAGAGCAAGGGAAGTTGATTGTAAAACAAAACTTCTGATCTTTTCCCGGGTTTTTTCTCGTGGCATTTCTGAATGAAGCTCTCTTTTTTTTGATATTGCCAGGGTCGACAAGATGAAATTTACAAGTAAAGAGCATCAGGCGGAGTACTGAAGTATATAACTGCGAGAGTTTTATTGAGGAGACTCCAACGGTGCGCGTCCGCACCCAAGGCCTACAACAAACCCCGACTGAAGATCTAGGGCGCGATTCTCTTTCTCTCCCGACGGCGGAAGAGATGATTGATATCTGCCCGCAACATCCTCCCAACCAAAAAGACACGACGCCCTCGTCGTCTTACTTAACATTTTTCATCCCTCTTTAAAAGTTGTAAAGCTAAATAAAATATAAATACAATGGGCGAAATCTGGCTGGATTTATTCTAACAAGTTAAACCTTTGTAAGTTAAACTGGAAATTCCCCCGTGGAAAAATATGTAAAATATAAGTTAGTACAAATATCTTTCGGTTGTGGCCGTGATCTGGATTACAAATTCCTTTGATTGATTGCACGAAAGTGGGTCACTTATCGAAGGACCTTTCCGGTTTGGAATTGGATCACGTTCACAAACCTACTTTGATGTTACTAAAGTTTTAAACTGACCTTAGATTTCCACTATACCAGCGATGAAGTATGCGACTGTACTCGACACGATGGAAATTGCGAAAAATGAGGTTGCCGACTGCGCCGGAAGACCTGTTTCTTACCGCATCGCAAAATTCTGGTTTACTGACGATAAACAATAACCTACTAACGGGATGGATTGCGTGACGTCTCACGCTCTCCCACGAAAAATATGAACAAATGTATAAAAATAACTAAAGAATTATGGCTAAACGTGATCAGCCTTTTTCGGTCCAAAAGAGTAAAAATACATGTATAATTAACGCGCGTTTTGAGAGTTTGCAAAAGTGCTTGCTGTTTTTACACGAGTGTGCCTGCCGTCCGATGTTTTTGGATTTGCCACTCCCCTAGCCTTCTATATCTGCTTTGCCAGGTATTCTGAAATTTAACTTCAAAAATGCTTTCGGAGACTCTGCCTGGTTAGTAATGGGACAATGAACTGATAAAACATGAGGCTACGGCTAGCTCTACCGGCGAGACCTACGCCTTCCTAGCATCGCGGTACCAAAAAAATAATTTCATTACTTAATAGTACCAGGTGTTAAATTGGCTTATTTTTTAGCATCATCTACTGGGCTCTTCTTGTATTGTCTAGTAAATTTTCCTAGAACGCGGGAATACAAGAAGTTTTGAAATGGAACTTACCTGGCGGTTGTGTGCACACGACATTTTGCCCAATCTATAGTGGCAAACTACAGGGTGTTTCAAGAAATTTGACAGAAACTAATTGCGAATATCTTTGAGCTCTTGGGAGTTATCGCAGAAATTCTTTTTGATTCTAAAACTTGATATCGGGCGGTTTTGTACTGAGCAAAAATCGGCGGAGAGGCCAGTTCTCGGCGGAGGCATTTGGGGCCTTTTTTAAAAATCACACCTTATTGTATGGTGGAAACTCTGTTACAACCGCCAAAATTATGTTTACGTTACACCTCCGTGGATTTTACGGTATGTTTTTTTTTGCGTTTTCGATTTTACGCAACATCCGCGGAGGCGCGGCGGAGACCTCAGATTTCGGCGGACTTTGTTTTGGGCCCTCGGTTTTTGCAAATCCATGGTGGAAAAAAGGTTGGGGCGATTTTTTGTTGTCATCCGATGCACAGATGGCAAAAATTTTGTACTTTTTTCCCTCGGCGGAGGATTCGGCGGAGGCTTTATCAAAGGGTCAAAACAAAACTTTGACTCTTTTGATAAAGCCTCCGCCGAATCCTCCGCCGATGTGTCCGCCGAACCAAAAAATAAGAAAAATGATGTTGCTGTGATGGATTCTTGTAGCTGAGTTTTTTCCCGGACTCCTAAGACTGTTCTGACCCTTTGGTAAAGCCTCCGCCAAATCCTCCGCCGGGGAAAAAAAGTGCGAAATTTTTGCATCTGTGCATCGGGTGACAACAAAAAATCACCCCACACTTTTTTCCAACCTGAATTGAATGATCCAAAGGCTCAAAACGACGCCCGCCGAAACCTGAGGTCTCCGCCGTGCCTCCGCGGATGAGCGAAAATCGAAAACAAAAAAAAGCATACCGCAAAATCCACGGAGGTTTAACGTAAACATGATTTTGGCCACTGTAACAGAGTTTCCACGATGTAATAAGGTGTGATTTTTAAAAAAGGCCCCAAATGCCTCCGCCGAGAACTGGCCTCTCCGCCGACGAAAAAATTTTTTTTTGTTCAGTACAAAACCGCCCGCTGTCAAGTTTTAGAAACAAAATGAATTTCTGCGATAACTAGCAAGAGCTCAAAAATATTCGCAACTAGTTTCTGCCAAATTTCTTGAAACACCCTGTATATAGTACTAGAGGAAAAATGAACATGATTTTCGAAATCAGCACCCTCGAAAACCCCTAAATCGAGTATTTTTTGAAAAATTTCAAAAAATTACTTTTTAACACTACTGCTTAAGGAAAAAAGTAAGAATCAAAAAAATGAATGTCATTTTCGAAATGAGCACCCTCGATTATCCTAACTTCGACATTTGCATGGAAGAAAAATAATACTTTTCGGTTTCCCCAATCGTACTTTTCCCCAATCGTCTTTTTCCCCAATCGTCTTTTTCCCCAATCGTCCCTTTCCCCAATCGTCCAACTCCGGTGGGGATGAACCGACGTATGTGACGAAGAGGTAACTTCTCTTCGCTTGGCGCACTTGGTAGCTGGACGGCGTTGATTCCCACGTGGTAAAAATATTCGGACTTTCCAGTAGACGATTAAGCCCACAGTCCCCACTAAACTCGGCATCACTACCAGGATCAGAAAGAGTTGAATTCCTTTTTCATACTGTAGATACCACGCCTTTATATCTTCCACTTTCTGCATCAAAAAATTTTTTGTTTCTGCCCTTGCGTCACTGGCTTTCTCGGATAACGTTTTGTGCGGAAAAACTTACGATTCCTTATTCCCTTTGTAAAAGCGTCGCTACGACCTAACGAGTCTTGCCGGACCCGCTAGCCTACCTGTCCTACCAAGCCTTATTCGTCTGCCTTTAGGGCACCACGAAAGCAATCAACAAGACCATTCGAACCGTAATTGAATGAGATTTCAGCATGGCAAGTTTCAGCTTTTTTGGAGTCAAATTACGCCCGCACTGGGCGAAACACTTTGATATTGCACTTGACACCAGTTTAAAAAAAAAAGTGAATTAGTGATGTCGGAGTGAATAGACAAGACATACACCATTCGAACCGAAATTAAATGAGATTTCAGCATGACAAGTTTAAGCTTTTTTGGAGTCAAATTAACTAACTGTAATTTATTGGCCATCTACTTGCGGGATTATCCTAAGCAACGGCCTAGGAAACTTACCCTTGGCTCCAGCCTACCCCTCATACGGAGCGCCGCTCCTTCCGACTGACTGCGAAGGTTGTTGCTCCAAAGTGAAGGCATAGAATCTTCGAAGTTTCGCTACATGAGCCGGTCCAAATCGAGACAACCACTCTCCATTTAGACGTCTAATCTGGGGGTCTGGTAACGATTCGCAAGGAATTTGTCGGCTCTCTGGTTTTAACTCTTGTTTTCCCAAAATGAAAAATGAGCTGAAATGAGCTAAGATGAGTTAAGATTATTTAAGTTTCCTTGCAAAATGAGCTGAAATGAGCTAAGATGAGTTAAGATTTTTTAAGTTTTTTTGAAAATTGAGCTGGCAAACAACAGATGCCGATGGACTTCCATGGGTAAATCTTCATAGCATGTGCCGTTGACCGCATGATTCCAAAATATCCGACTTGGTTGAATTTCGAAGCATTTGATGTAAGGATGGCGTCGCCTCGAGCTTGGGCACAATGTCCTCGCAAGGGGGCTTCACTGTCGTTGTGAATTCATTTGCAGAGCATGCACTTGTTGAGTTAGTTGGTCGACTTTCTCTAGCAGTGCTGACTGGTTTCCGATGGCAATTTGAGAAACGACTGCTTGTTGTCTCTCCGTCTCTTCCATCTGCTCAAACTCTTTTTCGTTTTGTGCGAGAGCTACAAGCTCTTTCAACGACTTTTCTTCCGTATTATGCAGATGCAGCGTTCTCCTGATGCTCTGCGCGTCGTTGGGCTTCAAGGCTGTACTTCGCTTCCGGATATGCGAGATGAACCATGTCCTCCAATGCCTTGAGGAACGACGTGACTGTCTCTCCCTCTTTCATCTTTCGCATACTGAACTTTCTGCGCGCTATTTGCTCTCTATTGCCTGCGGCCAACAATTTGCTTAATGCTTCTACGCGTGATCTCCAACTACTCAAGTCTTCTTCCGACAATGTGGAATAAAGATACAACGCGTCGCCTCTCTAATACGACGGCAAAACGATCACCAGACTATCTTCAGAGCAACATAAATTGACTGTAGCGAGGTTGAGTTCTCGAATGAACGCCGGAAAGCTCCTCTCCTCGTTCCTTCCTTCATAAGGGACGATTGGAATTGGTGGCACTGTCATTTTGACATGCTTTGGCGGAGAAAACCTTGGCGCTCCGCCGCTTCGGTCGCCATTTCCTTGGCTGGAAACGTTGGGTTTATTTTCCTCTCCCATGGTCATATCCAGCGGAGTTGGTGAATTCGAGGTCAGATTGAAACTATCAAGGAATTTACGAAATCGAGTGCGGTTGCCGGTTCTACGGTCGCTCTGGAAGTGGCCGTAGTAGGTTCTTATCGTTTTTGTCGAAACCTTAATCGACACCGGCGCGTTCATTTCATAGCTACCGGAGTCAAGGGCAAAAAGAGTATCTGGCCTCATGCTGATTTAGCTTCCTGGATGCGTAGACTATCGGATGAATTTTGGCATCCTCTGGCGATTTTTGAAGGAGAACAGCCGCAATAGCGATGTGACTCGCATCTGTTTCGATAATGAATGGATAGCCAAATCGCGGTGCTGCCAGCACTGGTGCTTTGAGCAATCGCTCCACAACTTCCTTGAAGGCTTTATCTTGTGCTTCGGCCCACTTTTCTTGAACCTGATCTTGACCTCCCGCGGTCAATTCGTAGAGAGGTGCCATTATTTCTGCGAACTTTGGAATAAACCGCCGAAAATATGACACACACCCAATGAATGAGCGCAGTTGTGACAACGTTGTGGGTTTCTCGAATTTTCGAACCGCTTCCAAGTTTTTGGGATCCGGCCTGCTTCCTTGTTTGCTGATTAGCAGACCGAGGTATTTAATTTCGGCTACTCCCCATACACATTTCTCGATTCGCAGCTTCAAGCCGAAGCGGATGATCGTTTTGAAGAAGTTTTCGATGTCGGCTAGATGGTCAGCTTCGGTGGAACTTCCGACGATGATATCATCCATGTAGACGAGAAAACTGGCACTCAATTCGCGCTTCAGTTCATTCATAGCGTCATCTTCTTCCTGGAAACAGTTTCGCTTAAAATCAGCGCAAGTAATAGCGAGTACGAATTCTCAGTCTTAGTGTAACCCGAGGGGTACTGTCCTGCTAAACTGTTGATCGGGAGTGATATTCTCGGTCAAGGAGGTCATAACCTGCAAATGGACTTTCAAGAAGGAAGGTCAAAATCGGAGAAACCAGTTGGCGAATCAATGCCGTCACGGCAGAGCCAGAGCAAGAAACCCGATCAGTACACCTCCGAATCCACGAACCCATAACATTAGCACCACACACAGATAACTTCGTATGGGCAGCAACGTCCGAACCAACAGAAGGAGTGTTTCTGACTGAAGGAAGAGCCGTTCGAGAGGGAGTTCGGATGGGAAAGGTTATTGCCAACGCTCCTCCATATTCCCGAGAATTGTCATCGAGTTTTTGCGGGAGATAAAGCCACATATGCCCAACAGTTGGCCCGCCAAACAGAACAAGCCTGGAGAAGAGACGTAGAAGCGCTAGAGGATGAATCAGCCATGATGAAGCAGCAATTCGACCACCGAAAACAAGTACAACAGGCGCATGTGACCGTCGGAGATTTGGTGCTCCGACGCGTAGACGCGTATCGGAAAGGAGAGTATCACAAGTTCCAAGGTAAGTACTCGGGACCCTTTGTGGTCAGAAAAATTTGTAGCCCCCATGCTGTCATTCAGCATGCAGAGCGGGGAGCCGAAATCAGGCTACATTTAAATAAGATCGAAAAATATTTTTCACCAAATCTGGTTGTGGGGTCACAACCAAAGATAACCGGGGAGGCCGCAACCCCTCCCAGGGTAATTTCAGAGGACTACCAGCCCAGAAATCCGATCAAAAAGCGCGACCAACGAGAGCAAAGAGCGGACCAAGAACATGTACGACGCTCAACACGGTTAGAAGAAAGAAGAGAGCGCAACGAAGGCCGACTCGTTGGACACAGGCCAGTTTGAAAGTCGGAAAGATTACAAAATAATTTTCCGGGTTGAGTAATGGGGCAATTAATTGATAAACGCCTGAGGCTATGGCTAGCTCTTCCGGCGGGACATACGCCTTCCTAGCATCGCGCTGCCAGAAAAAGGATCGCATTACCAGGTGTTAAATTGGCTTATCTTTTAACATCATCTGTTGGGTCTGATTATTTACTTTCATCGCGACTTACGTCATCTGACCCAAAATGTGGTGATAAAATCACCTCGGAAATTGAAACCGGAAGATTCCAGCCGCGCGGCTTCCGCGCTTTTCAACGTTTTGACGATGTAAATGATTGATTACACTAAAACTACAAGGATTTCCGAAAAACTTCCACACACACTGAACTACTCACTTTCTCGCAAAAAGGTTTGCAACGCGTTATAACGTCTCGCTTCAATTCATTCATGGACCTGTAGCGGGCGATGTAGAGCCGTTGGTTTTGGTAGCGCGCCTGAATTAGCTCAGCAACATGCTGATTTTCCATTTAATGTTTATTGAGGAGACTCCAAGGACGTGCGTCAACTTAAACGACTTAAAATACGAATAACGAACACCATTGATAACCAGGTCCGGACCTCTGTCAGTAGGTCTGCTGTTCTTCCAGATTCTCCGAATTATAATCGTATCTGTTGTGGGTAGGTGCTGACCCTAGACCCCGGTTCTTAGTCGCTTGAAAACCTTGTACAATCCGAAGGCGTTTGTATCCAATACTTTGTTGAGGAACCCACTTACGCGTCCGTAATTGGAGCCTACAATACAAGCCAACTGATAGGAATTGGAGCATGTTTTTTATCATAAAAAAGATTTGCGTTATTTTTGTAGCGGGTGGTGTTGACCCGTTGATTCTAGTAGCGCATATTAATTAGCTCAGAATATGCCGATATTATATTCAATTTAAGGTTTATTGAGGAGGGGTGCACGTCCGCTCCCGAGGCCTACAACAAACCCCGACTGAAGATCTAAATTTTTAAACTAACCTATTTTCGAATTAAATAAATCTTTAAAGAACGAATAAATTCCAAAAAAAGAACAAATAAAATATGTAAAAAACACAGAAGAAAACTGTGGGGATGACCATTAATTACGCTAGAAGTAGCTTTGTCTACCGTAAGAAAACTCGCAATGTGCGGCAACAAGGTAAAATACAATATTGTAAACGATAAAAGAGACTGTAATTAAACTAAAGAAGTCTCTGAAAATGATAAAAAATATCGCAACAGGGGTGGTATAAAATTCGAATGTAGCGGAAAACAAACTTTTAACTTACAGGGGAAGTCCCCCAAGTGCGACCCTCAGTTTGTGATAAAACTTGGCACAAATTAAGAACAATTTTTTTCAAAATATGTATATCCGAGAATCCTAGCTCGCTCTTTGCTCAGAACAGAGGTTTTTAGATCGAAAGTCGGCAAAACTGTCACGTTTTTTCACACATTTTGCCATAAAGTTTCGCACATAAGTCTACCGCAGAGGTCGATTTTTACATCGAAAATTGGCTTAGAAAGTAATGCTGCTATATAGAAAACTGTATTTTTTCCGCGCGAAACTGGCAAAGATGTGACCTAAAAGTGTTTTTCTTTGTGACCGCTCTCCGCGTCGTAGCGCGCAAGGCGCGAGCTACGTGAATACAAAGTTTAGAGAAAATCAGAGCGTCGCACTGGGGATACTTCTTACAGCATGAAAATTTCAAAAAATAATGAGTTCCGGCACTAAGGAAAAGGTCAGGATCGTACGAATGAATGTACGATCCGGACCTCCGAAGGACTTTTAAGAAGCGGCAAATTTCCTATGATATTGCCCACAAGTATATACAAATACATGTTACAGATAGATCATTATATTGTATTATAATATAATATAATATATTGTAATATATAAACACATCACAAGTAGGATATTTATGTTAAGTATTATATAGTAATATGCGTAAAAAATCAAAGAAAAATAGTTGCCAATATATAACATATACGAATAAATACAGTATTTACAAATAATATTGTATATTTGAATTATTATAATGGCAATTATAGCAACGACAGCCAAATTTTGCCTCCACATAAAGCAACCCTTATGTTAAAAGAAAATCTCATCATTTCCAACTATGGCATTGATATCTAAAACCTCGTTCATTGCCGCAAAAACCACTTGCGCGACTTATCAAGGCGATCTTTATTGTTGGGCGTTCGTAACCAGCTTTTTTTACCGCGAGATTTGCAAAGCGATAAAAGCTTGCAGCGCAGCTCGCAACGCCAATAAAGCCACAGCTTCTTAGTCTGCCCTCTCCAGATAAAACGAGTTACGAAACGAAAGACGTAATACTTTCCATGAACGACGAGCAGAAGCTTATGATCTTGGTTTTAAATGGCCTTGACTCGCTGAGAGCGCGCTATGCGATAACAAAAACTTCGGCATTTCTGTGATATCTAGGGCATAAGAATCCACAGTCTTTATTTTACTGATGGCTTGCAAAAGAAGTACATAAATAAAGCGCAAATATCATAGGGTACACGATGAGATGAAATCGAGCCAGCTCACAGGGGAAGTACTCCAAGTGCGACGCTCAGATTTTGATGAAACTTGGCACAAATTTAGAATAAGTTTTTCTAAGATATATATGCCAGAATCCTAGCTCGCGCTTTGCAGAAACAACCGAGATTTTTAGATCGAAAGTCGGCGAAAATTTAGGACTTTTTGCCGAATTTCGGCACGAAAAGTTTCATGTCTATTTCAACCGTAAAGGATAATGTTCCTACAAAAAATCAAATTTTTCCGCACGAAACTGCCAAGTTATCGCTAAAAAGCGCTTTTATCTCTGACCGCTCTCCACGTTTAGCGTGCTCTCTCGGCGGCAAAAATCGTTCGATATCTCGGCGGCGCTTGCAAAGCGCGAGCTAAAACTTTCAGGAATTGATATCTAGTCCATGCCCGACGTGTGTGCAAAATTTAAAGAAAATCTGAGCGTCGCACTTGGAGTACTTCCCCTATTAAATACTTCAGAATCCGAGATTGGCCAGAAAACTGTAGGCATACTTTTGAAACGACAAAAATATTAGAATGGTTGCCAAACCGACCAATTTTTTTACGGATTCTAAGCGGTAATAGGTTTTCCGACATGCTCTTTCGAATGGCATTAGCAGTTTTTCAATATCTTTTACCAACCCTTGGATACCGCAATTTTTAATGGGGTAGGTATACATTCGTAACGGAGTGTATTAACAAGGGAACAGCCCCAAGTGTGACGCTCACAAGGGAAGTCACTTTTTTCGCAGACGGACTTCGGAACGGGACCTAGTAGGTTTCAAACCTGAAGCGTCTACGATCATACAACTGATTTCCAAAAGTGTTTACGGGGCTTCTCGGCCGAGAAAATCGACCGCAAAGTTTAGCCGAAATGAGCGAATAGCCTCCTCAAAAGAAACAGCTTATTTCATCTGCAGTGGTGGCCGAGTGGTCAGCGCGCTCGCTTTTTGCGCCAGAAGAGGCGGGTTCGATCCCTTGCGCAGTTTATTTTCTTTTGTGGTTCGTAAATATTGATTTAGTATGTAAACATAAAATGTATACACTTTTGTAATTTTTTACAGTAATTTAAACATAAATTCAAAGCTGAATGTTCATGAATATTGTAAAGTCAAAACAGGGCTGGGTTGATGAAGATATACTTTCTAAATTTGTGTTTTATTAAAAATTGCTAATAATTAGGTTATGTGATGTTAACGGCATCTCTCTATTTGATTCAATTGTCAGAAGAAATGCATCCGCAGACGACCGAAGTCGAACTCACGTCTTCTGGCGCAAAAAGCGAGCGCGCTGACCACTCGGCCACCACTGCAGATGAAATAAGCTGTTTCTTTTGAGGAGGCTATTCGCTCATTTCGGCTAAACTTTGCGGTCGATTTTCTCGGCCGAGAAGCCCCGTAAACACTTTTGGAAATCAGTTTTATGATCGCAGACACTTCACGTTTGAAACCTACTAGGTGCCGTTCCAAAGTCCGTCTGCGAAAAAAGTGACTTCCCTTATCAGATATTGATGAAACTTGGCACAAATTTAACATTTTTTCAAACAATAATTTATTATATAATTATACAACATTTAACGCCTTTTCTCTCATATTTACATATATTTAAAGCTCCTCCAAGACCGTGATTTCCGGCTCTTCCTCCTTGACGATGGAACTGAGGTCCTGCGGGGAAGCGCCTTGAAGATAATCGTTTGTAATCATTGCGACAACTTGGGACTCACGCAGTATCAAGACGGCCTCTTTGAGGTCCCGAAGCAGGCTCAGGATCACGCCGAGGCGTTGTGGCGCTCGTTGAGAGCCGACTCGCGCCGCGATGTAGGCGGAGAGATCGGCGAGGATTTGGTTGAGAAGGTTGTCGTTGGGATCGGGCTTGGGGTCGAGTTGACATTTGACTGGAATTTGGAAAGACATTAGAGGGGAATGTGGATGTGATGAGAGTCGAAAAAGGGGGTAAAATTATAATACAGTATGAGGACCTGATCCAGTGGCAAAAACGTATCATTTCGTATTCGGGAAGCATCAAAAAATGTGGCAAAATACCTCCCTCTCCAAGTGAAAAAACTCAGATTTCAAAAGTTCTTTTTGTGAGGGAAAGGGCGCGCCCTTCAAAACGAAGTTTTTTCACTTGGAGAGGGAAGCATTTTGCCACATTTTTGATACTTCTTGGATGCAAAATGGTACGGTTTTCGCCACTAGAACAGGTTCCCCCACTGTAGTATTTTTATCAGACTGTCAAAAAAAATAGTGGCGAACGTCAAACTGACGAGTCCGTTGACCGGAATCGTCTCTTTGCTAGCGGTTTTTCACCCCTTACAAGGGCTCGGCAAAACCTCGTCCCCTGGTTTTATCTTGAAACATATACCATTCGAAAGAGCGTGAAAAACTGGTCTAGGATCACCTTGAATTAGCTGCTATTATCCACTTACGGGCTGGCTAGCGGGCATTTTTTAAAATTTCCAAGTTGAATTTTGGAACTTTTTGCTTCTGAGACGTGAACGAGATCGAATAATCACTTTTCATATAAATATTAGTCATTAATGAGGTTGAACGCTTCAACCCATGTCAAAAAATACAAAAGGTTTTCTGAGTTTGAGACATTCAGGTTGATGTACTCAATGAGTGATTGCGCGATGTTTTAGGTCCTGTAACTCAAGACAAACGAAGATGTTCCAAGCATGTAAGATGTTTTCAGACTCAATTTTTACGTACTTTCCGTTAGTAAAATTTCCTAGTAAAAATATGAAAGCCTTCGAAAGTTTCAACCACCCAGGATGTCCCACTACAAGGTCAAAGAGGCTAAAATAAAAGAAAAACGAAAAAGTTGTAGTTTTTTTTTTTTTAAATGGTGCTGAGTATACACAAAAGTCTAGTCAAAAATTAAATATAACTTTCTGACTCTATTTGTTCCATACTAGCCAGAAAAATAAAAAAATTCAAAAGAGGATTCGAACCCGCTTCGCAGGTCCTTGAGCAGCGCCTTTCCCCACTAGGCCACCGAAGCACTGCTTCGGTTTGCTTTTGAAACCGATCGCGTTTGTTTTCTTAAAAGCAGGGTGAGACTAGCCTAGAACTAAAAAATTCTCGCTAGCCAGCGCGTAAGTGGATAATAGCAGCTAATAAAAGTTGCTTCTAGACCAGTTTTTTACGCTCTTTCAAATGGTATATGTTTCAAGAAAAAACCAGGGGACGAGGTTTTGCCGAGCCCTTGTTAGGACGTGATTTTTTCGGTTTTTTTGAGTTCATTCTACTTTACGCGTCATTCTACGGCTATTATAACCAAGTTTGCCGCATCTATCTACGCTCGTTTTCGAGATATAACCGCTGTTCGAGATTTTTTGCTTTTCATCATAAGGATGAGGGAATTTCGGGGCTTCTAAAAAATTTTTGGTAGCAAACGAAAATTGAGGTCCTAAGGATTCAGACAAAAAAAGAATTTTCATATTTGGCCAAAAAATGAAAAAGTTATAGCCAATTCAAATTGGGCCACAAAAATTCCGGACCCTGTAAAAGAAATTCACTTCCATTTGGAGACGATAAAAAGTGACTCCTCAACTACTGGCAAAAAGGAGAATTTGAGTAATAGTCATGCAATATTTGAGCTTACCTTCCCTCCAATAGATCATCCCGGCCAACGCCGCCACTTCGGTTTCATCGACTTTGACCCGCCGAACTTTGTCGGCGATTTTGAAAAGCTTGGTGCGATATGTAGTGAGCAGCCTGAAATTTTAACGCCGTTAGTCAGTGATCTTTTTTTTCAAATTTGCTGCTCATATCCTACAACCCCTTCCACAACATTTCCCGAAAAATTAAGGTTCTGGAGAGGTCCGAAAGTCCGCTCCTACCTCGTCGAATTGGCCGTGTCCCTTTCGCTGGAGTAGAAATAGTTCATGTCATCGAGATCAATGTAGGCACCGTAATTGAGCAGCATTTTCCGGTTTTCATCCGGGAAATACAAGCGGTTGAGGTAGAATTCGTTGAGACTTGTGAACTGATGAAAGAACCCTTCGAATACTTTGACCTGAAATGGAGTTTTAAAACAACGAAATTGAGTGTCCAGTATGTCAATACAAAGTGCTTAGAGTGTAATTTTTTATGAGAGAAAAATGAAAAGAAATGATGGATCGCGCTTTGCAGAAACAATCGAGATTTTTGGGTCAAAATTGGAGAAAATTCGACATTTTTCTTTGCGAATTATGTCATGAAAATTTTTGTATCTATTTCTACCGTATACGATAATGTTTCCACAAAAAATCGATTTTTCCGCACTAAACTGGCAGTTTAAAACGGAGTTTTTTTAGTTAGAGAGGGAGGCATTTTGCCACACTTTTGGATACTTCCCGGATGCAAAATGATACGTTTTTTGCTACTGGATCATGTATCTCACTGTACGTAGATTCCGATAGAAAAATTGTAGTTTTAACCGGGAATGTTGGTTGCCTGACATGTGTGCAAAGCTTCGAAAATCTCAGCTGTCTTGTGAGCAAATGGAAAAAATCCGTAGTGTGGGACATGTTTCGTCATGTCACAAATTCTACACTTCTCAATACACTACAAAATTTACGAACCTTTGTATTAAAATGAAGCTGTGGAGACTCCAAAAACCGCTAGAACACGTAGGTTGAAGATTGGAAAAAATGCGACACTTTTTTTGAAAATTTTCGCATTAAAAGTTTTGTACCTATTTCTACCGTAGAGATTAATGTTTCCACAAAAAATCAATTTTTTCCGCACGAAACTGGCTAAGATACGGCCAAAAATTGTTTTTTCTCTCTAGTTCTCCGCGTTTCGCATGCTCTCTAAAAGATCGTTTGATATTTTGGCTGCGGCTGCAAAGCGAAAGCTGAAATTTTCAGGGCTTGCAAAACGGAGGATATAGAAGGTTGTGGAAAAACACTATGGTAATTGGATTACTGCGAGTTGATAATTCCGCTTTTGAAAATTTTTGACCAAAACTAGAAGTTTTTTTTTTTGATTTTTCTCACTTTTTCCCTCAAAAAATCGCAAAAAACTGGCTTAAATTGTCTTTATCTTCAAGCTATATCTTCCTTGAATAGATGACAAGAAAAAATGTGACAAAAATTTAACAATTTCCAGTAGATAACTCCCTTTTTTGGCCACTTTCTCGACCAAATTTCGATTTTTTTTTTGATTTTTCTCACTTTTTCCCTCAAAAAATCGCAAAAACAAACCCACTCTATCATCATCGCTGAGCTGATTGAACGCCGAATAATGATTCTCCATCATGCGGTACACGTAGACTTGTTGAGCGCGTTCGAATTGAAAAAATTCGAGGAGTGTGCCCTTCCGGAAGGCAATGTCTTTGAAGAAGATTTGATTCGGATTGAAGGCATAAAACAGATTCTTCGTATCGTACAAATACGTCTTGTAGCCGGCGGTCAGCTTCTCCAGGACCGTCTGAGGTGCCGTCGAAGTGGAGGGCGGGGAGTCCTCGAGTTTTGGGGCTCGCTTTTTGGGCCCCGTCTTGTCGAAATTCACTCGGATTTCTGAAGAAAATATGAGGGGTAAAAGATTAAGTTTGGCCTGAATAAGTAAGCCCTCTATGAGGATTTTTACATGTACCAGCTTCGCAGTCGCTGGAGTGATTTTGCGACAAGAAATGTATGAAAAAAAAGAAGTTTTTTTTAACCGTGCTATAGGCTTTTTTGGGCTGTCATTCGCATCGGGTCAACGATACTACAGATCGCCTCGGTTCGTCGTTGTAAGCATTGGGAGGCTTGGAGAAGGCCTATTTAGTAGAAATAATAAGATTGATCGGGTTCTACGGTAGCTGACCACCTATTTTGAGGTATTTTACATGTACTCACATCAATAAAAACAAGGTATTTAAAAGTTATGGATCTTTGTTTTTTGCCCCAAATTTTGGTCTTCTATTATGTTACAGTAACTTTTTTGAGCTGTCGCTGGCACCCTGTCTATTTCTTCACAGTGAAAATGCCAAAAATCACTCTAGCGGCTTCACGAACGGACTATTTTCCCTCACAAAAAGAGCGGGTGCGATTTTGAACTCGGAGTTTTCTCACTTGGAGAGGGAGGTATTTTGCCACATTTCTGATACTTCCCGGATGCAAAATGACCCGTTTTTTGCCACTGGATCAGGTCCGCATATTATTAGCTTGCGCTTAGCAGAAATGAGATTTTTAGCTCAAAAGTTGGCAAAAATGTGACACTTTTTTTGTTGGATTTGAAGCCAGAAAAGATCAAGTTGACCGGTGTGACCGGTCGTTCGACCAATCTGACCGGTATGACCCCAAATCCGGTTAAAATAAGGAAATCTTCAAGTCGATTTGCTAAGGACTATTTTCCCTCACAAAAAGAGCGGGCGCGCTTTTGAAATCGGAGTTTTCTCACTTGGAGAGGGAGGTATTTTGCCACATTTCTGATACTCCCCGGATGCAAAATGGTACTTTTTTGCCACTGGATCAGATCCGCCACTGTAGCCGTCTGAGCAGAACTCGGGGCTGCGAGGAAGAGGAATTTTCAGTATTTGTATTCTAATTTCAATAACAGTTGATGGGAGTTGGCTACAAGACTGTCGGGAAAATAATGAACACTCTGTCGGTTCGAAAATCGAATCGCCGCCGAGAAAATGAATTGTGTTGCGGCAAAATTATTATAAATTGCTTTTCAATTCAGCGATGCGAAGCGACAGAGAGCTCACTATTTTCCCGACAGACTGATAGTACTTTGGCTGTGCAAACTGAGGGTTGAAATACTTACTGTCTTTTCGCATCCCAACCTCGAAACATTTTTTGTAGCGACAGGCAGGGCATAGGATTCGGATCGCTGAAAATGACGTCATAATACTTGTTTATTTTTTCAATCTTAAAATATTCTTTTTTTGGCGGTATCTTTGCCAGTTTCGTGCGGAAAAAATGATTTTTTGTGGAAACATTACTCTCTCTACGGTAGAAATAGATACGAAACTTTTCATAACAAAATTTTCAAATATAATGTGGCAATTTTTTTCAACTTTTAACCAAAAAATCTTGGTCAGTGAGCCAGAAATCTCGCCTATATTTTAAAAATAATGACTCAAAATTTGCGCCAAGTTTTGTCAAAATCTGAGCGTCGTATTTGTCTCATTTCGCCGGTAAGCTTGGTCCGATTCTCATCAAAAGATCGGAGAATTGCATTTCCCCCCTTTTACAGACATGCTACAATTTTGTGGCTCTTTCTAAATATTGAAAAAGAGAAACAAAGAAGGTCGACTTACTCTGGTTAATATGACAATCCTCTTTCTGATTGCATTTGTACTTCCTCTTCTGTATGCAAGAGCGTCGAAAGAATGCGGCGCCTGAAAACACACAAGCATTGAAAAAATGTAAATCCAAATACAAAGATTTCGCCGTTGTACAACGTCCTGGTTGTTGTACGGAGATTTTTCGCTATCTGAGAAGGAAAGTGCTTTTATCGTAAAAACCCTCAGGACTTTTCTTGCAACACCACGCAAATACCTCTTCTTTACATTGGAACCAGAGATTGCCACGGCTCCGGCTCCGAGCCGGGAGCCAGAGCCGGAGCCGGACATTTTGGGTGCGGCTCCGGCTCCCGAGCCCAAAGTCGGAGCCAGGCATCTCAGCGTTCAAAAAAGTAAAAATTTCATGATCTTGTTAAACCAAATTGTTTGAAAAATACTGGGAAGGGTGTGTTGCATACGACTTTGGCTGCAAAAACGTTGGCTGCACGATCTCTGGCACTAAGAAGTCTTACTATTGAAAAAAATGTTTCAAAAAAATTTTGCGCAGGAGCCGGGATTCGGAGCCGGAGACCTTTTTTAAATTTTGCACGGAACCGGGAGCCTGAGCTGCAAATTTGGCCTCGGCTCCGGCTCTGGGAGCTAAGAGCCGGAGCCGGAGCCAAAATTTTGACCGTGGCGATCTCTGATTAAGAATATGTAAAAATTTTAGTCTGTAAGAGCGAAAAAAACCCTCAGGACTTTTCTTGCAACACCACGCAAATGCCTCTTTTTTACATTGGAATTGCTATGTGTAGTAATAATCAAATTTGATATTTTAAGGCTTGTCAAGATGCCAGAGTTTAATTTTTCGCCCAAAACAAAACTTTTGAATTGGTAAAAGTTTCGTCAAAAGGGCACACATGTTTGACTTTGAAGGGTCATAACTCGACGTAGGATTGATCATTTTTAATGATCTTTTTTTTTTGAACAAAATGGCAACTACTAAGAAATAAAATGAGCTATTGCTCATAAAAATTGAACAATCCTATAAAAAGTTATAAGCATTTTACATCCGCGAACTTAGCTGAACCACCCTGTACTAGTTTCAATGTAAAAAAAGGCTAAAGTAAAAACTAGCACCTTCACAAGCCTCAAAATGTAAAAAAAGGCTTTTACGTGGTTTTGCGAGAAAAGTTCTGAGGGCTTTTTCACCCTTACAAACCAAAATTGGGCAGATAATTTTTACATATTCTGAATCAGAAAAATTTTACATTTTTTTTGATATATCTTTCGACCTGTAACTCCATACCCCATAGAAAATACTTCTATATTTTCCATGGGGTATGGACTTGATGATAACTCTACTTACAGGGTCGACAAGTCTGGACTCCAAAATGTTTTTCCGTCGAGTCCGCGTAACACACCTTGCAACTGGCCTCGGCCTTCATCCTAAAGTAAAAAATTTACTTTCCTCCAACTCGACGCTCATTATAACTCCCGAAATTCGACGCGAATTTACGCGGAAATACACAAGAGCGGGGAAGACTAACCCTCTTGCCGGAGGGTTTAGAAACGTAAAAAGGGAGAGAAAATGGGAGACCGGGAAAACAGTGCGGGCTTTTTTTAAAAAAGGTGTCTGAAGTAGAACAAAAGGGAGAATACAAGAGGGCAGATGTGTGACACGCAAAAAGGCCATGCTCAAAAGTGCAACACTCGTATTTTATTTTCAATTTTGTCCTATCTACGTCATATTTCATTTCCTGAAAATTTTGGAAACATATATAATTTCAGTCTGTCGGGAAAATACTGGTTTGCAAGCAGGTATTTCAGATGGAAAAATTCAGAATTATGACGTCATTTTCAACGATCCGAATCCTATGCCCAGCCTGTCGCTACAAAAAATGTTTCGAGGTTGGGATGCGAAGAGCTAGCAAGTATTTCAACCATTAATTTATACGATACTATTAGGTTGATGCATAATTATCCGGTGTTTTTATTGGCGCGTTTTTTGTTAGTTAAGATTTGCGTTTTGTTAACTTTTTTTCATAAAAATAATCTTTATGCATCAACCTAATATCAGTCCGTCGGGAAAATAATGAGCACAATGTCGCTGCGCCGATCGTGTCGCGGAAGTGAAAGCAATTTGATTTGGCCGCGACAAAATTCATTTTCTCGGCGGCAATGCGATTTTCGATGCGACAAAATGCTCATTATCAGTCTGTCGCACGGCATTCTGTACTTTTGGGACACAACCGATCTCCGCGACTTTTTCTATTTTTTCGGAATGCGCTTGCTTTCTCTCTCCATATCTCGCTAGCCGTGTGAGTTAGAAGGCTAAAATTTGGCATAGCAGTAGAGTAAAAAGCCGGCTTTCAGAAAATGTGAATGTTGTAAGGAACCAAATTGCATAAACTTCGCAATAACAATTGAAAAAATTTCATTCTTAAAGCTTCTGCAATCCAAAAGTTTCAACACTATTTTTTGTCGGGAAAATAGTGGCGGCTGAACGGAGCAACATGTTTCGCCTTGTCGAGAAATGAGGCGAAAACTAGCGTCGCGCGCCAAATCTTCAGATTGCGGCTAGCCGTCGCACAGCGATATTGCCAAAAGTGGGAAAGACGCAATGCGAGAACATACAAAAATGCATTGTGCAAAGCAAAGAGAGAGAAGATATTTCTCGATTTTAAAACCATAAATGATGAAAAAAAAACGTAAAGAGCGTGAGTGAAGTTCCCGCGCCCTCTAACACATTTTTTTCTAATAGCTCACCCGATTCTTTTCCTTCTTTGAAAAGGGAAAAATTCTCAATGAAGAGTTGAGGTGAGCGCTGGTCTTCTTTTTATTTAATTCCTACATCTGATAAAGTCAAAAGCATGCACTCTAAATGCCGCACGGGAGATTGGGGGTGATTAAAAGGTCTACTTTGATATGGTGCTAGCCCGATTTGAGCTGACTTGCCAAAAACGTCATAAGCTTTCTCACAATATCATACAAGTTTGATCAAGTTTTTACCAATTAAACCATTTATTTTAAAGAATTGAAGAAGATTACGGCAACATTCAGAAGTAATGGATACGATTTTCGAAATCAGCACCATCGAAAACCCCTAAATCCATTACTCAAAAAAATTTTTTTTAATTGCTAATTAAGACAACTGCTTAAAACGCCATCGAAAACCTCCACCCCTGGGGCCGCGACAAATTCCCAGGACCTTTTTTTAATCGTGCCGAAATTCATCAAATTCTGAGCGTCGCACGTCAAACTGAGATAAGCTAAAACATTCCGGTGAATGGATTCACAATTTGCCAAAAAAGACGGGAAAAACCTTTTGTCGGGGAAGAAATGGGGAATTTTTGGGGCGAGAGAGTACGTTTTTGCGTGTCTTTTTTCTTTCTTTCTCTGCGAAATCAAGACGAAGTGTAAAAAACCGATAGCGAAGGGTCTATTCCGGTCACCGGACTCCTCAGTTTGACGTGCGTCGCACTTGGGGCAATTCACATGTAAATCGGCCAAGCCATTCCCTCTAAATCTGCCAGTGGCAGCACCAAGGCATGGCTAAATCCGAGCCCACGAACCTTGCGGCCCTGTGCCGCAAAATTCGAATCAAAATGATTTGATTTTCAGGTCAGGAGCCGGGCCGGGCTTGGAAATTTCGGCCCGCGCTTGCCTCAGGCCTCAGCCAAGAGTATCAAAAGAGCCTCAATTTGCTAAAATTGAAATCAAATTGAAATCCTGCGTTTCGCAAATTCGACGTAAACGCATGAGACCGCCTTGTCGAACCTTTTCAGGTATTAGTCATGCTCGTGAAAGGGTTTTTTCTCCCTCCCGCGGCCCTCGTTTCAGATTAGACAAACGGAAAAAACGCCGGTGTTTGCACAAGAGTGCGTTTTGGGAGATGTGGTTTGTGCGAAGCGGAGAAAAAGAGAGTGCAAGACGGACTGAGCGGTCTGTAAACTCGTACGTAGTGATAAAACGAAAGCCTGACGTACAATTTGGACTCATTCTGCGGCCGTCACAGGAGAAGATGATGAAGGGAAATGTGGAATTCACAATGTAAATGTCAAAGAAAAAGGTTTAATGGGGGAAAGTTTAACGTGGTATTTCGCTCTTCCTAATCAAAAAAACGGGCTCGAGAACATTGTAATTGCAAACGGCACGTTTCTAGACCACGCCCAGGTAGCCTTTGCGTAACAAAAGTTACATGGAAGTGGCTTGCTAAAGGCTGTCATTAAACGCAATAAACGAATAAGCGGGAAAGGAGCGCTTAGTAAAGTACAGCGACATGTTATAAAAGTTCCCGTCCCGACTTCGGGTCATCACAAAATCAAATCGCAGTTCGGGTCAACACAAAATCGATCGATACGAACCATAAGGCAGGTGGAGACCCAAAAAAAAGGTGGTGGAAGAGCCTACGAGGCCTGGCAAAGCCGTTGGAGAAAGCAGTACCTACAAGGATCTAATTTTAGCTATTACTATTTTCTGTGCAAGGTTCTGAGAAGTGACCACGAGGCCTGGAAAAGCCGTTTGATGCTCGGCGGACGCTCGGCGAAGGCTCGGCGGAGACCTGGCGAAGACTTGCAATATCAATCTTATTGCACAAAATTCGCGCCCGCTCCGTTGGGAAAAACTGCGATATTGCACTTGTACGGTGCAAAAGGTCAATTGCACAGTGCGGAAGGCTTGCGACAAAAAATCGACGTGCACTGTGCAGAAAAATCAGGGTGCGAGCGCCAGCCCAAAAAAGCCTATTGCACGGTGGAAAAAGCAACAAATTGCACTGTGCTAAGCGAAGTTTTGTTTTCGCACATTGCAATGTCGCAGAAAATTACTTCAGCGACTTGCACAGTGCAAAACAAACCTTTGCTTTCGCACAGCGCATGTCGTGAAAGCTACTCCAGCGCGCCTGCCCCGCTCCCCCAAATTTTCACAAGTGAAATTCAGTGCGTCATGGCGTCAAAGTTCGTAGATTCGACGGTCAGATGTAACGTGATGGACCCGCTGAACTTTTTTCCCCCCGCAAAAAAGCGGTTTCTCTTGTCACAAGATCCACCTGTGCCTTTGTTCCTTCAAAAAGCCTTGTGGGAGTCGGGGAGCACGATAAGACATCAACTGTTTCGTACGTTTTACTCACGCAGTACGAGGAAATATGTAGTTGGCAAAGTTCACGGGAAAAAGAAATGAGATCATGGGGAAACGAGAAGAGCCGTTACAGTAGGGGGACCTGATCCGTGGCAAAAAACGTATCATTTTCGGGCCGGCCGGGGGATTTTTAAATTTTAAAAACTTGGCCTGGCCCTTGGAGACCTATGGCCCCAAATTTTTGTATCATTTTAAATGGCGATTTTCCCGCCCGGGCGCGCCCTTTTGGCAATGTTTGGAATTGTGTTTTTAAGCTCAAAATTGAAAATTAACAACGTTAATTGTCACAGTACTCCAATTAGTTTTGAAACTTTCAGATGTCGACCCCAAAAAATTAGGTCAAGTCCCAATTTTCGGCCCAGAAAAGGTCAGCCCGGCCTTTTCTGCCCGTGACGGCGCCTGCCATGTCTGCCCCATCCTGTACAAGCAAACAAAACAAGCTTTCGACCAATTCGCAGTGATATCAGTTTATTTCCCGAATACGAAAGCAATGTCTCCAATTCCTGTTTGTTCAAATTACCCATTTCGACCTCCATTGGGCGCGGTAGAGGGGGCATCTTCTGGCGGTCCGACGCTCCGCCGCTTCCAGCCATCGGCGGAGGCAGGGTCGGCAGCCGATCAACTGTCGGCAGGATGGGCACCAGACCGGATCCTGGGGCGAGTCCGTGCAGATTGTGCAGGTGCGGCCTGAATTTTGGAAAACAAAATTCCCTGGCTGGCCTGCTTCCATTTTGCCCCACACCTGAACCTGACAAATATGCGTTTTTCTCTGTCGTACTCAAACACGGGTTTTTCTGCGTTATAAGAATGTCACGTAGATCGCAGAAGATCTACGTAACATCGCTTCAAATTTAGGCAGAAACATAGCATTTGATAAAGAAAATCATGAAAAATATTGAAATTCATTAATTCACATTATTTAAAACAGTATAAAACAGAAAATTTAACAGTAGTACAGCATTACTCAAGAAAAACTCGGTAGGATTCATCAGACTTGGATGCAAATTGTAGTGAAAAAAAAGTGGTGAAAATTTCTGTCATGCTAAATCAAGCAAATCAAGAGAAATCAAAACTTTTATGACAGAGATTCTCTTCAGCAGGGTATAAAACACGGCAAAAACCAGCAATCTTCAATTCGACTTCATTCTTCAATTGCTTGTTGGATTAATTTTATACCATCAAGTAAGCTTGTGATCAGATTTAACACGTTTTTTGATTTCAATTGTTGTTATTTCCTTTATAGAGCTTTTTATTTTAATTTTTTCAATTTTCAGACCTCTTCTAATAAATCTTCTAATAACCATGTTTCCATCGCAATCATTTTTCCTCTCCGCTGACGCTGCCTTCCAACCGACCGGATTCCAACCAGCTTTTGTACCAATTGCCCATCCCCACCATGTTTATCCGATTGGATACCACCAAGCAAGCCCGATGGCTTACATTCCACCAATGTATTATAACCACGGCTTGATCTCGCCAGCAAAACCAATTTGCTGGCAATCATCAAAATTTCATCTATAATCAAGCCCAAAATTTCGATGAACCTCAGCCCCAAGCCTCTCAGCAAGTGCCAGAGGAACAAACACGTCGACCTTTGAGTATCCGACGAAACGCCCGGACCGATGGATTTCCTGCAGGACCGGAAAGGCAACAAGACACTGAGGCCACACAAAAGTTGCGAGAATGGGTAAGTATTTTTTTATTAACAAACTGTTTGTTGCTGATCAATGCAACGTAATGACTAATGTTTCAGGCAGAGCGATTCAGAGCCCGCAGAGATCAGCTTAAAAAAGAACGAGACTCAGAGGTTGTTGTGGTGTCAGGTAAGTACCATACTCTAACATACGCAAACATACTAGTAAATAAATTAAATCAGTCATCATTTTTTCTGAAAAATCAAAAACCTTTAAATCATCCCAACTTTTCAGAAACCGAATGCACCATTTGTTTCGACAAGGCCAGGAACCCAACAAGTTGCAAAGCATGCAAGCAGATCATCGGATGCCAACGATGCATTAGGAATTGGATTCGAACACAAGCGGATAGCAATAAAGCACCGTCGTGTCCGTTATGTCGAGGAGATGGGTTTGCAAATTTTGAATTGTTCGATTAAAATTTTTTTAATAAATAAAAATTTTAAATATGTTTCAATTGATTCTTTTAAGTCAGTTATCAAAGCATCAAGGGCCCAGTAAAAAGATTTTCTTCAATAAACTCATTTTTTATTTAAAAAATTAAACCGACAGTTAGTAATACAATCTTGGGTAGACGATTCGCGTCAGCTTGTCATTGCAAGTATAAGAGAGGCCAGAAAAAGGCCTAATTAGTTGAAATTGGAATATTTTGGGGTATTTTACATGTACCCACATCAATAATGTCTAGATAAAAGTTACAGATCTTCGTTTTTTTTATTTTTTTTTCTTTTGCATGTTACAATAACTCAGGGTCGACATGGCAGGCCCGTGACGGCGCCTGCCATGTCTGCCCCATCCCGTACAAGCAAACAAAACAAGCTTTCGACCAATTCGCAGTGATATCAGTTTATTTCCCGAATACGAACGCAATGTTTCCAATTCCTGTTTTTTCAAATTCCCCATTTCGACCTCCAATGGGCGCGGCAGAGGGGGCATCTTCTGGCGGTCCGATGCTCCGCCGCTTCCAGCCATCGGCGGAGGCAGGGTCGGCAGCCGATCAGCTGTCGGCAGGATGGGCACCAGACCGGATCCTGGGGCGGGTCCGTGCAGATTGTGCAGGTGCGGTCTGAATTTTGGAAAAAAAATTTTAAAATGAATAAAAAAATTTTGACAAGGAAAGTACTTCTATGGGGTGTGGAATTACCGGTCGAGATATACATCAAAAAATTCGCAAAAATTTTCTGATTCAGAATATATATAAATTAGCTGCCTAATTTTGGTCTAATGACATGTTTTTGTCCTCAGAAGTTTTCTCGTGACACCATGCAAGTGTCTTTTTGACCGTGTTTTTACCAATAAAAAAATTTTGTTTTATGCTAAACTAAATTCTAAGGCCATGACAAGCCTTAAAATATCAAATTGGATTACAACTACACCTTAAAAGTAGTTCCAATGTAAAAAATGGGTTCTAGTGTGGCAAAAAGAATCGAACCCGTTTCCCTCGGATTTCCAACCCAGCGCTCTAACCACTCGGCCACACCGCTCTCTTCCGAAGGAAGAGACCGAGCGCGCTTTTGTTGCCGCAGATTTTTTTCCTCGAGAAAAACATTTATTGAAAAAACTCGCTGATAGACCAAAAATTAGGCAGCTAATTTATATATATTCTGAATCAGAAAATTTTTGCGAATTTTTTGATATATATCTCGACCGGTAATTCCACACCCCATAGAAGTACTTTCCTTGTGAAAAAAAAACAAAATAATTGTACCGTCGGAAAGACGGCGGTTGCTTGGCTGATTCGGCAAATGTCGAGTGGTTGGTCGGACTTGTGCCGCTCGTGCTGGACGTTGAAAAGGCTAAAAATTTTAACGTCTATTTTTACCAAGTTGACCGGTCAAATTGGGCAAGTTGACTGATCAAATTCACCCTCAAAATCCTGTTGCTAGCAAAAAAAAATGAATTTTTGGCCATGTTTACCGGTCAGATTGTGCAAGTCGACCGGTCAGATTTGGCAAGTTGACCGGTCAAATTCCACCTCAAAATCCTGTTGCTAGCAAAGAAATTAAATTTGGCCAAGTCTGCTGGTCAATTTGGGCAAGTCGACTGGTCAAATTCACCTTCAAAATCCTGCTGTTAGCAAAAAAAATTTAATTTGGCCAAGTCGGCTGGTCAATTTGGGCAAGTCTACTGGTCAGATTGGGCAAGTTGACCAGTATGATTCACCTTCAAAATTATGTTGCTAGCAAAAAAATTGAATTTGGACATTTTGGCCGGTCATATTGGGCAACCTGGCCGGTCATATTGGTCAAGTTCATCTACCAGATTCCACCTTCAAAATTTTGCTGCTATCAAAGAATCAAACTTGGCCAAGTTAACCGGTCACATTGGCCAAGTTAACTGGTCAGATTCCACCTCAAAACCCGGCCAATAAATAGAAAAACCTACATGAGGCTCGTCGTTCTCCCGTTCACGCTGCTCCAAATCCCAATAAAATTGTTCCATATACGCTTCATAACTGACCAATCCGGCCAGTTCGGGGTCTATGCGCAGCATTCGCAACAGATTCGTGTCGGTGATTCGGGGCTCCTGATTGGGCTGCAGTTGCACTCCCCACCCCCGTTGCTGCGGAGTGAAGGAGGCGGCCGGAGCGCCCGAGGGTCCCGGCACGGCTTCAGCGCGGAGATTTGGCTGGAGGAGCCCCGATTGTTGACGTCCGCCGCCTGGCCGGGGCCGCTCCAACGCTGCTGCGGTTGGTCGTTGAGGCAGTTCCTCGCTTCGTGGAGGCGGGCTGGCGCTTCTTCGCTCCGCTGTCGATGCAGAGGACTCGTCATCGCTGCTCGGGGCGTTTAAAATTGAGGAATCTTAAAAAAAAGGAACGAGTTTTTTCGAAAAAATCAAATTTTTCGCCTCCCGGCTTTTCGGGTCGAAGACAGTTCGGGTCAATACAAAATCGATGGATAGGGGACGTAGGGCAGGTGAAGACCCAAAACAATTGCAGGAAGTGCCTACGAGGCCTGGCAAAGTCGTTGGATGTTCGGCGGACGCTCGGCGAAGGCTCGGCGGAGACTTGGCGAAGGAATGAAATATGTCCACGTTTTCTTATTTTAGCTATTACTAACGTTAGTTTTCTTTATCCTGAGTTACTGTAACATATATAAGACCAAAATTTATGGCAAAAAACGAAGATCCGTAACTTTCATCTAGATATTATTGATGTGAGTACATGTAAAAAACCTCAAAACAGGTGATACGATACCCTAGGACCCGACCAATCTTATTATTTCTGTTAACTAAGTAAGCCTTTTCCCAGGCCCCCATGCATATATGCATATAACGATCGACGTGATCCATAGTATCGTTGGCCCGAGCTGTCGCTGGCCCGAAATTTCGTAGACTTGACTCAAGTTTGGGCTAGTTCTCTGTGGGAAGTATGAGAGATTGCTCATGTTTACCGCCTATTTTGAGGTATTTTACATGTACTCACATCAATAATATCTAGGTACAAGTTACGGATCTTCGTTTTTTGATGCAAAATTTGGCCCTTTATATGTTAGAATGACTGAGGGTAAAGAAAACTACCGCCAGTAATAGCCAAAATTAGAGAAATAGCTCATATTGTAGGCCTTCGCCAAGTCTCCGCCGAGCCTCCGCCGAGCGTCCGCCGCCCATCTAGAGGCTTTTCCAGGCCTCGTAGGCAATTCCTACAACTTTTTTTGGGTATCCAACCGCTCTACCTCCCCGTATCGATCGATTTTGTGCTGACCCGAACTATCGTCGACCCGAAAAGTCGGGATGCAAAAAAATAAATAAAAAAGTGCAAAATCAAAAAAAATATCTTTACCATCGTCCGAGCTTGTGCTTTGGGGTTGGTCGACAAGTACGCGGCGGTATGTTACTATTGCATTACGTCTGAATGGGGCAAGGGGACTCGGTAGATGGTGATGGGGCTGCGAATTGTCAGCCTGCACATAAAGAACGACAAAGCCTCTGGCGCGAGTGCTCGCGATTTTCGCGTCCACCGCGCCCGGATTTGGGCCGTGGAGGTGGGGAGTTGTCTGAAAACTTGGAAAATAATTTTTTTTTTTTTTTTGAGGAAATAAGCGAAGGGACAACAAAGAAAAAATCAAAACAAAAAAACGAAAAAAATGAAAACCCAAAAGTAAAAAACCCTAAAAAATCGCAAAAATAAAAAACGAAAAGAAATAAAAACCAGAAAAATTTAAAAAACCCCAAACATCCCAAAAATAAAAATCGAAAAAAATGAAAACCCAAAAAAAAAAATAAAAATCAAAGAAAAATAAAAACCAGAAAAAGTAAAAACCCCAAAAAATCCCAAAAATAAATATTTAAAAAAATATAAATAATAAAAAAATCCTCCAAAAATAAAAATTAAAATCCCAAAACAATAAAAATCAAAAAAAAAAAAATAAAATAAAAACCAGAAAAATTTCAAAAAACCCCAAAAAATCCCAAAACTAAAAACCTCTTACGATGTCTGCGACGATACTATATTCTTCCCCAGTCCGATGCACCGAGATGCTGCATCTGCAATTCCTCCGCGAGCAGATGTAGCGATAGGCGGCGTCCACACCAGCGGGCGCAACTCGCGCCGTTCCTCGCCGAAACAAAAACCCGCGACGTGAGAACATGGGATGGATATTGGCCATCAACTGAATCCATCGTGATCGGTCGGGCTCGCCGACCACCTCCATGGCCCAACCGGTGCATGAAATTAATTTGGAGGCTGGGAAATTTGGAATCAAAAAAAATTTAATTTTTGAAAGTTGAAAATTGAGAAAAAATTCTTTTTGATTTTTTTGCACTTGGTGTAATTTCGGATCCACCATACTCGCCGGACCTCTCGCCCATCGACTACCACTTTTTCAAGCATCTGGACAACTTCCTGCAGGAGAAATGCTTCAAAAACCAAGACGACGCCAAAACCGCCTTCGCCGACTTTATCGCCTCCAGAACTCCGGATTTTTACGCTACCGGCATAAATAAACTTGTTTCTCGTTGGCAAAAGTGTGTTGATTCTACGGTTTTTATTTCGATTAATAAAGTTTATTATAAAAAAAGTTATGGTGTTTTAAAGTTAAAGGTTAAAATCCGACATTTCATATTGAACAACCTAATACTTTTAATGGGCTATAAATCGACTTGTCCAAATTTCGGACTGCGATTTTCTAGGGCAACCGTGCAATGCGATTACTTTTTCCAAGAGATCACGGAAAATGAAGAGAGTGGTTAGAGAAAAGTCTTTTTTTCACCAAATCTGTGCGCGTTCGGCTTTGGAAAATTGAATTTTTTGTTGAATTATATCGAAAAGAAACTTGATCTTTCAACTTTTTGGTTTTTCGGCCAAAAAATCTGGGCAATTCTTCGCCAAGTCTCCGCCGAGCATCCAAAATTTTTAGGCCCAAAAAAACCTAGAATTTCTTGCGATTATTCACAGAGGAAGTACTCCAAGTGCGACGCTCAGATTTTGATGAAACTTGGCGCAAATTTAGAATAATTTTTTATAAGATATATGCGAGAATCCTAGCTCGCGCTTTGCAGAAACAACCGAGATTTTTAGAACGAAAGTTGGCCAAAAATTTAGGAATTTTGCCGAATTTCGGCACGGAAAGTTTCATGCCTATTTCTACCGTAAAGGATAATGTTTCTACAAAAAATCAAAATTTTCCGCAGGAAACTGCCAAAGTTATGGCCAAAAAGCGCCTTTCTCTCTGACCGCTCTCCACGTTTAGCGTGCTCTCTCGGCGGCAAAAATCGTTCGATATCTCGGTGGCGCCCGCAAAGCGCGGGCTAAAACTTTCAGGAATTGATATTTAGTCCATACCCGACGTGTGTGCAAATTTTAAAGAAAATCTGAGCGTCGCACTTTGAGTACTTCCCCTATCAGTTGAAAAAATGGTCTTTTCTCAAAACGAGTCTTGTAATTTTGTTACAACACTTTTTCCATACAAAATTCTCTAAGAAAATCACAAAATATACGTCTTTTCTCTGGCCCTCTCTTCATTTTTGATACTCTCTCGTCCGCAAAGAATCGTTGGATATCTCGGCGCTCATTGCGAATGATGAACTGAAATTTTTAGAAGTTAATTTTCGACTAATATAAAATTTTTGGATACTTTCAAAAAAAAATTTTTTTTGATTTTTTTATTTCAACAAATATTTTACAATCATCACATTTATAACTTATTTATCGCGTCCCGAGTGCCGTAATATCCGCGAACGGTCGATGCAGATGGTCGCCAGTGAGTAGAAGAACGACAATGTTTTCCTTGTTCATAGTCATCATGTCTTCGATGCCTCGCAGCACCGATAAGACCAAGCCGAAACGAGTGCCAACCTCGCGATTTCCGTCTTTTCGTTTGCAGTATTCGTAGAGTTCGTGGTTGATTTGGTCGACGAGATGGTCGTAGTCGGAGCAGTCGAGGTAGTAGGCTACTGAAAATGGAAGATTAAACAAGTTATAGGGGATTTATTCGCGTCCCAAATTTTTTGGGTCGACGGCAGTTCGGGTCAAAAAAATAAAAAAAAAAGCTTGAAATACAGTGAGGGACCTGATCCAATGGCAAAAAACGTCTCCTTTTGCATCCCAGAAAGGGCCAAAATGCCTCCAAACCCTTCTCTTCTCTAAGCTAAAAAACTCCGTTTTAAAAAGCGCGCCCTTTCCTTCAAGGCGGGCTCTTCAAATCGGGGTTTTTTAGTTTAGAGAAGGGAAGGGTTTGGAGACATTTTGGTCCCTTCCGGGATGCAAAATGAGTCGTTTTTTGCCATTGGATCCCGTCCCTCACTGTAGAAGTATTGATCGATTAAAATCGATCAATAGGAGGAGTAGAGTACGCGAATACCCAAAAAAAAAGTTGTAAGAAGTGCCTACGAAGCCTGGCAAAGCCGTTGGATGGTCGGCGGACGCTCCGAGAAGGCTCGGCGGAGACTTGGCGAAGGCTTGCAATAATCTCAGTTTCTCTAGTTTTAGCTATTACTAACGTTAGTTTTCTTCAGTCTGAGTTGTTGCAACATATGTATATATATAAGATCAAAATTTGCGGGGAAAAAACGAAGATCCGTAACTTTTATCTATATATTATTGATTTGAATACATGTAGAATACCTCAAAATAGGTGACAAGCTATCCTGGGACCCGATAAATCTTATTATTTCTACTAACTAAGCCTTTTCCTAGGCCCCCATGCATACAACGACGAACCGACGCGATCCTAGAGTACTGTTGACCCGAGCTGTCGCTGACCCGAAAAGTCGTAAAAAGTCGCAAAATTTCGCCGACTTTTTTTAGAGATATTGAACGACTTTTGCCGCCGAGAGAGTACGCTAAACGCGGAGAGCGGTCAGAAAGGAACACGCTTTTTGGCCATAACTTCGCTAGTTTCGCGAGGAAAAAATTGATTTTTTGTGGAAACATTACCCTTTCTGGTAGAAGTCGGCACGATACTTTTTGGACCGAAATGCGGCAAAAAATGTCAAATTTTTGCCGACTTTCGGTCGAAAAATCTCGGTTGTTTCTGCAAAGCGCGAGCTATTACTCTCGCATGTATTTTCGAAAAGAACAGTCTATATTTGTGCCAAGTTTCATCGACACCTGAGCGTCGCACTTGGCGACTTCCCCTCTAAATTTATTCGCCACCAAACTCACAGTCCCTCCACAAAATGATTCCGGCCAATGCGGCCGTCTCCACCGCATCAATGCGAATGTTCTTGAACTTCTTCGCAATCTTCACGACCTTGATTTGGAAGGGCTTTAAGATCTGCGCCGACGCGTGCGGATGGCGATCGTTCGAGTAGAAGTGCGTGAAACAGTCCGCCTGCGCGTAAATCCCAAGATTTAGGAGGAGTTTGCTGTCGTCCGCGCGAAAGTACAACGAGTTCAGGTAGAGGCGGTTCAGATGACCGAAGGGGTATTGGAAAATCTCAAAGATTTGTCGCTGAAAAATTGAATCTCTTTGCGGGCTTCAAATCCAACAAAAAAAAATTGTCACATTTTTTGCCAACTTTTGAGCTAAAAATCTCATTTCTGCAAAGCGCAAGCTAATAGGCGGACCTGATCCAGTGGCAAAAAAGCGTCATTTTGCATCCGGGAAGCATCAAAAATGTGGCAAAATACCTCCCTCTCCAAGTTAAAAAACTCTGATTTCAAAAGCGCGCCCGCTCTTTTTGTGATGGAAACAGCGCGCCCTTTCAAAACAGAGTTTTTTTTTGTTACAGAGGGAGGCATTTTGCCACATTTTTTGATACTTCCCGGATGCAAAATTATACGTTTTTTGCCACTGGATCAGGTCCTTCATTGTAGAAAAGTTCTTGCTAAATTTTTGCCAAGTTTCATCCAAATCTGAGGGTCGCACGACAAACTGAGATAATCAACGGTCAGGCGAATGGATTTGAGAATATCGCAAAAAAAGACGCAAAAAATCTTTTTGACGAGGAAGAAATGGGGAATTTTTGGGGTGAGAGCGTACGTTTTTGCGCGTCTTTTCTCTGTCTTCTCTGTCAAATTGAAACGAAGTGTAAAAAACCGATAGCGACAAGTCTATTCCGGTCACCGGACTCCTCAGTTTGACGTGCGTCGCACTTGGAGCACTTCTGCTGTTAGCTTCGCATCCTGCATCGCTCTTACCTTCTCCTCATCCGAGAAGTCGCTGAACGGCTGGAAGTGCTCATTCAGCATCTTCAGCACGTAGACGAACTGAGCCCGCTCGAACTGCAGACAGTCGTTCAGAGTTCCGGGACGAAACTCCAACGTCTTGTCGAAGAGGGACTCCGGGTTCAGGGCGTAGTAAAGGTTCTGGGTTTCTTCGATGAATTTCTTATAGCCTAGGGTCATTTCGTCCAGAATCGACTTTTTCTTCGTCTGAAGTGGACAGGACGGGCTCCTCCTCTTCGGTCCGGTTTTGTCGAAGTTGAAGCGAATGTCTGGAAAAAAAATCCTGGTTGATTTTGCCGCGACACACATTTTTCTCGTCGGCGATGCGATTCTCAATGCGACAGAGTGCCATTATTTTCCCGACGGACTGATAGAACCCTCGTATTGGTCGAGTTCATCTTAATGGCTCTATCAGTCTGTCGGGAAAATAATGAGGATTTTTGTCGCGTCATGGAAGTGGCCATCATCGCCTTGCGATGTCTAGTCGCAAAATTTGATGCGCGACTACGGCCAGGCAAGAAATTTTGCTTCGACAAATCCACATTATTTTCCCGACAGACCGATATAAATCCACTGAGATGAAATCGATCAATACGAAGGGGCAGTAGAGGCGGAAGCCCAAAAAAAGGTTGTAGCAGCTGACTACGTGGCCTGGCAAACCGGCTGGATGCCCGGGGGAGGCTCAGCGAAGATCTACAACGCGTCAACTTTTTCAATTTCAGCCACAGCCAACCTTACCTCAGTTTTCTTGATCCTGAGCTATTTGTATTACACAATGACAGTCCTGATCCAGTGGCAAAAACGTGCCATTTTGAATCCGGGAAATATCAAAAAAAGTGGCAAAATGCCTCCCTCTCCAAATGAAACAAATCCGTTTTGAAGGCCGCGCGCTTTCCCTCATAAAAAACTTTTGAAATCGGAGTTTTTTGCACTTGGAGAGGGAGGCATTTTGCCACATTTTTTGATATTTCCCTGATGCAAAATGGCACTTTTTTTGCCACTGGATCCGTTCCGCCACTGTACAATAGCCCAGGATCAATAAAACTAACATAAGGATAGCTGTAGCTGAAATCAAAAAAGTTGGCGTGTTGTAAGTCTTCGCTGAGCCTCCCCCGAGCATCCAGCAGGTTTGCCAGGCCACGTAGACAGCTGCTACAACCTGTTTTTGGGTTCTCGCGTCTACTGCCCCTTCGTATTGATCGATTTCATCTCTATGGATCTAAATCAGTGTGTTGGGAAAATAATGTGGATTTGTCGCAGCAAAATCTCTCGCCTTGTCTCTGCCTGTACTGTAACATTAAACAGAGCAAAACTTTCTCAAAAAAATAAACATGCATAAGTTTCACTCAGATAATGATATTATTATTGTGGTAATAGAGGTAAAATACCTCAAAAAAGGCGATAGACTATCCTAGCCCCTCAAACTTTTACATTGCTAGACGTACGCGCAAGTTCACAAAGATTTTCACTTACTTTCAATCTTCATCCCGACCTTGAGGCATTTCTTGTAGCGACAGAATGGGCAGATCACGCGGACTGCTGGAATAAAAGAGAATACGCTTCCGGCTTGATAATCAACAAAGAAATAGGAATCAGAACAGGAAAGGGATTGGTAACGGGAAATTTCGGGAGGACTACAAGAAGTTGTGGGCCTTTCTGACTGCGTTTTTGGTTTGTGCCGGTAGAAAGATAAGAATATTGGATTTGAATAACCTCTATAGTAGAAATAAGCACGAAACTTCAGTGGTCTTTGTGGCCGAGAAAGTGCGCGAAAAGCGGAGAGCGGTCAGAGAAAACCCACTTTTTGGCCGTATCTTTGTCTGTTTCGTATGGAAAAAACTTATTTTTTGTGGAAAAATTACTTTCTACGATAGAAATAGGCATGAAACTTTTCATGGAAAAATTCGGCAAAAAAATGTCAAATTTTTTCCAACCTTCGACTAAAAAATCTCTGTCATTTCTACAAAGCGCGAGCTAGAAGTCTCACACATGCTCTAGAAAAGATTATTGCAGAAATGACTGATTTTTAGTCAAAAGTTGGAAAAAATGTGGCACTTTTGGGCGGATTTTTCGCATGAAAAGTTTCATGCCTATTTCTACCATAGAGGGTAATTTTTCCGCAAAAAAATCAATTTTTTCCGCACGAAACAGACAAAGATACGGCCAAAAAGTGTTTTCTCTCTGACCGCTCTCCGCATTTCGCGTACTCTCTCGGCGACAAAGATCGTTGAGTATCTCGGCTGCTCCTGCAAGCCAAACCTTTCCGGAATTGGCCTGTAGAGGAATTTTGCACACCTGACATGTGTGAAAAGCTTTGAAAAATCGAAGATCTCTCTCTGGTTTGGAAGTCCCTCGTAAACAAATGCAAAAAAAATCGTAGTATGGGACATATTTCGCCATGGCACAAAATCTACGATTCTCACTACACTACAAAATTTACGACTCTTTGTTTGTGAAATAAAGCCGTGTGCCAGGATTCGAAAGAATCGTGGTTTGTGCCAAATATCATGGCAATCCATGAGGGGGCTGAATTTTGTGGCCGAACAAAAAACTCTACCAGCTTAGCAGAGTTTAGTTTTCTGCTAAATTCACAGAAAGTGGTCGTATCAGGCGTGATCTCACTTCGAAAAAATACTGCTATAATATGCCAACGGCTTACTTTTCGTAATCGGACAGTCCCCATTCAGCCCGCACTTGTACTGCTTCTTCAAAACCACGGCGCGTCGAAAGAAAGCGGCACCTGAAAGTACTGTAAGTGAGCAGTAGATGCCTTACAAGGTCGACAGGTCGTTGCTCCAAAATGGGTCCGCGCCGGCGTCGCGAAACAGACCTTGCATTCGCAGTCCGACGAAGAGCCTGGCCGAGGACTCGAGGGCTCGGTATCCTCTCCATTCGAACTCATCGCAAAACGAACTAAGAGGGACGGAATATTAGATTTGCTACCAGTTCGTCCGCAAAGTCGCTGAAGTGGTTATTGCGACATGCACTGTGCAAAAAGTTCCTTTCAGGTATCGAAATTTACAAGACAAGTATACCTCAAGTGCGACGCTCAGATTTTGATAAAACTTGGCACAGATTAAGAATGTTTTTTTCTAAAACATATGCAAGAATCCTAGCTCGCGCTTTGCAGAAACAACCGAGATTTTTAGACCAAACGTCGAGTGCGAAAATTTGACACTTTTTGCCGAATTTCGGCACGAAAAGTTTCATGCCTATTTCTACCATAGAGGGTAATGTTTCCACAAAAAATCAAATTTTTCCGCACGAAACGAGCAATTATGACCAAAAAGTGTTTTTCTCTCTGGCCGCTCTCCGCGTTTAGTGTACTCTCTCGGCGGCAAAGATTGTTCAATATCTCAGCGGAGGTTTTAGTCCGTGCTTTGCAAGGTCCACTCAGATATTGAACAATCTTTGCCGCCGAGAGAGTGCGCAAAACGCCGAGAGCGGTCAGAGTGAAAAACACTTTTTGGCCATAACTTCGCAAGTTTCGTGCGGAAAAACTTGATTTTTTGTGGAAATATTACCCTCTATGGTAGAAATAGTGATGCAACTTTTCGCACCGAAATTCGACAAAAAGTCTCAAATTTCCTGTCGACTTTCAATCTAAAAATCTCGCTTGTTTCTGCAAAGCGCGAGCTAGGATTCTCGCATAGATTTTAGAAAAGATTACTCTAAATTTGTGCCAAGTTTCCTCAAAATCTGAGCGTCGCACTTGAGGTACTTCCCCTGGGAATTTGCGTCAAGCTCCGTCGAAATTTTCGCCTCGAACCAAATGAAAGACTCTAATTGAACTCTAACCTTGTAAAACGCATCCGAAAAAAAAACTAAAAAGGCGTATAAACTGATCAACAATCGCCTAATTTAACTTTTAGTTTCAGAATTACACTCTTTAAACAGGTGTAACAATCCTAATCAAAGAGTCTGGAGCTTCCCAAACATATTGAAAGAACCAAAATTTCTTCCTGTTTTTAATTTCGACTTAGCAACCCCTTCTCTCCCGTCGCTAGAGTTGTGGTTTGTGATCAAAAGTCGGCGTGACATGCAAGAACAACATGGCTTTATGCCACAAACTACACGCCCAAATGTAGTAAAATTGGACGAGATATCGGTGTTTACACACCAACCAGGGTTCAAGTTTTCTCCGTGCATGTATAGTAGGGAAAACAAATGCAAAAAAATCTTTTTTGAGGCTTCGATTTTTTTGAAAGTAAAAATTGGTCGACGATCAAGTCCGTTCGCGAACGGACTCGATCGTTGCTCAGAAATCTGCTATTATTAAGTCCGTTCACAAGCCGCTCGAGTGATTTTTGCGACATCCCCGTGGATGTCGCAAAGATCACTTTAGCGACTTTACAAACTGACTGCTAACCAGCAGATTCCTGAAAGCTTTGCAAATTTCCTCAACGCTCTTATAGCATAACGTGACTTTTATATTTTCTTACTAGAGTAAAGTAAAGATGAAATTTTTTGAGTTTTTTCTAAAAATTGTGAATTCAGGGGCTTTCGATGGCGCTGATTTCGAAAATCATGTCCATTTTTTCCGAATATTACAGTGTTGTGTTACGGAGTAATGTAAAAATGTAATTTTTTGTAATATGTAAAAATCACAATTTACATTACTCTGCAACACAAGATTGTAAATTTGGGAAAAAATGAGCATGATTTTCGAAATCAGCGCCATCGAAAGCCCCTAAATCCACAATTTCTAGAGAAAATTCAAAAAATTTCATTTTTACTTCACTGTAATAAGAAAATGTAAAGTCATATAAAATACACATTTTTTACAATGCCATAAGGCCGTTGAGAAAACCCGCAAGGATTTCAAAAACGAAAATTTGACAAAAAATATAAAAATTCAGTTTTCCTGAGGGTCTGTTTACACTGCATATTAACCTTGAAGAAAATTTACAAGGAAAGTACTTCGATGGGTACGGAGTTACAGGTCGACACATGTATCAAAAAATCGCAACATTTTTCTGATTCAGAATATGTAAGAATTAGCCGCCCAATTTTGGTTTGTATGGGTGAAAAAACCTTCAGAACTTTTTTCGCAACACCACGCAAAAATGCCTGTTTGACCAAGTTTTTACCAATTCAAAAGCTTTGTTTTGAGGTCAAGTAAATCCTGACATCTTGACAGACCTTAAAAAAATCAAATTTGATTCATACCACACCTTAATAGTAGTTCCAATGCAAAAAGGGGCATGATATTTTAAGGCTGGTCAAGATGCCAGGGTTTACTTTAGCTCAAAACAAAACTTTTGAATTGGTAAAAACCTGGTCAAAAATGCATTTGCGTGGTGTTGCGAGAAAAGTTCTGAGGGGTTTTAGCCCTCACAAACCAAAATCGGGCAGCTAATTTTTGCATCGTCTGAATCAGAAAAAAATTGTGATTTTTTGACATATGTCTTGACCTGTAACTCCATACCCCATAAAAGTACTCTCCTTGTTAGCACTTTCCCATAATATTCGGCTGCAGAGTCATACCAACCCAAGCGCCACTACCCCGCAGTAAGCAAAGACGTAATGAGAATTCATCGCGTCAAGTGCTTCACGTGGCTTGCGATGCTTGCAATAGATTTAGTGAGTCTGTGCTTTATGACATTCGGGGATTTCAACTGGGTCAATACCAAAAAAAAAGCGAACATTTTCCAGCACAATGTTTTCGATTTCTTCGAAATTCTGCAGCATAAAAAACATGGTTTTTAAAGGTTTTTTTTGTGTTAAAAAACAATTTGGATTCAAAAAGTGATACTTTTTGATACCAAATCTAAAATTTTCAGTTTAAACTAAGATTTTTTTAATTAAAATTGTTCATTCCACAAAAAAATCTTAATAAATATTGTACATGAGCTGTTGCTGGGAGCATATGTTCGGAGAAATCAGTAGTAAGACACTTAAATCTGAGTAAAACCTCCTAAAATACGAGCAAAATAAAAATTTTGTCCCAAAATTAAGACAAAAACTATTAAAAATCGCCAAAAATAACCAATTTTGAGCCAAAAAACTCAAAATACAACTAGAAAAACACAAGAATTTAGGGCTAAAAATCACTCGGATTGGTGGGAAATCAAAATTTCCCAAAAAAAATCTATCAAAAAAACTGTGTAGAACATTGATAAATCAAAACAGGAAAGATTCACATACAATTAGCAACACCTTAGTCCTATTTGAGCCTAAAAATGTTTGATATTCACCATGAATAAGGTCAAAACTTTGATTAATTGAAGAAATCCTGTAACAAGGTTCTTCTTTTCTGTTCTGCCACATGCATTTGGTTCTCCAGGTCTCCGCGGTCGGTGGTTTCGGCGCGCTCCACCTTCCAGGACAGCTCTTCGATCTCTTTTTCCAGCTGGGCTTGTTGGTATTGGAACTGAAATAAAAAAATCAAAAAAAAAATCAAAAATTTCGCTTAAAAAATCAGTATTCTATTACATGCGTCAGGTACAATTTTTCCACAAAAAAAAATCAATTTTGTCCACCTCAAACCCGCTTAGATACGGCCAAAAACAATTTTTGTCTAACCACTCTCCTACTTTTCCATGCTCTCTCATATGACCTCAAAAACTTTCGTAATATCTCCTTTGCTTCTGCAAATCACGTGCCCAAATTTTCATGCATTGATTTGTGGCCTATTTACAATCTCTATGCAAAATTTCAAGCGAATATCAAATTCACAACCAATTTATATTACACTTTAGACACAAAAACAATCTCTCATTTCCAAGTCAAATTTATCCTCTAATTTCCTCTCCATATCACCTCTTCCACGTCAAAATAAATTATCATCACACTAAAAGCATTCCCAACCACCTACCAGTTCCTTTCTCGGATCCCCGTCCATATAATAGGCGAATGGATATGTGTACTGTAAGGTATATCTGCACTTGGTAAGTAGGGACGCCGCGTCATGAAGATACTGCCAATCTATCCATGTGCCCTCATGGTTGGCCACTTTCTCGTCAATCTTGGCCTTGATTTTGTTTCGGAGGTCTTCTTCCATTTTCAAACTTTTGCTGTGATTTTCGAAACGTTCAAAGTAATGTAAGTATTTCTCCAGTGCTCTTCGGGCCTTGAGATGATTGGCTTCTTGTGCGATCGCCGGGTTCTCTCGATACCTGGAGCATTCGTAGTACTCGGAGCCGTGGGATTTCCAGTCTGAAAAAATTTTCTGTTAGTACATCAAGTGTAATATAAATGGTAAAAACAATTTTTGAAACAGCTAATAAGCCCTAAATATCCTTAAAATTCTTTCGCAAAAGCATTCAGCCTAATTGCCAGCTCAGAATCAGCAATCCTTCAGATTTTTTATATTACACATGACAGATTTGGTATTTTTGAATCAAAATCAACATCACGACCTCTTTTATACAAAATCATATACTCCAAAATCTCAAATCTGACCTAATCTTCCAACTGAACCATCAATTCCATTTCGTTTTACCTAAAAACCAACAAAAAAATTCAAAATTCTTACCTCTAAAGCACATCCAACAAAAATGATGTTTGCATTTGGTGCACTGCATGTGATTGCAACCTCCATTCTTTTCGATGCATGCATGACAGTTCGGACAGTCCTTCGTGTGCGCACTGATATAATTGGCGGTCTCCGAGTCATCAGCGCACTTCACTTGCCATTTCTTCAGGATGTCACAGGTCGCCGGTGCGTGGTAATCCTGGCCGCATTTTATACTGAAACACGTCAATATTCGTTCATTCTTATCTAAATTTCCAATCCACAAAAAAAAATAAATCGACTTACCAATAGGAAGTTTCGCATTTCGTGCAAATACATCTGTGGGGTTTGTCCGATTTGCAGTACGAAATCATCTGACAATTAACGCCGGGACAGAACCGCAGATACGGATTGGACTGAATAAACTCCCGGAAACAATTCCGTTCGTATTTGTCGCGCACATCCGGAGTGTTGGGGATGATTTTGGCGACAAAATCTTCAGTGCAATATAACTGGCAATGTTGCTGCATACACTCGATTCTGATGGAATTTCCTACAATTTTTTTATTAGAAAAGAGGAATCATAGTATAAGAAAGATTATTGGTCAATAAATTTAATGAAATCTTGGGATATTTTACCAAAAATAAACAAAACATTATACATGACCCATGTACAATATAATTTTGCCAAAAATCAGGAGATTTCGAAAATTTTCAACTAGAATCTGGACTCAAACGCACAGAAATCAGCTTCTTCTTCTATCGGAGACCTAAAAATCAAACAAAAACATCGAAAAATCTTACCGTCGTCAACTTGAGTCCTCATGTACGCAATCCAGCACTCATCGCAGAACGGATGGCCGCAAATCAGCGTGCTGAGACTCTCATTCTGTTCGCAACATACTCCACATTCATTCTCCGAACTCTTGGCTTCAATTTCAACCGGCTGGGACTTGGATTTCGGTGAGATTCGAGGCCTTTTTGTACTCAACAAAGAACTACTCGAACTGGTGGGAATATCTGATTTTGCGGTCTTCTCAATCGTTTTCAACCCGTTCTTCTCCAAGAATCTCGCCGGATCTTGGGTGTATTCCTCTTGAATCCGCGCGATATCCCAGTTATTTAGACATAATACCAGCTTGGCGTGAGAGGGAACGAAGCTCGGAATCGCGTCGCAAAGCTTGGCAACCTCATTGTTGATGAGCGTCTCGACTTCAGCGACCGTTAGACACTGATAGTCGACGGATTCTGGATCGGCATTTGTGGTTTCTGGCTCAAAATGGTAGGAATCGTCGTAGTAATCAACTAAAATTATATAAATAAAGTTGATCATCCAAAGAAAATGAAATTTTTTTCGATGAAAGGCAGCTCCGAGGCTTTTTGAAGGTATCTAAACCAGAAACAACAATAAAAAAAGGACATACCATCATAATCTCCGCAATCGGAATAATCGTCACCCGAGTCCATCACAATGCCTCTCTCTTCTCCGTGATACAACTGAAAACAACGAACATTAAAAACACAGATTACCCCTCAACGTCATTAGACCATTAAAATCAAGGCTAATGACGTCTTCGGAGAAACGCTCGCAATTCCCGATACTATACTACACACATAAAAATTTAATATTTTTGTGACAATAAGCAGGAAGAAAGAGCTTATTCGTGCTCGAGGATTATCCGCCTTTTACAACGTACATCACTCACCAACCGGATATCGGCAAAAAGAAGAATAAAAAAGAACAGAATTTATATTACACTAGACATCACAGGACTTGAAAAACGTCTATACTCCAAAGAATTAGCAAAACCAACGGTTGAAAAAAACAGCCAGATAAGAAATACGCGAGTTTTGTCTGTCTCGGCGATAAAATTATATTACACTTGAGTGCTGGTAAACATTATTCCATAAAAGTCGAAAACAGAGAAAAGCGCAAGCTGAAACCAGACAAAATGTCAAGATAAAAGTGCAACCAGCCTCTCCACGGGCTGACACGCCATCTCATTGATCGAAGCAACAAGGGCAACGTCAATTCGATATTACACTTGGCATCAGATGCAAACCAGCCAAAAAAAAAGTGTTTTTTCTCCAATCTCACGTCAAAACAAGAAAGCACCAAGTACGAATAGAGGCGAAATTACCTCCCACACCACGTACGAGCCGCATAGACACCGTTTATTTATTTTATCCCCGTCTATATTTACGCGTTTACCTCGTGGAGAACAGCCGTCCAACGGACTCGCCTGCGGGGAGAAAAAAAACTATAATTCCGTCTAGGAAATCCCTTCCGAGAAAGCGAATTTCCATTAAGTGCGCCTTCGGACGGTATTACACTCGGCGGGAGGAAATCTCTTCGCTCGACGGATTCGCGGAAAAATTTTTCTCAAAAACACATGCTCAGCTTGCCGTCAAATGATAATCACCATCAATGTAAGAGAAATTGACGTCTTTTATCGCTCTTTGATAGAGAAATAAAGCAAGACCTGCAAATTTGGCATGTTCTTTGTTTTACACAATATTAAAGACTAAGTCCCGGCACGAAAACAAACAGCTCTTGGCATTCCGTTTTAATTGGATAAAATTGACAATGAGGTAGAAGATGAGGGAAATCCTTGTAGTTTAGATTATAAAGAGCTCTAGAGAGGCTTATTTGACCTATTTTTCATCGGATATGTTGGTTTTTGTGTTATGGGTATTGTTTTAGGTCATTTGAAGAAGAAATTTTATGTTTAACATGGAGAAGACGTAGTTTTCCCCGATATTATGCAAGAATGAGTTAGACTCTGTTCATATAGATGATGTAACAACCTCTTGGTTGCGTGTAATTGCCAAGAAAATTACTTTTTAATTATCCATGCCTTGAACATCGTGCATAGACTTTTTTTCTTTTTCCGCTCGAATTTGTGTCTGTGGGAAGATTTTGAGTAAAAAGGCCAAAAGGACAAGCCTTCCAGAAGATGTGGGTTTATTTTTTATTTCTTTGAACTGGAGTTTAGATTGTTTTTGCGTCCGTTTTTGTTGGAGTACCACATCTCATGGACAAGGTGAAGAAAATAGTCATCTGCAAAATTTTGATGGTGGCTTTCACATCTTGACCGCATAAAAAGCCTTACTCTGACCCTTGGCTATCCGAAAAACATCGATTCACTTCTTATATTGTCTTCAAATTAGACGAACTCTCGGCTATCTTATTCACCTTCTCCTTTATTCGTTTCCCTTTCAAAAACAGACGGCTGACGTCAGGGAGAAGAACAAAATAAAAATCCGGAGAGGACACAAGGTGTTTGTTGGCCATGTTTTTTCGGGGCCTTGAGGCTGACGCTCTGGGAACACTTCTTATCTTTTACAAAAAGTTTTTGGGTTTAGTATTTCTCGGGGGTTTTGAGGCCCTGAACCCTTGAACTTGTGCAGTTTTTTTTTGTCTTTTATTGTAGGCCAGGTCAGAGGAAAGATATTTGTAGAAATTTTAATTAGATTTAAGTTTGAAAACGCCGCTAATTGGGCGTATGTTGTTTATGGCCACCTAAAGTAATATAAAGTGTAAAATTTTGGTCTATAAAGGCGAAAATGCTGTATTTTGAAAGCTGAAGAATATTGTAAGGACTTCTGGATGATATTAAGGTCCGTCTAGAATTGATAATGTCCAAAAATCGACTTATATTATCCATCCGATCTAAACTAATATAAATTTCAAATTCTTTGTCCAAAAAAGTTTAGTCTAACTTTTTTTGACGGTTTTTATAAAATATAGATAAGAAAAAAATTTTCAGACAGTTTCCGCTTTTATTTGGCCTTTGGAATATTAAAAAATCCCACGATATTATTCTTGATGACTTAAGATAATAACCCCTGAAAAATTACTTTATGGCCGTTGAAGACTAATCCGCTTTTGTAGCTTATGGCTTACAGATGTCTTCGTGTGGCTTATTCCAAGCCGATTTGCCTAAAATACGATGTTTTTAAAGCCTCTCATGACTTTTTCATAATAGAGTGATGGACGTGATCCAGTGGCAAAAAACGTACTATTTTGCATCCGGGAAGTATCAAAAAATGTGGCAAAATGCCTCCCATTCCAAGTGAAAAGACTCCGTTTTGAAGGTCCCTTACAAAAAGGAACGGGCGCGCTTCTGAAATCGGAGTTTTTTCACTTGGAGAGGGAGGTATACTGCGGGACTAAAGTTTGGAACAGGCTATATTTTCTTTGCGGCTTGAGATCGGAGTTTCATTTCTTTTCTATAAGAATCGGAATATATTAAAACCCCATAATGGATGCATAGCCGTAGAAATCAGAAAGCTCATATGAGCAAAAAACAAAATTTTTAAAAATAGGTGGGACAAAAGTTTGGAACAGGGTTAGGAATGCGATCATAAATTTCGCAGTATAGTCAAAAACTCCTAGGCTTTGGTATTTTTAGATGCTGCGAGGAGTCAGGATCTCAACAACATACTGATTTTCATCGATGAACTCAAAATGAAAAAAATTCTTATTGAGCCAACAATGACGGTCAAACTTGCGAAAAAAAATTATTTTTTGGGTTGGGTTCTCTATGTTATCGGTGTGTAAGCATTCTAAAATATTTGATATGGTCGTATAACCGTACAAAGACACTCAGATATTCGCATAGGAACCTTATCCGCACAGTATAATTTATGAAAATTTTGGAATGTGCTTCGAATCTTGGTCTAATGAATTTTAGATTTTTTGTATGACGACATGAAGACTAATTGGCCCTTTTATGATCACTGTGAGATAAAAAAGTATCTTCACAAAGCGAAACCTGACCGCAATTTGCAATATCCCACGCCAGATGTTTCAAACATTTAAAAAAATTTTCGGTCACCAAAATCAATGTTTATATCGACCTAGATTCCTAGTATGATACATTGTAGAGTTGGCTAACAAAACTATATCAGTGTGGTAAGGATAAAGGCATTTAGTTTGGCGCCATATGGCGACCTAAAATTAAGGTAAAAAATATGGGTCATCTTAACATCTCATATATCCGGGTTTTTCGAAGTTGTGGCGTTTCGTGTTGCAAATAGCGGTTGGTTTTTGTTTCTTGAAGATACCTTTTCATCCCACAAAACCTAAGAAAAGGCCAATTAGCCATCAAGCCGCCTTATAAAAAATATAAAAATCATTGAACCAAGATTTGAGGCACAACTCAAAATTTTCATAATTTATACTATGCGTATACGGTGCCAATGGGAGGATGTGACTATCTGTATGAGATTATGCGACCATAATTGATATTTTAGAATGCTAATACATCGATAACGTTGGTAACCCAACCCAAAAAATAATTTTTTTCGCAAGTTTGACCGTCATTGTTGGCTCAATAAGAATTTTTTTCATTTTGAGTTCATCGATGAAAATCAGTATGTCGTTGAGATCCTGACTCCTCGCAGCATCTAAAAATACCAAAGCCTAGGAGTTTTTGACTATACTGCGAAATTTATGATCGCATTCCTAACCCTGTTCCAAACTTTTGTCCCACCTATTTTTAAAAATTTTGTTTTTTTCTCATATGAGCTTTCTGATTTCTACGGCTATGCATCCATTATGGGGTTTTAATATATTCCGATTCTTATAGAAAAGAAATGAAACTCCGATCTCAAGCCGCAAACAAAATATAGCCTGTTCCAAACTTTAGTCCCGCAGTATATTTTGCCACATTTTTTGATACTTCCCGGAAGCAAAATGGTACGTTTTTTGCCACTGGATCAGGTCCGTCACTGTATCATGAATAATATCACAGCTCATTTCTCGTGATTCACGTTATTTTCCTGCTATTTACTGTGGGGAATTTTTTCAAAAAAGCCATTGGGAAACCCCTGATCAGTTTGTGATTTCTGTGCCCGCGGGTCATAAGTTCTGCAAGGAACTCCTCCAAAAACTCCTTTTTATTTGACCCACGAAATCTTTTTTGAGTCGAAAGTATGTTATGGACCTCTCAGCAGCTCCGTAACACCACAAAGGGGGGCTGTACAAAAGAAACGGGGTGATCTTTGATTAAAAATTTGTTTTTTGACCAAATTTCACGAGATTTTTGTTGTTTCGGAGGGGAAACAGCAAAAATCTCGTTGTTTAAAAGTGTTTTCGATAATATTTTGTTATCTAATTGATGATTAAGACCAGTTGGGGGAACCGGCTATTGAAAAAATTTTTATACGGACAATTTTTATATTGTACCAGCAAAAACAGGTAGATTTTTTGCAAATTTAGGCGTGATTTTTCAAATTGAGATATTTTTGATATTTTGAACTCGAAACGCTTTAATTTATCCTCAAATTTTTCTGATTTTCACTCTCTTTTTCACTCCAGAAGCCCTCAAATCGGCTGCTCAAGTTACGTCTTTGCCGCGTCCCCAACTGAGACGCCCAAACTCCGGTAACAAACTTGGACCCACACGATGTTCCGTCCAGTGTTTTATAGTCGGTTGGCCAACACCGCAACCTGGTTCCGACATGCTTCGACGACCGTTAAACGACCTCAGGTAGGGATTTTTTGATTATTTTGTTGATTTTTAGGGTTTTGGAATGACGAGAAGATAGTAAAACGTAAATGGGGTGGTCGTATTTTACCTTTGTGAGCCTTGGAAAGTCATTTTTCACATTTTTTTATGAAACGTTATATTACTTTAGGGTCAAAAAGTTTTTTTTTTTTGTGTTTTAGTATGTCTAGACCGTTTTTTAATGCAGATTGATGTTTTCCATGGGTCTATGGTGGTTTTTTGATTAGTTAAATGCGATATTTAAGGAAAATTTATATTACTTTAGGTCAAAAATTTAAGTATTTTTGATTGTATATGGGTTTGATTTTAAGTCTACTAGAGAGAACTTCGTATTTTACAAGCAAATTGGCTTCTAATTCTAGGTGACCAGTTCCAAACCGTCCATCATAAACCAAGAATCCTTTATGAATGGAACCACCAATGTTTATGTGGAGCAAATGTACGAAAGCTGGCGCCAAGACCCCAACTCGGTCCACGCCTCATGGGCGGCCTACTTCCGCAACGTTGAAGCGGGCGCCCAGCCGGGACAGGCCTTCCAAAGTCCGCCGGCACCCGCCTACAGAGGCGCGGCGTACTCGGCCAGCCTTCCCGCAACTCACGCAGCTCCATCTGTTGCCGCCGCCGCAAGTGGAGACATCAGTCAAGCCATCCATGACCATCTGAAGATTCAGCTGCTCATCAGAAGTTATCAGGCAAGCGATTTTTGATATTGTTCTTGAAATTTAGGTGATTTTGGAAGAATTTTGAAGATAAATCCGATATTGACGATTTAAATTGGACGATTTTAGACTCGAGGTCACAATATCGCCGATTTGGACCCTCTGGGCATCAACAGCGCCGATCTGGATGACACCATCCCAAGAGAACTGGAGCTCGATTTTTACGGGTTTACTGAAAAGGACTTGGACCGCGAGTTTGTCCTGCCTCCAACCACCTTCATTGGTGGAGAAAAGACCACATTGCCCCTCAGGGAAATCCTTTCCAGGCTGAAGGTGAGATTTGATGAAAATTTTATATTATTTTACAGACCTACTAGGAGGTCCTGGAAATTTGATGATTTTTGAATTTTTAGAACATTTACTGCCGTCACACTGGAGTGGAGTACATGCATTTGACCAACTACGAGCAACAGGAATGGATCCGTCGTCATTTTGAAGCCCCAAGAGTCACTGAACTCACCGTGGAACAGAAGAAAGTCCTGTTCAAAAGATTGATCCGATCCACCAAGTTTGAGGAGTTCTTGGCAAAGAAGTGGCCCAGTGAAAAGAGGTTTGGCCTAGAAGGGTGTGAAGTCTTGATCCCGGCGATTAAGCAGGTAAGCGACATCTGAAAGGCAACAAGTTGTCATGGATAATATAAAAATGTTTTGATTTTTGACAAAAATTGGTTGGAATGGAAGAAACAAGGCTTTTTTGTTATATCTGAAGCTGTTTTAGTGACTTCTCTGGCTTTTTGATACACTTTTTGACATGATTTTTATTAATTTCCCCCACTTTTAGGTGATCGATCGCTCCTCCACGTTGGGAGTGGACTCGGTCGTCATCGGCATGCCCCACAGAGGACGTCTGAATGTCCTCTCCAACGTTTGCCGCCAACCCCTGGCCACGATTCTGTCCCAGTTCTCGACCCTCGAACCGTCGGATGAGGGATCAGGAGATGTGAAATATCACTTGGGAGTTTGCATCGAACGCCTGAACAGACAGTCTCAAAGGAATATTAAGATTGCTGTGGTGGCTAACCCATCTCATTTGGAGGGTATGTTGAGGGTTTGAGCGTAAAATTTTTAAAAAATTATATTGGTTTAGGTAAGGGGGTTAGATTTGTATTTTTTGGGGGGAAAAATTAAGTTTGGTAATGGTTTTTGGTATTGTTTTATTGTGAGATATCTTTAAATTGATGTGTTAGTGGTTTAGACTATAAGAAATACTTTTTTTGACTCTTTCTTATCAATTTTTTAGAAAAAATTTGCTTTTTGGGCAAGAAAATTGTAAAAAATGAGATTTTTTTGAGATTTTTGAATATTTAATGCCGGAATTTGATGATCGAATAATATGTTGGGGTCTTTAATTCCACTATTCCAGCTGTGGACCCCGTGGTGCAAGGCAAAGTCCGCGCCGAAGCCTTTTATTCGGCGGACGATCGCTGCGATCGCCACTTGGCCCTGATGCTTCACGGTGACGCCGCCTTCTCGGGCCAAGGCGTCGTGATGGAAACCTTCAACTTGGACGATCTCCCCTCCTACACGGTGAACGGCGCCATCCACATGGTCGTGAACAATCAAATCGGCTTCACCACCGACCCCCGCTCCTCCAGATCGTCGCCCTACTGCACGGACGTGGGTCGAGTTGTGGGCTGCCCCATTTTCCACGTGAATTCCGACGACCCAGAAGCCGTAATGCACGTGTGCAATGTGGCGGCTGACTGGCGCAAGACCTTCAAAAAGGATGTGATTATCGACTTGGTGTGCTACCGAAGACATGGCCACAATGAACTCGACGAACCCATGTTCACACAACCCCTGATGTACCAGAGAATCAAACAGACCAAACCTATCCTTGATTTGTATCAAAAATCGATTATTAGTGAGGGAGCGGCCGACGAAAACTACGTCAAGGAGGAGCTGAACAAGTACGGACAAATCATGGAAGACGCCTACGAAGAGGCGAAGAAAATCACCACCGTCCGCAACAGAGACTGGCTCGACTCCCCCTGGGACGACTTCTTCAGAAACAAAGACCCCACCCAACTGTTGCCCACCGGAATCGACCGAGAGAACATCGAACATGTGGTGGGGAAATTCAGCTCCATTCCGGAAGGATTCCATCTGCACAGAGGCCTGGAAAGAACCCTGAAAGGAAGAGCGAAGATGCTGGAAGACAATTCGCTGGACTGGTCCATCGGAGAAGCCCTGGCGTTTGGAACTTTGCTCAAGGAAGGTAGGTGATGGATAAGATAAAAAATTTTTGGAAATGAAAATTTTAAAATTTTTGGAAGTGTTGAAGAATTTGATTGATGGAGGAGGGAAGTACAGAGTCTGAGGGGTTTGTTTTTGAGAGGTTGGGTGTCTGGATGAACGGAGATTTGCATAAATTGGGGAAATTTTGGAGATTTTAACGAGGAAAGTACTTCTATGGGGTATTGAGTTATAGGTCGAAAGATGTATCAGAAAATTGCAAAATTTTTTTGATTCAGAATATGTAAAAATTAGCTGCCCAATTTTGGTTTGTAAAGGCGAAAAAATCCTCAGAACTTTTCTCGCAACACCACGCAACACCACGCAAATCCATTTTTTGATCAAGTTTTTACCAATTCAAAGGCTTTGTTTGGAGCTAAAGTAAACCCTGGAAGCTTGATAAGCCTTAAAATGTCAAATTTGAATCGTACTACACCTTAACTGCAGTTCCAACACCACGCAAATGCTCTTTTTTTACATTGGAACTACTAATTAGGGTGTAGTATTAATCAAATTTGATATTTTAAGGCTTGCCAAGATGACAGGGTTTACCCCTTTAGCTCCAAACAAAGCTTTTGAATTGGTAAAAACTTGGTCAAAAAGGCATTTGCGTGGTGTTGCGAGAAAATTTCTGAACATTATTTTAGGACAAAAACCACCTTATTTTACAAGGAAAGTACTTCTATGGGGTATGGAGTTACAGGTCGAGACATGTATCAAAAAAATTGCAAAAGTTTTCTGATTCAGAATATGTGAAAATTAGCTGCCCAATTTTGGTTTATACGGACGAAAAAGCCCTCAGAACTTTAGTCGCAACACCACGCAAATGCCTTTTTAATCAAGTTTTTACCAATTCAAAAGCTTTGTTTGGAGCTAAAGTAAACCCTGGGATCTTGCCAAGCCTTAAAATATCAAATTTGATTAATACTACACCATAATTAGTAGTTCCAATGCAAAAAAGGGGGCATTTGCGTGGTGTTGGAACTACTAATTAAGCTGTAGTATTAATCAAATTTGACATTTTAAGGCTTGTCAAGATGCCAGCGTTTACTTTAGCTCCAAACAAAGCTTTTGAATTGGTAAAAACTTGGTCAAAAAGGCATTTGCGTGGTGTTTCGAGAAAAGTTCCGAGGGTTTTTTCGCCCTTAAAAACCAAAATTGGGCAGCTAATTTTTACACATTCTGAATCAGAAAAATTTTGCGATTTTTTGATACTTCTCTCGACCTGTAACTCCATACCCCATAGAAGTACTTTCCTTGTTAAAAAATCCAAATTTTCTCCAATTTATACAAATTTTCGTTCATCCGGAAACTCAAACTCTCAAAAACAAACCCCACAGAATTCTTGTTCAAAAACTTTAAATTTGCAAAAAATCTTTCTTGTTTTTAGGCATTCACGTCCGCCTGTCCGGTCAAGATGTTGAGCGAGGAACTTTCTCGCACCGTCATCACGTTCTGCACGACCAAAAAATCGACCAGAAAGTGTACAACCCATTGAATGACCTCTCCGATAATCAAGCCGAATACACTGTCTGCAACTCGTCGTTGAGCGAATACGCGGTCCTCGGATTCGAACTGGGATACGCCATGGTCAACCCGAACGCATTGGTCATCTGGGAGGCGCAGTTTGGAGACTTCTCGAACACTGCGCAGTGCATTATTGATCAATTTATCTCCTCGGGACAGTCGAAATGGATCCGACAGACAGGTAAGAGAAGGTTTTTGTAGTATGTAATTACATGTAAGGGCAGTTAAGGAGGTTTGGGGTGTTTTGGAGGGGATTGTGGAAAATTTTTTACCTAGTGTAATATAAATTTTTGAATTTTTTGGCAAGATTATGATTAGATTGTATGAAGTATGGTCGAAAAGAGGCTTTGTGAGTGTTATTTGTTCGTTTGAGAGGGTTTTCGAGAAAATTTTTTAGTTTTTTATAAAAGTTAATAAATTTTTGCCCTAAATTTATTCAATTTTTTTCCAGGCCTGACCATGCTCCTCCCCCACGGCTACGAAGGAATGGGCCCGGAGCACAGTTCGGCCCGCCCGGAGCGCTTCCTGCAGATGTGCAACGACGACGACGAGATCAACTTGACCAAGGTGACGTTGGACGAAAAATTCGTCGCCCAACAACTCCACGATACCAACTGGATTGTGGCCAATTGCACAACACCCGCCAACATCTTCCACTTGCTGAGAAGACAGATTTATTTGCCGTTCCGAAAGCCGTTGATTGTGATGACGCCGAAGAGTTTGCTAAGACATCCCTTGGCCAGAAGCCCAATTGAAGATTTCTTGACCGGCACCAGCTTCCAAAGAGTCATCCGAGAGGATGGACCTGCCGTACAGAATGCGCAGAATGTAAAGAAGGTCGTGTTTGTGTCAGGTGAGAGGGGAATATTGTGGTAGAAAAATATTGATATTGCACTGGGATTTTTGCAAAATTTGGGGGAAATTAAGTGTAAAAAGAAGGGAAATGACTTTTAGACCAGGAATTAGGACGATTGGGGGAAAAGAGAATGGGGAAAAGTACGATTGGGGAAACCGGAAGGTTTTTTTTTGATGCAAGTGTGATTTTTGAAAGAAAAGAAGGGGCCAGTAAGTCTATTTTTAAATCACAAGCTTTTCCCAAACAAAATTTTTTTGACCAAAAAGTCTTTATGTTACTTTTGGTATAACTGATTACTAAAAAATCATAATTTTAGTATCGCAAAGTGTCTAAAACGGAACTGGGACGATTGGGGAAAAAGAGAATGGGGAAAATACGATTGGGGAAACCGAAAAGTATTATTTTTCTTCGATGCAAGTGTCGAAATTAGGATAATTGAGGGTGCCGATTTCGAAAATGACATTCATTTTTGTTTGATTGTTACTTTTTTCCTCAAGTAGTACTGTAAAGTAGTAATTTTTTGAAATTTTTTCATAAATACTCGATTTGGGGGCTTTCGATGGTGCTGGTTTCAAATTAGAAAACATGAATAAGATTTTCGAAATCAGCACCATCGAAAACCCCTAAATCGAGTATTTATGAAAAAATCGAAAAATTACTACTTTACAGTACTACTTAAGGAAAAAAGTAACTATCAAAAAATGGATGTCATTTTCGAAATGAGCACCCTCGATTATCCTAATTTCGACGCTTGCATCGAAGAAAACTAATACTTTTCGGTTTCTCCAATCGTACTTTTTCCCCAATCATCTTTTTCCCCAATCATCTTTTTCCCCAATTCTCCGTAGAACGAGCATTTGGGCCATTTGAAGCTTATTAAACCATGTTTTAGAAAAGATTTACGGGATTTTTTACTTGAATTTCGAGCTTTTCAGGAAAAGCCTACTATGAAATCGCCAGCGCCCGAAAAGAAAGAAACCTCGATGACACAATTGCCCTAGTCAGAGTGGAACAGATCTGCCCCTTCCCATATGATGTAATCAAGGCCGAATGTGACCGATACCCGAACGCACAAATCGTCTGGGGCCAGGAGGAACCGAAGAACATGGGCAGCTGGACGTATGTCCAACCGAGAATCAACTCGTTGATCAAAGAGTAAGTTATTTGGATGTATTTAGTGCTTGAAGAATTGGTTCCCCGTATTTTAAATTTTTTTTGGGAAATTCGGCGGTGTTTTTTTTTTGAGGGCAAGACTTGACCCAAAATTTTGTATGTTGAGTAATCTGTTGCTTTCAGAATTGAAATATGTCGTATTTTTTCAGTAGATTGCTATGAAATAGAGCCGGGCAACGAGGGAGACACTTGACCCAAAATTGATCATAAATGGGTCAAGTGTTCCCCGTGATAAAAAAAGGCCCAGACAGTGTAATTTTTGGTTCTCTTTCAGCCAAAACCGCGTCGTCACGTACGTTGGTCGCAAGTCTGCCGCATCCCCCGCCACCGGCAACAAATACACTCACATAAAGGAACAAAAGGAACTCGTCGACGACGCCCTTTCTTAGGAAATCCCCACTCGGTTTTATTGTAATTGCTATAAAAATACAATGAAAAATACAAAATTTGCTGAGGTGTATGATAAGGTGTGGATTAATTTAGGCTTTAGAAGGGAGGAATATGTGATTTGTATTCAATTTTTTGTTTTTTTTTTATTTTTTAGGTGGCTAAGTGTGCGTAGCTGGCAATAAATAAAGAGATTTTGTCTTAGGGGTCGAGTAATTACCGGGGGAGCTCGGAATGAGAGCTGGACTGCACTGTGCAGAAAAGTAAAAATCTTTGTAAAAACGCAGACAAAATGCGAATTTCGAAGAAAACATCGGTTAGAAATTGAAGAATGATCCTGTTTTATACTTGTTTAAGTTTTAGTCCTTCAAATTGGTCATCTGCGCACTGTGCATGGCATCTCCAATTTTCCGCACAGTGCAGTTTTTCCTCTTTCTCTTTTCGAAAGGGAAATGGGCGGTCCTTTGGATTGCGCAATCGGCGTTGCGCACAAACGAGAGAGTGTGCGAAAGAAGAGAGTGCGCGGGAAATTCGCTTTTTCTCGAGATTTTCAAACAAATAGTATATTTTTTGATTATTTCTCAATGTATAATACAATTTTTTATTTGACGCGTCATGTCTCTTGGAAATAAATTTTTGAGAATGTCGAAAATATACGATTTTTATCCAATTTTCTCTAACTTCCTGGCTCCGAAAATAACCCATTGCTCGAACGAAGGCGGATATGCAGACCTCGCCCGACGAAGAGAATTCAGTATCGCTTCTCGGCCTTTTGGCTAAGATCAAAGTGTAGTATCTGTTCTTATCGGTTTAATCTCCGGTACGACTTCTATTGGAGTCATTCGAGATTAACAGATTTTTGGGACCAGTGGAGTCGTGAAGGCTTGCCTTCCGCTCTGCACGGGTCGGCCCGGTCTTGCACCACTTCCGGGAACGGCCCAGATATTATTGTAACGACTGAAAGTTTCTTCAGGCGAGTTTGTTTACGCGTTGAGTGATTCATAAAAGCGTTTATGATGCAGTCAGCCTGTGGTATTCAAATGATGCCCCGAATATAAACATAACAAGTAACTTTATTGTTTATAGCGCATATTACAGTTCCGGACCTGATCCAATGGCAAAAAACGTACCACTTTGCGTCCGGGAAGTACCAAAAAATGTGGCAAAATACCTCCCTCTCCAACTAAGAAAACTCTTGGATTTTGAAATTTGAGTCTTTTTAGTTGGAGAGGGAGGCAATTTACCGCATTTTTAATACTTCCTGGAGGCAAAATGGTGCGTTTTTTGCCACTGGATCATATCCCCAACTGTATTATAAGATCGGCCAGAACACTTCTGGAGCCCACGTTCAAACAAAAAAATATAAATTTGAATTAAAAAAAGAAGAAAACCCAGTTCAAATGAAGATCAATATAATGAAAAAAAAATCGGATAAATCTGTCATTTAAAAAAAATTTTGGCCATATAAGCCTGAAATGACAAATTCCTTTTTGAGGCGGAGAAAGACAAGACACGAGAGTTAGGTGTTTTCCTAACAGACAATACAATAATTTATTATCTAAAACAAGGTCAAATCTCTGCAGAAATTTCACACTAACAAATATTTTTCAAAAACAAATTTTTGGTCGAAATTCGATTGGAAAGCGAGATTTTTTGGTCCAACACTATCTTGAGATCACTGAAATTTTCTATCCAGAGATTTGACTTTCAAAAAAAAATTCCCCGTATTTTAGCGATTTCTCGACGACTCCGATGTTTTCGGTCTTGATGATGATGATGCTGGAGATGATGATGAGATAGTTGTGTTCGTGTTGGGAGTTGAGTTACTCGAGGAGTTGCGTTGTATGCGTTCCGCCAGGGCCTGATGGTCCACTTTACTGATCTTGCCCATCTGACGGAGCTCGGCGTGTTTCCAAAGCTGCACAAATTCGTTGGACATGTCTGCAAAAAATTGCAATTTTTTGTAAAAGACACAGAGTTTCATATTTTCCTTACAAAAATCTCCTTTACTGACCAATAAAAAAATCTTAAACCAAGCAGAAAACGAAAATTATATTGTACTTGACATCAAATATTATTTTACTCTAAAACCCGACTAAAGTCCTTTTTAACACGTGCAAAACGTCTTTATATCGAAAGACTCATCCAATTGGATCGTTCTAGAGATCAAATAACCCTTTTGCTCACAAAATTTATATTACACTTGACATCAAAACATAATTTTTGTGTCGAAAATTAGTCCCAAAACTCGAATTCTGTCATCAAAACTTCTCCCATTCCTTTTCAATTCTTCTTCTAAAGTATGAACACAAAAAAATTAAAAAATTTACCTTCAAGTTGTTGTTGTGTTAGAGTCGGATCAAACCACTGATACCACTCCTCGCCTTTGGCTCCTCTCGCTGGTAGTGAGGTCTGAAATTAACAATAGATAAGTCTTCTTGTTTATACAATCGAATACAAACTAAGCTACAGTAATAAAACTACCGTAACCCAACCTACATTATGTTCCGACCATATGATGGCCATGTAAAATGCGGCTCCAGCAATTACCGAGGGTTTATATCGAATGCACCAATTCGTTATGTGGATTCTGAAAAACGAGGTATCAATAGATCAGGTAGAGGAGAGCAAAATGAACATTACAATTTAATATTTTGCCCGAATTTTTTGGCAACATCATTTTTATATTCTAAATTTCCAAAAAAGGCAGCTAATACACCCTACTTCCGCAATTTCAATCGTCTAATCCATCAAAAACATTGCTTTAGGACAAAAACTTATTTCACAAGGAAAGTGCTTCTATGGGGTATGGAGTTACAGGTCGAGACATGTATCAAAAAAATCGCAAAAGTTTTCTTATTCAGAATATGTAAAAATTAGCTGCCCAATTTTGGTTTGTAAGGGCGAAGAACCCCTCAGAACTTTACCCGCAACAGCACGCAAATGCCTTTTTGACCACGTTTTTACCAATTCAAAAACTTTGTTTGGAACTAAAGTAAACCCTGGCATCTTGACAAGCCTTAAAATATCAAATTTGATTAATACTACACCATAATTAGAAGTTCCAATATAAAAAAGGGGGCATTTGCGTGGTGTTGGAACTACCAATTACGCTGTAGTATTAATCAAATTTGATATTTTAAGGCTTGTCAAGATGCCAAGGTTTACTTTAGCCCCAAACAAAGCTTTTGAATTGGTAAAAACTTGGTCAAAAGGGCATTTGCGTGGTGTTGCAAGAAAAGTTCTGACGGTTTTTTTCGCCCTTACAAAACCAAAATTGGGCAGCTAGTTTTTACATAATTCTGAATCAGAAAAATGTTGCGATTTTCTGATACATGTCTCGACCAGTAACTGCATACCCCATAGAAGTACTTTCCTAGATAAAATCTATCCGAATTATGCTAAAACTGGACAAAACCGTTGATCCTCTTATCCGTCAACCTATCAGCTCACAACCTACATATCCGTCGTCAACCAGAACACAAACTCCGCGAATTTGTTGTCATTTTTGCGGAACAAATCCTTGGCTCTCAACACAAACGGATGTGGAATATCGATGGCAAAATTGAAGCCAATCGTCTGCAAGACAATGTTCTCGATCCATACAATGTATTCCACGAGCTTATGGTAGGTCTCCTTGTTGATTACGGCGGTTCGATCCACTTCTTTTTGATGTACTTCATGCTCGACGCGGAGCTTGTACCATGTCCGAACAATGTATTCCAAACGCTTCGGGCATTCTTCGGATTTGGAGGTGAGGAAGAGAACGGCAGCTCCCACATCCTGAACATGCATGTTTTGTAATTTTATTTCGGATTGAAGACTTTTGAGATCAACAAAAATTGGGTTATGACACCAATAAAAATAGTGTATTTTACATGCAATTTCGGCCATAATCATGATCAAATCAGCATTAAAAATACTCTTTGAGTCTCCTTTCAACTGACATTCAACCTTTCTCCTCATTTTCCGGCCAGCTTCACATCAAAAATTATGTTGTACTAGACTCACCCTGGCATCAAAATCTTTGAGAGTGTGGACCACAAAGAACCTTTTCAAATGCACCATACTAACGCATATGCAAAGCTGAGATCTGAAAGATCATTAAACATCACTTTGCTTCTTCATAATACCTAAAATTCGAAGATTCAAAAACAAAAAACTCACATTTTCCCTTCCGGCTGCATCTCGTTGAGTCGATCTGCGATCGTTCGAATAAACAGACAGCCGCTTTGGATATAACGTTGCTCTTCCATCGTACTGATGCCCTTGAGACACGAGGGAGATCGACGGAGTTCATCTTCAGTGAAAAACCATTTCGGCTTGATGGGACCGGTGGAGCTGGTATTGCTTTGCGCTATGGGCCCGGTTGGCAATGTGAAGTCATTCATAACTGGAATAGGTTCACAATGACATGATCCATAAATCGGAAGCTTGGATATTAAATAAATTCGTAAAATACCGGGAGAATTCATAAAATTCGGAGATTTTTGCCTACTACAATATAAAATCAATTGAAAACATAAATTTTCCGCCAAAATACGTTCAGAATCAGGTTGAAAATCAAAAAGCGAGAAGAATTCTACATAATTCATAAAACATTTCGGTCAACCAAGCACAAAATTCGTCTAAAAAATGAAAAATGAAATGAGGCCATAGGTAATATCTAAAACAACTAAAATCTGGGGTTCACAAAGAAAATAATCAAAAACAAAGATTAGCATCTATGTCTGGTTGCTTTCAAGGTATATAAAACGAAAGACTATCGATTACCACATATTTTTGTCTCGTATTTTACAGTCTTCCGTGTGCTCAAAAAAAAATTTTTTAAAAAAGGAATAAAAAGCGTGAGTGTGTTTACAAAATCCAATCTGGCATCAGAAAAACTGTTTCTGACATTTTCAAGACGCTCTTTGCAAGCTCAAAGCAGAAAAAGTGAACTTTTGATATTATACGTGAAAGGAAATTAAATAATAAATTCTCCACATGAAGATTAAGGTTAACCCTATGGCTATAAATAATTTCCCACCGGTAATTACTCAAATTACCTCGAGGACGACCTTAAAACAGTGAATAATACTCGCCCGCCAAAGAAACGAAAAAAACATTGCAATAAGAAAGAGTTGACTCATTCCTCAAAGGAAATGGGTCAACTCTTCTTCTCGACGTGAAAAATAATTTTGGCTAAAAGTTTTGGTAAAATTTGACAAAACACTTGTAAATAATGCAGTTTCCAGGTGTTTCCCTTCAATTTAGCTGTTTATCAAGCGTGTCGACCCATGAAATCACTAAGTTTTGTATTATTTTAGGTCAAGATGTCAGAAACTGCGGAAAATCCCGAAGATCTTGACCAGTTGATCAGAGAAGAAGCTGAGAAGGTCTTCAGACACATTGCCGTGGATCTGGCTAGTCGTCATTTCGATGAATTTGATATTTCCGACACTTATCAGTAAGGTTTTTATCTTTTTCTTTTTATCCGTTCTAGTGATCCTGCATAAGATGATTTTATCCCAATTTCATCGGATTTTCAGCCTCGATGACTGTGTGATTGACCCATTGGAGCTGCTGGGTGATATCCCCGAAGTTGGTTGTGTTCCCACATCCATTCATCCTGTTTTGGATGCTGAAACCGGGGATGTGATTGGATTTGAGGAGAGTTGGAATCAGGAGGCGGAAGTTCTCGCCGATGCTGCCCATTCCATGTCAATGTTGCGGGCACCTGATCCGGAGGCATTTGGGAAGGTCAAAGGAAAGTCTGGGAATATTCCGTTTATTCCCGGGGGGTTTGACACCAGCACCTTGAACGACATTCTCAAGGACCCTTATTCGGTGTCGGAAGGGGAAGATGAGGAGAAATACTTGAATTTCGAAGGTGGGTACTTTGATTTTTTTGTTCATTTTTTAGATTGACTATTGGAGCAACTAATTTTTTAATTTGAGCTCTTTTGATGGATCAGTTTTTGACTTACAGCCGATATTATCAATCCCATCCTACTTTCAATGGATAATATAAAAATTTCGCTGTTTTTGCTAAAATCTTGATGAAAATAGATGCCGAATGGCTTTATAATCATAGAGTAAACTCCATTATTTGGTTTCCAGTCCTTCTCGACCAGCCGCCCGGCTTCAGCGAGCCAGTCGAAGTCCCCGAAACCGTCCAGCCCTTGGAGGGAAGAGACGTTGCTCCACCTGGATTTGACACCTCTCCAGCCCCTCCTCCCGGTCTGGCGATGTCTCAACCACAAATCACCTCAACCGATCTTCAACATATCCAAGAGACGGCCGAAATTGACCCATCCATCCAACAAGAGTCGAAGCCTTCGATTCATGTGGAAGATTCGGATATCCCCGACGAATTTGAGGCGCTGAAAATAGAAGGCAACGATGATTTGGTCCTCCAAATGGCTCCGGAGATGGCCGAATTCACGCATGCCAAGCTTTTGGACGAGGAAAAGGTAAAACAAAAATTTGAGGCACTAAAACCGGAACTGGTCAAGGAATACCCGTTCGAGCTGGATACATTCCAAAAAAGTGCGGTTGTGGCGATGGAGGCGGGTGATTCGGTGTTCGTGGCCGCTCATACATCCGCCGGCAAGACCGTGGTGGCGGATTATGCCATTGCTTTGGGGCAATTACATAAAACAAGGTGAGAAAAGATAAACAATGTAAATTAAACAGTATTTTTTGATGTTAGAAGTTGATGATTGGGTTAGCTAAGGTGGTTAGTTAGTTGTTAATTCGTTTTTTATCATTTTGAGGTCAAAAGGGGACATTTTATACGATAAATTTTGATCTTGGAGAAGATGGAAATTTCGAGATTTTTTGATAGCAAAGGGAATAAAAAAGCCTGAAAAAAGATGTATCTTGCCTATTTAGCCCATTTTAAGTCTATTATATGACATTTTAGCCCTGTTTTGGATCAAAAATATCTTATTTTAGGACAAAAAGACGCTTAAAATTGATTATTTTTGATGTAAATCTCATTTTTGTTGTTGAAATCGTATCAAATTTTCAATTAATTGCCGTAGTTTATCTTCTGCTTTCTTCAGAGTCATCTACACCTCTCCCATCAAAGCCTTGTCTAACCAGAAATTCCGAGAATTCAAAAACTCGTATGGTGATGTGGGCCTGATCACCGGAGATATTCAGCTGGAAACTGACGCATTCTGCCTGATCATGACCACCGAAGTCCTTCGTTCGATGTTATATAACGGTTCGGAGACAATCCGCGAGCTGGAATGGGTCATTTTCGACGAAGTTCATTATATTAACGATGAAGAGAGGGGACACGTATGGGAAGAAGTGCTGATCATGCTCCCATCCCATGTGAAAATTGTCATGCTGAGCGCTACAGTGCCAAATTGCTTGGAATTTGCGGATTGGGTGGGGTAAGGAGGGGCTTTTTGTATTGAGGGAAAGACTTGACCCGAAAATTGGAAATGAGGGTTAGAGATGACGCGAAATGTTCGAAGTGGTAGAGAGTAGTCGGTTGTATTCAAAAACGGTTGAAATTGAGAGAAAATTTGTTTTAGAAGGCCATTTTTAGAGGAACACTTGACTCAACCATGTATAATATAATTCCTATTTGTAGTGGTCCGAGGCTAGAATATGGAGATCTAGGAGTTTTAGTGTCAATTCCAGAGGTCCTGAGTCACTTTTATGCCAAAATTAACCTCCTGCGAGGAAGATTTTTAATAGAGTTTTACTGAGTCAAGTCTTCCGCTCAGTCGTGAAATTGAAAAATACACAATATGAAGTGATCTCCATGCTTTTGCATAGTTTATAACTTCCATTTCAGACGAATCAAGCAGCGGAAAATCACCGTAATCCAGACACTGAAGCGTCCCGTCCCACTGGAACACTTCATTTACACCGGCTACAACGCCAAAACCAGAGACCAGACGTTCCTCATTCGCGATGCCGACGGCCACATTCATCCCGAAAATTGGCAAAAAGCGAAAGAGGCCAAAGAAAAATTGAGTCGACCGGTCGATCCGAAGAGCTTGAAGGCCCCACAACAGCAGAATCAAAAAGGCGGCCAGGGCGGAGGAAATCGAAATATTCAGGTGGGATTTTTTGCGCTGTTTGGGACGCAATTTGCATGTTGAATTGGGTTTGAAGATTTTGAAGTTTAAAAATTTGAATTCCCGCCAAATTTGGCATTGTGTTTTTTGATGTCAAAAATGCCAGAGCGTACGTATTTTAAATCAGTCAAACAGTTGTTATAGGTTATATTCAGTCCATTTTGAAAGTTAAATTGAGATGTTGGGTTCGAAAATTCAAATTTCCCGCCAAATTTGGCATTGTGTTTTTTGATGTCAAAAATGCCAGCACGTTTTTTAAATTGGTAAAACACTTGTTATAGGTTATATTCAGTCCATTTCGAAAGTTAAATTGAGGTATTGGGTTCGAAAATTCAAATTTCCCGCCAAATTTGGCATTGTGTTTTAACGGCGAAAAAGTGACGTCATTGATGTTGGAATCGAAGCAATATAGCAATAATTTTGTTTGCAACCAGTTTTGTTTGGTTTTAGTGAAGTTTACTGCGGTTTCGAACATTAATTTATATTATTCATGCCAAAAAAAATTTTTCTAGATTTTTTGCTACTTTTTTGTAAATTTGGTTTCAGAATTGGGTGTAATCGGAGAATTCGCACTTTTAGGAAAATTATTTTGACAGTGGCAAGGGTGGACGACTAAAATATTCCCTAATAATCCCAATTTTTCAGCAAAAACAACAAAAATTCCAAAATTATCGGCTGAATCAGCAAGTAAACCAGGCTCGATCCAACAATTTTACTGGCTCAAATAACTCCGGCGGCTCCAACAAGTCCATCTACACGCACCTGATCTACTACCTCAACGAAAAAGTGCTGGTTCCGGCGGTGATCTTCGTCTTCAGCCGAAAGCGCTGCGATGAATACGCAAATATGCTGCACTCAGTGGACTTGACCACGGAATCGGAGAAGAATCATATCAACACGTTCTTCAAAAAGGTTATTGACCGCCTGAAGGGAAGCGACAAGGATCTGCCGCAGGTAAAATTGGGGTTTTAAGGGATTTGGGGGGATTTTTGGAGATTTTTTTGATTTTTTTGCAAATTTTGTGGGATTTCTTATTTTTAAAGTTATGTAGGGTAGTTAGCAAGGTAGTTTAAAGATCAGTGAAGAGCCTGTATGTGTAATTTACATTATGATAGGGGATTTGCCACCTGCAGAGATCAATTTATATTAACCATGACGTTATTTGAGGGGCTTCGAAAGAAAAATGCGGGTTTGATGGTAATTTTGGGAATGATAATGCCTAAAAATGGACGAGATGGAAAGAATATGAGTTGTTAAATGCAAAAAACTGCAATTTACATTGGAATAGAGGCTTTCCCAGCAACAGAGATCAATTTATATTAACCATGACATTATTGGCAGGGCCTCGAAAAAAAGTGCTGTAATTGGTGGGAAGTTAATGTAGATAGTTGTAGATTATGATAAATTGTATCTATAGGAATCCATTCTCATGTTCTAACGAGACTACAACGTTCGGTTTACTATTTCTTACCAAAAATTCGAATTTATATTCCACTTGATGCCTAGTGTAAGATCATCTTTTTTAATGAAAAAACTTGATGTAAATAGTAAATTTGATGCTTAGAGGACAGTTTTTATCATGTTGTATTATTCTATGTTTGCTACAGGTCCTGCAAATGCGTTCCCTTTGCGTGCGCGGCTTCGCCGTCCACCACTCCGGAATCCTGCCGATCCTGAAGGAAGTGGTCGAATTGCTGTTCCAAAGATGCTTGGTCAAGGTCCTGTTTGCGACGGAGACCTTCGCCATGGGCGTGAACATGCCCGCACGCACCGTGGTGTTTGATGAAATGGAGAAATTCGATGGATTGAGACGCCGAGACTTGAACCCCACCGAGTACGTGCAAATGGCCGGAAGAGCGGGCCGCAGAGGCCTCGACAAGACCGGAATTGTCTTCATTTTGACGAAGGCAACAGTCCCACCCCTCCTCCAATTCCAACAACTCCTCATGGGCCAAGCGGTGCGGCTGGAGAGCAAGTTTCGAATCACCTACACCATGCTGTTGAAGTTGATGAGAGTGGAGCAATTGAAGGTCGAGGAAGTGATGAAGAGGTCCTATGTGGAAAGGAGCAGTCTTCGGTTGGTGAATGAACGCGAGTCCAAGATTATGGAGGTGAGAAGTGGGCGATTGTGGGGATGGGAGAGGAATTGGAGACAATTTTTTGGAGGGCATGGATAATATAGGAGGCAGTGGAAAAATGGTTGTTTGAAAGGGATTTTTTAGTAATAGATGGTTGATTCTTATATTTTTTGGACACGAGGAGAATTGTGAAGATAATAAATGGGCCTTTTTGGATACCACAATGGAATTATTGTGTGATTTTGGGGGTCAAGTGTAATATACAGTGAAAATGGGAAAATTGATGATTTTGAAAAAATTTTTGTTTTTGGAGATGCATAAAACAAATGGAAATGTATAATATAGTGCATAGAGAGTAATACTAGCACCATTTAATACATAGGCATGGTAAAATTTTGGCTTATTTTTCGATTTTTTTAGCTCCGAGAGAAGGTGGACGCCATGTCCGTTTTGGACTGCGAATTGTGCACGGAGAGGGATAATCTGGGCAGAACAGCGGCCGAAGCCCTTCTTCAGGACCTCATCGACTACCAGAAAGCATCGAAAGCTCTGTGGAGTCAGATGGAAAACGTGGATTCGATCCGGAAAACGCTCCAAAAAGGAAGAATAATACTGATTTCCTATCCGCCACTCGGCATTTGGGGACGTCTGGCGGTGGTTTTGGAGGTAACGAGGGTTTTTTGAATCTTTTTAAATCCTTTTTGTGCTGATTGAGGTGGAGGGTTACTGGAATTTTTACGGTTTTTTAGAAGGAAAGTACTTCTATGGGGTTTGGAGTTACAGGTCGAGATATGTATCAAAAAATCGCAAAATTTTTCTGATTGAGAATGTGTAAAAATTAGCGGCCCAATTTTGGTTTGTAAGGGCGAAAAAACCCTCAGAAATTTTCTCCTAAAACCACGCAAATGCCCCTTTTTTACATTGGAACTACTAATTAAGGTATAGTATTAATAAAATTTGATATTTTAAGGCTTGCCAAGAAGCCAGGGTTTATTTTAGCTCGCAAATGCCTTTTTGACCAAGTTTTCACAAATTGAAAAAATTTTTTTGAGCTAAAGTAATCATGGCAAGCCTTAAAATATCAAATTTGATCTATACTACACCTTAATAGCAGTTTCAGTGTAAAAAAAGGAATTTGCGTGGTGTTGCGAGAAAAGTTCTGAGCATTTTTTCGCCCTTACAAACCAAAATTGGGCCGCTAATTTTTACATATTCTGAATCAGAAAAATTTTGCGATTTTTTTGATACATCTTTCGACCTGTAACTCCATACCCCATAGAAGTACTTTCATTTGCTAAAAATTGCCAAAAACCCCCGATTTTTCAGCCGAAACAAAACGAACATCTCCAACTCCGCCTGTCCGTGATGATCTCGGCGGACGAGAGTCGACGCGAAACCGACGATCATGCCATCAAAAAATGGAAAGAGCTCGGCCAGGACGCGAAATCCAAGAAAGAAACGGACTTGTTCTTGGAGGTGGCGCCGAAACGCGGCATCTTCCCAATAGACCCCGACAGCTTCCGCCAATCCTACCGAATCATCGAGGATTTGGAGCCGCACAACGTGCTGGCCATCTGCAAAGCCAACGTGAAGAATGTGGAAGTGGAGAACATCAAGAAAGAAAACGACAAACAAAAAATGTCCCTCAAGTCGAGAGGTCTGGAACCCTGCATAACCAAAGTTCTGGTCCAATTGGTCACTTTCAGCGAACAGTGGACCCTCAACGGACCCCCAATCAGCCTACCAGCTCGCGATCTCAAGATTAATGAAGTGAATTTGTACGAAACGGCGCAAAAAGTCAACGAAATGGCGGATCGTCTCATGGACAAGGAGGAATATAGGTGCAGAAGATGCGAAGACTTCGAAGAACATGTGAGTTGGATGTGGAAGGGATGGAAATGAGCTCAAAGGGGAATTACACGCCAATCCAGCGCATTTCCTGAACCGTTTCGAAATTATCGGCACTTTTTCTCGCCCGAAACAATTTCTTTTTCTCGAAAAAGAAGAAAAAAGATAAGAAAGTGCTTTTTATCGGATAGTGACATTTCGTTTTGAACGAATCACCAAAAAGGGGCGGGAAATTTTTTCTTCTTTTTTGGGTTGACGTGAATTGGAATAAAGAGGTGTTTTAGGCCTGGGAAAACGACGACCACAAATTTTTTTTTGATTAAAAGGTCCCGATATTACTTTAGGTATAACTGACTAAATCATCCGAATTTTAGTATCGCAAAGTGTCTAAAACTGAACTGGGACGATTGGGGAAAAAGACGATTGGGGAAACCGAAAAGTATTATTTTTCTTCGATGCAAGTGTCGAAATTAGGATAATCAAGGGTGATAATTTCGAAAATGTCATTCATTTTTTGATAGTAACTTTTTTATAGTACTGTAAATCAGTAATTTTTTGAATTTTTTTCATGAATATTCGATTTGGTGGTTTTCAATGCTGCTGATTCCGAAAAAATTTTTTAAGTCACTCTTTCGGATTTGAAAGGAGCACCATCTAAAAACCCCAAATCGAATATTCATGAAAAAAATTCAAAAAATTACTGATTTATAGTACTATTTAAGGAAAAAAGTTACTATCAAAAAATGAATGTCATTTTCGAAATCAGCAGCTTCGATTATCCCATTTCGACATTTGCATCGAAGAAAAATAATACTTTTCGGTTTCCCCATTCGTCTTTTTCCCCGATCATCCCTTTCCCAATCGTCTCAGTTCCGGTTTAGACACTTTGCGATACTAAAATTTAGAAGTTTTGGTCATCTGTTATACCTAAAGTAATGTCGAGATTTTTTGATCAAAAAAGTGCTCTGGGGAGAAGTTTGTAATTTAAAAATAGACTTACTGGCCCCTTCTTCTAGTTCAAAATCATCAGAGAACGCCAGACAGTCCTCGACGAACTCACCGACCTCATTTATCGGACCTCCGCCGACGGCCTTCAACTCTCCGACGAATACAAAAAACGCATCATAATCCTAAGACAACTCAATTATATCGACAAGAATAGTGTGGTAAACTTGAAAGGGAAGGTCGCTTGCGAAATATCGCATATGGAAATGCTGATTACCGAGCTGATTTTGGACAACCATTTCGAATCCAAAACACCAAGCGAGATTGCCGCAATGTTCTCGGCGCTGACTTGTCAGTACACGGATTCGAATACAGATGCTGAAGAGGCAAAGTTTATTAACCCGAGAATGGCTGAGGCGAGTTTGGGGAGGTTTGAGGGGGTTTGGATATGATTTTGAGCCGAAAGTTATATTAGAGTAAGGTTTGAAGAAGGGCTTTGGAAAAATGTCGGTTTGATGGTAATTTTGGATGAGATAATACCTAAAAATGGAGTAGATAGAAATAATATGAGTTGGTAAATATAAAAAACTGCAATTTGTATTAGAATAAGGGATTTCCCAGCAGCAGAGACCAATTTATATTAACCATGACACTATTTGGAGGGTCCCGAAAAAAAGCGCTGTACTTGGTGGAAAGTTAATGTAAATAGTTGTAGATTATAATAATAGTATCTAGAGAGGTCTATTATCATGTGATAACGACACTACGATGTTTGGTTTACAGGGTGCGGCAAAAAAATGGAAACTTTTTTCATTGGGTCCTGACGCGAAAAGTTTTTAATGCAGCACAATTATTTTCATACGATTAAATTCTACGTAGTTTTCTCTCCTAGACCTTACAATTTCATGTCCATATCGGTTTATTAACATTCTTTTTTTGAATGTCAAACAAAGGGACCTCGATTTTGGACCTGTTTTTAAGCTGTTCGAAGTGCTAATTTGCCCGGTATAGAAACGACGTTGTACCCAAACTAATCACACAATGCAAGGAGCTTGTCAACAATTTTAAGCGTCCATTAAGTGAAAGAAAACGCACCGCCGTCACTTCTGCCAGCCGCGAAGTCATCAACAGCGAAATCCGTCGATTTCCAGAAAAAATTGCCCGCGAGACCGGTACTAGCGACCGACCAGTCGGCCTAATAGCTAAAAATTAGCTCAAGATCTCCCCACGGAAGGTCTAAAATGCCTAACTCCTCACCGGCAAGATCAAGCCCGTACGCCTGAAAAAATGCCGAAAATTCAGACGTCGGGCCGCAGGTCCACGTTGGGAGCGCGTTCCCTTCGCGGTGCAATGTTTGGCGGGTGCAAACCAACAGAACGTTAGAATCCAATCCGATGAGTCCTTCTGTACGTCGGCTTACGACGAACACCGTCAAAATCCGGGCCGTCATCGCCTAAGGCGGGATTTTTGCCAGCGGCAAGAATTCCGAGATTTTCGTGGATCAAGAGGGCAAAATTCTAGCGCCGCGTTAACCTCGATTTCCTCATGCTTCTTTTGGCTCAGTAGAACCTTGGCAGTCTAAATTTGGCGTTCCAACTAGACTCAGCGCCGGCTCACAGAGCAAAAGCGAGGCAAGACCAGTAATCGAACTGATTTTCCCGATTTCACCCCGTCTGCGAAAAGTGCGCCTGCTCGCCGGGTATGGATCCAATGGGCTATAATTTTTTTTTTCAATTGAAGACCAACATCTGCACTACACGCCACAGAAGTTTGGAGTCGCAAAGTAAATGCTGCGCCAAGAACAGGACCGATTTCCCCGAAAAAAGCTGCGGCCAAAAGCCCAAAATTTTAAGTCACGTTTTGAGCTCTATGTCACCACCAAAAGCAGCCACGGTGAAACGGGTTGAATATGTTATAAATAATGCTCTATGTTATTGATGATGACCGTTATATTTGCGGAATTTTGATTGCTAGGAAAAATATAGCTATAAAAATAAGTTTCCATTTTTTTGCCGCACCCTGTACTACTTCCTATCGAAAAATTCGAATTTATATTCCACTTGATGCCTACTATAAGATCATCTCATAATATCTCAAACAGGTGTCTAAACCAAATTCGTTTCAGTTAAAACGCGAGATCTTGGACGTAGCCCGACGCTTTGATCACATCCAGATCAAAAACGAAGTCGTCACCTCGCTAATCGAGCCAGAATTGAAATTCGGCCTAATGGACGCAGTGTACGAATGGGCAGAGGGAAAACCCTTCAAAGACATCATGACCTTGACGAAATGCCAAGAAGGAATTATTGTACGATGCATCCAGCGCCTGGACGAAGTCTGTAAGGACGTGAGAAACGCCGCGAGAATCATCGGAGACCCGATTTTGGCAAGGACTATGGAAGAAACCAGCGCCATAATCAAAAGGGACATCGTTTTCGCCGCAAGTCTCTACACCACCGATGATATGAACTAGTCGCAACTTTGTTGTTTGTTAACCCCGTTTGTTCGTTATTTATTGTAAATTGCATTGTTAATAATATTAAAAACCACGAGATCAACATGGAGAAGATAATTTTTACTGTAAAATCGGGTGAAATGAGTATTTTTAGAGTGAAATAGGTTGTAACTCGAGTAATAAGTCGACCTGAAGAAGTGTTTGATAAGTTTTTGGCCAAGAATCAGCGATTTTCCGGCCAAGAGAAGACTTGACCCGAACGGCCGAAAATGTGTCAAGTGTTTCGCTGAAAATAAAAAAATAATTTTAGTTCGAGTTTCGTCATGATGATCATCATTTCCATTATTTCTTAGACGTTTTACAACTTATTCTGATGCGTGACACATTTTAATCGAGAATTTTCGTGTATTAACCTTGTTTTAGATGAGCTTGTGTTGAATTCTCCTTCTGATCTTAAAATAATGTCTCGGCACCCGGTCCCACCCACAAATCAGATCTCTCTCGGCCAGCAGATAGTGGCCTCCTCCACGGGTGCCCTTCTAACATCACTATTTAGTGAGTTTTTACAATTTTTATTTGATTTTTAGGAGACGGCATGGATAATATCGAAGTCTTGATGGTTTATCGTTTATTTTAATTCCAGTGACTCCTATGGACGTTGTAAAGACCCGGTTACAGACTCAGGTGCAGCCACTAGCCAAAGGAGAATGTTTCCTCTTCAATCACGGCCTCATGGATCAGATCTGCACCGCGTGTTCGGAGCCCTCGAAAGATTTGCGTTGCGAATGGTTCAACCGGCCTGGACACTTTAATGGAACGATAGATGCGTTTGTAAAGATCACGAGGAATGAAGGGATCAGATCGTTGTGGAGTGGGCTCTCACCAACAATGTAAGTTTTTTAAATTTATATTGCACTTGGTGTTTAGGCTAGAACGGATTGATCTGAAAAATTAGAAGATCTTAGAAGGACCGTATTTTACCTATCGATGTCGAAACCCCTCCAATTTTTTTGGAAACGCTTATTACTGATCAGTTTTTGTACGCTATCTGCCTAGTGTAATATAAATTTTTGGTCGAAACATCGATTTCTCTTTTCAGAGTGAGCGCAATACCTCAGACTGTATTTTACTTCACCCTGTATGATAATTTGCACACAAGGCTGCGCCGAAAATACCCCGGCGGATATTGGGCACCTTTAGTAGCCGGGGCTGGCGCCAGATCAATTGCAGCGACCGTGGTGTCGCCTTTGGAGATGATACGAACAAAAATGCAAAGTGAAGTGTTATCGTATAAAGGTAGGGGGAAAATGAATTTGTTGTTTTTATTTTTCGCGAAGAGAGAAAGAGTTGACTCTTTGTCAACTCTTTCTCTCATGCGAATTCGGTTGAATTTGAATTATTTTTGGGCTGAAAATGACTAATAAAATGTGAAAATTGCAGATATGGCCAAAGCAATAAAATCCTCGATCCGTCATGAAGGCTATACCATGCTGTGGCGCGGCCTGGTAGCCACATTACTCAGGGATATACCGTTTTCTGGTGAGTTGGTGATATAAATTTGAAATGCATAACGTGTAGAGTAGTCTATGATGTGTTTTATTTGTCCAAATTTCAGCGGTTTATTGGATCGGCTACGAAGATATCAAGGCTCGAACAATCCGGTACCTCGGCCGAAAGGACACCAACTTTTTGATCAGTTTCGCGGCCGGCGCTACGTCCGGCACGATCGCCACGATTTTCACACAACCCTTTGATGTAGTCAAAACACATAAGCAAGTCACGTTGGGCAGTGTGAATGTAAAGGGCATCAAACGAGGCAAACAAGTCTTGGAGAACAAGCCCATGAAGATGGTCGTCAAGGAAATAATCGCTCGCGAAGGCGTTTCCGGACTGTTTACTGGTATGTAATGGTTATTTTTTGGTGAATTAGCACCTGTTAGATCTGGTTTTGGTAGTTTTTGGCTGGGTTTTGGTCGAAAATCACGTGAAATTTTAGATTTATATTACACATCAGATCAAAATTGGTGAAGTGGAAAAAACAGGCTGTTGCTTTAAAACTAGTATTTAGGGTGATTTAAAATTTTTCCTATTAGAATTGACAGTTTTTTCTGGTGATTTTAAATCCATAGCCTTAGGGAAATTAGCGATTTTTCATGGTGAAAATCGAATTCCAATTTTTTTTGCAGTTTGTCTGTAATTGCCAAAAGATTACGTCTTTTTGAAGATTTCGAGTGCATAAAATTACTTTCAGGTCTAATACCACGAATAGCCAAGACCTCCATGGCATGCGCCATCATGATCGGCACCTACGAATACCTGAAATTGGTGTTCAATCGAAGAAATCGGAAAGAAATCTAGAAAATTTTTGGTTTTTCTTATCAAATCGCTCTCTTTTGATGCGTAAGAGGTCTCACAAATATTTAGTAGGTTGTGTCGTAGCCCAGTCTAGCATTTTGAATCAAAAGTCTACTAAAATTTAGGAGTTTTCGCCGAGAGAAAGACTTGACCCAAAAAGTTTAATTTGGTCAAGTCTTTTCCTCGTATCTCCGGCATGTCTTTTGCCATAGGACGTTGTTAACTGTTGTCTGTTTTTTTTTGTTTTCTCCCGATTACTTTTGAATATACAGGTTTATTACAGTATACATACAGACGTGAGACTTGACTATGCACAAAAGTAATGTTCTTGAGACCCTTGTGGTTAGGAGTAGCAAATTCTTGCGACGTTGGCTTTTACAAACAACGAGTGGGAGTATTTTTTATAGTTGAGAGACCGTGAAATCCTAAAAAGACCAAAAAAATTATGTTAGTTTGCCATGTATTATATAGGATAAGATCGAAAATTGGGATTGAGAACTCATAAGACTCGGATTTATTCGGCTTTGGGGACTCGTCGACGAATGTTGGACTTTTTCCCACCACCCGACTTTCGCTGCCGCACCCCGGCTCCAGAATCCGCGTTGAACAAGGGATTCGCACATTCGATGCCGGAATTGATGTCGTTTTGGTCTGCAGACGGCTCTGAAATGCGTTGAGAAGCTTCGCCAGAGGCTTCGGAAGGCTTTATGGTCGATTCCGGCTGCACGGTGACAGATGGTGCTACTTGAGCGGGCGCAGCCTGCACCAGCTCGGGCGCAGCTCGCGAACTCGAATTTTCGCTGGAATCCTTGGAATTCTTTGGCGATTCGGACGTTTTCTTCTTATTCCGTCGATTCTTGCCTTTTTTCCCAGTGGAAGTCGACTGACTCTCGGATTTTTGAGCATCTTCATCATGAGCAAGGTCGGGAAGGTTAGCACCGCTCTTCAAAGAAGTGATTGGCAAGTCGTCGGACAGAAGCTCGTTGCAAATCTCCTGCGAACTCTCGAACACTCTGATATGAGGTGCTTCTTCCGCTTTTTTGGCCTCATCTTGTAGTAGTTGGTCCATATCTAAATCGTCTCCTTTTGGTGGCTCAGGTAATTTCGTGTCCTCCTCTTCCAGACTAGTACAAGGCATTTGATCCTCTTCCATATCGTCGATAAGGTCCTCGTCGTTCTCGCCAAGCAACGACTCCTTTACCTCTTGATCTTCTCCTAGTGGGTCGTACTCGAATCTGCCCGAATATTGATCCGGCGACACTCGTTGTTTATATTCGATGCCCAGCCCGTCTTCCAGCGGGATTTCGGAGCTTCGTTCGCGCTCTTCTCGCGGCTCGAACAGCTCTTCCCCGATTTTGGCGGCCTGCTCTTCCTCCGGGGTTTGAGGCCGGAAATCGTCGACGAAATCGTCGAAGGAGGGCCGATGAATATCATCGATCTTGAATTCGTGACCTTTGGAACGTTGTGACCGCGGCGAAACAGCCGCTGCTTTCGGAGAACGCTCTTTTTTCGTCTCTATGACGTCTGAGCCTAGTATAATGTCGATGGGCTCGTTCATGTCCTCCTTCTCGACGTTTGTGGATGTGATCTTGGATGTGCTGGACCTTGAACTTGGGGGTTCAACAAATGTCGAGCTAACTTCGACATCATCGTCGCTGCTTTCGCTGTTCTGAGAGACTTGGGGGATCTGCACCTCGTCTTGACTGTAGTCGTCTTCCGGGCCGGCATTATCCTTTTCGTGCGCTCGTTTCCGTCGATTCGCCTTCTTGATAGGTCGGGCGGTGTGTGGACTCAGAGATTCCGAAGCTTTCTGTGACCTCTGAGGAGGAACAGACGATTTTTGCTCGAGGTTTTGTGCTTTTTTCGCTTTCTCTTCGGCTTTTGTCGATTTTTTGGATTTTTGACCAACTTCCGACGCTTGCACCTCCTTTATTGCCTGTTCAACCTCTTCCAAATTGTCGTCAAACCCTTCCTCCTCACTGCCTTCGCTCTCACTGCTTCCGCTTTCGCGCTCTCTCAGCTGCCGTCGCTGTTTTTTGCACAGTGCGGAGAGTCGATTCAGTTCGGCCAAGTTGTTCTCAACCTCGGCCACCTGATCGGCCGTGTATTTCTCGCGAAGGTCGTCGGTGCTGGTGGCGTCAGGATGAATCTTTGCGATCTCTTCCAGCTGTTCTAGAATCTTGGCCATGGCCATTTCGGTCTCCTCGAGGCGCTCTTGGATGGAACGGAGGTTTTTATGACCTAAAATGAATCGAGATAAATTTTTGGGGAAAATACGATGTTTTGTGCGATTGTTTAAGAACTAGAGAGGATACAAGTCCTAGAAATATTGTATTAGACGTCTGGATTTTGAAAATCATATAAAAATGTAAAATACAGTGACGGACCTGATCCAGTGGCAAAAAAACGTACCATTTTGCATTCGGGAAGTATCAAAAAAAATGTGGCAAAATGCCTCCCTCTCCAAGTGAAAAAACTCCATTTTGAAGGGATCCCTTTCCCTCATAAAAAGATGCTTTTAAAATCGGAGTTTTTTCACTTGGAGAGGGAGGCATTTTGCTACACTTTTCGATACTTCCTGGATGCAAAATGGTACGTTTTTTGCCACTGGATCAGGTCCGCCACTGTATTTTACATTTTTGTATATGATTTTCAAAATTTAGACGTCTAATACATTATTTCTGGAACTTGTATCTTCTCTAGCTCTTAAATAACCCCACAAAACATAGTAATACAGTATAGATAGATTTAGTAGATATATGACTTACCTAGTCCAGTTTCGTCGTTACTGTCGCTCTCTTCGGAGTCTTCGGTATCGTCATACCTGCTCTTTCTCTTCTTCTTCTTTTTCCCTTTGCTTCGCATCTAAAATAAGGTAATTTGAAGGTTTCTTGTGGCAAACTCGATTTCTCCTGTGTATGGTCCTCAAAAAATTAACTTCAACTCCCCCAGCTCTGTTGCAAAGGGGAGTCGAGTCAATTTGTGGGGAATTCCGAGCCCTGTGACTATTATTTTTCCCATACTCACCTTCATCAAGCTGTAGATCAGAAAAGCCATCACTCCGACCGTATAGAACGGCATGAGCCATGTGAACATGCCACCTCGAGAGCTCGTCTGTTGCGGTTGATTCTCGAATCCGGCCATCCGCCCACCGGGCATTGGTGGGCGCGGAGCGCGTGCTCGCTCTCCCCCACCCATTGCCGGATGGTCCGGCTGACGCTGTGGCGGCGGTTGTGCCGGCTCCTTCTTGCCGAAAACCAGCGAAAAGATCGGCCCAAACACGTTCGGGAACAACATGGCGAAACATATTCCCATCGCGGCGAATACCATAACAATTTTCCAGCGGGGCAACACCTGGAAATTAAGTTGTTGTGTGTTATTGTGTAATGGGGGTTTTGAGGCCGATATTGAGTTGGTTTTCGATTTGAAATAGTCAATAATTCTCTATAGTGTTGTCGTAAACGCTGAGTTTTATTTCTTAGAGACTTTTTTGGTTGTTTTTAGATCGCGTTTTGCAGAAATTACATGATTTTTTTTCGGTTATTTCTGCAAAATACGGACTCAAACTTTCCAGATAGTGTCGAAAAGAAAATAAAAAATGTTTTTCGTTGCTTTTGTCAACAAAAAGCCCTACGAATTTTTGGTTCAGCTACAGATCGGGTCGACAATACTATGGATCGCGTTGGTTCGTGCTTGTATGCATAGGGGAGGCTAGGAGAAGGCTTAGTTTGTAGAAATAATAAGATTGGTCGGGTCCTAGGATAGCTTATCACCTATTTTGAGGTATTTTACATGTTCTCACATCAATAATATGTAGATAAAAGTTACGGATCTTCGTTTTTTGCCGCAAATTTTGGTCTTTTATGTGTTACATTTAGTCAGGGTCAAGAAAACTAATGCTAGTAATAGCTAAAATTAGAGAAAGTGGACATGTTACAAGTCTTCGCCAAGTCTCCGCCGAGCCTTCGCCGAGCGTCCGCTGACCATCCAACGACTTTGCTAAGCCATGTGGGCATTTGGGGTATCTACGCCTTTTTGTTCGGCTCTCCGCCGGTCCTAGGTGTCGTATGGATCGCTTTTGTGTCGGTCCGAACTACCGTAGACCCGAAAAGTCGGGACGCAAAAAAATCGTCCGCCGACCATCCAACGGCTTTGCCAGGCCTCGTAGACACTTCCTACAACCTTTTTTGGTCTATTCGCCTGCCCTGCGACCCGTACGGATCGATTTTGTGTTGACCCGAACTGTCGTCGACCCGAAAAATCGGGACGCGAACAAAAAATCACGTTTTAAAAAAATGTTGTAAAATTTTTACAGCAGGTTAAAAATAGTGACATTCCTAGGTTATCTAGGTTTTACTATTCGTAAATATGCATGGTATCTTACCCCAACATCATCATCGTCCTCTGAGTTTCGTCGCCGTCGCTTTTTCTTTTTCCGCTCTCTCTCCGGCGCTCGTCTCTCGCTGAATGACGCCACATCCTCGAATCGGGTCGTCATTGTGACTAGAATACAGGTTATTAAACAGCGATTTAAAATGCATTAAAATTGAGTATAAGGTTGGACTTTGCGGACAGAAAAAATGGGAATTTACGATGAATAAGGGGAAGTTTGAGTGAAATATTAATGAAATGTTGGGAAATTTGTATAGATTTAATCGCAAAACATCATAATTGGTCTAAAAAATCTGTTGAAATTTCAATTTTCAACATAAATTTAGCAAAAAATCACAAAAATTTGAAAAAATTATCGATTTTTTGAGCAAAAATCGACTTAATCCTAGGAAGACTCGATTATCCGGGAGTAGGCCATAGATTTTGCCCTCAGGATGCCCCTCAAGCAACGTAAACAATGTTTACCAGTGTTTTGGGCGGAAAAAGCGAGGGAAAGCACGAGATTTCCCCGAAAAACCACGCAAAAAGGGGGAATTTAGTGCGGAAAACAAGAGAATTTATTTCAAAATGATCGCAAAACAAGAATAAACAAGAAACAGACTTGTTATCATGACGCATGTATCCGATTTCGCTTAAAAAATACGTACTTTAACGATTTTTTGGGGGAAAATTGACAAATCGCCGGGTTTTGGGGGATTTAGCTACAATTTTGGGTAAAATACCGCCAAAAATTTTTCGAATTTCCCCGTAAAATAAAGAGTAATCGAAAAAGCGCGCAGCGAATCATTTATAATTTCGATTATATTAGCGAGAAGGACAAATTTTGCGGCCATCTGGCCAATTTTCCCTCAAAAAATGATGATTTTAGCTAAAACCCAACGAATTTTTGATTTTATTGAGCAAATTGAAGTGGTATTTTAATCCAGAAACTTCGTAAACACTAGTAATGTAGCTTAGCCAACGATTTTTTGTTAGAATTCTGGAGAAAATTATATAGTTTTAAGGAAATTTGAGGTCTATCATGGTGAATGTACTTTTTTGGGGTAAGAGTGCTGTAAATATGTTTGATATGTGATACCAGTAGTATATAAATCTTCAACAAATCCGTAAAAACTCTATAAACGAGGGTTAAATCCATAAAAAAGTGAAAATTCCCCAAAAATCGACAAAAAACAGCGAAATCCGCTTAAAAAGTGCAAAAAACCCGTTTTATCCTGCAGGCTGCTGCTTAAAATTAGGATTAAAACTTTTGCTGATAAAAGTAACTAATAATAGCAATATTCCCCCAAAAAAACCCCACAGAAATTTTCCCTTCGAATATGAAGAATAATCGAAAAAGAACTGACCAAACGCAGTTTAAAGAATGCCAGACCCCCCTTTCCCCCGAGGAGGAAAAGCCTCGCCCCGTCCGCACAAAGCCCTCAGGCACCGACTGAGCGCCCATGGCCAGTTTTATGGCTGGAAAAAAGTGCGAAGGAAAAAGAAAAATGCGAAAAAGGGGCCCCGAAAAAAGAAGGTTCCAGAAATTGTGTTAGAATGACAAGATTATGAGTGAAAACCGCAGGGGATAGGCTTTATTAGGTTGAAGGGGTAATTTATGAGCCAGGGGAAATCAAAAAATCAAGTCTGTCCTCGTATTCTACAGTGGGGGACCTGATCCAGTGGCAAAAAACGTACCATTTTGCATCTGGGAAGTATCAAAAATGTGGCAAAATTCTTCCCTCTCCAAGTGAGAAAACTTCGCTTTCAAGGCGCACTTTTGAAATCGGAGCTTTTTCACTTGGAGAAGGAAGCATTTTGCCACACTTTTGATACCTCCCGGATGCAAAATGGTACGTTTTTTGCCACTGTATCAGGCCCCCCACTGTAGCAGGAAATACGTGGGTTTGATGATCTTTTTTTATTTTTCGCAAATTTTTGATGACTTTTTGCAATTTTCGGATTAGAAGTCAATTTTTTAGGTAGTCATATTAGACGTCGAGGCGTTTTGAAGCTGTTTTAAGACCAGTAATTACTTTATTTTTGGTGAACAGTTGATTTATTTGTTATACTTTCACTTTCATCTCCCCAAAATGATGATTTTTCCAAATTCAGTGTGCTTTTTGAAAAAATATTTATGTTACAGTAATCAAATTCGCCAGAAGTATTAATAATTCGCCTTATTTCACCATCAAAATCCGGATCTCCCCAAAAAAGTCATCAAATCCCCATGTATAACATAATTTTTATGCATTTTTTCGCTCTATTTTTACTCGTATGTAAACTAGTTTGTAAAAGCAGGTCAATCCGCCCTCCTCGAAAACAACCAGGGAGGTAACAAACAAATAAAATAAACCCATACAATCCACGGAGCTGTCAAACGGAATCAACTCGCATATCAAGGGGAGGGAGATTTTCGCTCCTCCTTCAATTCGAATCCGTTTGAGACTGCCGTGGGAGATTTTGCAACTTTTTTGACCGATATTTTCGTATTTACTATATATTCGGGTAAAATTTTATATTGCACTTGGTATTTTGGCTAGAAGTTGATGGAAATGGAAGGAGATTCAATGAATACGAAGGCAAGTACCGCTTAACTGTTTTGGTTATCGCAGTTGGACAAAAATTATATTAACCATGGCAAAAAATTACCAAAAAGGTGCCAAGTTTTTGATGAAGGGTAACTAAAATAAGGTCGCCAATGGGAAAAAAATTGATTTCAGAGGTTCCTTGATTAAAAAACCATTGATTATTTTTTGTCAGAGAAAGTTCCTTCAAAAAATCTCATTTTTCAAACAAAAATTTCGAATTCTGATGTCAAGTATAATATAAGTCAATCCCACGCTCCAATCAAAAAGAATATTGACGATGAATTGCTCCTAAATTACTCAATAAACTCTAGGCTCACTATTCCATGCTTTTTTTCTTCAGAAAACTTCATTTGTCCAGCTAAAAATCCCGATTTCCCCGGTTTTTCCCTGCTTTCCGATTTTTCGCCTGCGATTTTTCGGACCACTCGCAGTGTTTCCTGTCAGTTTGATTGTGTTTTCTTTATCTTCCCACGGCCGATCGGGTGCATTTCTTTCATCACGCTGCAGGTGGTCCGAAAAATCGCAGGTGAAAAATCGGAAAATACGGGAACGTCGGGGAAAGCGGGATTTTTCGCTGGACAAATGAAGTTTTCTGAAGGAGAAAATTATGGAATAATGGGCCTAGAGTTTATTGAGTAATTTAGGATCAATTCGTCGTCAATATTCTTTTTAATTGGAGCGTGGGATTGACTTATATTATACTTGACATCAGACTTAAAACTTTTTGTTTGACAAGGAAAGTACTTTTATGGGGGCTCCTACTTTTTGACGAGACATATCTCACAAAATCAGAAAAAATGTGCTGATCAAGGATATATAAATCTTAGCTGCCCATTTTAGGTTTTTAGGGGTGAAAACTCAATCGGAAGTTGACTTTAGGTCCTATATGAACCCCTTTTCGCTTAATTTTTCACAGGTTTACAATTTTTATTTTGGCCTAAAATGATGTTTAATGAGTTTCTAAGACGTAATAAATCAGTCTTGGCCCAAAAATTTATTTTTCCGACCTTCAACTTCAAAAAAAGCTAATTTAGCCCAAAAGGGAAATCGAACCCGTCCGGCGTTCCCCCTCTTGATTCCCAGACTACGGCACTAACCACTCGGCCACACCGCTCTCTTCCGAAGGAAGGGACCGAATGCGCTTTTTATCGTTTCGAATGCCTGCGCCTTTTGTAGGGAAATTGAGCCAGTTTTTGGGCATTTTTACCCATAAAAACCTAAAATGGCCAGCTAAGATTTATATATCTTTGATCAGCACATTTTTTCTGATTTTTTGAGATATGTCCCGTCAAAAAGTAGGAGCCCCCATAAAAGTACTTTCCTTGTGAAAAATGAGATTTTTTGAAGCAACTTTCTCTGACAAAAAATAAGCAATGGTTTTTTAAATCAAAGAACCTCTGAAATCAAATTTGCCCCCATCGGCGACCTTATTTTAGTTACCTTTCATCAATAGCTTGGCACTTTTTGGTAATCTTTTGTTATGGTTAATATAATTTTTGTCTAATTTCCATATGACCTTTCGGGGCTCTCAAATTTTCTATACCTTCATAACCTTCAAATCCGTTCCAGATTTCAGCCCACTCCCATTCGTCGTCGCCTTCAAATTGCATAATTTTGGATGGTCCTATTCCGTTTGAGATCGCTAGATTAATCATCGAAAAATGGATGAATTCCACGAAAAAATCGGTGAAAAATCTTTCGGTCTGCTGAATTACATCCTGTATTTCTACTGCTGTAACAACTGCCGGTAAACAATCAGTTTTATCACGTTTTATCAAGTCGATAATAATGTAAACAACACAATAAATAGACACCTTTTGCTTGGATCACAGATGAAATTGGGGTGTAAATTTGAATCTAAAATCTATCTTGAGGTGAGAGGAGTAATCTTGCTACCTAAAAACGCAACTTTTCCGCAAGAAACTCCTCAAAATTCTAAAAAATCAACAAAAAATCCCAATTTTCCCCAAAAAATCTCCGTAATTCAAGCCGAAATGAGTTGTTTGGCCTTTAGGACGGCCGGAGCGGAGGTGGGCGGCAGAATACGGATCTCCGTCACCAGGGCAGTGATCAAATCGGCTGGGATTAGTTCCAGCGGCTCCGAATCCAGCGCGTGTTGATGATGGTTTTCCATGTTCCGCACCTTGTCCACGAATTGATAGGACTTCACCGTCATCAAGACGGGGATGTTCTGGGCGTGTGCGGCTAGCGCGACGAGGCCGGCGCCTCGGGGCGCGAGTACTGAGCCGTTGCTGAGCACCGCCGTTCCGCCCAGGAGGACAAGATGGGCGTTGCGGGTCATGTCGCCCACCGCGTTCAGCAACCCGTACGTGCAGCGGACCCCGCGTAATGAGAGGGATTTGGCTAGTGGTAGGGCTGAAATTATACTTGTTATTCCAAAAATTTGAATTGTATAAAACTCGATAATTGACATTATGCAACATAAGAAAACGTCTTGAAAAATACTTCAAATCGGCCTTCAGATACCATAAATCATCAAAATTCCTATTTCAAATCGAAAACACAAAAAATAAAATTTTAAATTTCGATAAATCAATAGTTGACACTTCGCAACACCATAATTTTGCCCTAAAGACATTAAAAATAGGTTCTAAATCACCACCACGACCATAAATCACCCTCAACCTCCACATCTCATTGCTTTTTTGTTACGAAACAGACAAAACTTCAAAAATCAATAGTTGACACTTCGCAACACCAAAATTTTGTAGAGATCATTTCCACAAGGTCCTAAGGTGGATTCCAAATCACCTCCACTACCATAAATCGCCCTCAATCCCCAAATCTCATTGTTTTTTCGTTACGAAACAGACAAAATTTCAAAAATCAATAGTTGACATTCCGCAACATTTTCAAATTGCCTCCAGGCGATCGCACCCACAATTGCTCACCTTTTCCTTTGGGTTGTGAGTCTATTACTCCGATATCCCAATTTTCCGGGCTCTTCTCGGTCAGCACCAGCAATATTCTTTCCACCACCGGCGACCATCCAAACGTCAGTATGGTCGTCGCCGACAGTCCGTAAACCTTCTCGATTGTGAAGTCGACGATGGCCTGAGTGGCTTGGATAAAGTTGGCCTTGTAAAACTCGTCCAGCCATTCCCGGGACTGGTCGCGGAACTCGTCGGCGGTCGCGTGTTCCGGGATTTGGGCGGCGAACTTCTTGAACTGCCGGATTACATTTCCCAGCGCCAACGGGAAGTGTTTGACGCCGTTCTTGGTGAGTGCGCTCAGTTGGGGTTGAAGATTCTGGAGGAGCGAATCCCGATAGGACGGGGTTTTGGGCTCACCGTTGAATTCGTTGATGAACTGAAGAAAAAATTACTGTAACTTTTGAATCTCTCAAGCATAATATATAATTTTTACAATATGCTTTTATCTTAACGTTTCATATAGTTACCCCAATTTTCAGTTCAATATCTTTATCGGTCTTTCCGATATAAACCATGAAAGAGATTGGTGTCTAAATTTCTCAAAGTTTTTAAAAAAGGTGATAAATTTTTGATTACAAAATATATGAATTTAAAAATCTTTGTATGACATCATCATGACACTAACTTAATCACCGCCAATTTTTAGCCAAATAATTCTATTGACATGCTGGATATTATCCACGAAACTTCGTAACGCCATTTTCGGCGTTTGATACTCTAAAGGTTGGCTAGCTCAGTTTTTTGATGTCCGACGGCGAAAATAGAAATGAAAGCACGCTACAAGTTATAATCGAGCCAGATTTGTCTGAATGGCGTCAGAATTTTACCTCGATTTAGGTCGAAGTTTCATGGCCGGGGAGCAACGATTGAGGAAACTGAAAAGTACTATTTTTCTTCGATGTAAGTGTCGGAATCAGGCTAATCAATGGTGCTGATTTTGAAAATGGAATTCATTTTTTGATCGTTACTTTTTTCCTTATGTAGTACTGTAAAGTAGTCATTTTTTGAATTTTTTTCACAAATACTCGATTTAGGGGTTTTCGATGGTGCTCATTTCAAATCAGAAAAAATACTTAAAAAAAATCATTTTCAAAATCAGCACTATCGAACACCCTCAAATCGAGTATTTATGAAAAAATTTCAAAAAATTACTATTTACAGTACTGCTTAAGGAAAAAAGTAACGATCGAAAAAATGAATGTCATTTTCGAAATCAGCACCATTGATTATCCTAATTCCGACGCTTACATCGAAGAAAAATAATACTTTTCAGTTTCCCCAATCGTTGCTCCCCGGCTATGAAACTTCACCTTAAATCGAGGTAAAATTCAGACACTATTCAGACAAATCTGGCTCAATTATAACATGTGGCCTTCTCTCATTTCTACTTTCGCCGTCGGACATCAAAAATCCAAGCTAGCCAACCTTCAGCGTATCAAACCCCCAAAATCACGTTACGAAGTTTCCTGGATAATATCCGGCATTTCAATAGAATTATTCGGCTAAAAATTGGCGCTGGTTAAGCTAGTGTCATGACCATTTCATACAAAAATTTTTAAATTCATATACTTTGTAATCAAAAATTTATCGCCTTTTTTTTTAATTTTGAGAAATTTAGACACCTATCTCTTTCATGGCTTTATATCGGAAACCTTTACCGTATCAAACCCCCAAAAATCTTCTCAAAGCTCTAGTACAATATAACTTCTCTCAAAATCGCCGTCTCACCTGAGCCAAGCAGTTGAGGAACTCGAGAATGACACTCTCGATTCCATAGAGATCATTTCCATCATGTTGGGCTTTTAGTCGGGCGAAAATTGGATGGACATTCTTTTCGTCGGCCAATAAGAAAGGATAAGGTCGAATTGCCGGTGGCGACGGTGGCTGGGGATTATCACTGCTGTCTCCTGGCACTAAAATACGTTGAATATCGGAGAGTCTCCTAAAATCGAGAAAACAAATCAAATACTTACCAAATCGAACCTTGAGAATGGATTTGTCGGGTTGTGGGCCTTTGCTTTGGACAACTTCGACATTTTCCGCCCTATTCCTTGCCTTCTGCGCCTTCTTTTCGGCCTTCAGCTCTGCTGCCTTCTTCTGCCCCTCCGAAGGAGCCTTCTGACCTTCTTTTGGTGTGGCATTTGGCTTCGTATTGTCCTTTTTGTTTTGTTGTTTTTGGTCTTGAGGCTTTTGTTGAGCGTTTTTCGGTGAATTCTCACTTGTTTTGGGCTTCTGTGGCTTTGAATCTAAACAATATGGATGTAGAAAGAGAACAGTATTTTACACCACAAGCTCAATAAAACTGAGCGTTGCACCTCAATTTACTAAGAAAAAAATAAACGCTGATGCAGCTCACGAGCTGCTCCAGGACCCAATGTATCTAACACTACCGAGATTTCGAAAAAATTGCAATTATTTTTTGTATTTCCATGCGATTTTCCGATATTACCCATGACACCTCAACCTAAACCAAGAAGCCACAAAAATCAAAGGTCGCATACCTGCTTCTCCTTTCGTTTTATCCTTCTTAGGCTGGTCGACCTTGCCGTTATCCGTGAGCTTCATTTTAGCGACTTCAGAAGTCGATTTTTCCACTGAATTTGTGGGAGTATCGTTCGGCACCTTTTCCGTTTCCTTCTCGACTGAATTGGCGTTCACTGGCTTCACCACATTGTTTTCCACGACATCCACCGTTTCTGTCGCTGCTTCCTTCGTTTGAGGGGGCTTTCCGCGGGGCTTTCTGACCATCTGCGGCTGAAACGGAAAAGGAAAAATATTGTACTAGGGGAATTAGATAACGCAGAAAATTTCCAAGCCATCAGTGTACAAAGTTCGCCCCAAAAATGGTGTAAACTGATGGAATGGGGCCCAAAACAACATGATGTAACACAATCTTTTTCATTTTTTTGCGAAAAAACGAAATGGAACATTGCGGACGGAATGTGTATTGATTTATTGAGGAAGTCGTGTTGTTTTTTCATGAGTGTTCAAAATCACTTTTTCCTACGACTTTACTACGACCTTCAGCGTCAAAGAACGATTGACAATACGTTCATTGCTATCAAAATAAAGCCAAAAATTTGTTCAGACATCAGATGTCTAGTGCAACGTCAAGATCTGCTCACATCTCCGTTCATCCTTTCCCAATCCGTTCAAAACTTGCTCTACAGCTTCTCTAGATCATATTCTTTATTTCAACAAGATTAACAAAGTTAAAACCAACAATAACCATCAAAAATTCAACAAATTATGTTATCCATCCTACTTGAGGATCTTCTTCCTTTCAAAGTATCGAGACGGGTCTCTATTGATTTGTTTGGCGTCGGACCAATGCATAACACTATCCCTGTACTCTATTTTCTTCTCTAGCTCAGAACGGTTGACTTTATTGATCTGTGTGGGGTCCAAAGTAATCATTTCCGGTTGGAGTTTCTCCAGGAGCTGTCGGACCTCTCTTTCTCTGCGTTGCTTCTTCGTTTCGTACGGATTCTCCCTCAGGGCGTCAAAGTTGGGATCTCCGGAGCCTGGGACAAGTATTGATGCAAATCCATGAGCATGTCCGATGCCTAGGACATCTTCATAGGGGCAAAATTGAAGGCTGGAGACACTTGAAGGAGCTCGATAAGTGAGAAATGGCTTGGTGATGGTGTTGATATTTGGGTCGGAATAGACCTAAAATTGTTTATTCTACCTTCTTCTTTCACTATCTTCAATCTCATCCAACACATATCCAGAGATTTTAAATTTTTATATTACACATGACCCACCTGAACGTTCACTCCGCATCCAACCGCAACCTGCCCCATTTGACTGATTGTCACATGGCTGGGAGGGAAGGGCAGTTTATATGCCGACATTTCCTTATAATTCCTCAGATCCCAGACCTTCAATTGACGGTCCAGCCCTACTGTAACCATCCTTTTTCCATCCCGACTGATGGCCAGGTCAGACAATGGGGCTTTATGGGCTAACATCTCGATTATGGCCTCTTTACTGTTTGGGGACCACATACAAACGACACCTAAAAACAAAAAATCAAAATAAAAAAAATTATCTTACCCTTTGTATTTCCGCTAACAATTATTGCATTTGATGGATTCTGTGTCATACATGTGGTCTCTTTCTGTTTGATTCTCCATGATTGGACCATTTCACCAGTCGAGACGTCCATATAACTCAAGAAATTCTCATTGCTCTGAAAATTTTATATTATCCATGACAACAATCACTCATATATTCTTCAATTACGGCTCAAACAACCTAAAATTTCGAAAACACCAATAAAATGACCTACCAAAGCAACCAACAAAAAATGTTTTGGCAAAAACTCCAACGAATGCACATTAAACAAGCTCTTGACACAATGCAACTCCACTCCATTTTTGTCATAAATGTACGTCCACCGTCGTTGCGCCGCGGCGAACATGTTCTCTGAGTGCAACCAGGCGATATCATTGACCTTTTCGGTTACATTAACTTCACAGTGCAGGGTTTTGGTCATCCAATCAAATGCGGCCAAATGTCCTTTATGGCCGGCAAGAAGGAGATGCCGACCATTTCGGATGTATTTTCCCTTGTACGGGCCATAATCCAAGTCCAGAGTAAAATGTTTTGAAGCGGCTGCAGTGTCGACGGCATTGACGATGTCTTTTTGTTCGAGGAAGTAGGTCTCCTTGCCTTCCTCAATATCGACTCCACTGAAAGACGGGCTAGATAAATATTGAACTTTTTGTAAATAAATTAAATAGCGATCTTTTACCTTGCTATTCCTACAATTATGACCTATATACCATCTATATTCCGCTTAAAAAATGCATTTTTATCCATACACCTTACTTATGATGGAGAAATCAAAAATTTATTATTCTGTCCTCTACTTCCTTCCATCTAAAATCAAGAACACAAAAAGACAATCAAAAGCTTACCCGTTATCATCTGCATTCAACAGTTCTGCTCGGATTTTAGCTTCAATTCTCTGCTTGAATGTCTCTTTTTTCTTTGTGATCTTCTTCACATGCAGTTTCGTCTTGACACGCTCTGGCTGAAGCTCCGAGATGTCGTCCACATCGTTATCTTCAATCTGCTTTTCGTCAATTTCAACTTTCTCGATCAGTTTCCTCTTCTTTGGTCGTCTCTTTTCCTTCCCGACCTTATCCTTGGAGAACCGTGGATTGGAAGAGAAAACCTTATTTGATGCTCTCCTAGAGAATGCACGGTCTGAGATCTCTTTCACATTGGCGTCTGGATCAAAACGGACAACTTCTGTGGTGGAATCACTTTTTATTCGGCTCATTTTGCACCTGGAAGAAAGGGGTAATATGTAAAGAGTGTCAAAATTAATACACGGAGTGAGTGATAAGGGTAAAACGGTACAGAATGGCGTAAAAAATGGAGATTTTATTAACACATTCGTCCAGCCTCGAAAAATATAATAATTTTATTTTGTCATTTCGTTATCGGATTTTTTTGCGAAATGTCAAAATTGATTAAACGGTAGGAATAGGTCGGGATTGATCAGAAACAAACAGTATACGATTCCAAGATGTAAACAATACAACTGATGTCCATTTTCACCCCACTTCGTTCACATATTACGCTCTTTATGATTCCCATAATTCAAACAAGGACCAACCTTGATAAACCGGACCCCAGATACCCTCCTCCCAACAAATCGGTCGTCAACAAAGTTTCAACAGTATTTATCTTCAATAAAACAATAAACAAAGAGAAAACAAAGCCAAGATCAATGAGTGGACAAACAAGATAATGTTCATTTACTCGTCGGTTTCGGCCTTGGTGGCGCGAGTGTAGACCAGTTGGGAGCCGTGTCTGACGACGCACTTGATGTGTCCCTCCGCTTGGAGTTGTCGGAGACCAGCAGTGGCCAACGAAGCTCGGACCTTCAGACGTTCGGAAACCACTGAGGGGGTGATGAGTTTCACGGAAACGATCTGAAAGTAATAAAAATGTAAATGGTTCATAACAAAACCTTTAGAACAGCTAAAGGACACCTTAGAGGGTATTTTCAAAAAAGTTTACATCAGCTGGAAAGTATTTTCGACCTAAGCAAGCTAGTTATATTCACCATGCCAAAAATCGACGTAAGCTAAACTTCTGCTAAGATAAGGTGCGAAATTGACATGGCGTTTCTAAAACTTTGTCTAAATTAACTACCAGTCCATCATCTCCATTATCAAGATTATTTCACCTAATATAATGCCGATCCCCATAAAGCGCATTTATATTTCGGCACCCACCCAACTCCAAAATCCTAAACACAACAAAAATAAAAGTAAAACTCTTACCTCTTTGTAAAGTTTGTCATAGGTGGCCTTGTCGAAGAGAACAGCGTTGTTCAACTTGTCGCGGACCTTTCCCTTCGACCACTTCTTCTTCTTGGCCTTTCCTCCTCCTCCTCCCTCCTTCTTCTTGGCTGGGGCCTTGGAGGCGGTCTCCTTCTTCTTTGGTGGCATCCCTGGAAGAAATCAACCGGTGAATATTGAAATTCTCAGAAAATTGCGTTCAAATAACCATCACGAAATAACAACATCAAGTATAAGGTCAAAACATATCAAAACTCTTGTAAATCTAGATAAAAACGGACACGACTAAATTTTCAAACTTCTAATTTAATTTTTCTGCCAAAACAGCCAAAAACAACGATAAAAATAGCTAAAATTTATCTACTACAATATAATCTAAAAGTAAATTGTAAAATCTACAACTAACAGTGTAAAAACACGACTAAATTATCGGTAAAAGTCACTCGAAGTAACAACAAAAATGTCTTTTTCATTGGGAAAATTTTTCTGAAGGATCCCACCGTAAGACTTTGTTTTCGTGGTGGGAAACAGCCAATGTGCTTGTGTATGCCAAAAATATTGGCATTCCGTAATTATTTTATATTTTTTCGTTGATCTCGAGATTTTGGACGAACTCGCACTGATTCCTTCGATTTGGTGTAATTCAAGAAGGTTTACTCAACATGGAGGCGAATCACAATCTTAATCATGTAAATCAACCTCAACCACCGGGAATCTCTGAAGCAACTCGTCAATTTGAGGTGGCCAGTAAGTTTTTTCAACTCATTACTTCATATGTTTTAGAGGCATATTATGGAAACGAAGCGACAATCATGAAAAGTTTGATTCAGTCGGGTCACATTCACGTAAAGGACGATGGACAAGTTTTGCAGTGGAATCCGATGGAGCAGTGTTATGATCGTGACTATCGATATCGAATGACCAAAGAGAGTAAGTCTATTTTCTTTTCTGTCTTTTTTCTACGTTTAGAAACGACGAAATTGACTAGAAACGGCGAGTTTCCGATATTGTCCATCAGATCTCATGAAGAATATCGAAACTCTGTATGAATGTGGATTTAATGACCTGAAACTTTTAGAATCGCTTCCGTCTTGGATTATAACGCCTCAGGCAGCGCATGAAGTCGCAAAGAACGTGAGAGGAGCCCAGTTTTTGAGCAGCAATTATTATCGAAAGACGTTGATCTCGGACAAGCTGAAATCAAGAGGAGAAAATGAGCAGACGTAAGAATTGCTGTTTAATAGTTGAATAGCGCCTTCTTCTTGCTGTTGAATGTCAGTTTCAGGATAATGCAAGACGATGGACGTCGTGAGCATCATTTCCCTGAAGTGCTTGACCATCCCTTCCTGAAGATCCCTGAAGAGCATATTCATGAGTGTCTTCAGGACATTTTTGTACGGCAAAATTATAAATCGGTGTAAATAGAAGCTATTGTAAAGGTAACTCGCCACATTTATTTATTTTTTTGCTGATTTTTCGGGTCTTCTCTTCTACCAGGTATGTGTTCAGTGTAATATAATATTTTTGTGCCTTTTCGTCTAATAAACGTGCTGAAATTTAAGACAAGTGTAGATCACGGCTCTGAATATTTTTTTAGACAAAAATCATTAAAAATAATCGTGCTTAAACCTTAGTTTCGGTCAAATTCACCAAAAATACCATGGATAATATAATTAATCCCCGGATTTTATTGACAAACTCGGTTCATATTGTCGATTATAGTGCGCATAACAAACTCCAGGTGGTAGAGTTCCAGTGGAGCTGTATAAACCGGTTCTACTAACAGTATCCGAAAAGATATGATTAGGGAAAGCTTTAGGGGCCTTTAAATTCAGAGGTTCCGCGATGTCCTCCGGCTCTTCTGCGTTGATTCGTCGGCAACTTGGGACCTCTGGAAGCTCGTGAGAGCAGTTGAAGAGGTTTATAAGACCTTGAATGAGGACTAAAATACATTCGGCCAGCAGGAGTAACGTTGCGCCAAGCCACAGGGTTGAGATCCCAGCAACTCGATTGAAGAGGGTTTTGAGCTGAAATATTTGCTTTTTTAGATGTTCCGGATTAACTTCCGAAAACGCAAAAAATCAAAATTTTTTCGAACAGTGCAAAAAAAAAACCAAAATTTTGCGCAGTGCAAACAATTTGAGTTTTTTTTGGCAGTTTCAGATCATTGCACTGTGCGAAAGCCGCGACAAAATATTTCGCCATCACGGAAGAACTGATTGCACAGTGCAAAAAGTTTTGACAAGGGAAAAAATTTTCGCGCAGTGCGATGAGCAAAAGAGTTTTGCACTGTGCGAAAGCCTCGACAAAACATTGCACAATGCAACGAAAGATGGTTTGCACGGTGCAAAAGGTTTTGTCAGAGGAAAAATTTTTGCACAGTGCGATGAAAAAGGATTTGCGACAAAACATTGCACAGTGCGATGAAAAAGGACTTGCACAGTGCAACGAAAGATGCTTTGCACGGTGCAAAGAGTTCCAAAGGAAATTTTTTTGCACAGTGCAAAAGCCGCGACAAAACATTGCACAGTCAAAGAAAAAATTTTTGCACCGTGAAGGAAACACACTGCAACGAAAAATGTTTCGCACGGTGCAACAAAAGATGCTTCGCACAGTGCAAAAAGTTCCACAGGAAAAATTTTTGCACCGTGCGATGAAAAAAGATTTGCACAGTGCAAAAGCCGCGACAAAACTTTGGGAAAGAATGATTGCACGGTGCAACAAAAGATGCTTTGCACAGTGCAAAAGCCGCGACAAAACTTTGGGAAAAATGATTGCACGGTGCAACGAAAGATGTTTTGCATAGTGCAAAAAGTTCCACAGAAAAAAATTTTCGAACCGTGCGATGAAAAAAGATTTGCACAGTGCAAAAGCCGCGACAAAACTTTGGGAAAGAATGATTGCACGGTGCAACAAAAGATGCTTTGCACAGTGCAAAAGCCGCGACAAAACTTTGGGAAAAATGATTGCACGGTGCAACGAAAGATGTTTTGCATAGTGCAAAAAGTTCCACAGAAAAAAATTTTCGAACCGTGCGATGAAAAAAGATTTGCACAGTACAAAAGCCGCGACAAAATTTTGGGAAAAATGATTGCACGGTGCAACAAAAATGCTTTGCACTGTGCAAAAATTTTCAAACGAAAAATCGCACTGTGCAAAAATTAAGACAAAATTTGCACAGTGCAGAGGAAGAAGACTTGACTTACGGTTGTCGTGGGATTTTCGATGAGTATAACATGGCTTCCATGAGGGAAAAATATCACAATTTCAGCGCCATTCTTTTGGTAATCTAGGGCACAATCTTCACTGCTATGTAATGAGCAGTCCTCCACATCGAACTCTTTTTTGGGCCACTTTGAACTCAAGGAAATTGCGGTGAAAAGTTCGTGATCACAGGGCGGATAACAAATACAATTTTCGTATCTCCCGGTGGGCTCTTGATTCGTGAAATTGTAGAGACATCGGGCTGAAAATTGGCGGGATTTTAGAACAATTTTTTTGATCTACCTTGCTCGTCATTAAAGGTATTACAGTATACTGGAGGGTCGTAGACAAATCTCGGATCAGCGCAGCCACAAGCCCGGAAGACTTGGTCTTGATAGCAGGTTCGAGTACAGCCCTAAAAATTAATCATTTTTTACTGAGGATAAATGCAACGTGCAAAAAATACGAAAAATTTTGGCCATTGCACTGTGCAAAAAATAGTTTTTACCCTTTGCACTGTGCAAAAAAACAAAAAATTGGCCATTGCACGGTGCAAAATGAGCGACAAATACCGCACTGTGCAAGAAATAAAAAATTTGGCCATTGCACTGTGCAAAATGAGCGACAAATTCCGCACTGTGCAAAAAACAAAAAATTTGGCCATTGCACTGTGCAAAATGAGCGACAGGTTCCGCACTGTGCAAAAAACTAGTTTTTACCCTTTGCACTGTGCAAAAAACAAAAAAATTGGCCATTGCACGGTGCAAAATGAGCGACAAGTTCCGCACTGTGCAAAAAACTAGTTTTTACCCTTTGCACTGTGCAAAAAACAAAAAAGTTGGCCATTGCACGGTGCAAAATGAGCGACAGGTTCCGCACTGTGCAAAAACTTGTTTTACCCTTTGCACTGTGCAAAAAACAAAAAAATTGGCCATTGCACGGTGCAAAATGAGCGACAAGTTCCGCACTGTGCAAAAACTAGTTTTTACCCTTTGCACTGTGCAAAAAACAAAAAAATTGGTCATTGCACTGTGCAAAGTGAGCGACGAATTCCGCACTGTGCAAAAAAAGTTGTTTTTACCCTTTGCACTGTGCAAAAAACAACATATTTGGTCACTGCACTGTGCAAAATGAGCGACAAGTTCCGCACTGTGCAAAAAACTAATTTTTACTAGTCCTTCCGGAAAGTCGCCGGACGGAAATCGGCGACATGCACTGTGAGAAAACACTCAGGGTGCGAGCGACAGCTCGAAAAAGCCTATTGCACAGTGCAAAAAGCCAAAAATTGCACAGTGCAAAGTGAACTTTCGTTTTCGCGGAGTGCACGTCGCCGATTTCAGTCCGGCGACTTTCCGGACGGACTAGTACTCTGCACTGTGCAAAAAACAAAAAATTTGGCGGTTTCACTGTGCACAATGGGCGACAAATTCCGCACTGTGCAAAAAACAAAAAATTTGGCCATTGCACTGTGCAAAATGAGCGACAAATTCCGCACCGTGCAATTTTCGTTTCTTTTTGTCTGCACTGTGCGGAAAAAGTTGTTTTTGTTTCGCACAGTGCAATAAAGTCACATTACGTGATATCACTCTTACCTCGGTAGTATACTTCCCTGGATAGACGTATTTTTGTTTGCGGCCCTTCAGAGTGTCCAATGTATCGCAATAACCGTAGGGAGCGGCGAGCTTGGAGTGCTTTTTCTACAGGGTGCGCCAAAAATATTGGGACTCATATTTTTACTTGCCCTGCGGGCTGTAATGGTACAAGAGCAAAGTGGTCGCTTGTGCAAACGTGCAATGCTCCAAAGAATCTATCTTCAAAGTTTTAGACAGAGTAGTCGTATACGACACCTGTTCTGCCATTTTAAGTGCTCACAACTAAGGCCCCTGAGACACGGACCCCAAAATGGATAAAAATTGGAAACACTAGTTTTACCGTTGCATGCTATGGCAGAAATTCACTTTATATGACAGAGTAGCGGTCGCATTTTATGCACTAAAAATGATTTTTACTTATAATGGCGATTACATCTTTTACAGCCCGTCAAAGTCGGCCTAAAAACGCGCCGTTTTTCAGAAAACTTCCGTAAGATCAAAGATTTTTATGTAGAAGTTTCGATGTAAGGTTCCCAGCATATTAGGCATCAGATATACTTTTATAAGGACAACGAGAGTCTGACTAGTCGTCTTTGAAAAATTATTTTTTTATCTTCTGCCTCTGAGGGATGAAATAGTGACTACAGCGGTAGAATTTACTCTAAGGTTGCTCGTCAAGTAAGCTTGGACTGAAGATCGCTAAAAGTAATTCAGTTGTGTCAGCATGTATCCGGAGTACAGCGTTACGTCGATTTTTACGCTCAAGTACTTTTCAACTTGTAGTAAACTGCCAAAATATATCAAGCTTTGAAGGACCGTGCCTCCAATCCGCACCATAAAGTTTTTTCCATACAGAAACTGTCCCCTTGTAGGTGTAGATTTTCTTTTACAGTATGACAATTCCCTATGTACACACTTTATAACCACAAAATTTTAGAGCAACACGGGCGATACTGTGGTATTGAGATCGTTAAAAACATAAAAATCCGAACTTTCGGGATTTTTTTTTGTTTTTTCGACCAGCGTCGCCATATCGGTCGTCAACCATGATTACATACGCTGTTACGAAGTGAATGGCATGTGCTTTATACACAATAAATTTGAAGGATCTTACTTTCCCTTAGCGGAAATAATGGCCAAATTGATTTCCCGTTCATCCATTTGAAAAGAAAATTTTGGTCCCCCAAAAACTTTTGAAAATTTTTTCAAGTTTGCAATAGGCCCCAACCCTGGCATTACCGCTGCCGTATAGCAAGACTGTTACCCTTGCTAAAACGGCCAAAAGTTTTGATTCCAAGGCCAGCCGGAAAAAGCTACACGGAATTGATTTTTGTCCCAATATTTTTGGCGCACCCTGTAGATAAGATTGAATAAAAAACTCAAATTTTTTTGGTAAATACGAGGTTATCTAATCTGGATATCATTAATTTTTGATGAAACTGATTAATTACAATCAGAAAAAGCCTCAGGTTTCTTTTTGTGGGCAAATCCAAAAAATCGATAACGTAATGTCACTTTTTTAAAATTCAAAAAAGAATATATTTTTGTAAAATACATTGATATAACAGGTAGCTGTTTCAATTTTACCTAAAATTTCACTAAAATTAAACTTGTGACATTTTGTTCAAAAAACCAATAACGAAATGTCACTTTTGAAAAAGATCAAAATACGGTTATATAAATGCCAGGAAAGATCGCTGAAAGCCTCAACAATTCTAAAAGGACATTCATTTTTAAAATACGCCCCATGAATACTCAAAATTTCACTGAAATTAAACTTGTGACTTTTTGTTCAAAAAATCAATAACGAAATGTCACTTTTGAAAAAGGTCAGAATACGGTTATAAATGCCAGGAAAGATTGCTGAAAGGCTCAAAAATTCTAAAAGTATTATATTTTTTTTAAATTTTCACTATTTTCTTATCAGAAACACCGAAAAAATCTCAAAACCCCACTTTTTTCACATAAAATGCAGTGCTGCTACCCGGCTTCACCAAATGTCCAAAATTGCTGGGGAATGGCATTTCGTCGTGCGGATGAATCGTGACTTTGAAGCCCACCTTCTCCACTGTCGGCAAATAATATTCGTCCACGGGGTAATGGACTATCAATTCGAGGGCTGAAAAGTGGGAGTAAAGTTGCTGTTTATGGCGACGTTACCTGACTCTTTCCCAGTCCCTGTGATTGTCATGTTCCCATCGTGGTTGACCGTATAACAGTAGCCGTAATCCAGGTCGTAGACGGGCTTGAAACTGAAAATTTTGGGAATTTTGCCGTTTTTTGAGGGAAAAATTGGAATTTTTGATGATTTTTGGGATGAAAATCAAATTTTAAAAAGTTTTTGGGATTAGAAATCAAATTTTCATCTCTTTTTTTGACTTATAAATATGATTTTTTAGTTGAAAAATCAAATTTTTTTGATTGAAAAAAGCAGAATTCGGCGATTTTTGAACAAAAAATCTTGTTTTTGAGCCACAGTTTTCCTTATTGGCTAATTACAATATCATAAATGGGCTAAACGTACTCTCTAACGCACTCTTTGTTCTCATATCGGCATTGTTTTAGGAATTCCGCATCAGTTATTGACAATTCTTGCTTCTGTTCCTCGGTCAGGGAGGCTGAAATCGTGTGTGTGCCATCCAAAATCACTGAATTTAGTGTCGCAGCCGAGTAATTGACCTAAAATACGACGCCTAAATGCTTGACGTCATTTTTTATTTTTTGCACGGTGCAAAAAATTGAATTGTTTTGAAATGCACTGTGCAAAGTTTTCGGGTTTCTTTGCACAGTGCAGTTTGCAAAACGCGAGTGTCGCAGGTTTTGCACAGTGCAGAAAATGTATGACATCATTCTTTATGTTTTTGCACGGTGCATTTGCGGAACAAGAGTGTCGCAGGTTATGCACAGTGCAAAAAATTGAACTGCTTTGAATTGCACTGTGCGAATCCAAAGTTTCCGTTTTTGCACAGTGCAGTTTGCAAAACTCGAGTGTCGCATGTTTTGCACAGTGCGAAAACTCGAACTGTTTGGCGTGCACTGTGCGAATCCAAAGTTTCCGTTTTGCACAGTGCAGTTTGCAATGCGAAACTCGCGTGTCGCAGGTTTTGCACAGTGCAGAAAATGTTTGACATCGTTCTTTATGTTTTTGCACGGTGCATTTTGCGGAACTCGCGTGTCGCAGGTTTTGCACAGTGCAAAAAACTGAATTGTCTTGAATTGCACTGTGCGAATCCAAAGTTTTCGAGTTTGCACAGTGCAGTTTGCAAAACTCGAGTGTCGCCGGTTTTGCACAGTGCAGAAAATTTTTGAAATCATTCTTTATGTTTTTGCACAGTGCGAATCTAACGTTTCCGGGTTTGCACAGTGAAGTTTGCAAAACTCGAGTGTCGCATGTTTTGCACAGTGCGAAAAATCGAACTGTTTGACGTGCACTGTGCGAATTCAAAGTTTCGGTTTTTGCACAGTGCAACCTTTTTTTGTTTTCTTTTTTTCTCGCACTGTGCGATAAACTCTACTTTTTTGCAAAGTGCAATCAATTTCGTTTGCACTGTGCAAAAAAATGGAATTTGTTTTTTCGCACAGTGCAATCTTTTTTGCTCTATTTTTTCTCGCACTGTGCGATAAACGCCATTTTTTGCACAGTGCAAAAGTTTGGTAATTCAAAAAAATCTCACATTCAAATTCAACTTTTCGCCGACTTGTTCCACCGACATTCCATTCGCCAAAATTCGCACATCTTGTGTTGTGGCCTCTTCTGATATTGCACTTGTTTCCAATGCTGCGAAAGTGGTCGGAAACTCCGTATTAGGCGCAATAGTGCTGATAATTTTACTTGTACTGCTACTAGTTTGCGATGTAGTTGAAATCTCAGCTGTTGTCTCAAGGATTTTCCCATTTTGCGGCTGAGAAATGAGCATTTCCTGCGAATAGGTTTGATTAATTTGGAGTTGACACATTTTCCAGCAAAGGTCATGCCGAATGTTGCAGGGCACAGTGCACACTCTGTGTTGATGGGTCTTGGAAAAGTTTGAGCAGAACGTTTCTTCGGCCATGTTGATAAAATCGCTCAGCAAATGAGCCGACGAATAGAGGCCGGAGAACTCCCATTGGCGGGAAAGTGGGCCACAAACTAAAGCGACGGTTAACAACGTATATATATAAATCACCAAGTCACTGCAATTTTTTTTCCACAGTGGAGGATCTGATCCATTGGCAGTAAACGTACCATTTTGCATCCTGAAAGTATCAAAAATGTGGCAAAATGCTTCCTTCTCCAAATGCAAAAACTTTTTTTTAAAGGGCACGCCCAGTTTTTTCACTTTGAGAGGGAGGTATTTTGCCACATTTTTTGATACTTCCTGGATGCAAAATGGCACGTTTTTTGCCACTGGATCAGATCCCCCACTTTATATGGTTGAAAATAATCACAAACTTTTTTGTGATCCAAAATTTTAGCAAAAATATTTTTATGACAGATCTTTAGTCGGATGTGAAAAAAGCTATGCGGCTTTGCGCTTTTTTGAAAACTTTTCCGGTTTCTCTTTTTGCCCACGTATTAACTACCATTTTGCATACAGGAAGTATCAAAAAATGTGGCAAAATGCCTCCCTCTCCAACTGAGAAAACTCCGTTTTGAAGAGCGCCTCACAAAAAGAGCGGACGCGCTTTTGAAATTGGATTTTTTTCACTTAGAGAGGAGGTATTTTGCTACATTTCTTATACTTCCCGGGTCCAAAAGGGTACGTTTTTTGTCACTGGATCAGGTCCGCCTAGACAAGGCTCTGGGGCCGGGCCGAGCAAATTTACCCTTAGTTGGCCCTAAAAACCGCCTTAAGAGCGTGCTCATTATTTTCCCGACAATTTGATAGTCCGGCTCCGACTCACCATCAACAGCGCCGCTGAAGAAATGCGTTCCATTTTTGTCGTTGTAGTAATGCCGATAATACGCGAAATGCTCAAAGTTTTGTCTGAGGTATCTGAAGTTGCGATAGACGGCGCGGGAGTAATCTTTTTTGAGGTATTTCAAATACGAGTTGATAATCGAAGTGATTATGTTCGAAGCCGGATTCGTAAGCTGCATTTTATCACCTTCGTTGAGAGGTATTCGGGCTACACAGTTGGATATGTCCTTCATAATTTGAAGTTGGCTCCATGACGTCATGTTTTTTCGGGGCTCAAAAAACCAGTCGTAAAGGCAAGAGGTTACAAGATTTTTCGTCGTTGAGGTTGTTGATGCTGTGCAGATTGCGTTGTGGTTGATTTGTATGTCATCTACAAGATTGGTGGGTACAAAAAGATCGTTTTATAGTGTCAAATTTACAGTCAAACCTTCTGTACAACAAGCCGAAAGGGCAAAAAAGTTTATTAGGATTCGAAAACTGTCGTTGTACGGAGGATTTTTGGCCTAAAATTGACTCTTGGAATTCTCAAAAAAAAAGAGTGGGCGCGCTTTTGAAATCGGAGTTTTTTCACTTGGAGAGGGAAGCATTTTGCCACATTTTTGATGCTTTCCGGATGTAAAATGGAACGTTTTTTGCCACCGGATCAGGTTTGCCACTATATGAATATAAGAATCCAAGGGTCAATTCCAGGCCAAAAAACCTCCGTACAACGTCTGGTTTCCATTACTGATAAACTTTTCTTCCCTTGCGATTTGTTATGCAGAGTTTGCTCCACGGTAGCAAACTTTCTAACGTGTCATATCACACGTACTCACGGTTATAGTGCAATTGTTTTGGCCGTTTTCGAATTGTATTCCAAGCTTTGTACCTTTCGATGGCGCAATTGAAGATGCCGTTTGTTTCACGGCCTTATCGTATCGAAACAGCTCATCAAGAAGACTGTTGCTCGGCTCATTCTCATCAGCATTTCGTCTATCTCGAATGTTCGCAGCTTGCTTGGCTGGCTTTTTCTTTTTGGATTTTGTGATATGAACGTACGCAGAGATCTGAATAGAAGCTAGTACAGTGTTACACACCTTTTCAAGATGGTATTTTTTTGCGTGTGGTGGATTTCGGCCCGGTACCAACATGGCCCTGGCGCTGGGCCGAGAACCGCCAAGAGTTGGGCCCGTCTCCTTCAAATTTTCTCGGCCGGGAACCTGAGTGCCTAGTGAGGCCTGATCCAGTGACAAGTAATGTGCCATTCTGCATACGGGAAGTATCAAAAAATATAGCAAAATGCCTCCCCCTTCAAGTGAAAAAAATCGTTTTGAAGGGCGCGCCTTTCCCTCACAAAAAGAGTTTTTGAAATCGGAGTCTTTTCACTTGAAGAGGGAGGTATTTTGCCACATTTTTGTATACTTCCCGGCTGCAAAATGGTAGTTAATACGTGGGCAAAAAAAGAAACCGGAAAAGTTTTCGAAATACGCAAAGCCCCATAGCTTTTTTCAGATCCGATAAAAGACCTGTCATAAAAATATTTTTGCTAAAATTTTGGATCCTTTCCCTCACAAAAAGAGCTTTTGAAATCGGAGTCTTTTCACTTGGAAATGAAGGTGTTTTGCCACATTTTTGTATACTTTTTGTATATAGCACATTTTTTGCCACTAGTTCAGGTCCGCCAAGACAAGGTTGTGGGGCCGGGCCGTGCATATTTGAAGGGGGCCGGGCTGCGATTTTCGGCCCAACCCAGCGCCATGTTTGGGGCGGAATGCGACACACGAAAAGACCCATCTTTGACGTCCGCTGCAGGCCCAAACTTTGAATTTTTTCGGGGAAAGTACTTCTATGGGTATGGAGTTACAGGTCGAGACATGTATCAAAAAATCGCAACGTTTTCCTGATTCAGAATATGTAAAAATTAGCTGGTTTGTAACACAACGAGACTCTAACCCACCAACGAGCTCAAGTCATCCGACACGTGCATCTTGCTCTTCTTGAACGGGTTCAACGCGCACACAGTGACTGCCGGAAAGGGTCGATTCAACACTTGCCCCACCTGGAACACCCTACATTTCGCACATGCCATCTATTCACTTGCCTTTGTGTCCGTTGCATAATAGAACTTGAAGTATTTCGTCATCTCAATGGCGATTTGAACAAAGAATGTGGTCACCACCAAGACCGAAATAACCATCCAAAAAACTCGTTCAACCTTTGTTTTGGCGATTCCAGCATGAGTAACCGCTGAAAGTAATGGCTTAAAGGTAAGTTCAAAGCCTTTTACGCCATCAAAATCTATGAACCCCACTCACGCGCGAATGATGTCCATCTGTAGTAATTTTGCACAAAAATTGACAGCTTTGACATGTGGCTTTAGCGATAATATTGGGAAGATGAATTACCATCAAAGAGGGGGTGGAAGAAGTGAGACGAATTTGGGCTATTAGTCGCTGGGTGACAAGGTAGCGACCAGCCAATTAGACGGAGTATACTCACTAGATTCTTGAAGGGAAAGGAGCAAAGATCTAACGGAAAAAAAGTGGCAGACAATGGATGACATAATAAATTTTTGTGGTGTAATAAAAGCGATTATGGCTTACAAACGATTATCAACCATTGGGAGAAATACGCCTGTCGTATTTTACAAGGGAAGCATGGCAAGTGCGACGAGATTTTTAGAACGAAAGCCGGCAAAAATGAGACACTTTTTCGGCAAACTTTGCGTCGCTGAGAATGATTTTGAGCTTTGAAAACTTGGCCAATCTGGCCAGCCAAATATCGGCCTGTCGGGAAAATAATAAGCATAATGTGGCTTTGCCGATCGCATCGCTGAATTGGAAAGCAATCTGATATTACAGCAAGAAAATTCATTTTCTCGGCGGCGATGCGATTTTCGATGCGACAGAGCGTTTTTTTGCAATGTGCATGTTGCCGAAATCAATTCAGCGACTTTACGAACGGACTACTAGTCGTTCCATAAAGTGCGTAGATCCTTTTCGGCCTTTCTTTGCACCGCACAGTACATGTTCCGTGACGATATCCTTTTCAAAAAATTTTGCAATGTGCAATTTATTTTTGCCCGCCCAAAATTCGCCGGTGAGAAAAGCCTGCGTCGTTGCGATATTGCACCTGCGTCGTGCAGAAAGTCAAATGCCCATCGCAAAAAAGGTTTTGTGGACGGTGCGACCCACGACAAAACGTCTACGCACTTTCTGAAAAACTAGTATGCGCTATAAAACATTGTTCTACCAGCATGCAATACATGTATGTACTGTAATTTATCAATACCGCGGCATACCGTAAGACTCATTTATTTTTGTCTGCCTTTTTGTTTCATTGTTCTTTCTTCAACACTTCGTAGCCTAGCTACGGAATTCCTTTTAATCCTTGACCTTCCCATTCTCATCGCCTTCGCGTTTCTGATGCTGTCGGGATCAAGTTTCAAGATCTTCTTTCTCAATTACTACAAATGGACTGGGTTCTTGCGTAGGTGTAGAATACCGTAAACATCATTTTTTAGCTATTCGCAACATTGGCGCGGCCAGATCATTTCTTGGCGCTGCCATATGGATACTGATATTGGTCGCCACAACATCCGCGTTTTTATTTCAATCAGCGGTTGTGATTCGCGAGTATTTGCGGTTCCCCAAGAACACAATCACTGAGGTAATAGTGGTCATCTTGAGTCGTGTTAAATTGCAGTTTCGCCATGAACCCGCCCAGCCATTTCCGGCCGTTTCGGTTTGCTCGTTGAACCCTTTCAAGTACAGTAAAGTCGCAGTGTCTGATGACTTGAACTCTTTGGTAAGAGCGGGAAAATTCGCAGCAAAGAAAGTCTTATGTGTTTCTTGGGACTTATGAATCTTGACGTGTTCAGAAAATGTGTCACGATGACAGCCGTTTCTAACGTTCCATTGGTTCAAAACTTTTGCAATGCGAGGATTTTCTAGGGTTTTTCCGCGGCGAGAATCTCTGCAATGACCGAGTTTCCTTGACGGGAACTAAAAAATGCTTGCTAGCTAGTATGTAAGAGAATCTTAGCAGCTAATTAAAGGAGATCCTAGACCAGTTTTTTGCGCTCTTTCCAATGGTATATGTTTCAAGAAGAAACCAGGAGACAAGGTTTTGCGGAGCCCTTGTTAGGAGTACACTAATATACAGTCGTTGTTTATAAAGGTATTTTATACAGTTGTCATCGGGACACATTTTCTGGACACACAAAGCTTTATATAAGTCCTGAGGCTTATATGTCTGATAAGTGAAGTCTTTTTTTTGGCATTCAAATCTTTGCCTTTTATCAAAGGCCTTCCTTATAAACGTTATTTGCAGATGATGGCTTACTTATACACTAATGCGGAGAAAAAAGAAAATCTGGCGCACAATCAGGAAAGCACCAATGACGACTCGATTATTCGACGAAAACGGCAAAGCACTTCAACCAAGACCTACCCCTTGAAATGCGGGAAAACCATGACAATTGTGGAGGGAGATAGCACTGACACCGTCACATTAGGCAAGTTGCACATTACTTTCCCGACAGCAAGATATATGTGAATCTAGGCAACACCACTGCCTCTATTCCTCCTCGGAGAGACACGGCTTGGCGAACGAACGCGGTGGTGTTGTTGAACAACTGCATCTTCAACTGGTTCTTTGAGCCCAAAATCGACATGTCGACTTGGACTATCGTCGACTTGCTGCAAGATATTGCCGCGTGTGTGCCTTACAAAGAGTTTACAGCAATGAATTTTTCCGACCCTAACACGGTAGCGTAGTACACATTCTAAAACTTGATTCTTTTACAGTGACGGACTTTTTCCAATGGCAAAAAATCTAGCATTTTGCATCCGGGAAGTATCAAAAATGTGGCAAAATGCCTCACTCTCCAACTAAAAAACTCCGCTTTGAAGGGCTTCCCTCACAAAAAGAGCGGCCACGCTTTTGAAATCGGAGTTTTTCACTTGAGGATGGAGGTATTTTGTCACGTTTTATGATACTTCCCGGATGCAAAATGGTACGTTTTTTGCTCCTGGATCCACTGTAAAAGAATCGGTTTTTAGAATGTGGTGGCCAACTTCATCTACATCAAAGCGACCACCTGGGGAAAAGTGCAAAACTATGACTACAGGACCGCCGTGGACTCGAAAGCGGAGGGAGAGCAGGACCATATGGTGTATTCTGTTATGAATACCACTGCTCCATACTCGTACAGTGGCCTTATTGAAGGTAAGATCGGGCCAACATTGGCATATGTACAGGGTCTTTTAAGAAACGTGAAGGAAAGTAGGAGGCCATAACTTTCGGCGGAGACGTTGCAGAGGGCTCTTTTTTGAAAGATGTATTTTTAAGCGACATTCTGTCAAATTTATGTCAAATCTGTTTCTTTATGTATTTATATTACAGTGGCAGACTTGATCCAGTGGCAAAAACGTACCATTTTGCATCAGCGAAGTATCAAAAAATGTGGCAAAATGCCTCCCTCTCCAAGTCAAAAAACTGCGATTTCAAGAGCGCTCTTTTTGTGAAGGAAAGGACGCGCCTTTCAAAACGGAGCTTTTTCACTTGTAAAGGGAGGCATTTTGCCACATTTTAATGCTTCCCGGATACAAAAGTGAACGTTTTTTGCCGTCAATGCAGATCTAATTGTGAGAAAAAATTATTCTAAATTTGTGTCAAGTTTCATCAAAATATGAGCGGCCCACATGAGGTACTTCTCTCGAAAAGTAAAATGAACCTCCGTGCAACGAAACCCTTCCAAAACGAATGATTTTTTTTGGTCTTTGCGACTCGTTGTGCGAAGATCTAACCCTTATTTTTTCAGTATGCGGGCTAGGCTCCAAGAAATGGAAGTTCGAGGGTGTTTACACTGCCTACCTGTACAACGACTTTGCGACAATGGCGAACCAAAGGTTTTGCAACAACACCATCTCCCCGCAATGCACCTTGGACTGCAACACGACATATGATTTGTGTCAACAAATGTGTCAGCTTCAGACAGTTGCAAGTTATGCGGACGAAGTTCTACATGCCGAATCAGTGAATAGGGAGGCGGTTTGTGAGGAGTTCAGCTCAACAATGGAGCCTTCAACTGCGAAGTTTGATACAACGAGTGAGAGCAGGAGCAGTGATGGAGGGAGTGAAGTAAGTGAACACGGACAAAGTAAAGTTTCTGCAGAAGGAACTCCCATTTAGCGGAACTTGTATAATATGTATATCAGTCTGTCGGGAAAATAATGAGCGCCTTGTCGCTGCGCCTATAGCGTCGCTGAAGTAAAAAGCAGTTTGATTTTGCCAAAACACAGTTCATTTTCTGATACGATTTTCAATGCGACAGAGTGCTCATTATTTTCCCAACACACTCAGGTAATAGCGGAATTTGTCTATAACAACCAATTTGACAGGTGATAAGAGTCTATGCAAAATGAGCCTTTGTTGGAGTACCCCTACAGTGGGGGACCTGATCCAGTGGTAAAAAACGTACCATTTTGCATCCAGGAAGCATCAAAAAATGTGGCAAAACACCTCCTTCTCCAAGCGAAAAAACTCAGACTTCAAAAGTGCGCCCGCTCTCTTTGTGAGAAAAAAGGGCGCGCCCTTCAAAATGAAGTTTTTTCACTTGAAGAGGGAAGCATTTTGCTACATTTTTTGATGCTTCCCGGTTGCAAAGTGGTACGTTTTTTTCCACTGGATCAGGTCCCCACTGTACTTTCCCTAGTCACCGAACATAAGCTGAGCATCAAGAATGAATGAAATTATTCCCGAAAAGACCCCCTTTTATATGATGAACCTACGGCAACACAAATGAAAAGGCAACTTGCATATATAGGCACGGAATAATATTGGGTGGCGGTTGAGGTCAAATCGGTTTTTTCTATAACCTTTTTACAACAAGCCTTTATAATAACGAACTTTTTGTTGGCCCTTGCGGTTTGGTTCTACCAATTTTTGACTCTACTGAATACCTTTTCAGACATCTTCTGAATATCCCAGCACGGCGGTTGAAGCTAGTACAACGGTTGAGACAAGCGCAACAAGCAAAGATTCCACGACAGAAGATGTTACAACCACCGCGGAACTGGAAACGTCGACTCAACTTTCGACGCTTCAACAACTCGACACTTCAACGACAATCGACGAAAAAACGACATTCCAGACAGCAGAGGCACAAGTGGAGAGCACAACAGATTCAAATTCCCTTTCAACTACAGATCTGGAAGGGTCAAGTCAAGCTTTGACCTCTGAAGAAGATAGCGTCACTTCAACGGCAATCTATGAACAAACAACGCAATCAAAGTATGACAGTACTGTAACGATGGATCTTCTTTCTACAACCAAGTTTATGGAGTCTACACTAGCTGAGGCAAGCTCCAGTATCGGCGATGAAAAGACAATCAAAGATCTTTCATCTTCAACAGAACCTGCGACAAGTTCAGGCGATTATCTTACCGGACACACAATGAGAACCTCAACGGACAATGTTGAGGCATCTACAGCAGCAGACGAGGCTCCGACAACAGAAAGAAATGAACTGGTCACAGAAGAAACTAAAAAAATTTCATCAATTGCAGTTATTACCACAGAAGACGCAGCTATGCAAAGTACGACGTCAAAGGTGACAAAAGAAGAACCTTCAAGCAATCCTCAAATCACAACGTTGCAGCAAAATCCTAATGAATTAACAACTGCCACAGAAGGAGCAACAAAACCCAGTGCAATGTCATCTTCTTCGACAGTATCATTAACTTCTGAAAACCTCTCAAGTTCCAGCACCAATAAATCACCTTTAACAGCTATAAGTCCATCCACAACCGTTGGAGATTCAGCGGAGACAACAGCAATGATAGGCACACAATCTACTACTGCTACCACTATGATAACGGGAATTACCACGGCTTGGAGTACTATGGCGACAGGCCCGGCAATTCTTACTACTTCAGCAATTTCAACGGACGTTTTGTCGACAACGATCAATACTATGACAACAACAGTTCCAACTACCACGAACAGCTTGATAACAAGAGGCTTAGAGCTAACAACAACAAAGCCAACATCAGCTACAACCATGATAACAAAGGCTGTTACAATCAACACGACTTCAATTAGCTTGCAGACAACGCTGCAAACGAATAGATCAAGTTCCAGCCTCTCGCTGATGACAACTCTTATGACCCTAATTACCACGGCTACGACGAATCCGCCTACGGTTGCGAAGAGTTCAAGCAGTTTTTCAACGACGATTATTACGTCTACAATCCCTTCAAAAGACCAGAACAATGTCTTTACATTGACATCAACAGAGTTTCCATTGGAGTTCACAAAGACACCAGCAACCTCAACGACAGATCACAGCGTTGTAGACTCTACGAAGGCAACCAGAGCCGTGACCGCAGACACTACTAGGAGCTCAGCCAGCATATCGGACACAACAAGAACCAGCGATCGCACGGATATGACGCCTCTGAGTACGTCACCAACAACCGAGAAACAAAGTGCAAGATATGAGACGACTACAACTAATACAAAAGGAAACGAAGGTTCTTATGGGACGCCGACAATTTCAAGGGCACAAACAACAAAATTAACGACAACAACAGTTACGTCAACGGACACACAGCAAATTTTGCTGGCAAAAACCAAGGCTACATCAGAATCCAACGCCAATGAAACGACATACACAGCGAATTTTGAGGTGAGATCTTCAACTTCAAAACATTTCGAAGACCTGTTACCAAACGGACTGGAAATGCAAAAAATGCAGACGCTCTTCGATTTGAATGTAAGGGCTAAAGGAATTTGAATTCTTGTGTATACGTCATTGATTTTTGTAGATTTGGTCCGAAGAGGGCACCTGGGCGAAGAAGACACATTGGCGGACCTGATCCAGTGGCAAAAAACATACCATTTTGCACGCGGAAAGTATCAAAAAATGAAGCAAAATACCTCCTTCTCCAAGCAAAAAAACTCCGATTTCAAAAGCGCGTCCGCTCTTTTTGTGAGGAGTCCTTCAAAAAAGATGGAGAGGGAGGCATTTTGCAACATTTTTGATACTTCCAAGATGCAAAATGGCACATTTTTTGCCACTGGATCAGGTCCGCCACTGTAAAAGAACCGATTTTTGGAATGTGGTGACCAGAGATTGCCACGGCTCAGAGCCGAGAGCCAGGCTTCTCAGCGTTCAGGAAAGTAAAAATTTCGTGATTTTGCTAAACCAATTGCTTGAAAAACACGGGGAAGGATGTGTTGCGTACCTACGACAAGGCTCAAAAACTTGGGTGTGTCATCTCCGACACTAACAACTTTTATCTTTGGAAAAATTTCCAAAAAAAATTCGCCTGGGAGCCAATGTCCTTTTTATAATAAATTTTACACGGGAGCCGGGAGCCAGAGCTGCAAATTTGGCCTTGGCTCCGGCTCTGGGAGCTAAGAGCCGGAGCCGAAATTTTGGCCGTGGCAATCTCTGGTGGTGACCAAAAAACATCCTTGAAACTACCACGTTCGCTAGTCATTTTTTCCTCAAAGGGCCCTCATTATCTAGGTGTCACCATTGCCCAGGCTCCCTTTTTCAACCAAATTTTTAGAGTGCTGACTCCTCCGTAACGATCAACGCCAAAACCTTGGATGGCCTGCATTCCACTGCTGCCCGCTTAACGGAATTGCAACGAGAAGAGCTGTGCGTCTCCGCCGATGAACTTATCCGCGACTGCCGATTTTCCGGCGCCACTTGTCGGCGGGAGTAAGTTTACTCTATGAAATCAGGGGTGGTCAGTGGGCCGGGCCGGCCGGGCTCAAAAATGGAAATTGACAAACGGGCCGGGCCCGTCACGGGCCGGGCCGCGGGCCTGGGGTTTTTCCGGCCCGGCCCGGCCCGTCTAAATTACAATGCCAAACCGTTGGCATTCATTGTTTTCGCGCCGGGAAAATTAATTGATGTTGTTATAGTTGCTGTTTCTCAAGTTCTAAAACGTTTACAAGTCTATAGTTCCATTATAGAACCACAAAACTATCACATTGATCCTTTACTAGCTAGATCAACGCCTTTTTTGCCTAAGTTTAGATCCCGAGCTTGGGCGCAGTTCGCAGAACCCTCTATAGACGGGCCTGCACGGGCCGGGCCGGGCCTGGAAAAAGACTAGACGGGCCGGGCCGGGCCGGTCAATTAGACGGGCCGGGCCGCGGGCCGAAAATCGGAAAAATAGGGTCCGCTGACCACCCTCTATGAAATTTCTGGTTCCACAGCAATCTCTGACAGTGATTTTCAGTTTCAAGCGCACTTACAACGTGGATTACGGGTATTGCTACACAGTCAACTACAATCAAAGTTTTGCTACAAGAGTTGCGGGGAGGCAGCAAGGTAGTTCAAAAAAATTGGAAATGCTCAAAATGCGACGCTCAGATTTTGATGAAACTTGGCTCAAATTTAGAATGATTTTGCATAAGAAATATCCGAGAATCCTAGACCGCGTTTTCCAGAAACAACCGAGATTTTTTGATCGAACATCGGCAAAAATTTGAGACTTTTTTTGCAAATTTTGAGATCAAAACTTTCGTGCTTATTTATACTGTAAAGGCTAGTGTTCTCACAAAAAATAGATTTTTTCCGCGCAAAACTGGCAAAGATATGGCCAAAAAGCGTTTTTTTCTCTGACCGCTCTCCGCGTTTCGCATGCTCTCTCGCCGGCAAAAAATCCTTGAATATCTCGGCAGTCGCTGTAAATTGCAAGCTGAAATTTTTTGGAATTGATGAGTGACCAATGTCCAATGTGTGTGCAAAATTTGAAGGGAATCTGAGCGTCGAACTTGGAGCAAATCCTTCTAAATTTTTTTTCAAAAAAAAAAATTCTAGCCTTGGAATTGGTCCTGTATTACCCGATCAGCGAATACCTCCCAAATATCGAAAGCACCGGCTTCAAAGTGCTCGTCCATTCGGCGAATCAACCGCCATTCCCCGACAATTTCGGCGAGTTGGTCAGGCCAGGGACGGAACTGATTTTGAGGATTCAAAAAGTAAGTCATCATATTAATAATATACGCCTATTAGGAAAATTTCGACCGTTTATCAAGTCCGTATGGCGATTGTGATACCCTCGAGTTGCTGGAGGGACGAGGACAGCGTTACTATTACGATGGGGACTTTACTACCGAGGTATTACAAAACACTACAGTTGTGGCAAAAAACGTGCCATTTTACATCCGGGAAGTGTCAAAAAATGTGGCAAAATACCTCCCCTCCAAGTGAAAAAACTCCGATTTCAAAGCCCTTCAAAATCGAAGTTTCTTCGCTTGAAGAGGGAGGCATTTAGCCATATTTTTTTGATACTTCCCGGACCCCAAATGGCATGTTTTTTACCACTGGATCAGGTCCGCCACTGTATGATATAAAATGGATTAATTTGTAACGATTTAGGGCTGTCTGCGGTCCTGTTTCCAAGACCAGGTCTATTCCAACTGCTCGTGCGCCGATCCGCGATTTTTCTACGACCCAGAAGAGTACTGTAGCAAGCTGGCTCCGACAGAAAGTAGGTTCCACTACCTCCTCTGTAGCTCACGAATTTCCAGCTGCCTGTCTAACCAACCACATACAAGTTTACGGCGATTTTTACAAAAGCTCCTGCGACTGCAAGACCGCTTGTAAAGAAGAGGAGTATCGCGCTGTCACCGCGACTTCTCAATGGCCTGCCAATGATTTTTACATGGCCGAGTGTGACCTTCGAAACTACACTGGTTGCGACGCTGACTATCGGGAAAATGGAGCGGCAATTGCGGTGTTCTTCGACTCAACCAGTTATATTCGAATCACCGAGAACCCAAAAATCACGGTAATGTTGAGAAGGGCAGTTTGACGGTTTGGTCCGAAGATGGCACCTTGAGGAAAAGGTGATATGGTAAGAGGGGACCAAGGCAGATTTTTTTAATGATTTTTTTCGAATTGCCAAAAAAGTCATATCGAAGGGGAGGGAAGTCCAAGGCGGATTTTTTTGAATGTTTTTTTCGGACTGCCAAAAAATTATATGGTAAAGGGGGACCAAAGCGGACTTTTTTAGAATGTTTTTTTGGATCGTTAAAAAATGATATGGTACAAGGGGACCAAGGCGATTTTTAGAATGATTTTTTTTCGGATTGCCAAAAAATGATGTTTTAGGTAAGGACCAAGGCAGGTTTTTTAGAATAATCTTTTTTCGGCAAATCAATAGCAACCAAAAAAAAAATCATTCTAAAAAAGTCCGCCTTGGCCCCCCCCTTAGCACATCATTTTTCGGCACTCCAAAAAATCTTTCAAAAAAAATCCGTTTTGGTCCCCCCTTACCACATCTCTTTTTCGTCACTTCAAAAAAATCATTCTAAAAAATCCGCCTTGGTCCCCCCTTACCACATCATTACTCGTCACTCCAAAAAGTCATTCTCAAAAAATCCGCCCTGGACTAAAAAAGACGTGAAAATATTTTTGTCGGGAAAGAAATGGGGAAATTTTGGGGCGAGAGAGTACGGTTTTGCGCGCCTTTTTTCTGACTTCTCTGTGAAATCAAGACGAAGTGTAAAAAACCGATAGCGAAGAGTTGACTCTATTCCGGTCAACGGACTGTTCAGTTTGACTTGAGGTGCCCTCTTCGGAGCTAACTCACTTGGACTTCTCTAATATTACTAATCTTCGTCATGTTTCAGACAATCTCGCTGTTCAACGAGATCGCCGGACTTTCGGGGCTTTGGCTTGGGATCTGCTCCATGTTCCTCGCCGAGTTACTATTATTACTCATCCAATTCTCAATCAATCTCCTCAATTTTGATCGCGAATTGCCTGAAGTTCCCAGCTTTCGATATTTGAACATTCAGATGACTAGAAATCGCCAAAATTTGGCGAATAATCGACCTTATTCATCAAAGAGCCTTCCAAATTTGGTCTTCCGGGAATTTCCGCGTGTAACAGATGCTGTAGCCATGCCCAACATGATTTATGTGGATCCGTCAAATGGCTATGATGTTCCTAATGTATTTTACAGCGAAAAACAGAATTTCCTTTATTTGGAATAAAATTTTGACGTATTTTTGAGACGTGGTGTTTCACTATGATTGAAATTTGAAGTTTATGTCGCAAGATAGCGAGTTTGTCTGCCTTCCATGATACAGGTGACGGCATTGGAAAACTATATCATGCAGCAAAACCATTTTTTTTTAATCATCATTTACTTGATATTACCATTAGCCTGGTACGGCCGTAATTTGGCTCCAAAAAAGGCAAAACTTGGGGTTCTGAAATTTCATTCTGTATATGTTTCAAACAGTATAAGTGCCGTCAATTCACTCCGACATCTCCAATTCACTTTATTTTTTATTGGTGCCTAGTGTAATATCAGAGTGTTTGGCCCGTTACGGGCGTAATTTGGCTCCAAAAAAGGCGAAACTTGGGGTTTTGAAATTTCATTCTGTAATGTTTCGAGCGGTATAGGTGCCGTCAATTCACTCCGACATCTCTAATTCACTTTATTTTTTATTGGTGCCTAGTGTAATATCAGAGTGTTTTGGCTGTTACGGGCGTAATTTTTCTCCAAAAAAGGCGAAACTTGGGGTTTTGAAATTTCATTCTGTAATGTTTCGAGCGGTATAGGTACCGTCAATTCACTCCGACATCTCTAATTCACTTTATTTTTTATTGGTGCCTAGTGTAATATCAGACACTTCGGGCTGTTACGGGCGTAATTTGGCCCCAAAAAAGCGAAACTTGGGGTTTTGAAATTTCATTCTGTAATGTTTCGAGCGGTATAGGTGCCGTCAATTCACTCCGACATCTCCAATTCACTTAATTTTTTATTGGTGCCTAGTGTATTATCAGAGTGTTTGGCCCGTTACGGGCGTAATTTGGCTCCAAAAAAAGCGAAACTTGGGGTTTTGAAATTTCATTCTGTAATGTTTCGAGCGGTATAGGTGCCGTCAATTCACTCCGACATCTCTAATTCACTTTATTTTTTATTGGTGCCTAGTGTAATATCAGACACTTCGGGCTGTTACGGGCGTAATTTGGCCCCAAAAAAAGCGAAACTTGGGGTTTTGAAATTTCATTCTGTATATGTTTCAAACAGTATAAGTGCCGTCAATTCACTCCGACATCTCCAATTCACTTTATTTTTTATTGGTGCCTAGTGTAATATCAGAGTGTTTGGCCCGTTACGGGCGTAATTTGGCTCCAAAAAAGGCGAAACTTGGGGTTTTGAAATTTCATTCTGTAATGTTTCAAACGGTATCGGTGCCGTCAATTCACTCCGACACCTCTAATTCACTTTATTTTTTATTGGTGCCTAGTGTAATATCAGACACTTCGGGCTGTTACGGGCGTAATTTGGCCCCAAAAAAAGCGAAACTTGGGGTTTTGAAATTTCATTCTGTAATGTTTCGAGCGGTATAGGTGCCGTCAATTCACTCCGACATCTCTAATTCACTTTATTTTTTATTGGTGCCTAGTGTAATATCGGAGTGTTTTGGCTGTTACGGGCGTAATTTTTCTCCAAAAAAGGCGAAACTTGGGGTTTTGAAATTTCATTCTGTAATGTTTCGAGCGGTATAGGTGCCGTCAATTCACTCCGACATCTCTAATTCACTTTATTTTTTATTGGTGCCTAGTGTAATATCGGAGTGTTTTGGCTGTTACGGGCGTAATTTTTCTCCAAAAAAGGCGAAACTTGGGGTTTTGAAATTTCATTCTGTAATGTTTCGAGCGGTATAGGTGCCGTCAATTCACTCCGACATCTCTAATTCACTTTATTTTTTATTGGTGCCTAGTGTAATATCAGAGTGTTTTGACTGTTACGGGCGTAATTTGGCTCCAAAAAAGGCGAAACTTGGGGTTTTGAAATTTCATTCTGTAATGTTTCGAGCGGTATAGGTGCCGTCAATTCACTCCGACATCTCTAATTCACTTTATTTTTTATTGGTGCCTAGTGTAATATCGGAGTGTTTTGGCTGTTACGGGCGTAATTTTTCTCCAAAAAAGGCGAAACTTGGGGTTTTGAAATTTCATTCTGTAATGTTTCGAGCGGTATAGGTGCCGTCAATTCACTCCGACATCTCTAATTCACTTTATTTTTTATTGGTGCCTAGTGTAATATCAGAGTGTTTTGACTGTTACGGGCGTAATTTGGCTCCAAAAAAGGCGAAACTTGGGGTTTTGAAATTTCATTCTGTAATGTTTCGAGCGGTATAGGTGCCGTCAATTCACTCCGACATCTCTAATTCACTTTATTTTTTATTGGTGCCTAGTGTAATATCGGAGTGTTTTGGCTGTTACGGGCGTAATTTTTCTCCAAAAAAGGCGAAACTTGGGGTTTTGAAATTTCATTCTGTAATGTTTCGAGCGGTATAGGTGCCGTCAATTCACTCCGACATCTCTAATTCACTTTATTTTTTATTGGTGCCTAGTGTAATATCAGACACTTCGGGCTGTTACGGGCGTAATTTTTCTCCAAAAAAGGCGAAACTTGGGGTTTTGAAATTTCATTCTGTAATGTTTCGAGCGGTATAGGTGCCGTCAATTCACTCCGACATCTCTAATTCACTTTATTTTTTATTGGTGCCTAGTGTAATATCGGAGTGTTTTGGCTGTTACGGGCGTAATTTTTCTCCAAAAAAGGCGAAACTTGGGGTTTTGAAATTTCATTCTGTAATGTTTCGAGCGGTATAGGTGCCGTCAATTCACTCCGACATCTCTAATTCACTTTATTTTTTATTGGTGCCTAGTGTAATATCAGAGTGTTTTGACTGTTACGGGCGTAATTTGGCTCCAAAAAAGGCGAAACTTGGGGTTTTGAAATTTCATTCTGTAATGTTTCGAGCGGTATAGGTGCCGTCAATTCACTCCGACATCTCTAATTCACTTTATTTTTTATTGGTGCCTAGTGTAATATCAGAGTGTTTTGACTGTTACGGGCGTAATTTGGCTCCAAAAAAGGCGAAACTTGGGGTTTTGAAATTTCATTCTGTAATGTTTCGAGCGGTATAGGTGCCGTCAATTCACTCCGACACCTCTAATTCACTTTATTTTTTATTGGTGCCTAGTGTAATATCAGACACTTCGGGCTGTTACGGGCGTAATTTGGCCCCAAAAAAAGCGAAACTTGGGGTTTTGAAATTTCATTCTGTAATGTTTCGAGCGGTATAGGTGCCGTCAATTCACTCCGACATCTCTAATTCACTTTATTTTTTATTGGTGCCTAGTGTAATATCAGAGTGTTTTGACTGTTACGGGCGTAATTTGGCTCCAAAAAAGGCGAAACTTGGGGTTTTGAAATTTCATTCTGTAATGTTTCGAGCGGTATAGGTGCCGTCAATTCACTCCGACACCTCTAATTCACTTTATTTTTTATTGGTGCCTAGTGTAATATCAGACACTTCGGGCTGTTACGGGCGTAATTTTTCTCCAAAAAAGGCGAAACTTGGGGTTTTGAAATTTCATTCTGTAATGTTTCGAGCGGTATAGGTGCCGTCAATTCACTCCGACATCTCTAATTCACTTTATTTTTTATTGGTGCCTAGTGTAATATCAGACACTTCGGGCTGTTACGGGCGTAATTTGGCCCCAAAAAAAGCGAAACTTGGGGTTTTGAAATTTCATTCTGTATATGTTTCAAACAGTATAAGTGCCGTCAATTCACTCCGACATCTCCAATTCACTTTATTTTTTATTGGTGCCTAGTGTAATATCAGAGTGTTTGGCCCGTTACGGGCGTAATTTGGCTCCAAAAAAGGCGAAACTTGGGGTTTTGAAATTTCATTCTGTAATGTTTCAAACGGTATCGGTGCCGTCAATTCACTCCGACACCTCTAATTCACTTTATTTTTTATTGGTGCCTAGTGTAATATCAGACACTTCGGGCTGTTACGGGCGTAATTTGGCCCCAAAAAAAGCGAAACTTGGGGTTTTGAAATTTCATTCTGTAATGTTTCGAGCGGTATAGGTGCCGTCAATTCACTCCGACATCTCTAATTCACTTTATTTTTTATTGGTGCCTAGTGTAATATCAGAGTGTTTTGACTGTTACGGGCGTAATTTGGCTCCAAAAAAGGCGAAACTTGGGGTTTTGAAATTTCATTCTGTAATGTTTCGAGCGGTATAGGTGCCGTCAATTCACTCCGACATCTCTAATTCACTTTATTTTTTATTGGTGCCTAGTGTAATATCAGAGTGTTTTGACTGTTACGGGCGTAATTTGGCTCCAAAAAAGGCGAAACTTGGGGTTTTGAAATTTCATTCTGTAATGTTTCGAGCGGTATAGGTGCCGTCAATTCACTCCGACATCTCTAATTCACTTTATTTTTTATTGGTGCCTAGTGTAATATCAGAGTGTTTTGACTGTTACGGGCGTAATTTGGCTCCAAAAAAGGCGAAACTTGGGGTTTTGAAATTTCATTCTGTAATGTTTCGAGCGGTATAGGTGCCGTCAATTCACTCCGACACCTCTAATTCACTTTATTTTTTATTGGTGCCTAGTGTAATATCAGACACTTCGGGCTGTTACGGGCGTAATTTGGCCCCAAAAAAAGCGAAACTTGGGGTTTTGAAATTTCATTCTGTAATGTTTCGAGCGGTATAGGTGCCGTCAATTCACTCCGACATCTCTAATTCACTTTATTTTTTATTGGTGCCTAGTGTAATATCAGAGTGTTTTGACTGTTACGGGCGTAATTTGGCTCCAAAAAAGGCGAAACTTGGGGTTTTGAAATTTCATTCTGTAATGTTTCGAGCGGTATAGGTGCCGTCAATTCACTCCGACATCTCTAATTCACTTTATTTTTTATTGGTGCCTAGTGTAATATCAGAGTGTTTTGACTGTTACGGGCGTAATTTGGCTCCAAAAAAGGCGAAACTTGGGGTTTTGAAATTTCATTCTGTAATGTTTCGAGCGGTATAGGTGCCGTCAATTCACTCCGACATCTCTAATTCACTTTATTTTTTATTGGTGCCTAGTGTAATATCAGAGTGTTTTGACTGTTACGGGCGTAATTTGGCTCCAAAAAAGGCGAAACTTGGGGTTTTGAAATTTCATTCTGTAATGTTTCGAGCGGTATAGGTGCCGTCAATTCACTCCGACACCTCTAATTCACTTTATTTTTTATTGGTGCCTAGTGTAATATCAGACACTTCGGGCTGTTACGGGCGTAATTTGGCCCCAAAAAAAGCGAAACTTGGGGTTTTGAAATTTCATTCTGTAATGTTTCGAGCGGTATAGGTGCCGTCAATTCACTCCGACATCTCTAATTCACTTTATTTTTTATTGGTGCCTAGTGTAATATCAGAGTGTTTTGACTGTTACGGGCGTAATTTGGCTCCAAAAAAGGCGAAACTTGGGGTTTTGAAATTTCATTCTGTAATGTTTCAAACGGTATCGGTGCCGTCAATTCACTCCGACACCTCTAATTCACTTTATTTTTTATTGGTGCCTAGTGTAATATCAGACACTTCGGGCTGTTACGGGCGTAATTTGGCCCCAAAAAAAGCGAAACTTGGGGTTTTGAAATTTCATTCTGTAATGTTTCGAGCGGTATAGGTGCCGTCAATTCACTCCGACATCTCTAATTCACTTTATTTTTTATTGGTGCCTAGTGTAATATCAGAGTGTTTTGACTGTTACGGGCGTAATTTGGCTCCAAAAAAGGCGAAACTTGGGGTTTTGAAATTTCATTCTGTAATGTTTCGAGCGGTATAGGTGCCGTCAATTCACTCCGACATCTCTAATTCACTTTATTTTTTATTGGTGCCTAGTGTAATATCAGAGTGTTTTGACTGTTACGGGCGTAATTTGGCTCCAAAAAAGGCGAAACTTGGGGTTTTGAAATTTCATTCTGTAATGTTTCGAATGGTATAGGTGCCGTCAGTTCACTCCGACATCTCTAATCGTCGTATATTTATTTACAATTTTTTACAAAAAACATGAAAAAAACAAAAAAATGTGGGCTTCTGATATCAAATGTAATCAAAATGTGTTGGGAAAATGGTGAGACAATGTACAGTTTGCTTATTTGTGATATACAGTAACAACATGGAGGGGCTTAACAACATATTCCAAGGTAGTTTCGGTTGAGCAAAAATTGGTGGGGGAAGCTGGGGAAAATCGAGATTTTTTGTTGAGAAACACATCGGATTTCGAGATTTTCGACATCCAACTATAAGATACTACCATAACACACCATATTCCTCTCCTCAAGGCCTCGATTTTCCCTATTTTCTATCATTTTTCGACCAAAATTCAGATTTTTCAGACAAAAATCTCAAAAATTTTCAAAAATCTCAAAAACCATATTCAAATTGATCCGAATATTTTCAAACTTTCAGATTATCGTCTTCGCTTCTGGCTGGTGTTTCTCTGTCGCCATTTGCCCAGTTCTTCTTGATGATCTTCGGGTTTGAGCTGATTCTTCATGCCGGCCAGCAGTTGGACCGTCGCCTGCGAAGTGATGACAATGGGGCGGATGGCGGTGGGGGTCATCTGTCGCAGGAGTCCTCTGAAGCCCCACAGGCTGTGGGAGGCCGATTCGGTGGAGCTGGTGCTGTGCCGGACTCTGGCGCGGTCCTCTTTGGCCGCTTGGGATAATTCAAAGGCCGTCTCGCGGACCCCCTCGTAGACCGTGTCGTAGGCGAGATGGAGGCCTTCGCGGAGGTCGGATGGGACTTGACGGCCTCTGGTCAGGGTTGATTGTTGATGGGGTCGGCGGTGGTCGCGGTATGGCAGGTCGGGGGTGACCAAATCAAAGGCAAGTTCGGCGGCTCCCTGAAAATCGAATTTTTTAAATATTTTCTCTAAAAAACCGATAAAAAAGTTATCCGTCAGTGTCCCAAATACAATTTTAGACTTCATACTTCATTATAAACCCCCTTTTCTAACAATTTCCCATCAATTTCTATCAAAAGTTCCAACTTTTTTTCCAAAACCCCCAAAATCCGGCTTTCATGAAAAAATTCCAAAAATCTCAATGTTACGGTAACCCCACACACAAAGTCAACCCCTCATTTTACTCCTTACTACCTCATCTTTGATTTACTACCAAAAACATATACACATTGCAATCCCCCACTTCAAAAACAGCCAAAAACCCCGACCATCTCGATATTATCCATGCCTACCTGAATGACGCTGAAGACCTGTTGAGTTGCGTCGATCGCAGCCGTCGCCGTGCTGATTCCAAAGCTTGTGGCTCCTCGCTGAATTCCACGGACAATTCGGCCGTCTTCCTTGCGGAACTCGACCAGCGGGATGTAAAACAAGTCTCGGATGCCTTGAGCTGAAAGAAAAAAATAAAATTATCTCCAAATACTGTCACGAATCACTTCTCTCATACAATATACCACCTCACCGCACTCTATGCTACCATTCCGACATGAAGTAAAACCTACTGCCTAATTTGGTGAGTACTGCCCACCGGACTTCGCCGTGAACTACGGCCAGGAATCCTAGTGGGAAGGGGCTGAGCAAAAGCTCGTAAAATGTGAGGCCGTAGGCAATCCCGTTCGCTGGAAATAAAGGGAGTCATTTTTGGGGATGCAAAGAACCCATCGGGGGGGAAAAATTCGGGAATTTTATGGAATTTTCAAAATTTTTGGGTCCCAGCACGAAAACCTGAAATTTTTGGAAACCGCTAAAATCAACATTTCTCGGGTACTCTCTACTTACTAAAGCCCAATTTTATCAATTCGGCACCTTCTAAATAACTTATTTCAATATTTTTATCAATTGCGGGTCCCACCACGAAAACCTGACACCTCAAAAAATCGACCAAAATCCCCTTTGAGGGCCTTCCCTAGGCCTAGTAACTCTCAAAATCCAAAATCCCGACCTTAAACATCCATTCCCGCTTCCACAATCAGCAAAATTATCTTATAATACCTACCAATTTGGACCAGCGAACTGATGGGCTGATAGCTGCCCACGACGTTCGGGATCTGGTTCGTTTTGATGTCGATGAGCCATTGATCCAGCGCGTATTGGATGCACTTGTTGAAGCCGAGGATTCCGCGGTCGTTTCGCAGTTCTTTCAAGGTCAATTCGGTGCATTTCAGGTTGGTCATTCCGATTAAAAATCCCAAAAACGCGCCTTGATCGGTTTTCACGCGCTTCCCCACGTAGTCCAGACGGATCACACAGGTCGGCTCGAACGTGAATTCCCTGAAAAAGTCAAATTTTGAAAAAATAAAAATTTTGAGAATTTTTCAAAAATTTCAAAATTTTTCCGACAAAAAATCAAAAAAAATTAAAATCCCTAATTTTGTCCCAAATGCTAAATCGACCTCTAAAATACTGTAAAAACATTTCTGCTGCTCCAAAAATCCCCTGGAACTTGCAAAAACATCCAAATTTCCCCCAAATTCTTTCAAATCTCACTTGAAGAAGGTGTCTCTTGTATGGACAAAAACTTTGGTCGACGTTTGCGTGGCCTCCGAGTCCGCAGTCGTCGACGGAGCGCCGGTTGTGGAGCCCAGGTTGAATATTGGAGGGTTGTCTCGGAGGCTCATGTCCATGATCGTGGGCTGATATGTTGGGATGATCGGCTGACTCGACGATGGAATTGGTTCGTCGTCAAAGTTGAGGGAACCGTCGAAGAGGTCTTCTGAAACGAAAAAATCGGTTTTCATCAAAATTGGGGTGTATTTAGACTTTTGACACTTCTTCCAAAAAAACCAATAACGAAATGTCACATTCCTAAATATAAAAAATAGCTGAAAATTAGCCTCTAACCAGCAGTCAAGCGTTTATTTTCGATGAAATCCCAAAAAATTTCCCTTTTGACACTTCGTCCAAAAACCCAATAACAAAATGTCACATTCCAAAATCTCCAAAAATAGTGCAAAATAACCCTCTAATCAACAGACAACGGCTATTTTCGACAAAAATTTCAAAAAACTTGACGTTTGACACTTCGTCCAAAAAACCAATAACGAAATGTCACATTTGAAAATCTCCAAAAATAAATCAAAGTTAGCCTCTAACCTACACTAAAGTATTAATTTTCGACAAAAATTTCAAAAAACTTGACTTTTGACACTTCGTCCAAAAAACCAATAACGAAATGTCCCACTTTTAAATCCCTTGCAAACCACTCAAAACTTTTTCAAAACACTTTTTGGACCTCTAATCCGAAATTTAACCACATTTCTCACCCAAATTTTCCGCCTTCTTGTCGTCCAGCTTCAATAACGCGACTCCATCATCTGCGTCCAGGTCAATCAGGCCCTCCGACTCCTGACGTTTTCTCCATTGGACCGCAGGCTCATCCTGCATGGCGAGAAGGCCCACAAAACTTCCAGGTCTTCGGTTCATCGACGGATTCATCGACGAATCCGTGGAGGACTTTCTCGTCGACGCCATTTCGGACTCCAGGCTGCGCGGCTTCACTTCGGGACTGATTTCCATGACCGGCAGGTCCAGGTCGGGGGTTTGGGTGGTGGGGTCGGGTTGTGAGTGGTGGATGGACTGTTGGACTTGGGTGAGGAAGTCCTGGATGAATTCGAGGGTGTCCTGATCGATGTTGAGGCGGATGGGAAGCAGAGACATTTTCAGTTTCCCTTCTCGACATTGGTCTTCCACCATCCGGATCGAGAGGAGTGGGGCCATTCGGCGGGGCATTGATGGGCTGACATACTGCAAAAAAAATGGTAAAAAGTTACAGTAAGACAAAAATAGGCCCAAAAAACCTCAAAAATAAAAAATTACCGTATCAAAGTCTTACTGTAGAAAATGGAAAAAAAGTTACAGTAAGACAAACAATTAAAAAAAAACAAAAGTTCAGCAAGTAAAAAAATACATTATTTAGGCCCAAAAAAACTTCAAAAATAAAAAATTACCGTATTAAAGTCTTACTGTAAAAAATGGAAAAAAGTTACAGTAAGACAAAAAAATTTTTAAAACAAAAGTTCCGCAAATAAAAATATACATTATTCAGTCCCAAAAAACCTCAAAAATCAAAAACCACCGTATTAAAGTCTTACTGTAGAAAAAATCAAAAAGTTACAGTAACCCAAATTTTCCCCAAAATTTCCAAAAAACCCCAAAAAATCGGTCATGCGGCCTATTATAACCCTAAATACTCCGACTACCCACCTGGTAAAACAGTTTGTTGATGTCGGACACCAACAAATGGTCTTTGACCTCCACATCGCCGATGGTCAACATGTTCAAGGACAAGATCGGGGAGTCCTTATTGAAGACCTGCGAGATGAATGAGACCTTGTGGATGTTGGCGCTCACACAGACGGTGTGATCGCGGAATGGGCCGCCTAAAATTGGAGAAAATTTTATATTGTACTAGACGTAACATACAGCTGCAGACGGCGTATTTTACCCCAAATTTATGACCCAAAAAATCAAAAATCACATAAAACTGTCTACCAATCTTACTAGTTCCTATTCCAACCAACATTTGCTTAAAAATCAGAGAAATTAAATTTTGGGTCAAGTGTTTCCCTGCTACCGTAACCCTTCCTTAGCCATCAAATCTCACTGAAATTTCACAAAACCCCTCAAAATACCCCAATCCCTCTATTTCTGCTCTCAAATTTCCCAAAGCTCGCTGAAAATCCAATTTGGGGTCAAGTCTTACCCTCCGAGTCATGTTTCTCGCAATCATCTCTTCTCATTTCCCACTGACTGTAGGTCCTTGGTTCGTTCATGGAGTCGCCGAAATCGTTGCCACCGAACAGATAAAACATGATCGAAAAGTCTTTCACTTCGTATTTTATCAATGGCGGCGGATTGGAAGGCGGTAAACGGACCATTTCATTCAGTTCGTCCGGGTCGGGTACCCTCAAAAAGTCCTCCACAATCACATAATCTTCGTCGAGGAGGCGGACTTTGGGGTCGCCGGCGGCGTTCGTGATCCCGCTGCCCACAATTTCGTCGATGAGGACGAATTCGTCGTCGCTGAAAGTTTTGGTCGAGGTGCCCGTCAGGTTCAGCCCATCGTCCTGAAATTTCTAACCGTTAAAACACAATAAATTTAGTCTTCATAAACACCGCTTACTCTACTTTCACTTCATTTCTCCTCATTCTACAACCTTATTTTATCCATCAGACCTCAAAAGGAAAAAAATCAAAATTTCCCCCAAAAAATCTCAAACTTCGAACAACTCAATATTAAAATTACAACGCCATTCCTCAACAATTCCAAAAATATAAATCTTGCCCCATTCCGGCCATTTAATTTTCATCTACGACCTTATTTTTGTCATCAGGTCAAAAAAATTCAAAAAAATCTCGATTTTTCCCAAAAAAGGAAATAAAAAAAACCAAATCAACAAATATTACATCGACTAGCCCATAAATCACAATCTACACCACATTTCCAAGTTATATATAACTCATAACCATCTAAAATTTCAAAAAATTCCGAAAATCGCTCATTTCTTCAAAAAACTATCCTTTTCCCTCAAAATCACCCCCAAAACCCCTTCCAATTCTTACCTTTTCAAAGACCGGTGACTCCGGAGTGAGGTCATGTACCGGTGCATCGAAAACCGTCTGATTCCAGTCTCCAAGGGCCGAATCTTGCATGGCGGAGGCCATCTCCGCCAGGATCGGGTCTTCTTCCTTTTTTGGCTCGGAAATCGTCTCCTCCTTCGCCTCATAGCCCTCCATTCGGCTGGCCAATGGGGTCTTCTCCTCTTCCATGGCGGACTCCATCAATTCCACCAGCTTCTCGTGCTGTTCCGGCGTGATTTTCTTCGCCGGACTCGAGGCGGCGCTCTGCACGGACTGGGCCGACAGCGACGAGGCGGACGCGCGTTTCTGGCGCGGAAGGGAGGCCGATGAAGTGGGGTTGGAGCGGAGGCTGGAGCCGTGCGAAGAGATGGATGGGGGGTCCTCTTCGTCCTCTGGGATGGGCTCGGGCGGAGGGGGTTTCGCGGCCAAAGTCTTGCCAATGTCCTGAAACAAAGGTTTGCAAATTTAATTCACAATGTTTTGAACATTCATTTGCAATCATTTCCAACCTATCTGAACCGTGAAAACTTGAAAAAAAAAACAAAAAAAAATTTCAAAAATTTTAATTTTTTTTTATAAAATCAGTCATCACGGCATCAAAAACCCTTAAAAAATGCCAAAAAAATCGTTTACAATCATTTCCAACCTATCTGAACCGCAAAAAACTTGAAAAAATTTCAAAAATTTTAATTTTTTTTATAAAATCAGTCATCATGACATCAAAGACCCTTAAAAATCCCGAAAAAATCATCTACCATCTATTCCAGACCACTTTGCATCCATTTCCACAAAAAAAATCGGGTATGGCAAGGTGGGACCATCTTTAAAAAAAATTTTTTTTTTACCCCGCCCTCGGAAAAACCGCTCAAAATTACTTCTTCAATCCTAATAATGTCCACAAAATTCAAACCACTTAAAATTTTCCCCGCCTTCCCTCTCAATCGACCATTTTTTTAAATCTTCCTCTTACCGATTCCATGAATTCCGTGACCATATTTGCCAGTTCCGTGATGGTGTCGGAGCAGGTCCATACAATAAAATCATCGTTCGTGACACGAATAGCGAGTTGCGGTTGTGCGTCGGCTTCAATTTCTCCGCCAGGCTGATAAACCAGGTCCAATCTGAGGAGGCCTAGACGGGCCAGTTTGACAAACCTCGTTCTTTGGACGCGCTTCTGATCCTCGAAGCCGAGACGCTTCGGGCCCGACAAGGTGGGGCGTTTCTTGGCCAAATAGAGGTGGGAGTTTTCTAGGAGGACTTCGAATCGATGGGTTTCCGACTGTTCCAGGAAGGCGGCCGAAAGATTGCAGGAGCCGATTCCGACCCTAAAAAACAAAAAATTTTGAATTTTTACAGGGTGGGGCATCTTTGTGGCCCGATTTGAATTGGCTATAACTTCTTTAGCTTTTGGCGAAATCTTAAAATTCTTTTTTTCCCTGAATCCTCTGACAACCCCATTTTGTATGATACCAAATATGTTATACATAGTGAGTGTATATCTACAGTTATTGGATTTATTCTTGGAGTTCATTTTTTGGTCGTTTTTCGGTTGTTTTTTCGGCCTTTCCCGGTGTGTCCGAAAATGGAGTACGGTGCGGAAGAAAAAGCTTGGTCTGTAGTTTGGTACGGAAAGTACGGTCCGGCGATACATGTTCAAAGGGAATACCGCATGAAATACGGACGTAATGCCCAACTTCCAGATCGCAAGACAATTCGACGTTCGTGGAATAAGTTTCTTGAGACTGCCAGCGTTAACAGGAAACAAAAAAAGCAGGAAAGATGGGTATGAACGGAGTTGAAAATTGAAGAAGTTTTGTCAAAATTCCGAGAAAATCCGCATATGAGTACACGAAGTTTGGCCAGAACCGAGGGAATGCCTTCACCAAGGACCATTCGACGAACTCTGGAGGTTGATCTTCACTTTTTGTTCTTATTCTCATCGTCGATTTTCGGAAGGGGAAATTCCACCGTATTTTTCTTCCGCACCGTACTCCATTTCCGGATACACCGTGAAAGACCGAAAAAACAACCGAAAAACGACCGAAAAAATGAACTCCAAGAATAAATCCAATAACTGTAGGTATACACTTACTATGTATAACATATTTGGTACCAAACAAAATGGGGTTGTCAGAGGATTCAGGGAAAAAAAGAATTTTAAGATTTGGCCAAAAGCTAAAGAAGTTATAGCCAATTCAAATCGGGCCACAAAGATGCCCCACCCTGTATTATCCAAAATCACTCTTCATGGCCAACACTGTTTCTGTTACCCTCTGACTCCTCCATAACTACTCCAACAAAATTTTTTTTACAAAATTTTGTTTCATCAGCCATCTACTACTACGTCGTCCAGAAAGTTCGTACATTTTTTTTCATTGCCTTGTTTTACAAGGGTTGTTTATTCTTTGGCAAAGGGAATATATTTGTTTGATACAGCTTTTTCTCCTCTACAAAACTGTGTATTTAGTTTTTTTCGAAAATCTAATTTTTCATTATTTTTCAGGCTCAGAAATGAACCATCCGGGAGCAACAATTAAAAATAGTGAAAAATTAAATTTTCAAAAAAAAAAAACCAACTAAATACACAGTTTTGTAGAGGAGAAAAAGCTGTATCAAATAACTATATTCCCCTTGCCAAACAACAAACAACCCTTGTAAAACAAAGCAATGAAAAAAATGTACGAACTTTCTGGACGACCTACTACAATATCCAAATCCCCAAACCAACACAAAATCCCCTCGTACCTCAAAATCATTGGTGATTCCGGCACCACATCGGCATGATCGTAAGCTAGGACCACATTGGAGACGTTCAGATGGATTCCCATTGAGACTTTTGGCCATTCGTATCCGGGCACCCCATAATCTCGGAGGACAAAAAAGTCGGTGAATTGTTGAGAGAAGTGATGTTTCGGGTTTATGGTGGGCCTTAGGCGCACTGTGGAGTTGCGGACGGCGAATGCGACCACGATTTTGCGGATATTGTCCTCGGGGATCTGGTGGATTTTCAATGCCACCGCCAAGGAGTCGTTTTCATCGGGCTGCAGGGGTTCGGTGACCTGAAATACGTATCAGTATTACTCAAATTTTATAATTCAATGTAAAATACGAAAATTTGGCACGTAATAAAAAATTGGTCACACTCCAAAAATCAGGATTTTTTTCGGGAAAAAATCAATACTGACACTTCGCAACATCCCAAATTTTTTTTCTAGTCCTCAGAAATTCCTATTGTCACCATCTTCAATTCAAATTATATCAAAAACCCATTTATTCGAAAAAAAATTTCAAAAAATCAATATTGACACTTCGCAACATCCCAAAAAAAATTTTTTTTTCCAAAATTCCTATTATCATCATCTCCAATTCAAATTTTATCAAAAAAACCCCCATTTATCCAAAAAAAATTTTTCAAAATCAATATTGGCACTTCGCAACATTCCAAAAACATTTTTTTTCTAGTACTTCAAAATCCCTATTGTCACCATCTCCAATTCAAATTTTATCAAAAAAACCCCCATTTTTTCAAAAAAAAAATCAAAAAATCAATATTGACACTTCGCCACACTCCAAAAAAAAATTGCAAAACTTTGTCCAGCCCTCCAAAATTCCCATTGTCACCATGTTCAATTCAAATTATATAAAAATTTACGATTCTTTGCAATTTCTCAAAAAAAAATCAATACTGACATATTGACACTTCGTCAAATTAAAATTTCTTCCTTATTTGCTGACAAAAAGCATTCAAATCTCCCTCCAATCGAACAAAAAGATATTTTCGTCAAATTCAAGCCCACCCTACCTGAAGCGGCTCCACATGCGTGTCGGTGCTTCTTCTCGTGCAAAAGTTGGCTTCCATTACGTTCCGTTGCAAACTCTTTGTGCCATCGATCAGATTGCGGTGGTACACATGGCTCTTATGACTTGTCATGAACATATAGTCCAGATTTGGGTCTTGATCGAAGCCATGGACGAGGAATAATTGAGCTTCGGCCAGTTCCAATCCGAACTGGACCCCAAATTCTTGATGTTCTTTTTTCGGCGCCTCCGGATCCCTGACCTTCGTCTGGAGCAGGGCTTTGGCTTTCTGCGCCTTCAGGCCGAATGTGAAGAGGTTCCCTTTGGCGCCGGAGCTTTCGTCTTCGTCTTCTTTGTAGTTGGACTTGGACGATCCATTTGATGCGCCAAAGTCGGCGTAGCGCCCGCATTCCTTGAAGCTGTGAGATTGGGCTCGTTTCCGTTCTTGGGCCTGCAATGAAACACATTGTTCATTGATTGCAATAGATTTCGACCAATTTTTGGACAATTTTTATATTGCACTAGGTCAACTGATGTGAAAACCTCAATTTTCCAATTTTAATATTCTCTACAACTTTCAGCCTTTAGGCATATCAGATTCTACACCCGTAAGCTTCATAAGGGATGAAAACCAAACGCGATAAACCACCTAACTTTTCATATACATCACGACTTTGCTATTGATCTCATTCTTGATATAAACCAATAACACACCCAAAAAATGTTATTTTCAAGTTTAGATCAGTTTAATATTACTTTTTTGCCGCTACATTTGCCTTTATTTCTTATCCTTCCTTCTACTTTTCAAATTATTATCTTATCCATGCCCAAGGTTCAGATCTCAAATACAACATTTTACTGACTTGTAAACCCGAGTTTTTTGTCGTTGTATACCATTCCACTACGCAGAGGTCATTGCTTCGAAGTTTCACCCCAATCAACCTTCTACTTTTGAAATTATTACCTTATCCATGATCAAGCTTCAGATCTCAAAAACAATATTTTACAGACTTCAAAATCTTCTTTTTTGTTGTTTTATCTTGTTCCACTACCCAGAGATCATTCCCTCATATTTTCACCCCAATCAACCACCTACTTTTCAAATTATTATCTTATCCATGACCAAGGTTCATATCTCAAATACAACATTTTACACTCTTCAAAACCTGCGTTTTTTGTCGTTTTCTATTGTTCCACTACCCAAAGGCCACATTCTTCAAAATCTCACCCCAATCAACCCTCCCCTTTTAAAATTATTACCTTATCCATGGCCAAGGTTCATATCTCAAATACAATATTTCAATGACTTCAAACCCCGGGTTTTAGCTGTTTCCTGCCCTTCCACTACCCGGAGGCCCTTTCCCTCAAGCTTCCACCCTAATCAGCCTCCCACTTTTCAAATTATTATCTTCTCCATGACATTAGTCACTCCTCCTCCTAAAAATCTCAATTTTCCCCTGAACTCCCTCAAACCCTCCCAAAAGCCCTCCTCTCACCTTATAAACACTAGCTTTCGGTTCGAATAACGCAAAATCATTCGCAAATCTATTGTACATCACTTCCAGGAATTCATGTGAGGGTATGTGTAGATTGAGCTGCGGTAAGTTCAGTTCCACATTGACCTTGGCCAATTGCTTCGCTTTGTCAGCAAACTCCCTGAGCTCTTCATTGGTGCCGGGCCGGACAATCTTCTGGCCTTCGTAGAAGCTGCCGTCCTTGCTGAAGGGGCCTTCCGCCTTGTTGTCGGCGCCCATTTGGAAGTAGCTTTCGTACATCGACTTGGCCATCAATGGCTCTGGTTTATTGCTGAGAGCTAGAGTGCGATTCCTCGAGTCAAAGGTCACTTTGATATGGACATTTTGAGTGCGCAGACTGTCGGAATTGAAGCCGTTCGCGTAGAGGAAGGTCATGTCTTCGTGCCGGCAATTCAGGACGCTGCTGTTCCCGATGAACGAGCCCTGCAGTGAGGCGGCGTAGACGTTGAAAATCGCGTTCGTTGCGAGACTTTCGGGGTCGAATTTCGGCATCTCCAGGCGCGCTTCGTCCAGTTGGAGCTTCAGAAATTCGGGATGTAAATTCCGTTTCGATGCAGGTGGAGCGGTGTCCGTGTAGTCGGCGACCGGGATGCGGAGGTCCACTTCCCATTTTGGGCAGTAAAAACGGACTTGGAGTTGGCTTTTGTCGGCGCTAAAAAGTGGAAAACTTCAAAATCTTTTAAAAAATTTAAAATTTCATTAAAAAACCGCAAAAAATATTTTTTTTTTAAAAACAGCAAGTCAAAAAAAATGTCTGATCAGCTTTTCCCAACATATTCCATCTCAAAAAAATCAAAAATTCGCTTAAAAATACCACAAAATTTTCAAAAAATTTCAAAAATTTTTTATTTTTCACCTAAAATAAGGTAACATGCCCTCCAAAAAGGTTCCCAAAAATCTTTAAAATACGATCGTTACTTTTTGGCACTCATATCACATCAATTCTCGCCTAAAAACAACCAAAATTCAAAGCTATCATCAAAAAATCCCAATCTTCACCTAAAACAATAAAAATCCAAATCACATTTACACCCTTCCACATTCCCTAATCTTCACTCTCTACCCTAAATTTACCTCAAATTCTGGCTGAAAATATCGCTTTCCAGGAAATTTTCCCTCAATCCGCTGTGGAAATGTTCGTTGACCGAGGAGTTCTGCGGGAGTATCTCATCGACCAGCAAGAGGCTCCGGTCCGTGTAAAAAGGTCTTTTGACCATCAAGAGGGCAATTCGATCGATAATTGAGGGGTCAATTTCCGACTGGCAAGCTGCCATATTGGCCTCTATCAAGATGGTCGTTTCTTTCGAATCGATGGCATTTGTGACCCTCAAAGTCAGGTTCGAATCGGCGGTTGGGTTGATGTTGGCGTAGGGCCTTGAAGCGGAGGGCTCGGAGGTTTCGAAGCGGGAAAAATTGAGGAGATCCACCTGAAAATCAACAAATTATATAACTTTAAACAAAAAATTACCCAAAAACACCAATTTTCCACAAAAAAATTAAATTTCCAAAAATTACAGTAACCCAAATGACAAAATCCACTATAAAAAATCTTTCTTATGCTTCAAACTTCACCAAAAACTCTTTTTCCTCCACCTATTCCCCACAAATTTCTTCAAATCTCCAAAAATCCTCAATTTCCCCCTAAATTTTAAAGAAATCTCAAAAATCCTTACATTAACCGCTTCTTTAGCGCCAACCACACTGCCCTCAGCCAAGTACTCGCTTAGATCCATGTGTCCAAAGTTGCATTGCAGATCAAACGTGCCTCCTTTGACCTCATCAAACTCATTTGTCAGTTTGAAGATGGCCGACCGACACAGTAATTTCAGGTGGTCATGAGGGAAGAGGGAGGTGAACGTTGAGCGTTGCTGGTCCAATGGAGCGCCTGGAATACGATTTTTTATCATCATTGTTGGTTTAGAAGATTTTTCAAAAAAAAATTATTTTTTTACGAGGAAAGTACTTCTATGGGGTATGGAGTTACAGGTCGAGACATACACCAAAAAAATCGCAAAACTTTTCTGATTCAGAATATGTAAAAGTTAGCTGCCCAATTTTGGGTTGTAAGGGCGAAAAAACCCTCAGAGCTTTTCTCGCAACGCCATGCAAATGCCCCTTTTTTATATTGGAATTACTATAATATTAAGGTGTAGTATTAATCAAATTTCATATTTTAAGGCTTGTCAAGATGCCAGGGTTCACTTTAGCTCAAAAGAAAGCTTTTGAATTGGTAACAACTTGGTCAAAAAGGCATTTGGGTGGTGTTGCGAGAAAAGACCCGAACTGTAGTAAGTTGTGCCTTTTTGAGCAAGTTTTTACCAATTCAAAAGTTTTGTTTTGAGCTAAAGTAAACCTTGGCATCTTGACAAGCCTTAAAATATCAAATTTGATTAATACTACACCTTAATATTATAGTAGTTCCAATTGTAAAAAAGGGGCATTTGCGTGGTGCTGCGAGAAAAATTCAAAGGGTTTTTTCGCCCTTACAAACCAAAATTGGGCAGCTAATTTTTACATATTCTGAATCAGAAAAATTTTGCGATTTTTTTGATATATGTCTCGATCTGTCACTCCATACCCCATTGAAGTACTTTCTTCGCCAAAAAATTTTATATTGTTTTAGCCCTCACCTGTAACAATCAATGGGCTCGGCTGTAGGGCGGCTTTAAAAAAGTTATCAGCTCGTTCCTTGAGCCCTTTGACTTGATTCACAACCGCCTGCGGGTCCGTTTGGCGGAGTTTTTTGATCGATTCTATGGAAAGTGGGTCATCATGGGTGATAATCATGGCCAAGGATGGGACTTTGAAGGTAAAGAGAAACACATTCGGTCGTCTCTCGACGAGAGTCAAATTTGAGCCATCTGGAAGCAAAAATCATTAAAATTCACTTCAATATTTCACAGTATTCTTCAAAAATTCGTCAAAATGGCCTAGAATTTCAAAAAATCTCAAAATTTTGCTTACGTTGGGTTCCCCGGTCGGTTAATGAGTCGCTATCGCCTCCAGAGGACCTGGACGCATATGTTTGACCGCTTCCATGACGTTGATGGGAGGGTTCATCCAGCGAGACATTGCTAAATCTGGCCGGGTTCGTGGCGGCGACGCTGTTGCTTCTTTGGGGCGATTTTACTTCATAAAACTGTTGCTCAAATGCGTGTGAGAGTGCATTGCCTCCATGAATAAATGTCCCGGTTGGTGGGGTGTGATGAGTGTCGCGGATTATTTGATCAACAATGGCGTCGCCTAAAAAATTTTTAAAAAAATAAGTCAAAATCGAAGAAATTGCCTAAAATAAGGTAAAATTTAACGACAAAAAACCCAAAATTTGTTTTTCGCATCTTCTAATCACATTATCTATCCTATAAAAACCAAAAAAAAATCAGGTGGGAATCGAACCTGCGACCTAAAAAATCCGACTCACTACCGACTGCGCCATGCCGACACACCTCCAAATTTTTTTCAATTTTCGATCCCACATACCCTGCACATCTCAAAAACTCAATTAATACAAAATCCCACAAAAAACAAGCCTTTAAAATCCAAAATATTAACTTATCCATACCTTGTAGTTGATCATTTAGTCTCTCAAAATGCTCTGGTCCCATGGGTTTCCCGCCCGTCAAATGTGACGGTCGCTCCTGTGGAGGTGCCGAGGTAAGCTTGGAAAGCAGCTCTGATATCAAACTGATCTGAGATGGGGTCAGAAACGCAAAAGCGTGGCCCATGAGTTGGAAATCGACGTCCATCTTCTTGTTGAAGGCTCCATCCGACTTCAAGGCGGTGTTGTTGACCCGAATGCGGACGGTACTTCTGTCACCACCAATGACAAGGAAGGGGATGGGGTTTGTTGGCAAGCTGAAGGCAAAAATTTGCAAAAATTTTTAGCAAAAACATCAAGCTTTCTGGGAAATCGTATAACTCTTTCAAAAATTGATGTCTACTCCAAGATTGAGCCCTAAACTTGAACAAAAACAAAATTTAAAAGCTTACTTGAGCTGATTGGACCCTGATACGGATGATTCTTTGCGCGCACTAGACGACGTGAACTGTGAATAACAGGATTGAAAAGCGGAGGCATCCAACGAAGTGGTAGATACTGTCGGATCTTTGGTGTCAAAATTCAAATCCCCACTTGAAGCAACTGATGAAGGCCGCTGAAAAATACAAACCATAAGACTTCTTCTTTCCATAGCAACCAAAAACTGGGCCGCAATCTTACCATAGCTGTGTAAATATCGGTGAAAAGTTGGATGCCTTCGAAGTGAAGGAGCTTGTTCAAATCCGTCACTGTATACAGACTCGTGGGTTGTGCAGTGACCGGACCATCCTGTTTCTGCTTCTCACTCGCTTCAAGGACCTCGTCGACGAATTCCATGCGCTCAATTCGCAATTCGAGGCCGGTGGCGAGGTCGGATTCCGAGTCCAGCCGAATTGTGGTATTCTCAAAAATAACCTTCATCCGACTGATCACCTGGTCGATTATTGAAGCCAAGTGGTCCACTCCAAGCTCACTAAAGACAGAATCAAAGCAATGAAGAGGCGTCTTACCTTTCCATGTCATCCTGAATGATTTCTGTGGTGGATCTGGACATTGAACTGACGATGGAGCCAAACATTGACGACATGAGCTCCGAATTGAAATTGTCAATCCTAAGGGGCGAAAAGGTCAGATCAAGGCCTTTGACGTAGATGGTAGTCGACTCTTCGAGCACATTCTTCCATGGAACTTGGACTTTAATCTCGCGCACAAACCCTTCAACTAGTCGAACTAGACCAATATCCTTGAGCAGCTCGTTGATGTACTGAAAATAAGCAATCAATCAGCCGTCTTTGGTCTTCTACTGACTATCCACATGCTTTCTAAACATCAAACAAACAAAAAAATAATATCAACTTACATCAGCATTCAACGAAACCTCTTGAACTGACGCCGTGCCCTCCTTGAGTTTCAATTCCAACTGATCTGCGCTGATCTGGGTGTTGAGGAACTCCCCCATGTACCGGTGAATGAGAAATTGACATAGCGGCTTCACAAATGCCATCCCGTTTTGAACTGGTTATATGTACAGGAACCCGTTAAAATCGTTGAAGATTGGGCCGAATGGGCCACGAATGTGTGGCAAATCAATGTTAACTGGTATTTTTGGGAATACCAGGGAAGATGAGACCAGGAACAACAACAATTATCAACAATACTGGCCTGCAACGGGAGCATTTATATTGCACTTGATGGATAATATAAAAACACGCAAAAATGGGGAAAAAATAGATAAAGGAAGATCGAAATAGAAAGAAGAATACATAATAGGACTTATGACACCTGCATTTGCGCAAATATTATTCATGCGACAACTTTAACGGTCAGTAAAAACCTAAATATTACTCTCCTCAAAAACGATCAGAAAAGGCCGATAATAATTGGCAAAATAATCCTTAACTTATGCAGCAAATGAGCCGCGAGCTGTCTCATTAAAATCTATAAAAAGGCGAGCACGAGAGCGCGTCGGAAACGTCTGCGTCTCCACGAAAAACGCGCTCTCTTCCCGAATCGGAGCCGAAGAGGTAGAAACCCGAGATTTACGAGATCCCGCGAGTAAACCTGGCCGAACTGGAGTTCAGAGGTTCCTTGTTAATTGCACTGTCTGTCTAAACTTAAACTTCCCCATTTTAATTCGCTTTACACACCTAAAATTGATAAAAACAAAGTATGTCTCACTACTCACCTAAAACAATAAAAATTCGGAGAAAATCAGATGATTCACAAAGAGTGTTTAATATTGTTGGACGGACAGCAAACCGACTGATCATTCATCAGGTTCAACGACTCATGGGACCCACCAGACCGATCATATGACCCATTTCAGCGCGACAAAGCAAAGAACCCGGCTTGTGGTGTTTTCCGATGTAGGCGAGAGAACGGAAAACACTGTTTTTGTTGCGAGTTTCATCGCTCACAAGCATAAACAATCAATTTATCTATCCCAGTTCGCTCCGTAAAAAATTCTCGTGCCAATTTCTTTTGTTTGAGGCGGAATGCCAAACGCGGCGAAAATTGCGGGAAAAATGGGGATTTGAAATAAAATTTGGAAATAATTGGCGATAGCGTGAGAGAATCTGCTTGAATTTGGTTGAAATATATAGAACAGAGCATTGGCTTTCTACTAACGCCCATTTTAATTCGGAATTTGAAAAATCGAGCCTTTATTTTACCAAAAACCCCAAACGTCTGTCATGGATAACATTGAGCACAAAAAAGAGCATTAGAAATGCTGACGAAAAGACCAAAATGGATGGAAAAGGAGAGAATAAAGTTCATCCATTGTTTTCATCTCAATTTTGCTGGGTTTTAAGTCAGAGTCGCCCAAAATTCATCATTTTTCATCTGAGGTCTTATGGATGACATCGGAAGTGCAAAAATGAGGTAAAAAGCGAAATAGTTTTGAGAAAATGGCTATCGCTCAATACACTAGAGCAGTGGGTATCTATAAATGACAAATTTAAGGACCTAAAGTTGCCAGAACTAGTGAAAATTAGCAAAATTTCATCAAAGTCTCATGTATAATATTGGAGGTGAAAATTTTCCTATAAACGGTTTAAAACTCCCCTCCATCCGATTATAGGGCCATTTCGGGCTCGTTTGCCTCCTATTCCCCGCACTTTTAATATTTTTTCCCTTTAAAATTATCGAATTTCCGCTTATCTTCACCAAATGCCCTTAGGGTACTAACTCCCAAAAACACGAATTCAGACGCCATCTGCTCGGTGAAACGTCGAAGAACTCCCCCAGAAATCACCATTTTACCCCTCCAGACGCAAAAAAGTCGGGCGGTTTGAAAAACGAGCGTCTGATTTTTTCGACGCGTCATGTTCTTTTGGGAGAAACATTCGGTTCGAAGAGCACGTGAGCTGCAAAATAATGTGATAGACGGAGAGGTAAGGTGTTTTCTATGCGGAAATGGAGAGGAGAAGGTGGTTTTGAGGTCAAACGAGGGAAAAGAAGAGCAATTTGGAACTTGATTATATTGTGCATGACTATAAATTCAGATAAAAATTGATTTCTAAAGAAAGATCTTACGATTTAGAGACAAATCCAAGTCTAAAATAGCTATTAGGATAGCTGAAATAGTTGATAAATTTTTTTAATTGTTGGTAGAAAGTATTATATATACCACCAGTAAATCGGAAAACTTTGAACTTTACAGCTCTAATCGGCGTATTAGTGGTAAATAAAAACAAAAAAGGACCTCCAAAATGGCTGATAAGCACTTCACATAACATGGATTTTGACACATGATAACCAAAATTATAACTCTTCGTAAACTTCTGGCAGATCACCGTAATGGATCGGAAAAAGTCTTACAAGGGAAGTACTTGTAAGACTAAAAAAATCCGCCTTTGTCCTCTCTCACCATACCATTTTTTAGCCAAAAAATCATTCTAAAAATCCGCCTCGCTCCATCATATCATTTTTTTCTCAAGGTGCCCTCTTCGCCCATGGGCACATCATACTGACAAGGGAAGTACCCCGAGTGGCGACGCTCAAATTTTCTTTACAAGGAAAGTACTTTTATGGGGGCTCCTACTTTTTGACCGGACATATCTCAAAAAATCAGGAAAAATGTGCTGATCAAGGATATATAAATCTTAGCTGCCCATTTTAGGTTTTTAGGGGTGAAAACTCAATCGGAAGTTGACTTAAAGTCCTATATGAACCCCTTTTCGCTTAATTTTTCACAGGTTTACAATTTTTATTTTGGCCTAAAATGATGTTTAATGAGTTTCTAAGACGTAATAAATCAGTCTTGGCCCAAAAATTTATTTTTCCGACCTTCAACTTCAAAAAAAGCTAATTTAGCCCAAAAGGGAAATCGAACCCGTCCGGCGTTCTCCCTCTTGATTCCCAGACTACGGCACTAACCACTCGGCCACACCGCTCTCTTCCGAAGAAAGAGACCGAATGCGCTTTTTATCGTTTCGAATGCCTGCCTTTTTGTAGGGAAATTAAGCCAGTTTTTGGGCATTTTCACCCCTAAAAACCTAAAATGGGCAGCTAAGATTTATATATCCTTGATCAGCACATTTTTTCTGATTTTTTGAGATATGTCCCGTCAAAAAGTAGGAGCCCCCATAAAAGTAATTTCCTTGTTAAATTCTGCAAACATGTTGGTCATAGACCAGACATCAATTTCTGAAAGTTTCAGCTCTTACTTCTCAGGTGCCGCCGAGATATTCAACGATCTTTGCGGCCGAGAGAGTACGCTAAACGCGGAGAGCGGTCTGAGACAAGAACGCTTTTTAGCCATAACTTTGTCAGTTCCTCGCGGAAAAATCATTTTTTTTTTTGAGGAAGACCCTTTATGGTAGAAATAGGCATGCAACTTTTCGTGGCGAAATTCTGCAAAAAGTCTTACATTTTTGATTACTTTGGATATAAAAATTTGGGTTGTTTCTGCAAAGCGCGAGCTAGGATTCTCGCATATATTTTAGCAAAAATTATTCTAAATTTGCGCCAAGTTTCATCAAAATTTGAGCGTCGCATTCGGTACTTCCCTTTTGGTAAAATCAAGGTCAATCAGGCCAAGTGGACATTCCAACTCTGTTTATTTTCCATTCCAAGACAACTACAATACTGTTTTAACTCCTCGAGAAATAGGAAATGCGTACAACTAGAAGAAGTGGGGTTCAGAGTGGATCAAAAACTTAGAGACAGATCATAGGAGGACGAAACATTTGGAAGCGATATAAGCCAAACGCCCACAAGTCCGTGGACACGAAAATGGTGGAGATAATTTAAAATAATACTCGCTTTTTCGGAGCGAAAAAGCGATATTAGTTTAGCGGGGAGGCGAGTACAATAGAATGGCGTTTAGTACTCGTCCTCGTCGCCGGCGCCGGCGTCGGTGGAGTCGATGGCGACCTCTTCGTAGTCCTTTTCGAGGGCGGCCAAGTCTTCGCGGGCCTCGGAGAACTCTCCCTCCTCCATGCCCTCGCCCACGTACCAGTGGACGAACGCGCGCTTCGCGTACATCAAGTCGAACTTGTGGTCGAGGCGGGCCCAGGCTTCGGCGATGGCAGTGGTGTTGGACAGCATGCAGACGGCACGCGGGACCTTGGCCAAATCGCCGTTGGGCACGACGGTGGGGGGCTGGTAGTTGATGCCCACCTGAAGCATGGATAGCGTAATTAATGATGGAGTTTTGAGTTGAAATTATTGGAGAATGCACTGCTATTCTAGTTATCCCTTAGAGGCCCCAAATTTCCCGAAATAGTTGGTGTTTCAAAGAAATATTCGAAAAGGATGACTTAATGGCATAGATAATATAAAAAACCGCGATTTTTGTAACTCATTTTAAGAAATAGTTTTTCCCAGCCAACTAGCTCGCTATTCCACCAAATTTAGCTTCAAAACCACAAGTTTCCGTAAATTAAGACACAATTTCTATATTCACCATGACCAACAATATTACTTTAGACCACCTCCACCCTAAGCCTCCCAAATCCCCAAAAAATCCCTACCTTGAACCCAGTTGGACACCAATCGACAAACTGGATGGATCGGTTGGTCTTGATGGTGGCAATGGCCGCGTTCACATCCTTGGGGACCACATCTCCGCGGTACAACAAACAGACGGCCATGTATTTTCCGTGCCGAGGATCACACTTGACCATCTGGTTGGCGGGCTCGAAACAGGAGTTTGTGATCTCCGCCACGCTCAACGACTCGTGGTAGGCCTTGGCGGAGGAGATGACCGGCGAATACGTGGCGAGCGGGAAGTGGATTCGTGGGTATGGGACCAAGTTGGTCTGGAACTCGGTGAGATCCACATTCAAGGCTCCATCGAATCTCAGAGAGGCGGTGATGGAGCTAACGACCTGCGAGATGAGTCGGTTCAGGTTGGTGTAGCTGGGCCGCTCCACGTCCAGGTTGCGGCGACAAATGTCGTAGATGGCCTCGTTGTCGACCATGAAGGCGCAGTCCGAGTGCTCCAGGGTGGTGTGGGTGGTGAGGACCGAGTTGTAGGGCTCCACCACGGCCGTCGACACCTGCGGCGCGGGGTAGATGGAGAACTCGAGCTTCGATTTCTTCCCGTAGTCCACGGAGAGGCGTTCCATCAAGAGGGAAGTGAAGCCGGAGCCGGTTCCGCCGCCGAACGAGTGGAAGATCAGGAAGCCCTGAAGGCCGGAGCAGTTGTCCGCGGTACGCCGAACGCGGTCCAGGACGGTGTCGATGATCTCCTTGCCGACAGTGTAGTGGCCGCGCGCGTAGTTGTTGGCCGCGTCCTCCTTGCCATTGATGAGTTGTTCGGGGTGGAACAATTGCTTGTAGGTGCCGGTACGGATCTCATCTGGAAAAGAGGACGGTAGAATGGTGCTCAAGGCTTGGTTAAACGTTTTTATTTTGCATTTTTTCGCAGGTTACAGTAAGGTTTTAAAATTTCTTTTGGGATCATCTGAAAGAGCTTTGAAAACGCTATCTAATGATATATGTTTTGTATGGTAGGGCTTGACACAGCGGTTTTTATGAAGCTTCAAAGATGACCAACTTCTAAACTAAAACAGAATAAAAAAAATTTTCAATTTTTTGACCAAAATTTACATTATACAGGGTGGCCCAAAAAATGGAAACTTTTTTTCCTGGGTCCTGACGCGAAAATGGTTAGGCCCAGCCAAATGATTTTTGCCCTATTAGATTCTCCGTTTCTTTCTGTCCTAGTTTAGTTTTTTTCATGTCCATATCGAATAATTAACATGTTTTTTCAGGATGCCAAATAGAAGGACCTCGATTTTGGACTTGTTTCGGCAAGGAAAGAAGCAATGTGAGATTGTTAAACTTCTCGGCGTTGGAAAATCTGTTGTATCGAAAGCCATAAAACGATTCAACGAGCTTGGCCACGACGGTCGACGGTCGGCCACGACGGTCGGCGTTCAGGAAGTGGTAGGAAGCGCACCATCAACACCCCCTCCAACCGGGATATCATCAAAAAGCGAGTGAAGCGAAATCCGATGGTGTCTATGAGAAAGATCGCCCGGGAGACCGGCCTCAGCAGAACATCCGTCCGTCGAATGGCCAAAGATGTACTGAAGCTCAAGCCCTATAAGCTGCAAAAAGTTCAACGTCTGACGGAACGCGACAAGAAAGTACGGCTAGAAAGATGTCGGAAGCTCAAGCGTCGCGCCGCAGGTCAGGTTTGGGAGAAAATTTTATTCTCTGATGAGAAATTATTTAGCCTTGAGCAAGCCCAGAACCACCAGAATGATAGATTCTGGTCCACTGAACATCCTGGACCTTCAGCCATCGTCGAACGCCGCCAAAAACCGCTTTCCGTAATGGTATGGGGAGGAATCTGCGCCTCCGGCAAAACTCCGCTGATATTTGTTGAAGAAAGAGTGAAAGTGAACAAGGAAGTGTACTGTCGTGACATATTGGAATCTGTAGTTCTGCCTTGGTCCAAGAAGCATTTCGGAAAACAGAAATGGGTGTTTCAACAGGACTCTGCGCCCGCTCACAAGGCAAAATCAACTCAAGACTGGTGCAGAAGCCACTTCCCCGACTTCATCACGACTGCGGATTGGCCGCCCTACTCTCCGGATCTGAATCCAATGGATTATAGTGTATGGTCCCTGATGGAGGCAAGAGCATGTCGAAAGCCCCACAAAACTTTGGAGTCCCTCAAGCAATCACTCCAGCGGGAATGGGAGAAATTGTCCAAGGAAGAGCTGCGGCGTATCGCCAAAAATTTCACTTCACGGTTGGGCTTGTGTATCGCCGCCAAAGGAGGCCACTTTGAAACCGGTTAGGTATATTGTAACTAGAGCTCTATGTTATTGATATTGATTGTTACTTTTGTTAAATATAGGTCGTTAAATAAATTATGACTAAAAATACGAGTTTCCATTTTTTTTGGGCCACCCTGTACTTGATATCAGCCTCATTCTCAAATAAAACAATACCTTGAAGGAGAGGTATTTTTCCCCCGAATCTCTCCAAAACAACCCCCAAGTCTTACCGATGACAGTGGGCTCGAGATCGACCATCACGGCGCGAGGAACATGACGTCCGTTGCCGGTCTCCGAGAAGAAGGTCGAAAAAGAGTCATCGCCGGCCGTAGGGGACTCGGATGGCATCCGACCGTCGGGCTGGATGCCGTGCTCCAAACAATAGAGCTCCCAGCACGCATTCCCGATCTGCACACCGGCTTGGCCCACGTGGATGGAGATAACTTCGCGCTGAAAGAATTTGCGGTCATACTAAAGTAGAGCAAGGTGAATAAGTTCGATTTCAGCGGGAAATATTGAATTTTTAATAGAAAGTATTTGATTTCCAGATAGATTTAGGAGTTTTTCTACCTGATTTGTATGATATTTCCCCCAAAGAAAGGGGTATTTTACTCACCATGATTAGTTTTTCGAAGAAGTCGTTGGAGTTGGAGAAGAAACTCGAGAGCGACCGCAAATGCGACTAAAATTTAGAAGGTATTATGTCGTATAAGGGGATAAAATCTCGCTATATGACAGATAACGCGGTAAATCAACATTTCGCGCAATCGGAAACGCTTTTTTCGATTCAAACTAGCGTTTTGGCGCGCTTTTCGAGGAGAATTTTATGGACAGAAAGCGTGAATTTTTGGGGACATTATAAAAGGGAAGTTTATATTTAAAATGAAGGAAAATGTTCATCGAAGAAGAATTTTTTGAGTTGTGAAATATGTCATCAAAAGTAGAAAATACGAAAAAATCAAAAAAAAAGTTTTTTTTTGAAAATGACAAATTTAAATAAAATCAAAAAAATAAAGAAAAAAAAACAAGAAATCGTATATCAAAAATCTAAAAAATGCCTCAGGCAATGATACCAAACTTTAAAATACCATAATAAAATCTTTGGGGAATTCAAAAAATTCAAAAATCTTAATGCTAAAATACAACGTTTTACTGAAATCCGTAACGATTCCAGACCACTTCAAAGACTGATTTCAAATTTAAATTAATTTTGGGCCTGATGAGTCATTATTTTCATGAAAAAAAATAATTTTTAAAAATAAAAAAAATTCAAAATCAAAAAAAATTTTTTTTTGATTCGAAGACTTCCATAGACAGAATTAGTCTCAGTTCAACGAGTATGTGTCATCAAAAGAAAAAAAATTGAGTACATAGCTTTTTTTGCGCGAAAAATTTTGAAAACTCCGAAAAAATTGCTTTTCACAATGAAAGTACTTCTATGGGGTGTGGAATTACCGGTCAAGATATATATCAAAAAATTCGCAAAAATTTTCTGGTTCAGAATATATAAAAATTAGCTGCCTAATTTTGGTCTATTAACGAGTTTTATCAATAAATGTATTTCTCGAGGAAAAAAATCTGCGGCAACAAAAGCGAGCTCGGTCTCTTCTCGGAAGAGAGCGGTGTGGCCGAGTGGTTAGAGCGCTGGATTGGCAATCCGAAGGGGACGGGTTCGATTCCTTTTGCCACTCTAGAACCCATTTTTTACATTGGAATTACCTTTAAGGTGTAGTTGTAATCCAATTTGATATTTTAAAAGACGATTTCTGAGTCAGTGCGTCTGTCGTATCTTACCTTACTGGGCGATGATTTGACGGTTACTGAAGTTTTCGACCCTTGCGATGACGATGGTATCATTATTTTTCCGATTTTCCTACTGTAACATACCGTAATACTGTATCGACCGCTAAAAAACGACCGTAGAATCTTTCTTTCTGAAAATTTCACAGGCGATTTTACGATTTTTGGAATCAGCATAAAATTCTGCTCTAGAGGCAATAAAAAAAGTTCAAAAAAAGCTGCGACAAATTTCGTGGTATAGTGGTTAGTGGTCGGGACTACCAATCCAGCGACCCGGGTTCGAGTCCGGCTGGGTGCGAATATCGAAAAGAAGTCGGACATTAAATTTACTGTGATTCAGAGGATTGTATATTTTGCCACGAGCAGTTATTAATGTCAATGGTAGCTGGATTCGGGGTTAAAACGGGGTTTATATAATTTTAGGGGCTCAATACATGAAAAAATAAAAGTGCTTCAAACCGGTTGAAATTGATAATACTTATTCTAAGGGCTATTCTAAGACATTTTCTCGTTAACTTTTTTTCGTAACTTACTGTAACATGGATTACTGTGACATGAAATCCAATTTTATTTTTCGCATACCACGGGGCGTAGACAGCTCGGACTATCGCCATATTGATAGAGATAATTAATAACGAGTTGGTTTGCATACAAAATTTTTTTTATGGCCACACAGTTTGAAACAATCGGGTTATTTCACGAAGTTTTGTCAGATAGCGATGATATCAAGACACACTGGAAGTGCAGCGGAAATTTATTTTGTATACCTATAGTGGACCTTCGTTGCTGTTTGAACGACCTAGTCAAAAACACTCGAGACTGGATGCAACAATTTTGAAGAAAATCCCGCTTAAGTACAAAATCTTTATCTTACTGTAGTGCATGGAACAGTAAGCTACCAAAAAAAAGTTAACGAGAAAGTGTCTTAGAATAGCCCTTAGAATAAGTATTATCAATTTCAACCGGTTTGAAGCACTTTTATTTTTTCATGTATTGAGCCCCTAAAATTATATAAACCCCGTTTTAACCCCGAATCCAGCTACCATTGACATTAATAACTGCTCGTGGCAAAATATACAATCCTCTGAATCACAGTAAATTTAATGTCCGACTTCTTTTCGATATTCGCACCCAGCCGGACTCGAACCCGGGTCGCTGGATTGGTAGTCCCGACCACTAACCACTATACCACGAAATTTGTCGCAGCTTTTTTTGAACTTTTTTTTATTGCCTCTAGAGCAGAATTTTATGCTGATTCCAAAAATCGTAAAATCGCCTGTGAAATTTTCAGAAAGAAAGATTCAACGGTCGTTTTTTAGCGGTCGATACAGTATTACGATATGTTACAGTAGGAAAATCGGAAAAATAATGATACCATCGTCATCGCAAGGGTCGAAAACTTCAGTAACCGTCAAATCAGCGCCCAGTAAGGTAAGATACGACAGCTGGACGCGGTTACTTCTAAAACAGTAAATTGTAAAAAAATATACCTTGATGAAGGTTTTGGGAAAAAATATTGTTCGCTTTTGCTTAGCACCTTCCAACAGCCATTTTAGTGCAAAAAACTCAAAATCGATTTTTTTTCTATGTCCACCCCTAACAGACGGCTGATGCACTGACTCAGAAATCGTCTTTTAAGGCTTGTCAAGGCCTCAAAATTTATTTTAGCACAAAACAAAATTTTTTTATTGGTAAAAACACGGTGAAAAAGAAACTTGCATTGTGTCGCGAGAAAACTTCTGAGGACAAAAACATGTCATCAGACCAAAATTAGGCAGCTAATTTATATATATTCTGAATCAGAAATTTTTTGCGAATTTTTTGATATACAGGGTCTTACAAAAAACGTGAAGGAAAGTGGGAGGCCATAACTTCCGTCGGAGGCGGCGCAGAGACTTCGTATTTGAAATGTGTATTTTTAAATGACATAAGTTTTTGTCTATGAAATAACAAGCTTTTATAGTGCAAACGGAGGTCGCTACGACCCTCTGAAGTAGAGGCATCTCTACCCCGAAAACCAGGCTTTTTCGGTTGAAAATGATCGAGAAATTGCGGACTTTGTCGGTTGAAAATCACCAGGAAATGTCGGATTTTTTGGGGGTTTCTTGATATAGTCTTTAAGAAAACGTCGAAAAAAATGCACGTGTTGGCACTTTCCTCTTCTTTTTCAACATCACCCATATCAAAACCCCCCAAAAAATCCAACATTTCCTGGTGATTTTCAACCGACAAAGTCCGCAATTTCTCGATCATTTTCAACCGAAAAAAACCTGGTTTTCGGGGTAGAGATGCCTCTACTTCAGAGGGTCGTAGCGACCTCAGTTTGCACTATAAAAGCTTGTTATTTCATAGACAAAAACATATGTCTTTTAAAAATACACATTTCAAAAACGAAGTCTCTGCGCCGCCTCCGCCGGAAGTTATAGCCTTCCACTTTCCTTCACGTTTTTTGTAAGACCCTGTATATCTCGACCGGTAATTCCACACCCCATAGAAGTACTTTCCTTGTCAGAATTTTAAACCCAAAAAATTCCCCCCAAAAAATCGGCCAGGATAAACGTTTTTTGGAGGGCTTATGAGTCAAAAGATTTATTCTCTGGCTTTCCCTCGCTTGGCTGCAATTTTGAAATGGACCCAAGCGCGGAACGCTTTCCTTTCCCTCTCTCGCTCTCTCCCTCTCTCTTTTGCCCTCCAATCGCTTTGGCTTTGTGCGAAAAAAGAGGGCCCAATGTAGCCCGGAGGCATTTCGAAACCATGTAAAGTGGGGGTCTATGTTCGTTCATGTCCTTAGGGGTCATGGGAGGGGAGGCGAAGAAAATAATGGGAAATTATTCCAATCTCTTGGTAGACTAGAAGATTGGGGGGTTGTAATGCTGACAAGTGTGAGTTACTATACATTGAAGAAGAGAAACTAAAATTATTTAGCAAAAATCTTCTTAGATAAGCTTTCTCAAAGGCATTTACAACAATATTACCGCAGGAAATTGCATGGTTAAAAAGCCTTTGAAAACAGATAGGCAATGAAAAGTCTTTACAGGGGAATTACTCCAAGTGCGACGCTCAGATTTCGACGAAACTTGGCACAAATTAAGAATAATTTTTTCTAAGATATATGCGAGAATCCTAGCTCGCGCTTTGCAGAAACAACCGAGATTTTTAGATCGAAAGTCGGCCAAAATTTAGGTTTCTTTTACAATGTTTCTACAAAAAATCAAATTTTTCCGCACGAGACTGCCAAAGTTATGGCCAAAAAGCGGTTTTCTCTCTGACCGCTCTCCACGTTTAGCGTACTCTCTCGGCGGCAAAAATCGTTCGATATCTCGGTGGCGCCCGCAAAGCGCGAGCCAAAACTTTTAGGAATTGATATTTAGTCCATACCCGATGTGTGTGCAAAATTTAAAGAAAATCTGAGCGTCGCACTTGGAATACTTCCCCTGTTAGCAAAAATCTTCTTAGATAAGCTTTCTCAAAGGCATTTACAACAATATTACCGCAGGAAATTGCATGGTTAAAACGTTTGAAAACAGATAGGCAATGAAAAGTGTTTGAAGTAAAAATATGGGCAGATGGCCAAAAACAAGCGACTGACCTTGAAGTGTATATTACAGGTTATTCACTGAACAAACAGGGCTTTAATAAGGGAAATTCAGTCAGCATAAAAGAGAAGGCGGCTTTTTGCTTTCTATTCAAGTTAAACACAGAGTTTTCTAGACCAAAGTTTAAGGTTGGGAAATTTTTTTAGTTGTTGAAGAAGGGTCATCAAAAGAAAGCCTTGTTGGTAATGTCTTGGCAAAATAAAAAAGTTAAATCTTTTGGCAACGTCGCTTGCCATAAAAGCGGTCACCGAAAAAACTTTTCCCATATTTGAAAATTACCCCATATTTGAAACGTAATCTTTAATTTGCAGCCTGTAATACGCAAATTTTTTTTACAAAAACATTGTTTTTCTTCCAAAATTTTCCCTACAGACTGATACCACACACCAGACTTTTCTATGCCAAAATTAGTAAAAAAAGTGTTGATTTTTCCGTCCGAATTTCAACCTAAATAAAAATCTTGGTCGTTTCTGCGAAGCGCGGGTTAGGAATCTCCCATACACTAACATTACACTTAACGTTTATCTAAATTTGTGGCAGGTTTCAATAATCTCTTTGACGATTCCAAAAAAAATCGAAAGTTAACGGGGAATTCAAATTTTCAAAGAGAAAATCTCATTTATTTTTTTCGAGATCGTCCTATATCTTCAAGAAAAGGTTTGTACTAAAATTTTTATAACCAAAAATTATCAGTCCGTCGGGAAAATAATGAGCGCAATGTCGCTGTGCCAATTGTGTCGCTGAAATGAAAAGCAATTTCATTTTGTCGCGACACAATTCATTTTCTCGGCAGCGATGCGATTTTTGGGCTTCGTGGAAATTGGACAGATTTTTTTCGCTGCAATCGTACGAAATGTCACTATTGAATCATCAAATAATTATTTTTTGCGGCGAAAAAAATCTGTCAAGTTTCACTCTGTCCAATTTCCACGCTCTGTCCAAATTATTTCTGTCCGATTTCACTCTGTCCAATTTCCACGAAGCCGATTTTCGTTTCGCCAGAGTGTTCATTATTTTCCCGACAGACTAATAGTCAATAGCCTTCCAAGAATGACATCTCAACTTTTCTATTACTAACAAAAAAATATGGGCATCTTTTCTGACTTTCCCCCATCTAGTTTTTCCTCATAACCGCTCGCATATCCGTCCCCGCAACATCAACAAAAACGCGAGGCCGAAATTGGCTTTCGCGAAAAAACCTCATACATACCGAATTTTTTGCTCCAGAGCGAAAAAGCGACGACACAGCGACTTTTCGGGATGGACAAGAAAGAGATGAATCGAACGTCTCTGACCGTTCCCCTCACTGAGGGCGAAGGTGGAAGGTCGTTCCTGGTGCAATAAAAAAACACACTCATTTTTTTCGAGGGGATAAATTCGTCTCGGAACATCCGAGAGATGCAATGGAGGAGAAGATGACCAGGTGGAGGGGATTTGGGAAATCAGTGAGGGGATTTGGATATGGGAATGAGGGAAAACTGGGATATCCGGAGGGAATTCAGATGAAAAATAATTTGAGAAGTTTCAGAGTGGGTACAAATTTTATTATCAAAAATTATCAGTCTGTCCGGAAAATAATAAGCACTCTATCGCAGCGAAAATTGCATCGCCGCCGAGAAAGTGACTTGTATCGCGGAGAAAATAAAATCGCCTTTCACTTCAGCGATTGGCGCAGCGACAATGCGCTCAATATTTTCCAGACGAACTGATACTAGTCGCGCCATAAAGTCCTGACACATTTTGTCGCGACTAGTACAGTGGCGGACCTGATCCAGTGGCAAAAAACGTACCATTTTGCATCCCGGAAGTATCAAAAAATGTGGCAAAATGCCTCCCTCTTCAAGTGAAAAAACTCCGTTTTCCTTAATTTAGTTGACGGATTTTCTGGACTTTTTCGGCGACGAGAAATCTTGGCAATGACCGAAATTTTTTTTGATAATAGAAATCTTACTAACAGGGGAAGTACTTCAAGTGTGACGCTCAGATTTTCTTTAAATTTTGCACACACATCGGGTATG